AGCTCTCGGGGAATGGTGAGAGCTCCGGGAGGTCTTCCGTTTTGCACAGCCGGGTGATCCGCAAGGGGACGACCTTGGAACTCGGCGACCGGGATCGAATCGATAAGGAAAGTCGAGTTTCCGAATTTCTTGGGAACCAAGGAAAGATTCATCTCCTCATTTTCATCATCCGAGTCACCGCCCATTCTCAAAGACCGGTTCTCTTCAGGGACTTTCTTCTTCTTCTTGCGAGGGAAGCAACAGCTGCAGCATCCTGGATGATGTTCTTTAGCGCGAGGCGGATCGAATCCGTACAAGGCGATTCTTCTGAAGAGACAACCGGTTCCGACGTAAACCGGACCCATCAAACCATCAAGAGCTCTCATATTCACATCAAAGAAGACAGTGTTGTGATTCGCGTACCGATCCGATGGGTCAATACCTTCGAACCGTTGCGGGAACTGAACGTAACAGAGCCGGTCACCGCCTCTATCCATCATGAAACACATTCCTTCTCTCAAGGCCTGAGAGTTGTAGATGTAATGATCACAGTCGAGATTCAGTATGAATGGACCGTTGGACATAATTGCAGAAGCTCGCACCAGCGCATTCATGGCTCCTGCTTTCTTGTTGTGATCATAACCCGGTCGCTTCTCACGCGATACATAGACAAGAAGTGGAAGACGAATGTCAACATCTGTAAGATCCAAGAACCCTTCTGATACTCCATGTAATGGCTCATCACTTGGCGGCTTCAACATCACCTATCAAAATTTTGAAACACATTTGATCTTAGAGTGGCATATAAACTGAACCAAATCGAAAATCTTAAACCAAAAGCAACCAAAAGATTGTGAAACCAAATCGAACCGGAAATTTACCAAACCAAATCAAACAGAACTCGGTTCGTCCAGTTTGGTTATTAATGCTGCAAACCAAATAAATGAATAATCAAAGTGAAGTGAAATGTACCTGAATGATACCGGCATGGTCACTACGGGTATGATCAGGACCAGGACTGATCCAAGTGCCAGGCCAGTGAGTACCATCAGCCATCCAAGTAGCTTTAGGAATCTTGACAGTCTCGACAGGCTCATCATCTCTGTTCTGTCTCTGTAGCTTCATTGCCTTAATCTCTTCCCTTGCATGATAAGCATCAGAACGTCGCCTGATTGAATCAGGCAAGCTGTTGATCCTAACCTTAAACTCATCATACTCACGCTTCACCCTTCTCCGATCCTTAACAAAATCAGCCTTGACCTTGTTCTTGTAAGGATCTCTTTTCAGACTGAAGTACGAATCCGGATTCCTCGGCTCAATGTCGTGTTTACGACAGAAAGGAACCCAAATGTTTGCGAAACTGGCCGCTTCAGCCATTGCTTCGAACGTCAAAAGAGCTCCTCCGTCGTCAGAAACGTAGCAGGCAAGCTTCTCGACAGGGTAGTTCGCAGCAAGAATCGACAAAATGGTGTTGGATGTGACAAGAGGAGGCTCCTTCTCCGGATCCGCTGTAGACACAAACATATCGAGCCCCGGGAGATCAGACTTCCCGGTCGGGTTGCTCGGTGTAGGCGTCTCGAATTTCTCCTTGAGAACGTTGAGATCCGTTGCTCGGTTAATCGGGTTCAGCTTCGGAAGCTGATCAAGAAGCCAAGAGAAGGCGAACCAAAGCTCACAGACCACAGACATTCCCCATAGCCATATCGCATCTTGGTTCTTGTGCTGAATCCTCCACATCAAGAAGAGAGCAAGAACAACGATTCGAATAAATATCAAAAGCCTGTAAGGACTAATAACAGCTGCAGGAATCTGAAGTTTCCGAGTAAGAGGTCTCCACGGTCTGCTCATCAGATCCTGAGGCCCCATACCGTGGCCATTCCCGTCCTTCTCACCCCCAAAGTTCCCATCTTTAGTCCAGAAAGCATTTCCATAACCGTAAGTGCCACTAGTCTCAAACAACCACCGGTTGTGATCAAAATCCCCGGTTTGACTCCTCATCAAACCGGACTTGGTCGACTTCATCAAAGACAATCGTCTCTCCATCTTCGAGCCGCCTGCTGGTGGGGGAAGCATAGGCCTTTGTTGCTGATGTCCTTTGTTGTTGTTGCTGTTATCAGCCAAATCCGTCAAGTCCGTGTTCCTGTACGGCTCCTTACACCCGGGGCAAATCCCGCCGCCGGTTTTGACAGCATCCACAAAGCAGTCCCTACAGATTTTGAAGTCACATTCACAAGGGAGAAGATCTTGACCTCTCTCATCACTCATCACCTTCACATCGCAGCCAGGGATCGCGCAAGAGGAGCCTTTCGTGCCAGCCATCTGCGGATGGTTGGTCTCTGACTCGATCACTTTCTCCATAAGGTGAGCCCGAGTCACGCTGTTGAAACCTCCCGTGAACAAGGAGCTCGACACGTACTGCTCCTCCACCTTCTGAGAGATGGACGGATCCATGGGCTGGTTATCCGGAGTTTGTGGAATATGAACCAAATAGTTTTGGAAGTCAACACTTCCGATTTCGCTGTCAAGATCATCTCTCGAGTAGTTGACGTAGCGACCAGAGGAAGTCCTCCGGGCGAATGTCACGGAGGGAGGCACAGGCTGCTGGTTCCTCCCGGCTTCAGCAGCATCAGAGTTTGTTGATAGATTGGATCGGCTGTTTGTGAAATGGTTATTAGACGCCATCGTCTAGTGATATCACTGTATCCACCGGACTTGTAGCCGGCAGATCACTGAGAGACGAAAACAAAAGTCATTTCAAGTCAATTGTTATAGATCATGGAATTAAGAGAAACATTGTACAGTTTGCACAAGATTTTAACTCAGATGTCAATAGATCTAAGCTTGAACAATAACAATAAATACATTATCCACAAAGACATCAAAATGACAAATGATCATTTGTTTCATAACCCCACCAAAATAGGAGAAGCTTAAATCTGAAGCTAAAGAGGGAAATCTTGAATGAGTGTAGCTCAATTTTCAAAATTCCGAATCTCTAAAACCCTGTTTTCCGCATCAAAATCAAAATCACATAAATCGAACTCTGATGTCTTTCACATTCCGGTCAAGTAGACGATCTCAGACTAAATCAAGGATGTGAGAGTACCTGCGAGTCTGTAACAGAGGAAGGTTAAGCTTCAGATCTTCCGCAGCTGGTGGTGATTTGGCAGAAGAAGAAAACGATTTCTTAATTTAACAAATCTTCTCCTCTCAAGGAATCGTGTTGCCCAAACTGGTAATGGGCATTTGAGAGAGTCAGAGAAAGAAGAAGAAGGAGAAGAAGAGACGAGGAAGGGACGTAGTCGTGGGCAAATACATCAGCACTACTCCTGCTTTACTAAGTCACGTTATGATGGCAACGATGGCCTCCTTTTTTTAATTCATGAGATCTTACAGAAACAAAAAATATAATAAAAAATTGGAGAAGAGAGATTCAAATGAAAGAAGATGAAAAGATCTCTGTCTGCTCTTTGATTTTTTAACTGAATTAGTAAGGTTTTGACGCGGTAACAGTGACGACGACGACTGTCAAAACGCCGGCGAGAGAAGAAAGCGGCGGAGATTGTGTTTTTTTTTCTCCTTTTACCTTTTGGTGAGTTGAGGTTTTCGGACAAGGTAAGAGAATTAAGAGAATCCATTATTTATTTATTTTTTGTTGAAGTAGTAACGCGTTCGATGGAATTGTTTATTCAAAGAAAAAAGGAAAAAGAGAAGATGGGGATATTTTGGGAAATTCAGTAGATAAAAGGTTGGTTTAACGTGTGTGTGTGTTTGTATACACAGTTTGTCAAAAACGTCAATCACGCAGGTGTTATGGGGAGCAAGTAAACACACAAACAAAAACAAATTATCGTTTAAGATAATTAAAAAACGAAACCATCTAAACGAAAGAGATACGCTTGGCACACGTACATATACATGTATATTCCAATCCCCGATTGAAAATTGAACTGAACAAATCAAACCACTAAACAACTTGGTCGAAACCAATATGTAGATTAGATTAAGAAAACATTTGTCGACATCATATTAAACAAACATAAAGGACAATCAACAGCCTTTGGGTGTGGTAAGGAAGGGCAATATATGACAAAGAACTTGGTAGACAAAAAACCAATATCCAAAAGAGATGATAGGAGAGAGTAACCAAGCTAACAAGATCCAAAAGAGAAGATAGGAATCTTCAACTAAGAAACTCCCAAGAGAGACTAGAACCAGTAGAAGCAGAAGATGTTGTTGTCAAATTTCACTGGTAGAGCCGGAGCAGGTTGATTTTGGGACTGACTGTGAACGAATTAACAGAGTCAAAGACCAACACTCGAAATGCAAAGTGCCGGAGCAGGTATTTTTAGATATATCATGTTATTATTCTTCTCGCAATATAAAAAAAAAAACCCGGTTGAATGAAATTGAATCCCAACTTGGTCGAACCAATATGTAGACGAATAAAAAACCCGGTTTAGTCGACATCGAATCAAAATCAAGGAAAGAAGAAACCAATAAAAAAGGAAAAACTGAGCAAGTAAACACCAACAAATTATAGTTTAAGATAATTAAAAACGACAGGGATATACGAGTGGCACACGTACATAAAACGTATATTACAATCCCAGAATGAAAACTGAACCGAACAAATCAAACCACTAAAACAACTTGGTCGAAACCAATATGTAGACGATTGAAGAAACATATGCGAATTAAACAAACATAAGGAAAATGAACAGCCTTTGAGACTTGACAGGAGTGGTAAGGAAGGACAATGTGACACAGAACTTGGTAGACTGCAAACAAGATCAATCCTCTCTGCATGAAAAAAGAGGTATATTAGCTGTTAGAACATCAACTATACGTATTTACCAAACAGTTAAGGGGATCGAGAAGCAAAGGCCGTGTAAAACAGTTGATACAAAACATGAAATTAACAAAATATCCCCAAAAGTTCAACTAAGAAACTCCCAAAGAGAGACAAGATGTTGGGTGAAGTTGGGCATCTAGTACCTTGGTGATAGATTTCAGAGACTTCATTGTCCACTCCTCATGAGCCCGACATGGCAACGATATGACATGTTGTACTCTTCTATCATCTCCATGATACGTACAGCCTCGTTTCTAAGCTCTCTAAGAACATTCTTGTCAATATAGATCTCCACCTTGTTCAAACACGGAAAATAGTCCAAGAAATGCTCAATCATGTTCATCTCTTTCATTGTTCCTGTAAAACCTCCAATCACTAACTCTTTCACTGGGCAGGATGTGAGCGACCGGCCTTTGTCCTTCCGGTAGATGCAGTCACAAGCATCCCCGCATTTATCTGTGACATAGTGCACGAGACCCTGAAAACATAAAACGAGACCATAAGGTTATTATATTCAACTGCATCTTTAAAACATGTGTCGTTTCATGGTTTTCACTAATTCAACCTCAATGTATAGAGTTTGTAAATGTGGACTATTCCTCAGAAGAACAGGCACTGCTTGCCATCCTCGATCCCCTTCACCGTGGATAACTAACGTTTTGAGGTTGTTGAACACGGGCATCGATTCACAGCATAGAGAAAGCACCTGAAATTCAAGATTGAACCATAATTTTTTTCACATGACAGATTAAGCTAGAAAGAAGAAGAAGTGTAAAGTGTAAATCAACCTCGAGAGTATCAGGACACAAGTGAAGTTCCTGAACATTGTGAATGCCTTTCATGAGCTTCGCGAGATTGCCAAACTGGAGAACAACGTCGTCTTCTAACGAGTCATCATTGTTTGGCGCTCTTCTCACTCGCTTGATCTGATCATCATTAGCTCGAAGGGCGAGTCGAGCCTCAACTAGTTTTTCCATATTCACCAACGGATAGTCCCGCGCAACTAAATCAGAGTATCTTAAGGAAAGCAGATTTGGAGTATCGAAACAAACGCTCTTCGGATTCCGATAGGTCTTGGTGCTGACGACGAAGAAAGTTAGCTTGGTGAGTGTCCCACTTGACACGGTTACATCCAAACCCTTGCGCTCCATGCTTTCGATTTGCAATTCCTCAAGCACAGGGAAACAAGGAAGAAGCGGCTCAATCTCGTCCTCGAAGAAAATCCTCCTTGAGCAAATGCAAAGGCTTTTGAGCAGTGGTAACGAAACGTCTTCACATGCAGGCCACCAGTGAATATCAAACTCACTTGTCAGTTTCAGCTTCACTAGCGTACGACTGACGAACATCTCTTCAGGGAGACGGTAATAGTAATACCCGGGGAAATCGATGGAGAGATCAAGCTCAGAAACGCCACGCTGCAGCGCTTTGCATATCCAACTATCCACACGATCTGAATCGACGCCATCTTTACACTTGAGGGAGAATTTGTTGAGGGGAGAATCACCCTGCAAATCTAATACTCGGTCCACAAAATCCATGAAGCTCTGTAGGATTCCGTCTCTTTCCCGCTTACCTTCTTCCGGATGAAGAAAGACAGAGTCGTCAATGTCGAGATTGGGGACGAGTGCGAAGAGATTGCGCCACCTCTTTGAGAGAAGGGATGTCGAAGCAGCCTCCTTTGTGGTGAGGAACGATAGTATGTGAGGATGAACCTCGTCTGGTAGACTGCTCAACGGATCCATCTTCTCTGCAGAAATTCACCCAGAAGAGCTTGGGACTGTGAACGTAAAACACCCCCAAATGATAAAATTAGGGCAATTTCAAGTGAGAGAGGAGAGGAAAGGAGCGACTAGTGAGGACTGAGGAGTGAGGACTGTCGCCTATCAAGGTGTGGATATTCTGGATATTTTGTTAATTTATAAAATTGAGTTAAAAAATTTTCATTTCTCCGTGACTCCGTATGTTAATTTGCAAACGCCTGAAGAATATATGTACTGTATATTTGAAACCCATACTGAAAAAACAAGTAAGTTGGTCCAACCAATGTAAAGAAAGTCTCATAAATCTTACTCCTAAACTCAAAATTCGAATCAAAGGTGAAATCGGGAAACAAACATAAGGAAAAACTGGGTGTTTATGACAAGACACGAGTCAAAGGATTAGAGAGCGTGGAATTGGATTGCCAACAATCGCATCTGCAAATACTCCTGCTTCCTTTCACCATTCGCTGCGACCTCCTCGTGTGAAGCTTCATGTTCACCACTTTCCCTGATATCTGAATTGTCCAACAATAACAACAACAATGTCAAATTCTTCTCTGTATTTAAATTAACCAAAAACAATCATGTCAACAAGGTATAAAGTAGAGGTCGCTGCACACCATTCTCCATGTCAAGTCCTCTGGACCTAAAGGCTGTGCAGGGCTGGAATATAGGAAATGCCGCGAGTACTGCAAACACAATGTAAAAAAGTTGCTTAATTGGATTTTCTGTGGCGGAAACTGTGAAACAACTTTTTTGTACAACTGGATTTTGGTGAAGGGTAAAGAAAAGTATTTACTTACTTGAGCTAGATGCTTCTGTAATCCTTTGATGTGGGTGGGACTAAGGTTTCTCAGATGATTCACAAGCCACCCAGGCTGGATAGCATCACCAGAAGAAACAATCACAGCAATCTGAGAGATAAATAAAAGGAGAGATGAGAATCGAGTTATAGAAACTCTTGTTTCCCATACAGGAGCAATTTGATCAAACTTCACACTGCATATGCATCTCCCAATCACCAACATGATGTAAAAGTGGAGTACAGATGCCACTTTGCCACTTGGCCACTTTGTTTAGACAAGAATTAAAACTAATTACACCCAACATTCTCACATGTGCAACAACTTGGTCGATGCTGGTAATAGAAACATGATAACAAATAATGATGACCCCTAAGTCTTACGATGCAACAAACACCGATATCATCAGTTGATGCATCAGAAAGCATTTATTTAAGGGAGATTTCAGACATACCTTCCTGTAGTCAAGCAGTCCTTCAAAAGGTAACTCCAACTCATCACTGACTATAACTGGTATGCATCCACTGACGATTGCATCAAACAGCCTCGCAGAGGATGGTGTGTCACCAGCAGGACACAGACAAAACAACGATCTGATCGAAGATGCAAATGGTTATAAGAAGATATGGGGAAAAATATGTACCACAAGAATGATCACAAAACATCTCAGATTTTACCTGCGCATTCCCTTTTGAGCAGCCAATTTCCCTTCATCTCCAGCAGTTCCCTCTGTAATGATCACATCTTTAGCACCGCTTAACTCTGCACCCAGTTTGGCACGCACCTTCCCTCCCTGCAAAGATAATCATACGACTCAATCAGTGAGACAAAGAATACTTTCTCATCATACAACAAGGTTGAGGATAACTTAGAATGCAACTCAGTTTCCTCGTTTAACAAAGTAATCCTACTAGAATGGGAAAACAAAATTGTTACAGCGTGAAAAAGAAAGATCGCGTGAATGGTATCAACAAAGTGACTCCTAAATTTAAAGCATCAATTCTATCAAACGAAATGGAGTGGACTGTATATAGAGTTTACTCACAGCGTTCCTCTTGAGTCGGCCTCGGAAGAAAAGAAGAGTGGTCCTCTTTGATGAGTTCTCTGACAGGCACTTGGCATCGCAAAGATCCACATTGGGGACATAAGGAAGAATTAGATCTTTCTCCAGTGAAACTTGCCCAGGCTTATACCTACATTGTCAAATACAACAGAAGTCAATAAAGTATAGCTAAAAACAGCATTTTCTATTACTTAGGAACTATGGACGGAAATCTATAATCACCAGTTCCCAGTGGAGTCCATATCTGGCAAAAGCCAGATTGCATTTTTCACAAATTTTCGGACAGACTTGAAAGACCACGGATGGTGAATAGGGAATATGTGATCCCTTCCCTCAGATCTTTTCCATGCCGGTTGGTCAGTGATCCACTTCAAAGCTTCCTACAGTTGGAAAACGGTCAAATATAATGTTAACAGAGAGACCTAAATTCCATCTTCTTCCAACTAGAATGTCAAATATTGATGATGCAAGGTTCACCTGAATCTATAAAGGACAAATAAAAAGCTACTTCTAATGAAACACATTCAGTATATTAGTTGGATGCCCTGAGATCCAGCTTAGGAGTAGTAGTTCATAGTTTAAACGTTGTGGGTAAGAAATTTGATTTCACGCACTAGCTCAACCTAACATTTTCCAGAAGGGCCTTCCAATTGAGGACAACAAACCACAAACAATTGATAATAAGTGACAGGAAAGCAGAAATTGTAGCTTGAAGCTTACTCACACCCTATAGAGTGCTTTGCATTGCTGCTTCTCCAACAAGAAAAAGCTGATTGTAGTGAAAAACGGAACATAGAAAATATCCGCATCCTGCTGCTGATGGACCCTCACAACACTTTTCAAACGCCTTTCAGATTCAGGAGCAATCAGATCAGCCCAGAGCCAGTAATCTATAGAATGCTGCAAATTAGAAATGGGAACTAATCAGGAGCAGTTGAAGAAGATCACAATACGCATACCGAAAGAATACAATGAAAATTTGACAATCAACTACACAATCAATCATTCCAGCTTCCGAATCTCTTTCTCTTTCACATACTAGTTTTAACAAGGAATTTCAATTTCCCAGAATCTCATCAACATTCCTTACCTAAGAACACTAGAGAAAGAGACAGAGAGAGAGGTGATTCAAGCCTACCTGCTCAATTAAGCGATGCACAGGGCTGCCATTAGAGGTGAGATTCGAAGTCTCTTTGTAAGAATTGTGAAACAACCAAAGAAGATCGTAGGTAAACTTCCTCGGCATCTCGTATACGTAAACCTTAACCGGAAACGCCGCGGGATCTTCGTTCAACAACCGATTCTCTCTCTCAAACACCAAATCATCGAACTTCATAGCAAGACGGTCACTCTCGCCACGCACCGTGTCATCTCTAACCGGTGACGAGAGCTTCGACGCATCACCATGTGTCAAAAATTGCTCCAAGGAAACGACGAAGGACCTCTCCGTCCTCGCCGTCTGGACCGAATATGTAACCGAGGGACTTGCGAAGGAAGAGATAACGTAGACGACAATAACCGAGCCGGCGAAGAGAGTGGGAATTAGTAATCTCGAGCTACATCTGCTGGATGAATGACGATTGTGCAGTTTTCCAGGCATTTGAAGATCTCTGAATCTTCGATCCAAAATTGTTCTGTTTATTGCTACAATTTTTAGTTTTAGAGAGCGAAGAAGGAAATGCAATTAAACGACTGCGGTTTGCAATTAAAGTGCGTAAGATAGCAGACAATTACTGTGGATAAGATATGCGGCATAAAAGTGCGCAAGATAGTGATTAATTCAATGTGAGCAAGATAAACAAACACAAAGTTCTTTCACTGCACTGTGTACGCAAGAATTAGCTACTCTCTACGCCTCAATGTATCTCAGATTCACAATTCAACTTTTTAAGCATCTCTTTTCTTTTCCATATATACACAACTGAAGTCAGAGATCCAGAAAGCTAATTTAATTACATAAAATAAAATATGATCATGCTTATTCCCAAAGACCAAACACCAATAGAGTTTTCTCACTTAAAAACAAAGAAACATCTCAGAAGCGAATGAGATCGTCGTTTTTAGACGATTGCTGCTTCTTCGGGTCATTCTCAGTAGCAGCATTGGCATTGGTGGCGTCAGATGAAGAATTACCAAAACCTTTCTTACCAAATATCATCTCATCGAGATCATCCATCATCATGTCATCGCTGCTGCTTCCATGAGTAGTAGCACCACCGGAAGAAGACAACCTGAGCAGCGATTCTTCATCTTTTGCAAGAACGTGAGAGTCAACAGGCTCAGCAGCAACAGGGATCATAGCTGGCTCAGGTGCAGCCAATGGCGCAGAAGGTTTCTTCAACTCGTCATACTTGGACAGCGTCTTCACAAGCTCGTCGTTTACATTCAAGGCTTCGAATAAAACTGCTTCGTTTTCTCCACACGTCTCGATTATCCTCTGCACCGTGGTTTGTGCTCGACGACATTGCTGTACAAGTGTAATTGCCAAGTCATCCTACAAAGAAGAATAACATGAAAATTCAGTATTTACGGATTATATCATAAATTCATAATAATGAAAGAAGAAAAATCATATCTTTAAGAGTTGGGTTTACATGTAAAGCTTCCTGATGAGGTGAAGAGGACAAAACCGTAGAGAGAAGTTCAATGCTGTTCCTCGCAACATCAAAAGCTTCTTTAGTCTCCTCCACTGTGAAGCTCTGTACACGAGGAGCATTATACTGCACATGCTCATTCACATTTTGAGCAGCAACAGTGACAGTGGTGTCCACTTCAGGTATTGAGGAAGACCGAGGAGGTGTGAAAATAGGCGCCAAGCTCTCGTTGTCACATCCAGGGAAGCGAATACCTCTTGACTTTAGGCTCTACAGTATTTAAAACAAAGGCATTAGCAAACGTAGTAGAGAAGAGTGATCAAAAGTGTATAAGAACAACCAAACCTTGTAAGTTTCTTCGAAAACCGGCAAGTATCGAAGCTCGCTGGTGGATTCACCCCAAGCTTCGATCAGTATCAAAGCTTTATTCCGATTGTTGACAACGGTTTGTGGATCATCAATCAGTTTAACCATTTCATCGAGGACTCTTTCGGCAGCAACCTCAGAGAAGGCTTTCTCGCAGTTCTTAACACAAGTCTCAAGCAAGACCAAGGCAAGGTACTGAATCCTAGGCTGCTTCATCGTTATCCTCTTCTTAATCCCACGGATCAAATCGACGCTGTTGATCTTCTCCTGATTGATCATATCGCAAAGTTCCAAGTTCATAGCCCAATCAGGCTCCTCTAGGTTCTCTGAAGTGGCGTCCTCCACTTGCTTATCAGTTGGGTTGGGAGCTTGGAAAAGTTCTTTTACTCTGAAACTCATTGAGCTCACACCAGCACTCACTTTCTTGCTCACCTCAGAACCTCCGATTTTGAGTAGCTCACTGAATGAGCTTACTTTGTCCATTAGATTGTCACTCATCTTCAAAATCTGGAAATACAAAACATAAACACTATCATCAACACCGAAAGTATTCATATATCGAAGGCTCCCCTAATCTCTCTCGACGTCATCAGAATAAATTCAACAAAATCACAAGGCAATCGGATTCGGAGAACCAATTTTTAAATTGAGGAATCAGGTTAGGGTTTTTCGCAGCAAACCAAAATTACAATAACGATCTTCAGAATCGAAATTCATCGAAAAGAGGACGTATATACTTATCATGATCAGCTATAAAACTGTAGCGAGAAGCAGTGAATAACAAGAGAAAAAACCCAGAAGGCGAAGCGACAAATACGGAAATCAAGAGCAGATGATAACTTAAAAGAGAGAAGAAGCTCCAAGAAGAGATACGGCGAAGTTACCTTTCACTACGTCGAAACGAGAAGCTTGATGAACGAAAGCAGAAAGAGGGTTGATCTGGTTGTCAAATAAATATGGCGAATAGAGAAGAAAATCTAGACGAAGTCAATATCGTTGACGTTTGGAAAATAAAAGTAGAGTAAAGTAGGAAACGCGTTAACTAAAGGTGTGTTTGATCGTCAGAATAACTTTATTCCGAGCCAAGTCTCTAGATGGTCTTTCTTTTCTCTTTAAAAAAAAATGAAATATGTATTAGAAATCTTAGAAAAAGAAATTGTAAGACAAAAACTAGGAAATAGGAAAATCTTCCAATATTTTTAATTGGGTGAGAAGATATATATATAATTAAGAAATTTACCAAAATATGGCCAAAAGTCATGGAAAGGCGAATCAGTTATTAAGGACAGAGATATCCTCGGTACCAAACACAAGACTATCGCCCAAATTGAAAACGCTTGAGAGAAGAGGACTGTTTAACTGCTCAGCCGCCGTACATAACCACCTCCGTCGGGAAGATTAAGGTATTACAAATTCTCTTCTCGCTATTCCGATTCACCACGTGTTTATGTCGATTACTCATTCCTTGTAGATATGTGTCAACATGCGACAATGCTTATTAGTTTGTTGTTTTCTGAAAATCCTCTGCTCGGTCTCATGTTTGTTTGAATTAGTTCTCGAGCTATGTTTATGTTTCCGATGAAAGGAAGTAGCTTTATCGACCAGTGGGTCCGATACAGATTTTGGGTTTGGGTTTCCTTAGTTTCTGAGTTTCTATGTTGATTCATTGTCTTGCTTCTAACTATGCGAGCTGCATATAGTTTCAGAGTCTATTTTTCTTACTCTCATAAGCACTGAGTTTCAGCTGTTTGTTTTCCACATTGATTCAACTTCAATTGAGTTAATGAAAGCTTTGGTCTTGTGTTTTTTCATTCAAGGATGATGGATTTGATGTGGATCACGTGGCTGCCCTTAGTTCTTGGAGCCGCAATTGGATATTATATCAGCTTTCTGCGAGAATCTCGCCGCGTCTTTGTTGCTTCTAAATCTGTCGCCGATTCCACTGCAAATAAGAAGTCTAAGACCAAGGAACCCCTAGAGATTGAGAAACTCACTGATTTCCGCAGAAAATTCAAAATGGTTTTCTAGGCTTACACTTAATCACTTCTCTCTGTATTGTACCGGGACACACAATGACTTGATATGAAATTGCTTCATTTTGCTGTTGTTTGTGTAGGTTTTGGTAGTGAGGAATGATCTTAAGATGGGTAAAGGGAAAATTGCAGCTCAATGCAGGTGATTTGTCTACTCTTTAACGTTTTTCTGAATTAATTTCTTAAACTGTGTTAAATGATTCAAATTTTTTGGTTTGCATTATGTAGTCATGCAACTTTAGGATTATACAAAAAACTCCTTCGACGGGCGCCAAAAGCCTTGAACAGGTACATTACACTACACCATGTCATAGTCTAGAGACTATAGACACTCAAAATCATTTGTTTTTGTTTTTCTCTTCCTACAAAAAGTTGATTACTATTGCAGATGGGAAAATTGTGCGCAGCCAAAAGTTGTTGTCAAAATAGAGAGTGAGGAAGAGATGCTAGTTTTGCAAGTAAGTTTACTAAACATGTCTTATTGGTGAAGAACTTTTCTTGCCCTTTGCAAGATTGCAGATTGATGTTACTTCTTGAAACTTGTGTTTTAAGTTACAAAATAGAAGAACAGTTTCTAAGATCTTATGTTGACTGTTTAGATGATTCCAACTTCAGAGTCTTAACAGTGTTATTGATATCTCAACAGGGAAAAGCAAAGTCCCTTAAACTGCCAACACATATCACCATTGATGCTGGAAAAACACAGATTGCTCCTGGTGAGTTCCATAGTTACTGTCATTTGAAATTTAAGCCGCTTTCAAACTTCAAATTTTACTTAAACAAAATAAGAATCTAATGCATGTAACTTGTAATGTTCTTTTTCCCAGATTCAAGGACAGTAATGGCTATTCTTGGTAAGTTATTACCTCATCTGTGATCTTTCCATGTGTTTGAAAGACTATTTTTATAGAAAAAAACAATGGAGAAGAAGAGATGAGTTATATAGTAGCCATATATTAATAAAACGGTTACTTGTGCAGGACCGGTCGATGTTGTCGATGATGTAACAGGTGGACTAAAGCTGATGTAACCATGGATTCAACACTACACACTCTTGCAGAAATTAAGAACATGTTAATTGGGAACCTTTTTCAAGTTAGTTACTCGATTTAAATGGATTTGTACAATTGTCTTACTAGAAAGATCATATGACAATATTTGCTGTATATCTCAAACTTAAGAAGATAAGAGTCAGTTTTGAATCTTTCATTTGTTTTGCCTATTGAGAGTATTTTAAGTCACTTGTTTTTGCCCTAATGATAGAAACCAGCACAGATAGCTTTCTCTCCAAGCTATTACATTTTCTTTGAAGAATACATGAAACAGTAAACAATACATTTATTTTTTTTTTGTTCATGGAATCAAATCTACTACACACATATACTTTCAAAATCAAGAATATGAAAAATGCTTAAAGTGAGTCTTTTCAGAAACAAAGAAATATCCAGATGAAGCAGAAAATTCAAACTATATGTATGTACCTTTTTTTTTCTTCTTCAATCTTCATCCCCAAGCATTGTCAAATGCAGCTGAAGTAATCGCCTGAACAAACTCTTGGAAATCGATACAACCGTCACCGTCTCGATCTGCTTCCTTGATCATCCCCGTTAACTCCTCCGCCGTCAACGCGTGACCTAGCTTCGCCATCGAGTGCGCTAACTCAGCCGCCGTTATGTAGCCGTTCCCGTCGCGATCGAACATTTTGAAGATCGCTTTGAGCTGCTCATCCGTGTACGGACACTTGACAAGATCTGGTTCGACGAGGGCGACGAACTCGGAGAACTCGATCATTCCGTTGTTGTTCCGATCTGCTTTCTGGAGCAGAGTGTCGAGTTGGTCTTGACTCGGCTTTAGACCGAGAGATCTGAGAAGCGAGGCTAACTCGAGCTCCGTCAAACTTCCATCCTTGTTCTGGTCAAATGATCGGAAAATCTCCCGGAGCTCTGCTAATTGCTCATCGCCTAGTTTCGTCGGCGCCGGCGCAGGTTTGTCTCCGTCACCACTCATCTTTATCCTTTAAGTAGCCGAATGTTGGATCTGATTTTGAATTCCGGTCAAGCTTTGATTTCGATGAACAACATTTTTGTCTTTTAGATTGATTTGTTTCTTTCTTGACAAGTCAATGACAGGTATGGGAACGACTAAGATTGTTGATTAGCAGAGGAATTATTTTAATTATTTAAAATTCAAATAAATATGATTTCAGATTTTATTTTATTTTTCAAAAATATATAGCCTACCTATAACTGTAAATATAATAATTTTAAACAACTATTTGGTCATTTTCATTGCTACAACTATTTGTAGCAATTCCTATTATATAATCTATAAAATGAAAACATATACTCTACCTTTTAAAAATGAAAACAAAAATAATATATACTTAATTGCAACAATGGCATAATCTGAAGATTTTAAGTAGCATATGATCTACACAAGACACTATCATCACTCTCATGCATTAATGATTTCTTGACTTGAAATGGCAGTAGATCTCAACATCCAAATCTTCATGCCCTATAAATATACTAATATATGCTAAATCATTTGCCCAATATTGTTTGTCTACGCCAATTCAATTGAAATATATGGAGAGTCAAGAGGGAATAGGAGATGCTCCGAGATGGGAGGATATGAATAAAGATATACTTTCCAACATTTTCAAAAAGCTCAGCGTAGTTGACGTTATAATGGGAGCATCACGAGTGTGCATAAATTGGTTCCTTGCCTCTCACAACAAAACTATATGGAGCACCATCAAACTCAACGATCTTGATTCGATCCTCTTGGATAACCACTATGTGCCACATATGCAGGATAATGATAGGGAGAAACATCGATACCACCTTAGGAAGATCTTGATTGAGATAAACAAATTTGGCCCTATTGTCCCGACAAACTTTTTCTTTAACGTATATAGCTATCTAGTAGAAGAGGATCTTGCGATCATTTCAAATGGGTACGTAAAAACTATCTCCATTCTTACATTTTATTTAGCGGATTGAGCTCTATGTGGAAAGAAAATCGTATAATCTCTTTTTTTTCTTTTTTTTTCTTAAAGTATCCCAAACATCCGAAAACTTGCGTTACCGATGTGGAAAACTCTAAATCTGAATTCAATTCAGGAAGCCTTTAGCAAATGGAAGAATCTCCAAACGTTGACTATGGCCCCACTTATATCGCTAGGTGACACATTGAGCCTTGAGCTTCAAGCCATTGGAGACAACTGTAGATATCTTACCAACATAAAATTCCTATATCGGTTGGACAAAGACTTAGCCAGTATGATTGTTTGTAACTTTCCAAGCCTGGAGCGACTGAGCTTTCGATCCTCTTATGCATGTGTAGATGCAGCAATATCGCTCATCAACGGCCTCCCAAACCTCAAAATATTTAATCTTTCACATTGTATTTTCACGCAATCCAACAAGATCCGGAACAAGATCGACGATAATCGTGTTTCCGTACAACCGAACGGGGTCGTCGGCAAGACGTTTAGGGTATTAGGCATGAAACCTGAAGAGGAACTTGTACAAACCGGCACTAAAAAGCTTGTCAGATTTATGGTATGTGCTTCGGACTGCACAATTTGTCAAGATGTGTGGGAACATTTTGGACTGTATAATCCTGACCGTCAAACGCTAGAGTCACGCTACTTTCGAGAGGAACAATGGAAAACCGATGAGATAAAAGAATTTGAGTTTTAAACTTTAGAACAAATGTTTTTCTTTTTCTAATAAAGAGTTGGTTAAAATGACAACCAGCTTTTAGAAAAATATATTGTAACGTTATGAACTTTTTATGAAACTATATTATATAACATTAATCATTATTATGAAATATTTGTTTGAAGATGTAGTACTGTAACCAAGGTCTTGTGGCCCAGTGGTAAAGGGGTCACTGCTGTGACTTCCGCCATTTGGGTTCGAGTCCCCTTGGCCACCTGGGCTGCCTTAAATGGTAAGAATACGCGGATTGCCGTGGGCCTCGTGGGATTAGTCTTTGGGCCTATAAAGCCTTTAGGATCCCCACGGTTATCAAAAAAAAAAAAAAAAAAAAAAAAAAAAAAGATGTAGTACTGTAGTAGTATCGAACAAGACCGATGATTCTCTCCAAAGTAAATAGTATAATTTAAAAATCACAAGGCGATATATCTCTTACTTTTATTACACATTGACAAGAATCAGAGTAATACCAGTTTGATACAGAATACATACATTACATTACTCCTTTGGTGATTTGATTATATTTGGGAAATTGCAGTAAAAGCGGAAGTAAAAATGGAAAACTGAAGAATAAAAGCAATCCATTTTACAATAAGATATACACTACAATGAACTGATATGGACCTGGCTTTAAGCTCTGTTTTTTGAAAGATCCTGGTTTTTGGTTTTTAAAGATCCAGTGATGAAACGTAAAACCTAATTTTTAGATCTTGAATTGGGATTTTTTAATCAAAAATCGTGATGAAAAACATGTTGTTTCTTAGTTTATCAGAACGCTACGTTTAGATAAACTGTATCCGTTCCATTTTAACGAGAAAACAGACAGAGAGGTCTTGACATTGAAATATTTAAACACGAGGGGTTTTATCATTAACTTAATAATTGAGGGGTTTTTATCCAATCCATTTTTAGTTGAGGGGTTTTCTTGCTATAAGTGTGGCTAGCTCTTGTAGTCTTGTTTTTTTTGTTTTAGTCTTGTACTCTTGTTGTTGTGATGTTACATTAGGTACGGAAAATATCTTTGAGCGCGATGGCAACTAGTACATAATAATTCTATTTGTTAATTCTGAATTTTGTGGATACAAGTTATCATCTGGTATTCTGGTAGGTATTGGGTTTCGATTTTTAGAAAATCAAGAGTCTATATGGGGTGGGGTCTTAGCTGTTTCCCTTTCTTTTCTTTTTTGGTGAGGCTTTGATGGGAATGTTACAAAAGAAGCGATATGACCGAGACTTTGGGTGGATTACAATTACAAAAGTCAGTTAGAGGATATATATAGTAAGTTACTATGCTCACATATTATATACATACACATCAGTTTTTAATGGACCCGATAATTATTACACGTAACAAACGTATCAGAGCAGTTATGTGGATCCACATGTCACAAAAATGTGGAGTTATTAGTCATATGATCGAGTGTTTCTTTTCCAATGTTAACCTTAACGAACAAAAAAACAAATCAATATTAATTTGTCCTAAGCAAATATTTTCAGCAAGATAAATTGTATCGTTGAATAATTGTTAACACCGTCAGCAATATTGTTAAGAACGTGACTCCCATTTTCTGACCGTACGACGACGTTTGATAGGGTCCACAATAAACTAATATTGTGATGATCATGCAATTTGCAGATGGGTCAACCTATTTTGTTCCAAAACAGCAGAAAATCTTATACAATTTTTAAATTATTCAAAGCCAAAACTCTTTACGCAGAAAAGAAGAAGAAGAAGCATTTTAGTTTACACTTTAAAGATGGTTGGATAGTAATCTTTTACTTTTAACACTTATTAAAAATTAAGTTTTTTTTTTAAACGGTTTAATCGTAAGAACAAAATTCTGGAAGTTTTAAAATTCGTATAATATTATAACTATGGTTCTTATAACAATGTAGTTAAAAAACTATATAACCGTGTCATTTATCACGTAAGTCTTTGATTAATTTGTATATATAAAAAAAGAAACGTAGGCTTTATTTTGATACTAATTAAAACCATGTCTTATTATCTGGACGTAGATAGTTTGTGTCAATGTCATGACTCAAAAGTCGTAATTATCTACTTCAGTCTCTGAATTTTGGCTTAAGTTCCACTTTCCCGATTGTACTCAGATCTTTGGGATTTTGAACAATTGCAATATCAAAAGTTCAGCCGATTTGGTTTCTGGAAAGATAATATGAAAAACAAATCAAACAACCATTTCCAATTGAATGTTTTGCTTATGGGTTTTCTCAGATGATACAAGAAGCGGAGAATTTGGAATGAGGTGAAGAGATATCTCTTTGATTCAACGATTCTCTGTAAAATTGGAACTTGATTGATTTTTCTGCTCAAATCGAAGAGTTCATATATATTAAAATCGAAGAAAATATAAAAGATCTAAATAAAAATGTAACGAGACATCCAGAGTATATAAGAATTATCAATTATTAATAAATTATACTTCATAATTATTTATATATATATATATATATATATATATATATATATTCTTTATGACACTTACCAAAAAAAAAATATATTCTTTATGATTACGTAAAGATAAGATTACTCGAGCTTTCACTGGTAGAAATCAATTCGTCTTTTCAAGAATTACGTAGATGCTTCCTTTTTCGAGCTCGTCTGTATCAAAGATTGGCACATTGACCTCGATCGGCTTTAGCACTTCGGTTGGGAGAGTTACTGGACCAGTGCCAACCTCTTGTGTCGGCGGATTGTTCATCAGCTCAATCTGCATCGGTGGCGGCTTGTACATCTCCAGGGAAAGGATGAGTTTAGAGATAGAGGAATGGTGGTGGAATGTGAAAGACTCATCAAAGATGGCGTCACCAGAACCAAAATCGGCTATCACCCAATTTGTTTCTTGTCTCGTCATCTCTAAGTTCTCCCGCCAGACGCGAACACGGTAGCAGCCTGTAAGCCCTTCGCCGGAGGATGGAGTGAACGAGTGGACGCGAACCTCATACGTGTGATCACAACTCACCATTGGCATCATCTCCAGCTCTGGCCTTACCACTTTCGGAACTTTGTTTTTTTTGTTTTTCATCGACTCAAGAATATTATTAATCATTTTGGTATTTTCTCTCTCTAAATGACTTTGATTATGAATGATTTCATCTTAACTGAAGTTCCCTATTTATAGTCGTCTGATAATTTTTGTTTATTTTTCTTTCAGGACCCTATACTAATTTGTACTTGACTGGATTGAGTTAAATCTGAATAGACTGGTTTTTCGATCCATTTGCTCTTAGTTATAATTATTCAAAAGATTGGTTCAACTATATTTTGGTTAAATTATGAATCAACCAAGCATATATACCACTATTGTGTTATATATATTGGTTATGTAATATGCACCGACTAATACATACATCAACACTTTCAAATTCATTATTTTGCTTGTTTTTCTTATATATTAAAATTGTTTAGATATTTCAACTTTAATTTGCTTCATTTATCCCTGTCTATTCAGGTTGTAATAAGCTGTACTTGACTAAATTTAGCTACATTTGGATGGACTGATTTCCAAGATCTGTTGACTCATTTTTTTTTATAATAATTCAAACTGTTCGTTTAACTATATTTTGGTTATAATGTATGAATCAACCAAATATGCCACTAGTGTGTGTGTGTGTGTGTGTGTGTAGACGCTAAAACATGAAACTACATCGAGAATTTAGCATATGTAAATATTATAATTATAGAACTTGCTCATTAAGCTTTAGAGATTTTAACAGAGGAGGAGGATATAAAAAGGCTCTTTTTTATTTGCTTTATCGTATTCACAAAATTCAAACTAACCTTTTTTGGCAGGCTTACGAGGCCGTTGAGTACGATATATATGACTCGGTAAGATTAATTCGTTACTATATTTACACACAAGAACATGGCTACAATTAATTGTGAACAAAAGAGGTATACGCGCAATACAATTTCTTGCAACAATAAACTTATGGCACATTTCAGATTTCACACAGTGCAATACACCACATGTCATTTTCATTTAACCGTGTACCATACGTATATTTAGCCGAAAAATATATAAATTGTACCATCCTAAACAAAAATACCCAAAGCATCACACACTCAAAACAAAAACAAAAACAAAAACAAAAACTGCGAAGCCGTAATTAAAAAAACTTGTTAATCGTATAAAATAACTTGTTACTACTTACTACGCAAAATCTAGTAACATGAAATCGGTACTATATTTTGGTTATAAAATATGAATCAACCAAGCATACCACTAGTGTGTGTATAGGCACTAAAACATGAAAATACATCGAGAATTTAGCATATGTTATTATAGAACTAGTTCATTAAGCTTTAGAGATTTTGACAGAGGAGGATATAAGAAGGCTCTTTTTTATTTGCTTTATCGTATTCACAAAATTCAAACTAACCTATTTTGGCAGGCTTACGAGGCCGTTGAGTACGATATGACTCGGTAATATTAATTTGTTACTATATTTACACACAAGAACATTGCTACGATTAATTGTGAACAAAAGAAGTAATACGCGTAAAAGAAGTATACACGCAATTCAATTTTCTTGCATCAATAAACTTATGTCACATTTCAAATTTCACACAGTGCAATAACACTACATGTCATTTTCTTTTAACCGTGTACCATACGTATGTTTAGCCAAAAAATATATAAGTTGTACCATCCTAAAACAAATATTCCCAAAGCATCACACACATTCAAAACAAAAACTGCGAAGCAGTAATCAAAAGAAAAAAAAAACCAAGTTAACAAATATGTAATTTGGTTTAAACAAAGTGTGATATTATGTAAAGTAGCGTTAATCGTATAAAATAACTTGTTACTACTTACTACGCAAAATCTAGTAATATGAAATCGGTACTATATATAAAAACAAGGGAAACAAATGTGTAGACGGATAAAATAATCGCTGTTTTTTTTGTTAAGTAAATGCAATGATTATTTATGGTCAATTAAATCGGTGGAGCAAATCTGCTTGCTAACACTAAAAACGTGGACCACCTGGCACGTACGGTAACAAGGACTCAAAAGTGTTGCTCTTGTTGTTGTGAAGTCATGTACGGAGAATCCAACTGACGTAAAAGCTTTGACGGCAACTAATACATAAAAATGTACCAGTGTGCAGAGTCTATGCTTCTGCATCAAACTTTTTACGCCCTTCTCCAAAAAAGAAAAAAGAAATAGACCAAAATAAACCTTGTATGTGTTTGTTTTTGAGTTATATTAACTGCCTTTTGGGCTTTTAGGTTTGGGTCCAAAACAAATGTTAAGAGTCTATTCGGGGTGGGGCCTAAGCTTTTCATTCATTGCTGGGGTTTATGAGAAGGTTACCGAGAAATCGATAGCCCTATAACTCTTAGATAACTTGATCTTAGCAAAAAAAGAAAGAAAAAGGAAGGTATCTTTTACAAGGATAAAACTAAAATCATAAATTATATCTTAAAGAAAATATGAGTTGTAGCAATTCCTATTATATAATCTCTAAAATGAAAACATATACTCCATCTTTTAAAAATGAAAACAAAAATAATAAATATTTAATTGCAACAATGGCATAATCTGAAGATTTTAAGTAGCATATCTACACACGACACTATCATCAGTCTCATGCATTAATGATTTCTTGACTTGAAATGGCAGTAGATCTCAACATCCAAAGCTTCATGCCCTATAAATATACTAATATATGCTAAATCATTTGCCCAATATTGTTTGTCTACGCCAATTCAATTGAAATATATGGAGAGTCAAGAGGGATTAGGAGATGCTCCGAGATGGGAGGATATGAATAAAGATATACTTTCCAACATTTTCAAAAAGCTCAGCGTAGTTGACGTTATAATGGGAGCATCACGAGTGTGCATAAATTGGTTCCTTGCCTCTCACAACAAAACTATATGGAGCACCATCAAACTCAACGATCTTGATTCGATCCTCTTTGATAACCACTATGCGCCACATATGCAGGATAATGAAAGGGAGAAACATCGATACCACCTTAGGAAGATCTTGATTGAGATAAACAAATTTGGCCCTATTGTCCCGACAAACTTTTTCTTTAACGTATACAGCTATTTAGTAGAAGAGGATCTCGCGATCATTTCTAATGGGTACGTATAACTATCTCCATTCTTACATTTTATCTAACGGATTGAGAGTTCTATGTGGAATGAAAGTCGTATAATATCTTCTTCTCCTTCTTTTTTTTTTTTTTGAAGTATGCCAAACATCCGAAAACTTGCGTTACCAATGTGGAAAACTCTAAATCTGAATTCAATTCAGGAAGCCTTTAGTAAATGGAAGAATCTCCAAACGTTGACTATTGCCCCACTTATATCGCTAGGTGACACCTTGAGCCTTGAGCTTCAAGCCATTGGAGACAACTGTAGAAATCTTACCAACATAAAATTCCTATATCGGTTGGACAAAGACTTGGCCAGTATGATTGTTTGTAGCTTTCCAAGCCTGGAGCGACTGAGCTTTCGATGCTCTTATGCATGTGTAGATGCAGCAATATCGCTCATCAACGGCCTCCCAAACCTCAAAATATTTAATCTTTCACATTGTATTTTCACGCAACCGAACAAGATCCGGAACAAGATCGACGATAATCGTGTTTCCGTACAACCGAACGGGGTCGTCGGCAAGACGTTTAGGGTATTAGGCATGAAACCTGAAGAGGAACTTGTACAAACCGGCACTAAAAAGCTTGTCAGATTTATGGTATGTGCTTCGGACTGCACAATTTGTCAGGATGTGTGGGAACATTTTGGACTGTATAATCCTGACCGTCAAACGCTAGAGTTACGCTACTTTCGAGAGGAACAATGGAAAACCGATGAGATAAAAGAATTTGAGTTTTAAACTTTAGAACAAATGTTTTTCTTTTTCTAATAAAGAGTTGGTTAAAATGACAACCAGCTTTTAGAAAAATATATTGTAAGCGTTATGAACTTTTTATGAAAATATATTATATAACATTAATCATTATTATGAAATATTTGTTTGAAGATGTAGTACTGTAGTAGTATCGAACAAGACCGATGATTCTCTCCAAAGTAAATAGTATAATTCAAAAATCACAAGGCGATATATCTCTTACTTTTATTACACATTGACAAGAATCAGAGTAACACCAGTTTGATACAGAATACATACATTACATTACTCCTTTGGTCATTCATTCATTATCCTTCATATCTTAACCCACATCTGCGAGCACAAACCGTGTTTTTGCATAAAGATTAATAGAAGTGTGTGGATATATAATAAGTTTAATAACATCAATTAAAGAGAAAGATGGATCACCTCATTTTCTCAAGGCGTCTGATGTGAGAAGTCCCATCTGCTCAGTAAGATTGTTCATTTGTTGATTGTTGCTCAACACATTCCTCAGGTTGAGTTGCTCCATTATCAGTTCATTTTCCACTGATCCTGAGATTAGCTCATCAGTGTCACCAATCACCGGGCTCTCCCCAAAGAACTGTTCCCACAAAGAATCTTGATCTTGCACCCCAGGAAGCAACTCATTTATTATCCCACCGGCTTCTAGTTCCACTGACCCATCCAAAACAGCCATTATTGGATCCAGACACTCTCCGTTATCCGTCTCGCACCCAACTATATCCGAACCTGGACTCTCAGAAGCTGCTGCTGCTCCTCCTTGCTTTGGAAGTAACAGATCAACTTGAGGATAAGCCAAATTTGTCTCCAGGACTTGACTTGGTTGATAAGGGTCGTGATATGAGTGTACAGGATTGGATGAAACATCTGCCAATGTAACTCCACATGCTCCATTCGAGGAGCTCCCATTGTCTGAAAGGTTAGGGTTTGGAACATCACCCAAAAGAAAGCTACCATGATTGTTGTTGGAGAAGGATTCATGCCGGCCTTGTGAGTTACTCATATTCTCTATCTGTTGGAGCATAGTGTTTGCGGCGTCGTTCATCGATGACTGATATCTCACAATCTGGCGGCTAAGACCATTAACCCCATGACTCCCAGAATTCCTCTGGTCCTCAACAGGCAGCCTCCTCTTCTTGTTGCTCTCAGAGATGTTCTGGTTTCCTCCTTCATTACTCTGCTGCGAGAACTGGTTTAAGAAGCCTGGACTCTGGACAGCCTTTGCTAGAAACGACATCATTTGCTGCTGCCTCTGCTCCATCACATGAACTTTCTGCCCCACGTTTTGCAGATGGTGTTCGGTAACCTGTTGCTGCTGCCTTAGCCTTACGAGTTCTTGCATGAGGACGTTCTTATCCCGCTGGAGTCTCTCCACTTCTTCTTCGAGTCCAAACTTGCCCACTTCAACGCACGCACCAACAGAGGAGTGCTGCACCTGAGGTTGTTGAGGAGGCTGCACTTGAGAAGGTTTTCGCCTGACGATACTCTTTAGTATGTGTTTTTGGCCTCTCAAAAATCCCTCATTTGCAAATTCCCAGCGATCTGGATCAACTTTTCTGAATCCCTGAGGAAAAAGATGCATGAAGAATGGAACAGTCATCAACCACAAGAAGTGAAGTTACTTGGATTCCATTAGCAGAGAAGAGAGAGATATAAACATAAAGACCATTTAAATACTTCAAAAACTACTAATCTGGAGTCTAACTGCAGGACCAAACTACCATATGGTTTTCAAAGAAACTAATAGTTCTTAGTGTGTCAGCATGTACCTGGACGGACAAATACAAACGAATGGAAAGCTAAGGAGGGACAACTGATAGAAATTTTGTTTTGTGACAGAAATGCAACTGCTGAGGCAACCAAATCTTCAGACACATATGAGCAACATGTCCAAACAAGCCTGCAAAGTTCGTGGAACCTTTTGGTAAGTTAGAAACATGAAAGTAAACTATGTAAGAGTATTCGCTTCATTGGTTTTGTTTGACCTAAGAAAATCAATATGGAAAACAAAGATGCAGCTCTGACACTTAGAAAACAAATAAGAATATGTGTGTCTGCACTCTAACGCAGTATACATGTTCAACAATACTAGCGAAGGAGATCTGCAAAACAAGGATAATAATACAAATATGTAAAATATGGATCCACTCCTTGAAAAGGACACAATTAGTGAAACTAAATGAAACATAACAAAACCAACTAATGAGACAAAACATAAAGCTGCATAGAATCGAAAACTATTTAGGAAAATGAAATCAGAAATATTCCAAACACACTCATATGAGTTGACTTTTCAAACTCTTTTCTTGAGCTCTCTCATCCCAAATCCTTTGTAAGAAAGCTAAGAATAACATCGCTCACACTTACTAACCCAAGAGAAGAGACTACAAATCCTTGAAACACTAGTTTTTCTGTTTTATTCGTAATCTAAGAAAAATTCTGAATGAAGCACACATAGACACTAGTTACTCGTTTATATACCAAACTTCAACCAAAACAAGAGGAAAATTGTACCAAACTTCAACCAAAACAAGAGAGAAAATGAAGCACAAAAAGCAAGATTCACCTAAATCGAATAATAAAAATTAAAAAAGAATCGATGGATGCTCACATAAGTATTGAGCTGCCTAACAAAGCTGGAGAAGTTGTTGTGCTTGAAGTACTTGGGAAGAAACTGTTTGGCGAACTCAGGCACGTTCCAGACGACGAAGCTGTTGTTCCCGCTGCTCCAAGACACCACGTCGTTGGTCGATGGATCGTCAACCATGTCGTAGGTTTTGCTCAGAAACGGCGGAATAGAGCTCATCGCCGTCGTAGAGTTCGCCGTCGGTGCAGATTCGCTAATCGATCCCATTTTCTATCCCAAAAGTTAAAATCAAAAATCTACTCACTGAACCAGGTAAAACTGATTTGATCGATTCCGAGATCGCTACTTCGTTCTTGGCAACTGAAAAATCGCAGCGAGAAATTCAAAGATCTTTCTCTTAACGAGGAGGAGAAGAAAGAAGTTTTACACTTTTATTTTAGTCTGCAAAAAGCTTTTCCTCTGCTTCTTTTATTTATACTGTTATTTCTTATTCCAGAAAGCGGTGGAGTTTCGGAGGAGTACGATAACGTGTCGCTACCTCTACCGTCGATCTGATATTCTCTTTACCGTCCGATGTTTTTATTTTAGTAAATTATCTAATTTAAGATAAGAAATACCACGTGGGCCACTGACAAACGTACTTGGCCTTTTTAATTCACAAACGCACCTGGTCTTTTTTCTTAAGAACGTATCTGGCCCTTTGCTTTTTCATACGTGGCACACTCGACTCACGTTGAATTATTGGAATCCGTGGTCGCAGTTTTTATTCGCGTTTTTTTCCTTATGCGTTTCGCGTTTTGCTCTGCTACTTGCTGTCCTTGCCGCCGTGCAAGGCGGCCAATACTAAAATTTTAAAATATTTATATAACCACAAATAAATATCAACTCCAATTCTTTGAATAAAATTCCAAACAAAGAGTTTAAGTACTCTGACTTGAGAAATCGCACCGCAACATTGTATTGGTCTGATTAAAATGAATGATAAATCAAGAAAGTTGTTGTTCATCGTTTATCGATTTATGGATTTACTCCAATATCATTATCCTTTGATTGAGCAAATGACTTTTTCTTTTAATGTTTAATCTTTGGTCTTTCATTTGAATTTTTTGTTGGATAGAAAGAACTATGTTCTTCAAAACTCAACATCGATGTTCAACAAAGACACTACAACTATGTAAGGGTGGAGTGGAGACTACCATACACATATTGAGAGACTGTCCGGCAATGGAAGGCATCTGGAGACGTATTATACCCGCAAGACAGAGGCAGGAATTCTTCAGGTCTTCTTTGTTGAGTTGGTTATACAATAATCTGGGTTCTGACGTTGGTTTCGGAGACTACAAATGGGCTACGTGCTTCGCAATGGCAGTTTGATGGGGTTGGAAATGGAGATGTGGAAACGTTTTCGGAACCAACGGGAAGTGCAGGGATCGAGTGAAGTTCATCAAAGACAAAGCAAAGGAAGTGGCTGCAGCTCATGTCAAAGGCGCCGGAGATGGGATGCGGAGACAGAGAGTGGAGCGCCATATAGCTTGGAAACCACCGATGCAAGACTGGTGGAAAATTAACACTGATGGAGCGTCACGAGGCAACCCGGGATTAGCGACTGCAGGGGGTGTGCTGCGTGATAAAAGTGGGAGTTGGATATGTGGTTTCGCGCTGAACATAGGCATTTGTTCCGCGCCATTAGCAGAGTTATGGGGAGTATACTATGGGTTGCTTATGGCTTGGGAGAATAGAGTCCCGAGACTGATAGTAGAGGTTGATTCGGAGATTGTGGTGAAGATCCTGCACTCAGGGATTAGTGATGTTCACCCTCTCTCCTTCCTAGCACGGTTGTGCTATGGCTTCTTCACTAGAGACTGGCTAGTTCGGATCATGCACACTTACAGAGAGGCGAATCGAGTTGCCGACGGGCTCGCGAATCATGCCTTCTCTCTATCTTCAGGTTTTCATTTATTCACTTCACCACCCGCTCATATCTCAGTGTTGTTGTTAGAGGACGTTAATGGTTCTTTACGAACTCGGATTGTAAACGATTAGTATGGTTTTTGCTTAATAAAAGGGGGCGTTTTGTCCCCTCTCAGTTACCAAAAAAAAAACAAAGACACTACAACTAAGTTGATACTTTATAGACACAGAAATAAAGAGATTAATATGGGTCCAAAATAGGTTTTTTTCCATTTTTGTTGGACCTGATCTTAAAATTGTCTACTATCGATTCAGAATGTTTCATTACAAAAAGTACATAAGTACGCACGTGATTGTCTGTGGCAAAACACGTGAGCCAAGATGCTTCGCTTCAATCGAGAAGGTCCCAAGAGGTAAAGGAGAGGGTAAAGTAAGCACCTTTTGTTTCCCTTCGCTCGAAACTCGAAACTCGTTCCTTGATTCTTTCTCGCGAAGCAAATTCAGATTAGCCAATCAGAACTCAACCCTTCACAGATCCAGATTCGCTAAATCTACCCGGATCCGATTAGGTCAACGGGTCGGATCCTGTGATCTGGCACTTGGAAATGGGAAAGTGTTGGAGGTTTGTCGTGTGAACAATGTCGCGTTTCTCTCGAAGATTCATCAATGGAGGATCCAGGAATCTCTCTTCGCCCAAGTATTTACTACAGACCGATAAACCCTACTGATCTAGATCGTTTGGAGCAAATCCATCGCGACATCTTCCCCATCAAGTACGCATCGCATCGACTTCCTTTTTTGGGTGGTTTTATATTTTGGAGATTCAATTTTCCTTCCTTTTTTGTGTCTTGTAATGATAAAGCATTGATCTTTGATTAATATATATCAGGTATGAGTCTGAGTTTTTTCAGAGTGCGGTGAACGGAATTGGTATCGTCTCATGGGCAGCTGTTGATCGGAGCCGGCCTGATGGTCATTCTGATGCACTTATTGGTTTTGTTACTGCCAAATTCGTGCTTGCCAAAGACAGCGAGGTTAGTTTTTTTTTCCCTTTTTCCTTTTGTGTAACGTAATTGTGTACTACAAGTTACGAGCTTGCAAGGTCCTGTAAAGTTTAGATCTTGGATGGTGAGATAGTTCATAATTTGTTTGGAGTTCATAATCATTTTAGATTTCTCTTTGTTCTGTAAAGCTTTTGGACTATTGAACAGAAAGGTTGTGATTACAAGCAATGATCTTGCAAGGCTTTGCAAAGTTTAGATCATGAATGTTGAAATGGTTCATAATGTTTACGGTCTTAGGTTTGTATTTTCTTATGTCTATCTTCATCAGCTGGCAGATGGTTTCTGTGTCTTGCACAGATAGATGATCTTATACGTTACGATTCCTTGAAAGAAGAAGAGACTTTGATCTACATCTTGACACTCGGAGTTGTAGAAACATACAGAAACCATGGAATCGGTATGACTCTCGAAATATATTAAACTCGTTCCATCGCTTAATTGGTCTATAATCTCTGACGTTTCTGCAAAATTTTCAGCAATGTCACTTATAAGCGAGGTGATCAAATATGCATCTGGTTTATCAATGTGCAGAGGAGTTTACCTCCATGTGATTGCACACAACAATCCTGCAATATGTTTGTACAAAAGATTGATGTTCAGATGCGTGCGGAGACTAAACGGATTCTATCTAATCAAACGACAGCATTTTGATGCCTTCTTGTTTGTCTACTTCCTCAACGGTTCTCGATCTCCTTGCTCACCCTTGTAAGTTTACACACACAAACACAAGTCAGCATTTTGGTAATTGCAATGCTCATAGTTAGATAATACAATGGTTTGAAACAATCTTGGAAATGGGTTTTAAAATTTAAACCATTTAGGGCATTTTGCAGAGAGGTTGCAATGTCTGTTGTGAATTATATGAAGAGTGGAATCAAGACTGTGGCGTCTAAGCTAGCGAAGAAGGAGGAGAACGGCTTGAAATGGCTGATTTGCAAAGACACAGATTGCGTCTTGCCCACGCAAACCAAACCTAACCTCGGATCATCATCCGGTTATGATTTCATATAATTCAAACTATAATCTTCGATTCATTTGACTTCTGTTGTGTAATAAAAGGTACATTGCCCGAAAAATGTAAATTGTCACCGTTATTGTCGCATTCAACTCCGGTTCTGAGAACCGTTTGACCCAACTGTAACCAAATGTTCGGTTCAAAAATGTTTCGGTTTGGAAGAAATGGAATTCAGCAAATTTTTCGGTTCAGTTTCTGTTGACTTCGATTAGGTAAAAGAAATTTAAATCAGTTTTCATCATTTGTGGTTTAGTTTTAGCTTCGAGTTAAAATATCAGTTTGAATTTTGTTCGGTCTGGTTTTATATGCTCATCATCATCATTACGTGTTGATAGAGTGTGTTGAAAGTTGATAGAGTTTTTCACCACCCGTCTTAAAATAGTCAGCTTTGTTGAAAATAGCTCTTTTGCTTCATTGGCGATTATCCAGAAAAAAAAAAACCACCTTTTGATGTCAAAAAATAGCTTAAAGAATAAATTTATTTACTTCCCCAAAAAAAGAACTCCTCCGAGGCCAAAAGAAAAGAGAAAGATTGAAACGCGGTGGCAATGGCGTCTTCTTCCTCCTCCTTATCCGTCATTACCTTCCTCCTCCTCGTGCCTCTCTGTTTTTCACGTGAGTCACCTTCGCAACTCCCAAACGGAACCTTAGACCTCTCCTTACTCTGGTACGGACAATTCACGCCGATCCAAAAAGAGAGGGTTCAGGATTTCATAGAATCGCTTAACTTCGACGCCAAGGAAGGTCTTGACCCGAAGGTTTCTTCGTGGTGGAAAGTGGTGGAGAGTTATCAAGAGAGCTATGAGGTTAAGGAGATTTACCGACAGAAGGAGAAGAGTAACAAAACCGTAGCTCCGAGGATCATCAAGGTGAAGGTTGTCCGGAGTTATGTAGATGAGAAGATGAAGTATGGAACGGACTTGACTATCGATAATGGTGAGAAACTGGTTGAGACGGCCATCGGAAATATGTCCAAAGTGGTTCCCGTTGTATTACTTGCCGCAGAAGTTAAGGCTCATGGCGTAGGGTTTTGTAAAGGGACTTGCCAACAATACGCGCTCCATACTATTAAAGGTTTGATTTTATCCTCGTTAATCGCATTATAACTCTTTACGTAAACTTTGTGTAGTAATAAAAAACATTGATATAATTACGTAAATGCCATGTAGGTCAAAAGAAACCACAACCGTACATAATGGTGAGCAACCCGGAGTTGCAATGTCCCGGAGAGTGCGCTTGGCCATTCCACATGGCCGACAAGGGTCCACATGGCATGACATATCAACCGCCAAGTGGCGAACTCGGAGCCGACGCATTGGTCATTCAGCTAGCCACCGGTTTAGCCGATTTAGTCGCCAATCCAGCTTCAACCGAATCCTTGTTCAAATCTGAGCTACCGTATAACAACGCCGATGGAAACCATAGCTCTTCCACGTATATCTTGGACCCTGCAACCCTGTGCACTCGGGTTTTTGGATCCGGAGCTTTTCCGGGTTTTACCGGTAAAATTAGGATCGACCCGCTGACTGGTGGAGCCTTTAACTCGCATGGAATCAACCACTTGAAATTCTTGATTCCTTCCGTTTGGGACCCTAAGACCAAATCTTGCTGGACTCCTATGTAACCGTTATTATTTAATATGTTACCCAGTTTGTTACCCTTGTGACAAAATTGAACTTTTAAAAGCTTGATTTTTGTAAAAGGATATAGTATTTGTCATTGGAAATATTCAATACAAAAGTGGAGTTGGACCAGTCATCGTGTAAATCAAGTTCTGTGATCAATGATTTAGTAAAGAAGAGAGAAATATAGTTTGCATATCTAAAACGCCAACAAGTAATAGAGTAAAAGCACGAAGATTTGTAAACTGCTGTTCTTGATTTTAGAAAATCCAAATAATGAATAATGATCCGGCGATGAAGAAGAAGTTAAAAAGTTCCCATTGAAGTAAAACTTAATAAGGATCGTTACAAACTTAGTTGTCTCGTTGTCATCATATAATTAATTCAATCCTATTAGTGATGACGATTATTATTCGTTGTAAATAAATAAATAGGATCATCCTAACAGAGAAACAATTTTTTTTGTAGGTTACTAAACAATTAGTCATAATAATTTCTGACCTTATATATATAGAGTCTCACTATTCAACTTCTTCATTGCACTTATCTCGTTCAAAGAGTAGTAAACATCGATATGGGAAAGGTATGTGTCCTTTATGGTGAATTTTGTGCGACTCTATTATGTAAGCTGATATTAATTTTGCTTTTGTTTCTATTTTGTTCTAAAGAACAAGCAAAATGGAGAATCAGACAACCACTCTGAGAAAAAGAATCAGAAAAATGGAGATCTCGATAAATCTGATAAGAAGAATCAATGTAAGGAAATTGTTTTGAAGGTTAACATGCACTGTGAAGGGTGTGCTTCACAAGTTTCCCATTGCTTGAAGGGATATGATGGTAATATAAATTTTAGAGAAAAACAGAGATTGACCGTTTTTTCTTGCTCATGATAATTCTAAGTGTTGGTCTTATTATTTGTAGGGGTTGCGCAAGTCAAAACAGAGATTGTAAATAGTAAAGTAACTGTATCTGGGAATTTTGATGATCCGGTGAAGATATTACAAAGAGTGCAGAAGAAATTTAGTAAAAATGCTGAGTTAATTTCCCCAAAACCTAACCCTAAACAAGAACAGAAGAAGGAGCTACAACAAAATAAAGAAGTAAGCCTTTTTCATTTCATTTGTGTCTATCTATTTCATCATGTTTCTAATTAAGACACTCATTTGTACACATTAAACTTAGATACGTCATGTAAAAATGAAGTTGCTAAATAGTACCAACCAACGACATTTGATCATTTGCGTTTATGTTTGATTTCAGAGTGCTCCGCAGATCAAAACTATAACTTTAAAAATGAACATGCACTGCGAAGGATGTGTTCATGAAATCAAAAGAGGCATTGAGAAAATTAAAGGTAAAATGAGTATATTTTTTTCACTTCGTTTTTTGTTTGTTTTCAAACAGATCTGTATAAACTAATTTCTTTCTATTTATATCATTCATGATTTTACAATCAATTTGTTATATTTCAACATACATTAATCAGTTTTTTTTTTTTGGACAATTTAAAAAGGTATCCAAACGGCAGAACCAGACCGGTCAAAGTCAACGGTGGTGGTACGAGGAGTCATGGATGATCCTCCAAAACTCGTGGAGAAAATTAAGAAAAAACTTGGGAAACATGCAGAGCTTTTAAGTCAAACCACAGAGAAAGGCAAAGATAATAAAGACAAAGATAATGATAACAAGAAGAAGAATAACAAGAACGGAGACGGTGATGGAATCAAGATCTTTAGTTATCCTCCTCAATATTCAACTCAACATAATTACCCTTCTCAGATATTTAGTGACGAAAACGTACATTCGTGTTCGATCATGTGATTTTGACTCGTAAACTCGGAGTCTTTCGTCTTATACGGTCTCGATTTGTCTCACATTTCTATGTCCTAGAAGATTTTAGTTCAATTCGATTTTGAATGAAACTTTATGAACGTATATTTGGTGTTTCCACAAATCAATAAAGGCAATTACGAGAAGCTTTGAAGCTTTTGGCTCAATGATTTAGCCGAGTTGAACTTACAAGAATTTGTCCCAAAGAACAAAACAAAAACTTAGGAGAAGCTATTTGTCAACAAACAAAAAAAAACAATTTTACAATTAACTGGGTGTTACAGTGTATAACAAATAATACAAGGTTTATTTGTAATACATTAAGAGATGAGTGATAATTTTGTAATAAAAGATACGTTTGGGGTACTTTTTGCATTTATTCGAAAAAGGAAAAGGGGAGAGAGGAGAGGAAGGAAGATTATTTTCGAATTAGGGTTCATCAGAATTTGAAGCTCCTGACAGAAAGGGACCTGTTTTGGTCGAGTTTTGAATTGCAGAAGACGAATCTGGATCTTGAGTTCACTTCAAGTAAGTAAAGAGATTATATTTTGCTGTTTTTATTTATCCGGATAAACTCTCCTCAACGGAAATTTTGGCTCAGAACATCATAAATGGTACGATGGAGAAATTGCTTACGGGTCGATGAGATAATGAATGAGAGTTGATAAACGATTCACTTACGAAACTCCATTTTGCTTAAATCGTAATAGTTTATGATTCGGCTCTGTTCTCTAGATTTGAGCTTGAATCTTGTACCCATCAGCTTTTTATTTTCTGATCGATTATCAAATTTGGATTCTGTTAGGTTTCGAAAATACAATTCCGCGCATTGGTTTTGATTCTTTGGTTGTTGAATGTTCTTTGTGCAGGATTGAATTAAGAATTTTACAAAATTTGAATTAAGTTGAGATGTCAGTGAAAGCAAGGAGAATTTCTGGTAGAGTAGAGACTGTAGTAGCTAAGGTCAATTATGCATTTGATCCGGTTAACGATGACAAGATCATAAGAAACCGGCTTCTGACTCGAACCACGACAACTCGTGGCGAACCTCCATTGAAGAAGCTTCAGAAGAAGTTCACTTCTTTTGTACTCGAAGTCGACAAAGAAGAAGACAACTACAGTGAGTGCAACAGACTCGCGAAAGCCTTCTTGCAAGAGCTGTCTACTTTCGAGATCCCGCTTCTCAAGAGCCAAGCGGTTGTAGAAGCAAACCGTAGAGAGAAAGAGAGCTTCAACGAGGTGAAAGATGAGACCGAAAGGCAGATAACGCAGGCGAAAGCTGAGATTGAAGAGCTAAAGAAGCAGCTTGAGGAGAGTAAAGTAGAGAGACAGCATAAAGAAGAATGTGAGACTATAAGGAAACTGATCTCTGCGCAACCGCCGAGGTCAGAGACAGAGAAGGTGATTTATGAATTGAAGAAGGAGATTGCTGAGCTTGAAGCAGAGAGCACTGCGAGTTGGAGATTGCTTGAGCTAAGGAAGAAGCAGTTTGCTCTACTGTTGCATGTGGTAATGTCAAAAAAAACGAACCTTTTTAGCTTTGCTGTTTTCATTACACTATCTAGGTTTGAAGTTTGTGAGCTTTGTTTTGGCCTTTTGGGCATAGGTTGATGAGTTGCAGAACACAATGGAAGATGAGCAGAAGAATCTGGTGGATGAAATTCGGACAGCGTTGGAAGACCAGAGGAACACAACCGAGGCCATGTCTGTGGATTAACTCCAAATTGTACGAATGTTAAATCCGGTTTCAGTTTGGATTAACCGGTATATAAATTAGACGAGCCAAATTAAAATCGTGGGATTTGGGTAATGATATCGGTTTGAATACAAATAGCTTCACAAACTCAATACATGATGGAATGATTTTATTGAGTCGGTTCAAAATGTTTATTTGCCCATCTTTTTTATGTTTTTGGATGTTTCAGATGTATTATAGCCTAGTTTTGTTTGGTAGGTTTCTATTTTTGTTGTCGAGAATTTTTCTTACAAGTGTGATTGCACAATTAATATTTCCTGCAAATCGTTATCCACAAGCAAATCTTAGTGTTGATATTCGGAAATTAATTAATTATAAAATTTAACTATGTAACCGACTAGCCAAATAGGCTTTATAGTCCAAATGTAGGTTTCTATTTCTTGAGAAATATTTGAGCAGCATTAGTGTTTATATGTTAACACACGTTTCTCCGTTTCTTACTTATGACTCTCCTGTCACAATCCTACACTTAAAATTAGCTTTTGAGTGTTTAATTTGAACTAAGAATTCTTATGTCATCTTTTTGCTTTTGACTATAAAGTTTTTACTTTCAATTAAATATTTGTTCTTACAAATATATATCCCAAATATTCCACCTTGCCCAATTAAAGCAGATGGCAGCTTTTTGAGAAAATGGGATACATTGGTGATGTAAAGTATCTTTCTTAACTGAATCAAACTGAAAATAAACGTATGTAGTTATATTGTATATTGCTTAATTAACTCGGATTATAATTCAGCGATTCGGCTTGATTCTCTCATACCAAGGCCACTTAATCTTAAATAAAACTTTACGTATATGCGATGGATTTAAATGACTAAATGAAAATCAGTTAAATTTTATTTGTATGCATTTGTTTTTAGTTTCAAAACTATAGCCTATGTTGAGACTTGAGACAGTGAATCTAGCGTGTGATATAAACGTGGCCACGAGTTTAAGATGTACAATGATGTTTAAATGCCACCATCTATTTATCATACTTATACATCTCTTTTGTCCCCCGATCATAAAGTCGATAAAAATAAGATCGTGTCACTTTCGAGGCTCTATTAGTTCACTTCTTCTTAACCATCCCCAACTAAATTTGAATCCATAATATATACAAGAATATAATCTAAAAATATGCATTTGTTAACAACCATTTGTATTTTGTCAACATGTTAACAACCATTTTGAATCATGAATTGAATGACCTAATATAATTTGGAGTTGTAAGCTCTTTTATACGCGAATAAGTACCAAAATAAAAATTAATAATACAAAATATGATAATCAGTTTTGTACAGTATCAATGTTTTGTATACATGGTCGAAAAAGAAAAGAAAAAAATAAGACACAAACTCTATGACTATGAGAGTTAATTAACAATATATATGTTTATATCTATATATCCACAGAAAAATAATGCTAATGTATTTATTTCGTCCCTATTCACGAAATGGCCAAGGCTCCGAACAAGTTTGCCTGCAAACATAAAGAAAACAATTACTCTTAAGAACTCGTCGAGATTCAACACATAAAATAAATACAGGTGTGTATGAAAATGTTTAGTTTCGCTAATTTAACTTACTCTATAATTTCTTTCCAATAAGAATCACTTGTTTCATCATCAATTATGTCACACCATGGCTGATGATCTTGTGTGAACGTTGAGGTCGATGAAGGGTTTGAAGTATGATCATTATGCTTCATAATCTCCTTGTTCTTGATCATCATTTGGGTTTGCTTAGACTCATCAGGAGAGACCGAAATCAATGGTGGAATCGAACTTTGATCATCCTGATGAGAAGCTACTCGAATGGGACTAGAAAACGAATCCAGAGGCTGATGATCATTGATGTGAGAAAGGCTTTGGGTTGGATCATAGAAATCTTCATTAATATTTGGTTGGTTTTCTAAGAAAGAAGATTGGCCATAGAGATTATTGCTGGTGGGATGACTATCAAAGGAAGAAGAGGTATTAAGGACTTGAATCATACTATGTAACAACTGCGCTTTAGCAATACTTGCTGCATCCACTTGTATATTCTGGTTTAGAGTCAAGAGGTTGTTGAAATTTGCGGCAGCTAGAAGTTGAGGTAGAGCGGCTAGAACGTTTAGATGGTCGTTTCTCGGCCTGTGGGTCACCGGATCGATGCCCATCTGAATAAGTTTCTTTCTAATATGCGTGTTCCAGTAGTTCTTTATTTCATTATCCGTTCTTCCTGGAAGATGACCAGCTATAGACGACCACCTTTAGAAAAAATTATAAAAGAAAATTAGTTAAATTAAACTGATGTAGTTTATGGTGGATTAGATAAGCGTAATACGTATTATAAAAAAGTTTCAAGCTATAACAAGATAATAAACTATAAACTTAGATAAATTGAACATTGACGAGTACGTATGCATATGCACCTAGAAAATCCAGTGGAGTAGGTTTCTCATATAGATTCTTTTAGACCTCTAGTAGCCAATAAGCTATATAGATTCTTTTGGAAATAACCTTTAATTTATTTAAAACTAAGGCTGTTAATTTAGCTTTAGCAAAAAGAAACTAAACATCATTGATAATAAGTAGCAGCCAGAACGAATAAAACACAGTTTAATGATTTATTTTTCTAAAAATCGTACAGTAAAGAAAAACTTTTACCCTTTAAGATAAAATATTTCTGCTCTTGATCTCGGATATGAATATGTGATGAAGTAGTAAAGAGGAAAAAGAAAAAGAAAAATTCTTGTAAATCAGTTACTTGTTTCCAAGAAGAGAATGAAGGTTGATGATGGTTTGCTCTTCCTCAGCAGTGAAGTTTCCTCTTTTGATGTCTGGTCTCAAGTAATTAGTCCATCTCAATCTGCAACTCTTCCCACACCGGTTTAAACCGGCTTGCTTTGGAAGAGCTCTCCAGCTTCCATGACCGTGCTTTCGTATGTGATTTATCAGTTTCTGATCTTCTTCTGGAGTCCATGGCCCTTTCTTTAACCCGCTCTCATCGCAACACGGTGATCTTCCCATTTTGTTATAACATAAATTATAATATGAATCTGTAAAAAGCATTATGGCATAACTTAGACTACCGTCGAATATACTTATATATATACATGAAAAGAAATTGGTGCTAATAGCAAAATTGCTTCAAAATAAAAGTATAGATATAGAGAGGATTATTAAGAGAGTAAACACAAAAACATTATGAGTATACATACATAGGAATTGGGAATTAGTATCATACCTTCGAGACAGATATAATTTATTGAAGGAGAGATAAGGATGGTGAAGGCAAGATCTTAGTTAATGAGGCTAAGTGTTTTGTAATTTGCTTTATATATAGAAACATGGAAGAGGCTGAGGCTTTCGTCTTTGCTTGTGGTCTTTGCTTGTGTCTTGTCGGAACAAGAAGATCTTAGTTAGCTTTTGTGACGTGTCCTTTTGACTTTAGTCATGTTAAAGAAGTGATATGACTGAAATATCCTCGATGAAAACTAGAAGAAAATGAGCAAAAAGAAGAAGAAGAAGATGTTCAAGGTTGTGAAGCAATGTATGGAATAAAAGTTGCTGCAACTAATTCATGTTGACAATGTAAAGCTTCTTAAACTTTAAGAAAACAAATAAATCGAGAATAAAGAGTTAGTTACTTAGAAAAGCTAAATATTCAAATAGTGTAAAAACTACAACTCCCATAGTTTAAATACTATATCGAGTAGCGATGTTTTTTTTTTTATTATTTATGTTGATCAACACATGTGTATTGGATTAATTGAACTGTGATCGTGTATGTTTTATGCGCTATTGGAATGATTATATATTCAGATTTTCAGGATATAATTACAACGTTACATCGACCCAACTACTTATGAAAACAAGCTAAGAGAGACGGACAGACAGAATCTGCAATAGTATGGATTACTGCTCATTGGTCAACTAATGACACATCTCAACTAATTATACACACATCGAATTAAAAAAACATAAAGTTGAACCGTGTTATGTATGTCTAGTTCCTAAACTTCATTATGTAGTACTTATTTTTTGTTGGTTCATCAGAACTTTCAATGAAAATGTAAAACGACTTTGAACGAAGCGCACATGTATATGAAAAAATCCCGGTTCTTTCCTAAATTTTATTATAATAATAGCATACAGATTACATTTTCCTGCTTAAAAACATTACCAATATAGTATTTTGACAATCAAAATGAAATTTAATCAACGTCTCGATATGGTTGTTCATTATTGGTATAAATCTTGTTTTAAGCTCATCAAGACACGCAAGCTTTTAGATCGTATACTCATGGGACCCTCAAAACCCTAACCTTTTCTAACTACTAAATTTTTTCCTTGATCTTTGAATGTAAATCTTTGTACGTGGCTTTTATATATAATGCTGACATCAATTTTAAATATGAACAAGCCTAATTAATACATATGTTGAATTCTAAATATTAAGGGTCTTGCGTCTATAAACTATAAGAGATTAATCAAACGTTTAGACACCCAAAAGTTAATTATTATGTAATATGTTGTCTGGCCGATTCAATAAACTAACTAACCGGACAAAAACAACAGATTGCTATGATTGTATATTATTGGTCATCATCAAACATTATGAATATCACTATATTTAAAAACTGAAGAAAGACAAAAATCTAGCAGTTTAGCAGTGTTTCCAAATCCATCATTTTATGCATATACAATATACGTACGTGAAAGAATAAATTAAACTAATTGTAACAATTTAAAATTTTACTTGAGTAATAGTTTCAGATTTGTTGTTGGGTCAGAAATCAGAATATAATATAGTTTTGAGATAAAAGAAAAGGGGCTGGATAATAGATTAATAGTCGTACGGCAGAAGTTTCCAACTAATCCGAACGTGAAAGCATTACCGCAGTTGATCTTCCTATAAACCAAACACACATTTGGTGTTTTTACCATTTAATCAAATGCTACTATGCTAGTGTAAGACGATCATGCGGTCAAGAGTCGATCACTTGATGATTCAATGCAAACACTAAATTGTATTGTATGAACCAGTTCGATGTACTGGATGATAATTTTAAAATGTTCCTTTAAAGTATTGTGTACTCTAATTGGACATGTGGAAATGCTTAGGAGACCCGATTACTAGCTTTTCTAGTTTGTTTTCATTTTCAAACAAGTTTATATTTAATTTGTATTATTTTATGTACTCTAATTGAAACTCGAACGATACAGATATCTTTCATAACAAGAATACCCTTTGTATAATTCTCAAAGAAAAAAGTTGTAAGAATTAATACTAGGATTAAAATCTTCTCAATTTAATAATAGTACAAAACTAAATTATCCCTAATCAATCTAGTAATTTTCTCCTCAATGCACAAACTAACGCCATAAATTTATAAATACGGACGTTAATCCTTTCTATGTGGTTTAAAAATACGTACATGTACACGGCACATGTGATAGAATCAAGTATAATTTGTGTATTATGATATACGTACACATATGACTAAACCTTCAATATTTGCTAAAAGACAAAAATAAAGTATACACTCACGCAAGCTAAACCTGATTGTATTTTGCTACAATACTCGTAGTTCCGAAAGCATAACACAACATAACTTAAATAGTAATTTTTTTTTTCGGCCAACTTAAATAATAATTAATTAGCTTAATTATCATAAAATGCTCTATTATCTCTTACGAACCATGCAATGTAACGTCACGTTAGGTTTAGACAACGATTTCTTCATGCACTGTCACTTGTGGAAGAAACAAGATTGAATCTTATATGATGCTTATGTTTTGGTCTTTGATACGGTTACAATTTATTAAAGCATATTTTCTTATATGGATTTATTCACCGAAATTAAGAAAAATGTTAGGTCTAAATTAGTTTGATAGATAATCATATAATTATATAAATCAGGTTTTTGGATCTTCAAAACTACTCGTATTAAATAGTCCGAAAGCATAATACAACATAATTTAAATAGTAATTTTTTTTTTTCGGCCAACTTAAATAGTAATTAATTAGCTTAATTATCATAAAATGCTCTAGTATCTCTTACGAACCATGCAATGTAATGTCATGTTAGGTTTAGACAACGATTTCTTCATGCACTGTCACTAGTGGAAGAAACAAGATTGAATCTTATACAATGCTTATGTTTTGGTCTTTGATACGGTTACAATTTATTAAAGCATATTTTTTTATATGGATTTATTCACCAAAATTAAGAAAAATGTTAGGTCTAAATTAGTTTGATAGATAATCATATAATTTACATAAATCAGGTTTTTGGATCTTCAAAACTACTCGTATTGTTTTTGGTTGAGCTCAAAATGTGAAAGCAAGTTAGAAAAAAAAAAGTGAACAAATTCACATGCATTTGATTTGGAGTATTTGATTACGCATCAAAGATAAGTCGGTCCAATTCTTTTATATATATTAAAAACCAGAAATATGTATAATATGCGTAGATTCAAGATGAATGCAACAGATGAACAATAATATCGCTTTTATCGTTGTATGTATGTATACTTTAGATAGTAAACAATTTTTCGTTAAACTTGAGAGTAGAGACTTGTGCCTATTTTGAAGCAACAATTTTCTCTTTCTCGAATCTCGACTTTGTTATCCGTTTTGAAGTCAAACACAACTTTGACTTTTTGCAATATCTAATGAATGGTTAAAAAGATCATTAAAAATTATTTTTTTTTATTCTTGAAAACCGTGAGAAACTTGTAAAAGCTTTAAGCAGAAATTTCAATTGCCAAATTAATTTTTTGTTAAAGGGCTTGCTCAATTGCCAAATTAATTGCAAAACCGAGTGAAGAGATAGCATTATTACATTGTGAAAACAAACCAAACAAGTGGAATCACTAACCATAAAAAATGACTTTTTACTGGATCCATGTTCGAAATGTTTTTCACATATAAAAGCAACCCATCACTCATGTTTCTCTATTTAAGCTGACAATCAAACATTACCTCCTAAGTTTAAATTATCCAAATACTTAGCAGCCGTGGTTGTATAATTAAAATATAGCAGTGCAAATTTTTACTTCTAGGATTGGGTTGTGAAAACTGAAGGCATAAAGTTCAATTGCCAAATTAACTGCAAAACTGAGTGAAGAGATAGCATCATTATGTGAAAACATATCAAATAAGTGGAATCACTAACCATCAAAAAGGACTTTTGACCGGATCCATATTCGAAATGTTTTTTCACATATAAAAGCAACTCAGCAGCCATGTTTCTTTACTTAATCTGGCAATCAAACATCTCCTCCTAAATCTGGATAGTCGAAAATTTAAGTTACCAAACTAAGATTTGTTCTCCTCCTCAGTCATAACAAAACTAACCTTTCCTCTAAATTAAGAACCTACAATTAAAGATTCAAAGACCAAGCAGAAGATTAAGAAATGGAAGACTTACCTGAAGAACACGAGTACATGATGAACCAACTTCAACACTTCTGTGAGAAGTTTTTGTTTTTTCCCGTTACTCTAACAAAAAAAAATTAATTGAAGGAAAATATCTCAGAATGAAGCACACATATCATAACGAGAATATTTATAGCAAAGCTTCTTCAGATTCACATCGTTTTAAATCTAATCACTGTTTCATTTTTTGACCGTTGTGGTAAAGTCACGTCAAGACTCAAGAGTCTCCTTTTTACTGTGTAATTTTATGACCGTTGTAAATTTGTAATGGCTATTTTTTTTACTTTTCTTATAGCTTCATTCAGTTTTGTTTCCTTTTTTTCCCAACCGTTACGACTTTTTTCATAAAAGGCTTTATTTGTTGGAAGTTGGAACCTTATGAAAGTGTATATTGGCCGGAAAATTTCGACTCCTGAAAGGGTTTTTCGTTTGGATCATATAAAAGTTTATTTGCTCGTTCTACAGATTAATGTGGATATGCAAAAATGTATATCCAACAAGCAAGAATAAAGCACAAACCTGTACATAAGCAGAGATTTTGTTTCTGGATTTGTTGACGTAAGAAGGAAAAACAGAGAAAGCCACAAAAAAATCGAAAGAAGAAAAGAATCAGAAACCAACAACTTAATACAAACCTAACTTCAGAAACCATAAACCAAAATAGAAAACAAGAACACTTATGAAGAAGTCAAAATGGTGAAGAAAAGAGATGTCTGTATATTTGTAGTAAGCCAGATCTTGCAATACCTCAAAAACTGTAGCAATCAAGAAATGTTTTCATTGCTTACTTCTGATTCACGGATCCTTTCTTCTTGAGAAGATTCCCAACTTTACCAAACAGTGTCTTCTTCTTCTTCTTCTCCTTCACCAGCTCATCTTCTCTAGTGTCTTTCATGCTTTCGTCTACCATATTCGAGTCTTCCTCTTCTTCTTTCGGTGACTCCTGCTCTGCTTTTCCCTTGTGGGAGCCTTCTTTCTTCTCAACCTCGAAACTTTCCCACATTTTAAACTCAACTTCAACTGTATCATCATCACCATCTGGAGAGTCTTCTTTCTTTTCCTTCTTCTCTGTTTCCTCTTCAAGTCTCATCTTCATGCCGCCGAGGGTTTCTAACTTCTCTTCTCCACTTCTATGACCATTCTCCTCAGAGAACTCAACCACCTTTGGAAGCAAATCATAATCTCTCTCACTCTCACTGAGCTCACCGTTCTCTTCTCCATGTTTCTTGTCCATTGCTTCCTCAAGTAACTCTGACAACTCCTTGATCTTCTTCACATAACCATCCTGTTTCACCCTGAGCTCGTCGTTCTCATGAACAATGCTTTGAAACTCGCTTTCTTTATCCAACATCTTCTCATTCAGTTTCAAGCTCTCAGATCTTGCCTCCCTCAGAGTCTCCTGAAGAGAAATCACCTCATCTTCAACTTCTTTAAGACTATCTCTCATCTCTGCTTCTTTCTTCCAAGCTGCATCAGCTTCTTCCTTTGCCCTCTTAACCAAATTCCCCAACCTGTTCATTTCTTTACCCATTGACGAAACCTCTTCATCAAACTTCTTCACGTGGCTCACCAAACCGGCCTCTCTCATCTCCCAATCCGCCATTGAGCTCTCGAACTGTTTCTTGGTTTGCTCCACCGCACTCACAAGAACATCGATCTCGTGCTTCGCCTCGTCAAGCATACTCTCGTACTTCTCGTTCGTCGCTGTAATGACAGATCTCAGATCTTCTACTTGCGTCTCGTAGTCCTCATCACCTTGATGACTCGCCAGCTTTTCTTTCATCTCTCGTGCTTCACTGGACACTTCGTGTAAAGCAGAAGCTAAACTCTCCATTGCTTTCTTACTCTTCTCTTCTTCCTCTTTCGATCTCTCCAGCTCTAACAAGATCTTGCTATTCTCTTCCAAGAGCCTTTCAACGCTTGAAGCAGCATCTTTCTCCTTCTTTGAAATCTGATTCTTCTCCTCCTTCACAGTTTCAAGCTCCTTCTTCAGCTTCTCTGCCTCTCTCTCGACCATAGATAATTCTCCCTCTGCAGTCCCTAGCTGATGTTCAGATTCCTCAAGATCCTCCTTTTGCCTAGCAATCGTCGTCTCCATCAACCCAATTTTCTCCTTAAGATCAGTAATCTCAGACTCCATAGCGTGCAATCTACCATTGCTTCCTTCAAGCTGCTTCGTCCCAGATCTCTTTAAAGTGTTAGCTTCCTCCAACTGTTCCTCCAATTCTTTAGCTTTGTTATACCACTCGTCAGCAGATCCCTGCGCATAAGACTCTTCCATCTTCGCAGCTTCTAAATCAACCTCAAGCCTCTCAATGACCATCTCTCTTTCCTTGACCTCTTCCTTGAAACTCCTCGCAGTTTCAAGCTCTCTCTTCAAAGCCACTATCTCCGCTCCTAGCTTTGAAGCAATCTCCTTGTTGGAGATGGTTTCCTTCTCTCTGGTTGAATCAAGCAAAGCCTTTAACCGTATCAACTCCGACGACAAGATTTCAACTTTCTCTGCATGAATTGCAGCCAGCTTGCTAGCATCATCTGCTTGACTCAGAACCTTACTCTTAGCATCATTAGCTGAAGCCAGTTCTTGATTGACTCTCTCCAGCTCCCTGGTTACCAAAAGAAGAGCAGCTGAATCTCGGTTCTTGACATTCTCGATTTCTTTCTTCATCTCTTCTTCTTTCCTCTGAAACGCCTCTATACCGGCCTCAACAGCCTCGAACTTCTCGATTTCGAAATTCTCATTGGCCTTCTCCTGAGCTTTTAAAGCCTCATTCAGATTCTTGGACGCCTCTTCAGCCACTTTCCTTGCTTCTTTTAGCTCAACAAGAGCTTGAGCTTTGTCATTCTCGAGCAAAGCTATCTGCTCGTTCGCTTTCCTCAGATCTTCCTTGATTTGAATCAACCGAGGTTGCGGCTCTGATCCTCTCACAGCCCGTGTTTGAGCTCTCTGCAAAACATTTAACACGAAAAACAGCAATGAGATATAAAACAGTCACAAGAACAGTCTAGTGATACAAACCATTGACACACTTACTTCAGGTGGGGTTGGAACTTTTGGTGACCTCTTCTCAGTAGAAGAAGGCTTTGAGTTAGCAGAAGAGCGGTCAAGCGAAAGCCGTGAAGGTTGAGTTTGAGTCGGTGAAGGAGAATTAGGCTCAGATTTAGTCACTGTCCGAGTCAGTTTAGGCACTCTTAGATATGTTGGAGTTGATTTGCGCAGAGCCGTCTCGGTTAAACCAGTTCTGCTTCCAAAAAGCAGCCAAGTCTCATTAGGCAAGCAAATGGTTACTTACACTTGCAAAAATCATGAAACAAAATCCTCATTACACACACTAACAGAGTCTACTTCGATAGTCCAAAATGTCAATAACTATTTCTTGAAACATAAATTATTCAAGGATCATGATTTAACCAATGCTTGTGGCTAAAAATAGAATCTTTTGCGCTTTTGATTGAAAGATCAATACCAGTGGAATCAATGGAGGCTTAAAAAAGACCAAAATTATAAAGTATAACATAAAACAAATAAAAACCAAGATAAAGACAACAGCGAAGAACTCGCCATGGGATCGTAATTAAAATATGTATAAGTGAATCGGCTTAATACGATTAAAAAATTACAGAAATCAGGACAATCAGACGAATACAAAATGATCATATGTGATACGCAAATAGATTTACTAACAAAAAACGAGAATAAACCCTAAACCTTCACCGATTAGATCCATCATAGACAATCTCAAACAACGAATACACATCTGTGAAATTCTGATTCGGAAGAGAAAAGATAAACCCAGATCGGAATTTGAATCGACCAGGTTTTTCACAGACTTAAAGAGTGAGTTTTGAAGGGAGAGACAAAAGGATCGGAGACTAAAACTTAGAAAGACGCTTACTTTATCTTAGAAGCCATTGCCACTGTCTCCGTTTTGCTGTGGATCAGTGAGAACTCAGACTCAAATTCTGATACTTGAAGATTGGAAACTCAAATTTGTTCAAACTGGGTTTCCATTTTTTTGGCGTATAGATCAAGAGAAGGAGATAATGATTCGGATGATCGGGTTAAGGAAACGATTGATGAACCAACAGAGAATGATAAAAGCTGGTGAGGGTTGGTCTCCAGAGTGGCCACACTCCTATAAAGTGAAAACCTTTTAAATAAAATATAAAGTAATATTCCGATTCGCATTCCGATCCTACGAGATAAACGCAAACGATAACGACCAATGTAACATATAAATCAATAAATAATCAATTAATCATAAACCTAAACGTGAGATTAGGGGTAAATAGACCAAAACGTGACGACGAAACTGACCCTTTTGATTATTACTATTAAATAAAACTTCAATTAAGATAAGCTAATGTGCAAAAAATAACGTTGATCAAACTACCCCACTAAAATGATCATTTTTCAAAACGGTTACGATTCAAATAAGTAATAACCATCATTTATCGTTCAATTCGACCAAACCGGAAAATTTTCAAATGTATCGCGGGAAATTGGGAGAGTTTTGGCGGGAACTTTATTAACATTTCCATTGATTATTTTTTATTTGTGTGAAAAGTTGAATTTTGTAATTTTTACTGAGTTTATAAATTGGGAGTAGTAATTAATGATTTAAGACTCTTCTCCAGCTTCTTAAATCCACAGAATTTCCAAAACCTCGAAACGCTGCATCGAATTTACTCCCGTTCAAGCGAGGGGCGTTCGATTAGGGTTTCGATCGACAGCAGTCAGCAGCAAGGAGAAGGAACTGAAACATGTACGGAGGAGAGTTTGACGGCAACGCCGCTTTCGCCGGCGGCGGTTTCATGCCTTCTCAGGCTACTATGCAAGCGCCTGACTCCGGATCATCCTCCAAGGTTTGGTCTCTCTAAATCTCTTAGCCCTCGAGGAATTTGATAAACCATTTCCGCGTTTTTCGCGCTATCGAAACCTATCGTGCTTAAGATTCTCTGTTATCATGCGGGGTTTATTCTCGTTTTCTATACTTGCTTTGTGTTTCCGATCCTCTCAATTTCTAGTCGTTTCTCGGGAAAATCAGTAGAACAATCGTGATAGTTCCGCTCAAGTTTTCTAGGAAAATTCTCATGGCTGAATATTATTGAAGAACAAAATTGCTTACTAGAGAGATCTGGAAATGTGGATGTCTCCGTGATTTTTGCATCTAATCCTAAATCTATACAATAGTTGTATGCTTGTGGGGTTGTGAAATCTGGGTATAGACATTGTGTACTGAGCAGCATTTGACTTCAGCAAAGCAGCAATGAATGAGTTTTCACCACTGTTTTGCAGAACCGAGATTCACGTACCTTGCTTCCCCTGACACTGAAGCAGTTGAATAGCGCATCAACCAATGGTGAATCAAATTTCTCCATTGACGGTTTTGAAATCAACACTGTAAGCTTTTAATTTCTGGATATTTGGCTAGTAACGGTTACGTTTGAAGTTTATTGAGTCAAGTTTAGTCAATAGTACGTTTCTGCTATCGATTTGATGTGTATTGAGTATCAAGCATTTGAGCTTTGTATTGTCTGTGTTAAGGTTGCAATTGTTGGACGAATTTCTAGAATGGAGAACAGAATCACTCAGGTCGATTTTGTTGTAGATGATGGTACAGCCGCCGTTGAATGTGTCAGATGGTAGGTACTTCATTTTTATCTTCGAACTCTAATAGAGACTCATGAGAGCTCAACTATATCTTGCTAATCCATTGTTAACAATAATCCACAGGTGCCATGAACGTCCAGAAACTGAAGAAATGGAAGCAGTCATGTATGTTTTGTGCACAACATGTCTAGATTCTTTAATTTGGTATAGTATGTAATCTTGATAGTCCACATCTGTTACCAGGCAGGGAATGTATGTTCGCCTACATGGACACCTGAAAAGTTTCCAAGGGAAGCGGTCTGTGAATGTTTTCTCAATCAGGTACCATTGTTTTCTTGACATCCTCAATCAGTCTATAGAAATTCTTGGTCTGTGAACCATATCATATTCGTCTTTCTAGATTCTTCTGTGGCTCAAAATGTGACATATTTCTTGTATTTTGCTTTGTACAAAGTAAGTGAACTTGTTGCATCTGAAAGATATACACTTGAGTCTAATAATATGCTTTCAGGCCTGTCACTGACTTCAACGAGATTGTACACCATTTTACCGAGTGTATGTATGTCCACATGTACAACACCAAGACACGGGTATTAGCCTGTCCTTCGCCTCTATTTAAGCTTTGTTCCACATCTTAAGTAATGCTTCTTCATGTTATATACTAATCTCTATTGTACTTCAGGGTGGTTCTGCTACTCAGGCTACTGCTACTCCTAGACCCCAAATGCCATACTCAGCAATGCCAACCCCTGCAAAGCCATACCAAACCGGGCCATCTAATCAGGTAACAGACAGCTCCAATCTAGAATTCAGTTCTCTTTATATGCTGTTCTGTGGCCCTCTTTACTTATTGAAGAATCTGTTTCAGTTCTCGAACCAGTTCAATGATCCGATGCATGACGTTAAGCAGACAATCTTGAATTACCTGAATCAACCTGTGAACCTGTAAGTTCATCTACAGTCCCCAAAAGAACCCCTTTATAGATATCATTGATACAGCTTTCAGTTCTCATGATGTATATATGTTGAATCCTCATCAGTCAATCTGAAGCTGGAGTTCACTGTGATGTGATTGCGCGCGATCTCAGGATTCCGCCCCTTAAAGCCAAGTAAGTGTATCTCTATCATTCTTTCTCTCTCTATCTCTCTTCTCGACAAAGAGTACAATATAAAATTGAAATTTTCTTGACAAGAAGTGCTTGGTCATTGGCAGGGATGCGTTGGAACAGCTCTCAAACGATGGCTGCGTTTACTCGACTACGGACGAGACTTGCTTCAAATCAACCGCAAACGCATGATCAAATCGAATTATCTCATCACGTATCAATCTTGCTCTCAAGTTTTTTTCTTTTAAGAAACAAATGCCTTTTGTATAGGCCCTAAGGTACGACAAATATATGGCTTGAAAGACTAAAATAGCTTTTGGATTTCTTAAAAACCAATTTGAAAGCGGCATATGATTTTTTCTTTGTTCTAGTTCTTGCTACAAACCGTGGTCTGTAGCGGTGGTAATTGTGTCGGCCCAGATTTTAAGTCCCAAATGGGCCGAATTTTGGGATGGGTCGATTATTCTTAGTAGTAGACTGAGTCAAGTTTCACCAGAATTTAACTATTTAAGTACCACACCTCGTAATGAACAAAACTATAATAGAAAAAAGTTACAACCTTGACTAGTCCTCTCCAACTTGTTGTACTTGTCCACTGGGGTTGGTGAAGTGTTTTAATTGTCAAACAAAAAGGTCAGTTTTTCATTTGTGCAGATTTTAGTGACATGACCATCCATGGCTAGTTGTTTCTTGACGTGAAATCTTTGCAATATGTAACGGTTTTAATTCATATGAAAATGCACTCAAAATGCAAATGGTAGAATATTTTAGATATTAAAAAATATGCAAATAATTGAGCTCATGAGATATCCCCAGATGTTGCCAAAAAGTAATCTCGTAGAAACGTTACATCTATGTTTAGTATTGGTTTCCCTGACTTTTGCTTAGAGTGATGATGAGCAGAGATTATAAAAAACTCTGTCATTGTAGCTAATTAACAACGGAACTCTATAAACTTATTTTCTTCTAGTTGACAATTGATGTAATATAATTATCAGATTTGATGATATCAAAGACAAAGATATGATTCGGATCCAAGATTTAAAAAACATCACCTGAATCTGAAGACACCAATTATTCAGAAAGTCATGGTAAATTAACAACAAGAGCAATCTAAACTTATTTAAGATTGAAATATACGTTTTACATCCAACAATCACAGAAGCTAATCAACTTATGACCGATAACAAGCAACAACCGTACTTGTACGGCTACGACGGACCGGTGGGACCCTTCTCTGGTGAAACAAGTGGATTTTCTTCTTTTTCATTTTCCCGAGAAAAAAAACAAAAGAAAAAAAAAAGCGGTGTGAGAGGGAAAAATCAAAATCAGTCACATGGAGAAGATACGAAAATACGGATATGATCTAAAAAGCTAAGATGCTGAGGCCGATCGTTGCGCTTCACATATCCACGCGCTTCGTTTTCCGTGTACGCGCCGAACGATCTCCCTCGATTCCTCTCCCATAGCTCCTCCTCGTAGCTCTTGTGCGCGTAATAAGCCTCCACGACGCACGACAAGGACGACCGCTCTGTTTCCAGATCTCCTCCCTCTTCCGCCTTCGCGGCGAGTCGGATCGGCTGCCGGACGTAATGGCCGCGACTGATCCCTTCGAGCTCGTCTAGACGCGAGAGGCCCCGAGGAGAAACCGCGTAAAGCTCGCCGGTGACGTGGTGGCCCGATCCGGGCTTGTTGAGGAGGAAAGGGACTCGGTAAGGTCCACAGACGAGGGGATGTTTTTCCAGGGTTTGATAGACTCCTTTGAAAGAGGCGTCGCCGGATCGGATCAGATCCTGCATCAGGACGTGATTGGAGAAGCCTCTCTTCAGAGTTCCGTACGTGAAGACGAGTGTCGTCGGCTTGGTGGTCGCCGTCGCCATTGTTTCGTGTCCCATGGTTGGAGAAAATGAGAAATCGGATAGCGGAAGGAGGAAGATCAACGGAGAATTTTTTTTGTGGTTGGTGAGGAAATAGAATCAGAATCGGAGGGGAGAGAGAGAGAGAGAGAGAGAGGAATAAGAAAACTGGAATCTCTGATTTTTAGGGCGTGAAATTTGGGTTAAGCCGATGACGCGTTTTTATAGTGGTGGATTTCGTCTGCTTAGGCTTTTTATTTTATTTTTCTGTTTTCTTTTTTCTTTTCAATAATTCAGAAAATGGACCAAAATCTACATGGCTATAACTTATAAGAAATGAATTGATAATCAAATACTCCATCTGTTTTTTAAGATAGATTTTCTAGACATTAGTTGTTGTTTCACAAAGATAAATTTTTTACTTTTTTGATACACTTTTTCAGTTTTCAAGAAACAATAATTGTATTTGTTAGATTTTTATTGGTTGAAAATTGTAAAAAGTTGTTTTATTGCAGAAATCAATACATTAATGATTGAAAATCTGCTTTTCCTTAATATGTGTGAAAATCCTAGAAAATTTATAAAAAAAAAAACGGAGGGAGTATCTTTTAACATGAACATGCTGTTATTTTCATGTGGTTGCTTATAATCATATCTTATGACTTTCAAAATAAGTATATTTTTAACTAGTTTAAAAGACAGAGTTAATCATAGTTCATAATTTATGATTTACCAATATCTATAAGAATACATAGTTAGATTAGTACAAACATATTTTCCGTAAAATTATTAGCTATTAGAATGTCTTCATCATTATGGGAATGCATTAAAAATCCTAGGGGAACCTTTTGACACAAAATTCGTACTCAAAACTGTGGTTGCTATGGAGTTACAAAAAATGTGGGGTTATCATATGTGATGACCCAAGTTGTAATTTTACCAAGTGTGTAATTTTGGCTGAAAGACATAACCAGAGGTGGTCCACGTCCACTCGGTTCACTAAATGGACAAGTATAGCAAACGTCGTATCATATACCTCATACAACATATAATATGATAAGCTTTAGAAAAATAGGTAGTGTCGTAATTCGTAAATAATATTTTAAAATTTTACATAATATTGATTGATTCTTTAAATATTTTAACATGTTCTTTTGATTCTGGCATATAAAACAAAAACGTAACAATAATTGGCGTGAGAACTGAGAAGTTGGTGTGTTTGGGATTACGTGTGGACGCAGAATGTAGCAGCACCACACATTACAGCCAATTTGCCATTCTTTATTTAGCCTTTCTTTGGAAATTATTGTGAACTAGAACAAATATTCTACAAAGTTCCTTAAACAAAATAATCAACCTTTTTCACTAAAGTATTTTTCAAAATAGTAAAGAATATTAGTACTACTTACGGGATGGCTTGATAGCTCAATGCCTCAATCCTTTAATTTTTAAAAAAAAAATCTTGGGTTGTTCTTAAATTTTCAAGATTTTGAAAGAGTCACGAATTCTTTGATTGTTGAAAGATACAAAAATGAAAGAAAAAGGCAGTAAACACTTGGTTTGGTTGACGAAGCGAAGACGAAGATGATTAGACTAGAGAATGACAAAACCCAAGAAAAGCCTAAAGGTAATTTGTTTTCTTCCCTTTGGATTTTTGTTCCGTGCGTGGCTGTAGTACAATTGCACGGTACTTCTTTTTACCTGTACCCTGGAACATTCTGGTCAATAGCTGGAAAAGTGATACCAGTACAGAATCTACATAAAAGTTACTTCGTAAAAGTAAATCAAAACTCAAAAGTACCTTTTCGACAGTCTTTTACGCAGCCTTCAGGTCTATAGACTAATCTGACCGTTATCTAATTCGTATACGATTTACTTTTTGTACTTTTTCATCTTTTATTATTTTATTTATTTACTTATATTCATTCTCATCGGATTAATAAAAATATATAGACGTTTGATGTTTTAAGAATTTTGTATGTAAATTTCGACGTTTTGACTGATTTACAAATTTATGGTGTCTAGACTATTGAGTAAACTGTATTTGTAGAAGAGTAAAATGGTTGCTTGTATATAATTATTTTATCATAATGGAAACAACAGAAAACAGCAGAGTGTGAACTGTGAAGCACATTCAATGGTGGACACAAAGGCACAAAGCATGACTCATCTAAACTTTTGAGCACATTCAATGGACGAAATGACGATAAACACAAAGAGCTGCTTTAGAAACCTTTATGCTTTTCAATTATAAAAAAAAACTCTTGTTTTATTTTGGTGACAAAAAGACAAAATTAAAACATAGCTTCAGTCCAAACATAAAAATGTAAGAATTTCATTTTATATGCGTATAGCCACAAAACATAGAGCACATATCCAAGGTTGAAGCTTTTATTGTTGTCTCTCTTTAGTCCCCTTCAGATTTGAGCTTACACAGCTCTGTTTCTTCTTCAGTTTTATACAATATCTTTGTTTAGCGGAAAAACAGAGTAAACCAGATCGAAACCGTTCTCATCTGTCGTGTTATTGCCTTCTCCTAATTGTTGTTCCCTGAAATTTTCAACGATTTGGCTTGGTTCGATTACATTACATTTCTGTTTGGTTATGTTCGGTTCTAAAAGTGAGTTGGAAGAAGGTACACATACCATGGTGATGAGGAGTGACTAATGCCGAGTCCATTGCAAGTGAGTATCATTCCCTTAAATCTACCCAAATATTCCTAAGCAAAGAAGACAGAAGCAAGATATCTCACAATACTAATGATGTGAAGCAGCCAAAACCGATTTTGAAACTTTTCAAGTAACATTTCATACCCGCAAAGTATACTTGTGAATCTCGTATGCACCGGTGAAATCATACTCAAAACGTAAAGCAGGATCCATTAACACTGAAAGAATAAGAATCAAAACATTCAATAAGTTGTCCAAACTTGTTCAGATCGACCATGAATCTACTGCAAAAGTCTAATCAAATTGAGCCTAATTTTTAAAGGACTTACCATTATAGGCTTCATTTATCTCTTGAAATTTGGAGGTAGCCACAGTATCACCATTATGCTTATCAGGATGCCACTTCTGTATATGGGAAAGAAGCTCAAAAACACTTCATTAATCAAATTTCGATATGAGACAAAATTACAATAGCTGAGTTTTATTTTTTAAATTACTTACTAATGCAAGCTTCCGGTAACTCAGTTTGATCGTCTCCTCTGTTGCATCATAATCAACTTCTAGAATCTTATAGTAATCCTTAAAAAAAAAAAAAGAGAGTAGAATCAGAAGTTGATTATGATGCAATAAATTCATATTAATGGATCACCATATTTTCAAGAAATAATCAAATGAGTGGAAGCTAGCTCCAATTCAAGAAGATAAAAACCCAACTTTTTTTACCTTGGGTGGGGAGTTATCTTCCATCTGATGCACAGAGAAACAGAGGAAGAATCTCTTCACACATCATTTAATCGAAGAATAAAAACATTTATGACTCTTGATTTTTCTCTCTTTTTTTTTCCCTCGGAAAACCAACTAATGGCAGAGGAATTATTGAAATCTTTTTGGAATTTCAAAGGCAAAATATCAATCGAATCTGTGGTTTCGCTTTGATTTTTTTATTTGTGTAAATGGGAAGAAGTTTAGGCTGAGAAGAAAGAGACGTTGAATATAGATAGCCGGCAGCATGAAGAGGCAACCGGCTAACTAATTTTGACCAATCCGGTTCACGGTTGGTTTCACTGTTGACTATGATTTCGAATTACTCCTTTTTATTGTATTAAATTACGGTTTAGAAGCTTTAACAAACGATGATCAGACCAACTCTAATGAACAAGAAGACAGTGAGAGTGAGGATTGTAAATAAGTCAAAACACATTTAGGTTAACCAGACCAGTCTCCAAAACCGATATCTTCTGATCTGATTTTGCCCATCGCCTTTACATGTACAGAGATTTGACTTCTTCGGGAAACCAAAAAGACCAAAAAAAAAAAGGTTTCCTAATTTAAAAAGAGAGAAAAAAAAAGGTTTTGTTTATGAACATAAGATCCAAAGCTGCAGATTCTCTTCCTTAGTCTCTGATAATACTGTTATCCCTACGACCAGTAAGAACCTATGAGGATTTGTCAGGGAAGTCTCTGAATAGAGACAGAGGAGTATTCACATTTTGCTTCTTGCCTTCCCATCCAGACACTGATCTTTCACTCTGCTGTTGTTTTTGTTCCTTGTCCAGGGATGAGAAGGACAGTGATAGTGAGAGCGAAGCTGCGTCGTCTTCTTCATTCACCATCCGATCTTGTGGCCTCTGACTGCTGCTACTTCTATGTTCTTCAGTGGAGCCTGCTCCACCCATGAAAGGCAATACAACTCCTGTGGTCGCGGTCATTGTCGGTCTAGTTTTCTCCTCTCCTAAGGCCAGATCAAGATTTGGGACCATACCGAGTGATGTTCGTTTGTTGTTGTCATTGCCTTGTGGATTGGGAATATTGTCTTCCATCTCATCATCGTCTTCCTTGCCGTCATTCAAATCTAAAGGGAACACAATCCTTTTCTTCTCCTCACAGGAACCGGCACCAGAATATCTTGAAGCAGATGTATCCTTATTTGAAATGCTACATTCAGTTTCCACTCCCGTACCTGTCTTCAGCTTTTTCTTCACTGGTCCTTCACACAGCCTTTCATTATCCAGATCATCCAAGCCCACTTTCTGATTCATTTTGGAGAAATTTTCTGTCCTGGTCCCTGAAAATTCCAATAACAGACGTATCATGAACACAGCTAAGATTTTGTTATTTCCTGGTCAGGGAACTGAACCTTAGAACTTGTTACAACGAAAAGCGAATCCTTTCTTGTTACCTGACGTCTTTTCATCCTTTAAGTGTGGGCTAGCACCAATCTCACCTTCCTCGGCTTCTTCAACTGCTCCATATGAAACAGAGAATTCTTTCTCCTTGTCAATGGCACCACATGTTTCAGCCTCTTTTGCATTATCCTCCTGTTCAAACCCATGTATCAATGGGTTATGTGCACTGTTTAGATAAACCTAGAAACTGTCTAGAGCGCTCTATACTAAATCAGACCAAGCAAAACATAAATATATACCTAGAGCTGAAAAATAAATGGCTAATGAGAAATGTATAACTAGCGGTGAGATAGAGAGCAAGAGACAAATGCAGGGTGTTAAATAGAGGACAGAACCACAAACCTTCATGCGCGATTGCATTCCTCCTGATGCGCGATCAGTCGAGGACTCTCTGTTGCTTGGATTCTCAGGGCCAAAGCCCTCATGTGTAGAAAGCGCTTTCTCGATATTTGGCAAAACATTAGATGCCGGAAGAGGTGTGTTCTTGAGTGGGTTAGAAGATTTCGCTTTTTTTCCTCGGAATACACCCCAAAGGAAAAATAACATGTTCCAACCTGCAAACCAGTGGATAGAGCATTAAGGAATAGACTTCGCAGACTAAACAAGGCCTTACACATAGACGGAACCTTAGAACATCAGCGAAATATGTTTTTATATCTGCTCCTCAATGGAAGAAACAGATATTTAAGTTTTGTAAACCAGAAAAAACAGTGAGATCCCAAACACTTAAGACTTGAAAGGAAACGTATGTGAAAGAGTTCTCAGTAACATTCTTACGCTGGCAGTTCCGAGGAAGCTGATTGGACGCAAGAATCAAAAGCTCAACACCCTCGAAGTTTCCTTTTAGGGCTAGATCTTTCTGGATCATGTTATCTACCAGGGGCTTATAACTATTCTCGTAACTGTGTCACAGGCAACAAATTTATATATTACGTCAGTGAATTAGGAAATAAAACACTGAAGACACCAAAACACGAATAACCATGTGATCTGAAAATAAATTATACGCAGTTACCTCTCGATGTCCTTGGCAAAGAAGAAAAGAGCCACATGGTCTTCCTTAGCACCTCCATCTTGAAACTGTGTAGGCCATGTACTTAGCCTGGGTACTTCATTCAAGGTGACTTTTACTGGAAATTGATTCACCACTTCAGCAACTTTAGGTGATGCTAATGTTGATAGATATGCTTGGATTCCACAATGCATTACTGACATATATCTGCTTTTCTGCACCTCCATGTCCCCTCTGGTCAAAGGAAATAGAAGGTTTATCTACAAGCAATAAAACCAAAAAAAGAGATAATCATAAAAAGGAATGAAAAACATACTGCCAAATGTATTCATGTTCTGGGATGGCTGAGGTTGTCGACAGAATAGATGGATCAACAACAGGCAAATCTCTCATGACCGGTTTTACAGAAGGTAAATGAGATTCAGGCTCTACAGATTGGGAAGCAGCCATTGCATCAGCACCAGCAAGTGCAAACTGATTTCCATTTACTGCAATCGTCTGCTTGTCTGTCTGTACATTTTGCAGTCCCACAGGCCAATCTCTCACGACCGGCACCTTCGTGGGCACTTTTTGAAAAGCTTTATCACAACTAGAATCCACATTGGACACTGAAGGTAAATCAGATTGCTCCAATCCTCTGTTCTTGCTAAAGCTAGGTTTTTTCCGTAGAGCAGCATCAACCGCTGCTCGCAACCTATTGCCCTTATTAACGTCCTCCCTAATATTTCGAGTGGAAGAGACATTGCTTCCAGAGGCACATGACGTCTCAGTGGGTTCTGCATTCTGACCTTTTGGAGATGGCAGGCCTTTCGAACCAGATAACAGGTCAGATCTTTGGCGATTACCAACAGCATCTTTGCTTTTCTCCCCCGCCTCTCTGAGTTCCCTCGACCGGGATAAACCATCTACATTTGCCAGTTCGTTCTTACGTTTGGCTTCACTTGATGTATGCTCACTTGAACTGCACTTTTCTTTCGTATATGTATCCCCCACTGCATACGTAAGAAACAAATCCTTAGGTGTCAGTCATGGTATCTTTAAATGCAGAGAATCTCTACTAATGGAACAAAAAGACCTATAACAATAACAGTTGGAGTTGTACCAGAAGCAACTATATCTTCTTGACGATTACGACTTAGATGTCTGGCTTGCTTTGACAAGCTACCTTGTTTACCGTCAGGCTGCAAACCCTTCAAATCACGTGCACCATTTGCAAATGAACTGGATGAATTGCCACGAGAGATTAGCTTCGGATCGACTGTGGATGCTGAAGGGTTAGCTTCTGTACTCCAATCTTTCAGTTGCTTTGAACCTTTTAGTTTTGAGTCATTCCAACTAGTTGAAATGGATCTGCCTGCATTTTTAGAAAAACCCTCCTTTACATCATGGGAAGCATTTTCCTTCACAGTTTTATGTCGTGGAAGCATAACATCATCCACTTGTCTCACTTTTGGTCTAGAGCTCGAAGAATTAAACGAATAGGACTTGCCAAAGGAGCCTGTACAAACAGAAAACAAGGTAATATTATACTAGCTGCAAAAATAACCAGTAGTACGAGAAACTAGACAGGGAAGAACTGTGTTTGAGAGAAGTTTTATCACATATAATCCTACCTTTAGGGGATTGGAGCGGTGAGTCAGTAGATCGCGTGCTTTCTGTGTCATCACTGGAGTGGCTATTGAAAGATGAGTGATGAGCTAGCTTTCGTGTTGTCTTCTCTAAGCCCTTAAATGATGTTTCCCGAGACAAAGCGGACAATCTGGGGAGAACAGGTCTCTTGGGTGACCCTGTTGGAGCCTCAACTGCCCGTCTTTTAGCATCTGGAGCTGCCTCAAGTTTATCTGTTTGCCTTTTGCTGGAGCTTTGTGTATTCAAATTTACCTCAGTTTCTCTTTTTTCCTCAGCTTCTGCATGTTACAACTCAAGCTCGTTAGATAAAAAGGAAAAACCAAGTTCCGCTAATGTTAGTCACTGCTGTCATGTATGGTAAATTATTCGGCTTTACCTAGCTTCTGCTTTTCTGCCTCCTCAGCAAACTGGCATTCTTCACAAAGCCAATCACCCTCAGGAAGTTTTTGAAGCATTACCCGCATGCAATAGCTGAGCATAAGAAAACACAATTACATCATTAGCAATAATATGATAATCCAACTAACTGAAACTGCAAGAATATTAACTTCCAAGAATAAATCAGGCTTACGTGTGTTCAGCACCATCACTGCATCTACTGCAGATAGCAAGTAAATCCTCACGACCCGCATCTCCACAAATGTCACATACTTTTACCTGCTCAACAACAAAGAGAACTTTTCCACTTGAGACTTTTGTCACTGTGAGACCAAAGTAAAAATTGCAACAAAAAGAAACAAAAGCAGGAGTCAAAATAGCATTACTTACATCAAGTTCCATCAATTCAGAACCAGCACTCTCGCTCTCGCTCTCAGACATAGCGGATGCGTTTGGTTCCTCAGCCTTATTTGAGGGTTTAGTATCTCTCGACTTCCCAACCATTCCACTCTCGTCTGAATGCATAGAACTTTCAGCTAAACTATTTTTCTTGTCTTGGTTATTCTCTGCTCCTGACGTTTCCTTGACTTTCCCCTCCCCTGGAATGTTTCTGGCTTGATGGTCAGATTCGTTGTTGGAATTGTCTAGATTGCTCGCTTCACTAGCACTGTTAAGTGAACTGCCAAGTGCATTGACCCGAGAAGAACGCAACAGCTCGTCCTCGTTGAAAGAACACTGACTCGCCACTACACCATGGGAGTTTTCATCTGATGACTCGTCCGACTTTGAACCAGTGAAGCTCGCATTACGATGCTTGCAAGATGAACAAGGAGCAGAACAGACATTACAAGTTCCAGAATCCAATTTAGAACGACCCCTCCGACCCAAGGATCGATTACCAATTCTTCTATCAGCCTTCAGGTATAACATAGAGAGAATGTTAGCATTAAAAAGAATCAAACTGACAGAAAAGAATGAAGCAATCTGTATCACTGGACATAAAACAATAGCATTGTACAATTAGGAAGATATCCATTTTTCCACTGTATCCGCATAGCATTTTTCATGTGATGTTTAGAGATAGAATCGAGCGATTTCCTAGACTACAAATAGACATTCATGCCATTCTCTACAGATGCGATATTGGAAGTACGATTCCTAATGCTATCGACATAAAGGGATACAAAAATGCTCTGTTACAGTGTTACTAGACCATTAAGGAACAAAACAAGCCTAAAACAGAGAGAAGGCAACTCCAGAGTCTCCAGATAGTCTTACCATTAGACGATACAATTAAGCACGGCTCGCAAATCGATTTCTAGTCCAGCTGTGAACAAAAGAACAAACACATAATTAAGAACTGCAAAATCATTAACCACAAAAACTCAGATGACTCAATCGTGCTCTTAAACGAAATTGTGAATTGATCACAGCTCATAGCGAAGAAGCACGATCAATTAGTTCATAAAGTATCTTCTTTTAAGCAATCCCTAGAATCAAAATATCAGATTGCATTATTCAGGTCTCAAAAATTATCATCGTCGACATTTTGCGTCTCCACAATCATCTTAATCACCATCACAATCGAGAAACAATAACAAAAACCCTAACTTACCATTCCTCGATTTTCGCTCTTCAATTGCTACAAACCCTAGTTCCTCTAATATCCAGATTCGATTCCTATTATCTCTCTCTCTCTAACTCTCTAGATAAAACGAGAATCTGCCATGCGCCTAGTTCGCTACGCAATTCTCGATTTTCCTCGTCATATACAAAGAAAAGCTGCTCTTAAATAGCTACCCAGGATCTGCACCTACACGTAGATACGTACGGACATACATACATATACACACGCGCAAATTTAATAATATATAACTAATTCGTAAATGCTAATTTAGACGAATATTTGTTGGATTAAACACGAAAGATTTAAGAGCTTTTAAAACGTGCTTAACAAGATTTTTACAGTGATTAGTATTTTTACCTTCACCACCATGAAAGCACCTCTGTTCTACAAAATAATTCAGAGTCCTGAACTTTGACAAACTTACAGTATTTATACAGCACATAGAGAGATTTATGCTCAAGTCAAATATAGAATTACGTGTTTTGGTAACTACATTAATCACAAAACAAATGGCATTACATTAATTGCTAATTTGGTAATTTTGATTTGAAGTTGTTAATTTTTACTACTTTACCAAATCCTTAGATTTAAGTTGGGAAAAGGTTTAGGCCATGTGGTAACGTTAAAAATATTAGACCAAAAGAAGAAAGAAATTACAAAATGCCATTTGGTAAACATACAAAAAAAGGTTGTCATTTGGTCATCCATTCCTTTCTTGGACCATAGTAAGTTAGTACACCACCCTCTGCTCATTTTGGGCCACTAAATAATTGGGCTTTAAATAGCCGTTAAATCCCAGACTATTTTCTAAATCCCCACTAAATTATTGTTTTATTTCCATCTTGTGTTTCATTCTAGTTTAATTCGAAAAAAGATTTGTAGTGTAGCTGTGTAGGAGGTACGCATGTGTTGTCGGTAACAACATACCTAGCTCTCTTCAGATGCCAGCTTATGATATCATAAATCAAAATAAAATCCGTTCAAATACTTATATAATCTTCAACCATGTTCAAATCTAACATACTCCACGGTTTTTTCTTTTATAAAGAAAGAATGCGATCTAGCTAGGTAGCTGTCGAAGATATATAACAAGTCTCGAAACTGGTTTAACTTTTACCCAAAAGCGGCTGGTTCAACTGGTTTAGGTACATGTTTACTTTGTTTTGGTCAATATGAATACTCATGTGCATGTGTACGGTGTACCCACGTAGATACCAGTTGGATGTGGTAGACTTAGCGCTGGACTAGTGCTCGTTTTATTCAAGTAAGCCATTTCAATCTTTTAGATTCAACGATTACTAGTTTTTCACAAAATTTATGGGATAATAATGAATTCAACGATTTGTTTACAATGGAACTGATTACAAAAGAAGAAGTTGATTTCAATCTACAATGTTTTTTTTATTTCGTTCTGGTGCACGGATTCTAGTTAGTGGTTATCAACTTCACCTATAAATAGTTTATATTAAATAAATATGTGAAATATTCGTCAGTCAGTCGTGAGGCTGTATACTGGTAATCATGATTCATGACCACTTTTATCATTGACTTTTATGTGAGGTCGGTCATAAAACCTTTTATAACGGATAGTTCTTACTTTCGTGTGAGCTATTATTGAACGAATGGAAGAAATTTGGGACGGCAAGAAACAAACAAATGCCGCTGACTTTATGTTTGGCCGGATCGTTGACTGTGATTGATAAAGATCTTAAACGAAGAAAAATAAAACAATCTATTCACACATAAGCAATAATATTATTATTTTTTACAAAAAAATAGCAGAAACAATATTCTTTTATGAACATTTCTGGAAAACTTGAAATTAAGAAAGAAAAAAATCTCAAAAGGTCTCATCTCAATGTGAGGCTCAAGAATTATCGAACAAACTAGGACGACAAGAACAAAGGATAAAAAAGGCGGCGAGAGGGCGTACAAACTATTTCATGAAATTACAATTTAGCCCCAAACAATTACGATCAATTTAAACCCCCGCCAAAATCAGTCGGACACCGGATTTGGAGATCCCGACGAACGCGAAACCTCCTCGATGAGCCTGGTGACTTCGGCCATCGAAGGACGACTATCGGGGTACTGAGCCGTACAGCTCATACCGATCTTCAACAGCCTGGTCAAGTTCTCATTGCCCTCGGTTTCGTACCTAGTGAGCTCAGGATCAAACACATCAGAAGGCGATTGTTGCTCGGTAACCGATTGGACCCATCTTGGCAAATCAACACCTTCTTCGTTCAGTTGCTGATGTGTTGGAGACTTCCCTGCAAATGGCATCAAACCATGTTAAAGCTCAGCAACCGCAAAAGAAACACAAATAAAGATCACTGCTTTAACTGTTTGTTACCTGTGAGTAGTTCAAGAATTAGGACACCAAAGCTGTAAACATCAGCCTTTTGGGAGATTTTGCGAGCATCGGTGACTTCAGGGGCACGGTACCCGTCGATACGGTTAGGCGCAGATGTGGAGCTAATGATAGGCGCTAGACCGTAATCAGAGACCTTAGCTTCATAGGAATTAGACAGGAGTATGTTTGAGGACTTGATGTTTCCATGAGATGTTGTCGAATCACGCGAATGTAGGTAACTAATCGCTCTTGCAGCTCCTAAGGCTATACCGGCTCTTGTCTCCCAGTTCAACGGTGTCCTCCCATTTCCTTTGTTACCTGCAAATCCATTTCAAAGAGCTCGAGGCTTAACCACTTAACTGACTAAGAACCTCAAAAGATCAACTAACTAAGAACCTTAAAATCATAATCGTTTTCGATCTTAACCAAAAAGCAAAGCTTATTAGGATCACAGTGATGGTGATTTGGTTATTTACCGTGCAATAAGGCAGACAAGCTTCCTCGAGACATGTACTCAAAGACAAGAAGCTTCTCGTCGCGGCTGAAGTAGTAAGCGATGAGAGTGACGAGATTGGCGTGACTCATTGATCCCAAAACCTGAAGTCTCTCTCTGAAATCTTTCTCAGGCACCACAACGTCTCTTAATCGTTTCACAGCCACCACTAGTCCATGATCAAAGCTCGCCTTGTACGAAGAACCAACTGTTCCTTTCCCAAGAACCTCAGCTGAAGCCTTCAACAATCCATCTAAATCGAATGTCCCGAAAGACTTCACGAAAAAGATCAAGTCTTTACTCACCGCACCGCTCGCCGGAGGCACGTCAACCACCGTTTCCTTGGGTATAGCAGCGGTGGAGGTGGTCGGAGCAGCGACAGTACGTTGGGCGTTGGTCGATGGAACGGTCTCCTCCTTCTTTTTCTTTCTGCAGCAGAGGCAGAACAGAAGCAAGAGAAGCAGCAATAGACCAACAACGCATCCGATCACAATTCCGGCGATAGCTCCGGCGGATAACTTGTCGCTATCTTTCTTTCCCGGCGGCGGCGGTGAATTAGGGCTTTCGGAAGGGGCAATGCCTTCACAAGGGTTTAAGGGTTTCCCACACAGAGTGTTCCCTTCGAAAACGGCTGCGGGAAAACCCGATAGCGAATTCGGAATCGACCCGTTTAACTGATTCGAAGAGACGTTGAATTGCTGGAGCGTGATAGTGATCTCAGGGATCGGACCGGTGAGCTGATTCCTCTGTAAGTAGAGTGTAGCCAACCGGGTCGCGGAATTGACGTTATCCGGGATCCGACCCGAGAATCTGTTCTCCCCTAGATTGATTCGGATTATGTTGGGGAGCGTGAAGAGAAACGACGGAATCTCGCCGGAAAAGGCGTTACCTTGGAGATACAAGTAACGGAGGAGAACTAGGTTTGAGAAATCCGATGGGATTGGACCAGAGAGCGAATTGAAACGGAGAGACAGGGTTTGTAGCTGGGTTAGGTTACCAATCCCGCCGATTGGTAAAGAGCCGAATAAACCATTTCCGGGTAATCGGAGCTCCGTGACCCGACCCGCAGCGCAGTAGACCCCGTGCCAGGAACACGGAGAAGACGCACTCATGTTCCATAGCAACAACGGACGGCCACGAACACTTTTACGGATGGCGACTAACGCTCGCCGGTCAGAATCTAGATCTGAAGTCACCGCCGCGAGGTAGAAGAAGAAGATGAAGACGGAGAGACCTAGCTTGGGCTTGCACTTCATCTTCTTCGAATTGGAATTCTTCGTCTCCTTCCTTCGTCTTCAGTAAAATATTTATGAGATTTTCGTATTAATTTGGGCTACGCGTAAACTTGTGTTTGAACAGAGAGACGAATGGTGGAATTGAAGAAAGACTTTTTACATGAGTTTCAGCTCTTCTCTCTCTTCTCTCTCTCTAGCCGTCTAAGAAAGAGAAAGAGAAATGTATAATTGCAGAGAATGGGAAAAAAGAAAAGTTACTATTTGGAATTTTTCCTTTATGATAAAAAAGTAAAAGAGAATCTTATGGTATTAAATGTGTGACAGCTAAGATTTAAACACAAAATGCATAATACATTCATGAATAGTTAGTTGTAACGATTAGATCACTAGTCAAACTGGTCGTCGCGCTACATAAATGATAATTAAATTACTGTTTTTATCAAAATCACCGCAGGCTGCAGTAATGTTTTGTAGACGTTCAAACGACCACTGTTTTTTTATTATTTAATTAATAGATTATTAAATGTAAGCTCCAATAAATATCAATGGTCATCACTCTGTCATCGTTTTTTGTTTTCTTTATGTTTTTTTTGTTCAGGTTGAGTATGTCCGAGTCTGAGCCACCGTTGACAAATAAAACGAATAGTGTCTGGGACAGCTTTTTATACAATTTTGTTATATGATGTAAATGTTTATGTAATTTCATCATCTAATTTTTTTTATTGAGAAATCAATCTATTCGAACTATTTTCTTTTATCAATTTGATAGGGAGTAGAAATGGTCAATATAAAGCTAAATAGTGGTTCAGGTTGAGAAAATTTCAATAGTTTCGATTCTTGCTTTGTCCAAATCAAATAAATTTTCAAATTTGGTTACCTCACATGTTTGATACCCTTTTTTCAAAATTAGTATTGAATTGTGTTAGTTTACAACTATGGTGTCAATTGTTTATTTTAAATTGAATGTTTGCTTTTCTCGTGACTCATTCAAAATTCAAATAGACCATCAAATTTTGAAACGGTGTCAATTCGCTAAAGTTAAAAGTATCCAATAGACCAATACAAGTATATGGTTTTGTTATCACAAATGCTGACATTCTATAACTCAGTTTTAAGCTCATGGTCATCATGGTCATGACCATGTTTATCCAAATAAGAGACTGCCATGGCAGCGTGAAGAGCAGCTCCAACAGGAAGAGCTTCTTCATCGACAAAGAAGTAAGGCGAATGAAGCGGCTCACCAGCACCTACCGTCTCATTCTTGATACCGAGCACGAAGATAGCAGCTTTGGTCCTCTGAGTGAAGAAGCTGAAATCCTCAGCTCCCATAGTCACCGGAAAATCATGGAAGTTGTTCTTTCCGATCATCGCTTCCGCTACTTCTTTCCCGTGCTCATATAACCCTTCGTCGTTCTTCATCACCGGGTGAAGCGAAGGCTTTTCTTGTTCTTTCTTTTCGAAACTTACTTCTGCTTTGCATTGGTATACAGATGCTTGTGCCTCCGAAATCTACATCATCATTCATCAACCGAACTATTCGAAACTTGTATGTTAAGTAAAAGAATCAATCTCATTACCTCTTTGATTCGTCTCTGGATAAACAGAAGACCATCGTTGCTTAAGCTTCTGAAAGTTCCTCCGAATTCAGCAGACTGCGGTATCACGTTTTGAGCATGACCTCCTTTGATGTATCCAACCGTAACCACCTGAAAAAACATTCATTGATTTTGATTACTGTCTTTTTCCGTCAAGATTCTGGTTAAGCAAAGTAGAGAACAAACTTACACCAGCTTCAAGCGGGTCCATTTCCCGGGAAACAATCTGTTGCAAGGCAACGACAGCGGAAGAAGCTGCAAGAACAGGGTCTTTGGACAAGTGTGGTGTAGCGGCGTGGCTGCCTTGTCCGTGAACTGTGACTGTAAACAGTCCTGCACCTGCAAGAACCGTACCAGGCCTTGCACCAATACCACCGGATGGGATCGATGGAAAGACGTGTACGCTGAGGATTGCGTCTAAGTCGTCTAGGATCTCATCTTTTAGCATTTCATAGGCACCTCCATAGCCTTCCTCGCCTGGTTGAAACACAAGCTTCACTGTCCCCTTTTTAACCAAACAAACAACAAACAAGAAGAAATTATGTTTCATTTCAAAACCACAAACGTTACTTTAGATCAGAATCTGACTGCTGCGACTCAATAAAACATATAACTATCGAGTGAGTATAAACAGTATTGTTTCATTCAAAGTCCAAAAAATTCACCAAACCAAAATCTGACACATTTTAGAAATTTCACATTTTGTTTGCTGTGTAACACACGCAAATGTTGTGTACACGGTTATAAAGTCTGGCCCATTTAGAAAGTTGACATTTTGATTGCCGAGGAAACACTAATCAAAGAGCTCAATAGTGTGTACACACACACACACACATAAATATCAGAATCTGGAAAAACACTAATCATTTTGATTGCTTTTGTGTGACAAATACAATATTGTGTACACAGTAAACAGCAAATCAGTCTGGCCCATGTGGAAAGTGGACATTTTGATTGCCGGGCAAACACTAATCAAAGAGATCAGTGTATTGTGTACACACACACACGTAACTATCAGAAACTAAGAAAACAGTAACCCACATCGAAATGATACATTTTGATTAATGGGTACAAACTAAATCAAGAGAAAGAGAGAGAGAGAGACCTTGATTTGGTGTTTTCTGGATTGAAGAAGCTTAGCAGCTCCAAGAAGCATAGCAACATGAGTATCATGACCACAAGCATGCATCTTTCCATCTACTTTGCTCTTCGCTTCCCATTCCACTAATTCCTTTTGTTTTTTTCCCCAATCATAGCCCCACAAATTAATTAGTCAAAGTAATTTGAAATTCGAGGGGGAAAAATTGGATTTTTGATCAGATTTTCCGGAAAAAAAAAAAGAAAGCAACAAACCTGTAACGGAAGCGCGTCCGTGTCAGCTCTGAGTCCGAAAACGGGTTTCGAACCGGATCCGATCCAAGCCACGACGCCAGTCTTCGCGACAGGCCACTTATACTTCACTCCGAGCAAGTCAAGCTCGTCTCGAATGAGTTGACTCGTTTTGAACTCCTGAAACCCCGTTTCTGGGTTCTCGTGGATCCTCCTCCTAATTCCTCTCATCCATTCGAAGAACTCTGGTTCCTTCGCTGAATCGAGCATCCCGCGAGCGAGTGACTTGAGACCCGACCCGGGATCATAGCTCAGAGCTGGAGACAGAAAGGTGTATAGAAAAAAGAACACAAATAAGATCCCCGAGAAATTCATGTTTTTTTATTTTCGTTGTAGAGTGGGGTGACTCAAGAAAGAAGGTCCAACTTTTATAATAGAAAAAGGATTTCTCTTTCACAAGGTAGAGATGTGTCATTTGAATACGTACACCTGACTACAGTGTCTGTCTATTAAACGGTCCAGAAAAAATATTATTTACTTCAAATGTTGGCATTCAAATATTGTCTTCCTTTTAAAACACGATTTTACTATTTACGCTAGTTTAACCAAAATTTTAACACTTTCCGAATATCGCATGCAGTAGTTTGTGAATGTTAATCTTTGCTTACGTGTTCAGCACTAGTACCACCAAAATGTTAATTTTTGCTTACCAATTCATGATTTGTTTATCCAACGGTTCAATGAATCTAAACAGATAGTACAATTTAACAAACTAAAACAAGTAATTATATGTTTTATAGACTATGGGATTACAAAGATAATAGTATCATATGTTTTTACATCTACATATTTTAATTTTGTGGCTAGTTCTAGTTATGCTGCCAAAATAAATAAATAAAATAATTTCTAGTTCTAGTCCTAGTTTACAGTTTCCACAATCTGATTTTTTTTTGGGATAAATTCCATAATACGATTCCATTAACATTTTTGTTCCTTAGCGAAATTGATTAGTGGTTGTGAGAGATTTTATTCGTCGGGCTTTATCAAATTCGTTTTTCGTGTGTTTCTGTTTCCTCGTCACTTTATCAAGTTCAAGTTCTTCGTGCCATTTGTGTCATTAGTGTTGCAGTTAATGTCTAGATAAGTTCTTATGTGTGAATGTTTTCTTGTTCTTTTCAGTTTAATGCTAAGCAAGTTATATCACCTTCTTATTATCATTAGATGACGTAGAATTCGAAGCTAGTGAAGGATGTGGGAACCGGATTAGATAGGGATGCACTCAAGAAGCTAGTCAAAGATCTTTAATCAAAGACAAATATAAATTGTTTGAAATATGCGGTATCAACCAATCTTCGTCAAATATATTGGTAATTATTGTTAAATATAATCTTATTAGCATCCCAAAACATTATATTTGTTGCAACAATATACAATCCGAAGTGTTTACAATACATTCTTGATCTCGCTTGGCAACAATTGACAAGTTTCTTGACTTATGTGCACATTAAGGACATGGTTATGTTTTTACAATATATTCATCAAGCTAGACCGAGCGGAATTTGGAATTTGGAATGAATGAGTTCAAAAGAATATGCGACATTTGTCAAAAATGCATATTGGTTGTTCAATCATCTCATAAGTTATTCAGTTTCAAAGGTAATAAGTTCTAAAGGCCAATGACGATCGGGAAAAAATGCAGTGACAGCATGTGTTCGCATGTTAACTAGATGGAGCATGACTAATTTTTAATAGTTTAGTATTAAGTTACATATGTCAGACTTCAAAGCTTAGACCGAACTATTAATATACATAATATGTGGATATCTTTTCAATTTATTTTGACTGCTTTATTTACTGATGCCAATATTAACTGGTTTGCTATATAATTCATTAATTTGTAATGTACAGGTCAATTTTTGTTGGTTTTTCTGAAGCTATCTTCTCCAGAAGAAAGAAGAAGACAAGAAGTATAACTCTTGTGAACGTGGTATTAGAAAAGACTGTCTGCTAATGAATGTGGTACGGGAATGACTTTTTGAAAAGATGTCAAGAATATAACAAACGAAACTGGAACAAATGAATTCACAAATCCAATATAGTAATCATTATTGTAGAATCTGAAAAAAAATACAAAATCCTCAATCAGCTTTTTTGGTTGCTTGCTTCCTGGGCATAAAAGGCGCTGAGCTCCTTGAAAAAGAATTGAGCACAAGATTCATGCAGAGCGAGCATCGGGCGATAGTAATCAGAGTGAGAATACATACAACTGATCATCATCGTGTAGCGTTCCAAACACTTAGGGCTAAGGATTCCAGCTTCCTCCACATGCACGCAGTCATCCAGAGCTGTATAGGCTTCTTTGCAACCACCTCTTTTCATGAACTCACGACACCGTCTTTCTGCTTCCTCTTCCCTCTCTGCCGCTCCCAGTTTTGAAGAGAACATGGCCACAAACTCCCTCGTCCACTTTTCCTTAATGCCAGCTTCCACCGCATCTAGCCACTCGTTATCCGAATCTCCCACTTTCTCAGGCGGGACTTGGTTGTTTCCAGTATTGGAGTTGCTCGATGACGTGAATGTGAGCCCCATTGTTCACAATGATTTTCTCAAAAGAGGAAAAAACGAATCGAGATGTTAGAATGAACAACTCAGGAAACACACACGATACATATACAGCGAGGGTTTCTGACTTTGGTGGGCCTTTATTGGGCTTGGGGGCTTTGAAATGAAGATTGAAGCCCATAATCTCTTTCTTCTTTTCACCGTAACCACCTGAGAAACCTTCAACACACTGATTTTGATTTCTGGCCCTAAACCGATTCAACCCGACCTGACCCGACCCGGAGAGGAGCAACAGAGTGTAGTGTCGACTTTCGACTGTCGACTTTCACAAATCTAATCTTCGATCGCATTTCCGATTCTGATCATCGTGGCCTCGCATTTCAATCGATTGTACTCTCCATAGGTAAAAGAAGTAGAAACGCAAATTAGAGATTAGATTCCCCGAATATTCGCTCTATGCCCAACCACAAAAACCGCTAACTTTGTTTTCTCTTCTTCTTCTCAGAAGCACCAAGAAGAAACAAAAGCGTCACTCTTTTCGTCTTTCTCTCAACCTCCATCCATCGAAAATGGCGGAAAATGGTAATGACACGCTCGATCTCTGGCTAACTTCTTCTTATTCGTCGCTTCTATTCGATTTCCCTGTTTTCTCATTTTCAATTTGTTGTGCGACATTCGATGATTGAAGATTCTCTAGATCAGTACTTGGCTGCCGCCATTGACGCCGCTCAAAAAGCTGGACAGGTCTTTCTCTTGTTTCCTCCAAATCCTTGTTGAGTTTGATCAATCGAGTGGCTAATCATGACTAATTTAGATCCTTTTGGTTTCATTGTGGACAGGTCATCCGTAAAGGGTTTTACGAGACGAAACATGTTGAACACAAAGGCCAGGTTTTTTGTTTGTTATTTTGTACTCATCCAAGACTGTCAATTTTTGGTTTAATTAAACAAGTTGGCATGTTTCTTTAGCTCTTGAGTTTGTTGGTTTTTAGGTGGATTTGGTGACAGAGACTGATAAAGGATGTGAAGAACTTGTGTTTAATCATCTTAAGCAGCTTTTCCCAAGTCACAAGGTGATTGATTGTTCTTCTTTAGTAAACCCCCTTTTTGTTCGATGTTTGTTAGCAACTTAGCATTGATCAGTGAGAATTTTGTTATGAAAAAATAGTTCATAGGAGAAGAAACAACTGCTGCAAACGGCGTGACGGAATTAACAGACGAACCAACTTGGATTGTTGATCCTCTTGATGGCACAACTAATTTCGTTCACGGGTGGGTTTACATGTCTTGTTGCTCATTTCCCATTTGAATGATTCTATGTTTTTTTTGTTTTTGTCTGTTTCAATTGTTTTTGTTCTTGCAGGTTCCCTTTTGTGTGTGTTTCCATTGGCCTTACCATTAAGAAGGTCCCTGTGGTTGGCGTCGTTTATAATCCTATTATGGATGAGGTAACACTAGACTCTGTGTAGACCCTCCTCATGGCGAAATGTGTCTCAATTCTTACATATAGTTTTCTACTGATGAAACAGCTATTCACCGGTGTCCAAGGCAAAGGAGCCTTCTTGAATGGAAAACCAATTAAAGGTTAGAACTGTGTATGCTTCTTTCTCTCCTTTAAAGTCTGAAAGATTTCATTTTCTCAACTCAGATAAGGTTCTTTTTTGCAGTGTCAACACAGAGTGAACTTGTGACGGCTTTGCTCTTAGCGGAGGTAAGATCTATGTCCTTTGTGCCACACTTACTGCTATGAAGCATCCTCTGATAAGCTCCTATATGATGAACACAGGCTGGCACTAAGCGAGACAAAGCAACATTAGACGATGCAACCAACAGAATCAACAGTTTGTTAACCAAGGTGAAAGTTATTTGGAATTCCATATCATGTGGCTCTAACGTCTCCAAAACTCATGATTGTGTCTTGTGTTTCATTCGTTTACCAGGTTAGGTCCGTTAGGATAAGCGGCTCGTGCGCACTTGACCTCTGTGGTGTCGCATGTGGAAGAGCTGATATCTTCTATGAACTCGGTTTCGGTGGTCCATGGTATAATGTCTTCCTTTTCCTTTTTATGTTTGGCTTTGCTTGGTTCTTGCGCAAACATGATTTGATCAAAATGGCACATTGTATCAATTCACAGGGACATTGCAGCAGGAATTGTGATCGTGAGAGAAGCTGGTGGACTTATTTTTGATCCGTAAGAGTTTCTATAAGATAATAAAACCAACACACTCAATGCCACAACGGACCAAGCTTTTAACTGTTTTACTTTTTTTGTTTGTATGAATGTGTAATGGATCAGATCCGGTAAAGATTTGGACATCTCATCGCAGAGAATTGCGGCTTCAAACGCATCTCTCAAGGAGCTGTTCGTGGAGGCGTTGCGGATTACCAAGGCATGAAGTCATCTGTGTTGTTATGGTGTCGCACCTCATGAACTCACTCATTCAAGAAACGATATCATGATTGATTAGTGTGAAAAATAAAAATGCATTTCCTTTTAGTTCTTACGAACCTGAAAAAAACGGTATTTGTGTTATTATTTTTTCTATAAGATATTATGCAAAGCAACTTGTGATTTCGAAGGATAATACACAAAAAAAACGTGTTGCAATGCAACATATGCGTGTATTTTTTTTAGATAAGCAAAAGATTAGGGTGATCATTATATTTGGATGTTGTATTATATGGACAAGTCAATAATCCATACTTATTAGACAAAAATACAGACCCAACGGGTCTGGCCCAGTCTTTTATCACCGACCCAGAATCAACAAGAAAGTCCCAACCCGAGTCGGATCGACCCGACCCGGAAAAAAGAAGTGTTTGTGCGGAGAGGTGTAGCGGAGGGAGAATTTCTCACGGTTGTCCTCTCGGTTTTCTGTTGGTTTAGGGTTTGTTTGTGCGATCTTCCTTATCATCGGAGATTAATTTTCCGGGAAGATTTAAAGGGACAGCGATGGATGCTGAAGCGAAGAGGAAGGCGATGTTTCGCTCTAAGCTCAACGCCAAGAAGAAAGAAACCCGCATAGATTCTCCTCTCGTTAGGTAATCAGTTCTCGCCTTCTTCTCTTCGTTCCTGCAATTCTGAACAACAAGTTGGGATCAATAATAATAGTCTTCTTTGGATTTGTAGGTATAATGAATTAGACCAGCCTGTGTGTAAAGTTTGCAATGTCGTCTTGAAATCTGACTCTCTATGGGGTGTTCACCAAGCTTCTTCTAAGCATCACCAGGTAAATTCCAAATGCCATACTAGTGTGTCTCTTCTCTATAAGCAACATTCGTAGAAATTGATCAATTCACACATTCATTGTTAAGAGAGAGTTAGGATCATGCTTTTACATTCATCAAGTCTTTGTTTATCTTGTTTAATCTCACTAACTTATAATACTGTTGAGACAGGCCATTGCTAATCTAAAGGCTAGTGCAGCGGCAATGCAAAAGGCTAGCAAAACTCAGCCATCAAAAGTTGAAACTTTGCCTAAATCATCCAAATCTCAGTCATCATCTGGTGGTCTTCCACCGAATTTCTTCGACAATCGCGAGCCTGCTATAAAGATTCCTGGTAATGATGTTCAATTTTCTCTACTAAAACCTTATTAACAAGTGAAACTTTTGTTGACATAATGTTGATGCTACTTAGAGTTAGATTTGGTCAATCGAATTTCCGTTTTTGTATATCTTGGCACAAACTGATTTAGTCAAACTGTATGTGTTCAGTATCTGCAGAATCAAAGAATGTACAGCCATCAAAGCAGACTACAGTTTCGGAAACGAAAAAGACAAAGGGACCTCTTCCAGAAGGATTCTTTGATAATCAGAAAACTGTTTCTTCAGATACAAAGATCAACACTGAGCCTAAACAGAGTCAGACACAGACCACTGGTGCTTCAGAGACGAAACAAGCGGTGAAAGGAGCTCTGCCGACTGGTTTTTTCGATAACAAAGAAGCTGATCTGCTTGCCCATGGAATAAAGCCTGTCAAACCAGATCTCAAGTGAGTCTTCTTATTTCGCTTTTACTTCTCCGGATCAGATTGAAACGTCACTGTTGTGTTTCAGTGAGTCATGATCTTTATGTGCTGGTGCTGTTCTGGTATCTAAAAGTCTTTGTAGTATAGCATTCTCTTTCATGAACTTATATAAGTATGGATATCTTTTCTTTACAGAGACGAATATAAAGAATTTGAGAAGTTGATAGAAGAAGATCTGCAGGTAGTGGATAATCGCATGGAAGAAGAAGAGGTCAGATAACTTTCTGTCATGATAACAAATTGTTGATTGATCCCATCTTAGCTCTGTTTACTAACGTTAATTATCGCTTTGCACTGTAATTCTCAGGTAGATGCTGCGGAAACTATAGAAGAGGAGGAACAACGAGAGCAAAGGTGATTTAATACATAAGTTTGTTATAGTAAGAAGATGAAAATGTTGAAACTTAGTAATAACTTGGCTCCTCCTTTTGATCTTGTCCTGCAGGTCGTACAAAGAGAAAGTGGAGATGCTGAAGAGGAAGAAACTGGAACTGAAAGCTGCTAGATTAGCTAAGCGCAGCAAAACCTCTGAGGGGTCTGTTAAAAAGCGGAGGAAGACCGAAGAAGAATCGCCCAGCGATGATGAGGATGACGATGATTCCGCTGTTGATTGGAGAGCTCAACATCTTTGAAAAGAAGTACAATTTTCCAACTTGTGAAACATTCAATCTTCTGATATAGAATTATCAAAGCTTAATTATCTGCAATTTCAGAGGATCAAATTAGTACTTGAGTATAGTTATCGGTTACCGGTTATGAATGAATGAAGTAGGTCCTTTCTATCGGTTTTCAGTTGGTTGACATGTCACTCTTGTATCTGAGTATTTCCATTGTTTTACAGAAGCTTAAACAGTTCTGATTAAACAAATATATGTGAGAAACAACAAGAGTCATCTTTAGAAGCCCAAGTTGGGGTCAAAAATGTCTAGGAACTAATTAGGGGTCAAGTATTCAAGAAGAAAGAGCACTAACTAAACATACTTATCTTTTAATTATGGGTCCCTTTAATTATCTTTGGACTTATCAATTGCATTCGGCTTTCCATTGTAAACCATTGACAAGAAAAGGAGTCAAACAAAAGAAAATAAAGAGAAAACAAAACAGCCAAAGCAAAGGTCGGTGACTGCACAATTGATAAAGGGTTAACTAATGCCCCCATTACAAATTAATTTCACTACTTCCGACCTAACTGAAAGCACTCAGTCTTAACGTTATCTAGTCTTTGACTTTTGACAATTCATATGGTTGGAGAATTATCACTGAAAACCTTTTACGAACAAACGAACGAGGGAAATGCGACTCTCGACGCAATTTGCCAAACATAACCAAACTTTATTACATGTAACAACTTGTGGTTATAAAAAGACTTCTTAGTTGCACTTTTAGGTGCTCTTCATAGGTCATATACTCATATACCACACATCATTGTTTCTCCATATTTTCAAATGTATATTATTATTCTTTTACATATTACATTATCTTCATGATTATGGACATCCATATGATATGAACTAAATTTGTAATGTAGCATACTAGCATGGGTTTGTGAGTCACACTGACAATATTAATTAGCTTTTGTGATCAAACCATCTAGCTTTTCAAAGAATAAATATTTAAATGACAAACACAATCAAACAAAAATTGCTATAAATTTAGTTCGTTGGATGCTTTGTTTTGTTCATCGAAATAACTTCGAGTTTCTATTTTTTCACCATCTTATCAATTTCAAAATTTGAAACATTGAGAACATTTACCAAAAAGGGAAATAAGAGAGAAGAGAGAGAGAGAGGTAGTTTAAGGTAAACAAAAAAATAGAGAAGAGAGAGAAAAACAGAGATATCGTCTTCTTCAAATCTCCAATTATCTGGTTAAAGCCGATTTTTGTGATTCGGAGGTAATGGGAGGTAGTAGCGTCGGTGCAACTTCTTACCGGAGCGGCGGCGAATCGGACGTTGAATTGGATGATTACGAGGTTGATGATTTCAGAGAAGGAATTGTGGAATCACGAGGAAACAGATTCAATCCCCTCACCAATTTCTTAGGCTTAGAATTCTCTGCCGGTAACGGCGGAAAGTTCACCGTCATCAATGGAATCAGAGATATCTCCAGAGGCTCCATTGTTCATCCCGATAACCGGTACGTAATCAAAACCTCCATTTTTATGTTTTTGAATATTTTGTTCTGAGTTCTGATTTTTATTACATAACTAGTCCCTCTTTTGTTTCATTTTTTCTTTTGGCCCACTTTCTTTACTTAATGGATTTATGGACAAGTTAATTAGGATTGTAGCTATAATTATATCTGTAGATTTAATTTATATCTTTGCTTATATAACTTCTTAAGTTGTATCTTTAACTTTTTTGTTCGCATCTTTATATTATTAATTGAGAAGTACATTCTAATGTTTGGATACAAGAATTAGAGAAACATCTATTTGGATAGAAGAATAAATGGAAACAAAAGTTGTTTGGATATAAGAATAAGAGAAAAATCTATTTGGATAGAAGAATAAATGGAAAAAATTGTTTGGATACAAGAATAATAACTTAAAATAAACCGATGGTTTAGAAAACTTCCGTTTTCCATCTCTTAAAAATCTGCAAAAAAGAAAACTTAACATAATCTAACGATAATTCCAAATCAATAGAATATGCTTTTTGGATTTTCGGGTTTTTATAGACAAGTTCGGGTTTGGGTGAAAATCTGAGACATAATTTTATAGAGATATAGAAATTGTTCGGGTTTCTTTGAAAATTTCTGTTCGGGTTAGGTTCAATTTTTTTTTTCAGTTTAGGGTTTTCCGGATTTTTTAGATTTCTGGTTTTCGGGTTTAGATATATTAAAAAAATTGAGTATTTTAAAATTTTGATTAGGTATTGGGGTCGGGTTCCGGGTGAAAAAGTTTCCAGATTTTTTTTGTTCAGTCAGGGTTTTCGGGATTTTTTTATTTCGGATTTTCATGTTTAGACCTATTAAAAAAGTTTGGGTTTTTAAATTTTTTGATTAGGGTTTTTTGTCGGGTTCGGATTTAGGGTTTAAATTTTCTACACAAAACAACAACGTCACACCGCACAAACGTGCGGGTACTCTACTAGTTAGAGTTTATAGAAAAAAAACTACAAAAAAATTCTTACCCAAACTTCTTCCTAATCATGCAAGTCAATTTTTTTTTAAAAAGAAGACAAGAAGTTTAAGGGGTAAATTTTTGAAAAAACAATAACTTTAGGGGCATAAATGTAGCTTTCACTTTTAACCTTTCCTTTTCTGTAATTGATAATATTCGGGTATTCATCCCTTTTCCCGCTAGTTTATGACACGTATCAGCTTACCAATGGTCGAAAATAATGGTTCGTTAAAATATTCTAACGGCCATGAGTCTGTACACGTCAGAAACCTCTGTTTTGCTGAAATCTGGAGCATATCAGAATTAATGAGTTCAGTTTTAACCAGTAAGCTACTAAAGACTGATCACTAGCTTTCTTATAATTGCAAGGTGGTACAAGGCATGGACCATGTTCATAATGATATGGGCACTTTACTCTTCTTTCTTCACTCCACTGGAATTCGGATTCTTCAGGGGATTACCAGAAAATCTCTTCATCCTCGACATCATAGGCCAAGTCGCTTTCTTAGTTGATATTGTCTTAACCTTCTTCGTCGCTTATAGAGATAGCAGAACTTACAGAATGATCTATAGACCCAGCTCAATCGCTTTACGGTATTAGATCTCTCTCTATCCTCTGCTTTTCCTTTCTTGTTTGAAACTATTTTTCATATTATTTTTATAAATGGTGTTCAAAATTTTTGCAGCTACTTAAAATCAACTTTTCTTATTGATTTACTTGCTTGCATGCCATGGGATCTCATCTACAAGGTACACTTTTTTTGTTCTTTGATCCTTGCTAAAAAAACCGCGGGAAAAAATTGAAACTGTTATAACTGAAAAAAACAGGCAGCAGGGAAAAAAGAAGAAGTGAGATATCTGTTGTTGATAAGGCTAGTTCGAGTTCATAGAGTAATCCTGTTTTTCCACAAAATGGAGAAAGACATAAGAATCAATTACCTTTTCACAAGAATCGTCAAGCTTATCTTCGTGGAGCTCTATTGCACTCACACCGCGGCTTGTATCTTCTATTACTTGGCCACCACGCTTCCTCCTTCTCAAGAAGGCTACACTTGGATCGGAAGCTTGACACTGGGAGATTACAGTTACTCCAAGTTTAGAGAGATTGATCTTTGGACTCGTTACACCACTTCCATGTACTTTGCAGTTGTCACTATGGCAACTGTTGGTAAGTTCTCCAATTACTCAAAACTTGGTGACACTTTTTTGTGTTATAACCTAATTTACTATGTTTGATTTGATGCAGGATATGGAGATATACACGCGGTTAATATGCGGGAGATGATATTCGCGATGGTCTACATTTCATTCGACATGATTCTAGGTGCTTACTTGATCGGTAACATGACTGCTCTGATTGTAAAAGGTTCGAAAACAGAGAGATTCCGGGATAAAATGGCGGATATCATGCGGTATATGAACCGAAACAAACTCGACAGAAACATCCGTGGTCAGATTACTGGACATTTGCGGTTACAGTACGAAAGTAGCTACACCGAAGCAGCTGTTCTTCAAGACATTCCTGTCTCTATCCGTGCTAAGGTATGACGTGCTGCTCAAGAAATGCTACTTGAGATTTCAGAGTCAGATGATATAAAAACGTAAACATTATTGTTGTTGCTGCAGATTGCTCAAACTTTATACTTGCCGTATATTGAGAAAGTTCCACTCTTTCGTGGATGCTCGTCTGAATTCATTAACCAGATTGTAAGCCTTTCACTTTGGTTTGTAAAAATCACAACTTTTCCTTTTCAGGTAACTCAAAAGTTTTGGTTTTTGCAGGTTATAAGACTTCACGAAGAGTTTTTTCTTCCCGGAGAAGTTATAATGGAGCAAGGAAGCGTTGTTGATCAGCTTTACTTCGTCTGTCATGGTGAACTGGTAAAAACATTTTCATTTTCTTACACAGGGGATAAATGCCTTAGAAATGTCTAAACCAAGATTTCTTGTAATGAAAACCAGGAGGAAATAGGTATAGCTAAAGATGGATCTGAAGAAAGAGTGTCACTTCTTCAACCAGACAATTCATTTGGAGAGATTTCAATCCTCTGCAATATCCCTCAGCCTTACACGGTTCGAGTTTCCGAGCTATGTCGGCTTCTAAGGCTCGATAAGCAGTCTTTCACCAACATTCTCGAGATATATTTCCACGATGGACGGAAGATTCTCAACAATCTGCTTGAAGGGAAAGAATCTAACGTCCGGATCAAGCAATTGGAATCAGATATAACCTTTCATATCAGCAAACAAGAAGCAGAGCTAGCTTTGAAGTTGAATAGTGCAGCTTTCTATGGCGATCTTTATCAGCTTAAGAGTCTGATCCGAGCTGGAGCCGACCCGAACAAGACAGATTACGACGGAAGATCGCCTTTGGTATTGTCCTAAACAATTTTCAGATTCTTATAAAAACGAAATCAGAACATTACCTAATATGTTTTTGTGTCCTGACAGCATCTTGCAGCCTCTAGAGGATACGAAGACATAACATTATATCTTATTCAAGAGTCAGTAGATGTAAGTATCAAAGATAAATTAGGGAACACGCCGCTTCTAGAAGCGATCAAGAACGGGAACGACCGTGTTGCGGCGTTGCTTGTGAAAGAAGGAGCTACATTGAGAATAGAGAACGCAGGGATTTTCCTTTGCACGGTGGTTGCGAAAGGAGACAGTGATTTCCTCAAACGGCTTCTCGGTAACGGCATTGATCCAAATTCTAAAGATTATGATCACAGGACACCTCTTCACGTCGCTGCTTCTGAAGGGTTGTATCTCTTGGCATTGCAATTGGTAGAAGCAAGTGCTAATGTTCTTGCCAAAGACAGGTACTGTATAACAATCTCTTGGTTCTTTATTTAACCGAATAAAGAGCGGTTATTAACGGTTATTTTAATTTTTGTAGATGGGGAAATACTCCTCTAGATGAAGCATTGGGTTGTGGGAACAAGATGTTGATAAAACTACTCCAAGATGCTAAAAATTCTCAAATCTCTTCGCTACAAAGTACCTCCAAAGAGTTTAAAGGTAGTTTTATCGATCAAAGCAACGACATTTTATTGGATTTTTAAGAGAGTAATGAGCGGTTATTTCTTGGTATAATGTGCAGATAAAGTGTATAAGAAGAAATGTACAGTGTATGCTTCACATCCGAATGATGAAACAGAGAAAAGAAGACGAGGGATTGTATTGTGGGTGCCTCGAACCATCGAGGAGCTTGTAAGATCTGCAGCGGAACAGCTGAATGTTTCCGAAGCTTCTTGTGTTTTGTCTGAAGATGAAGGTAGAATCATTGATGTAGATTTGATTACTGATGGACAAAAACTGTATCTAACTGTTGAAACATAAACAAAGTTTCGAAAAAACAGAGTATTTAGAAACAGAGTAATTTTAAGTACAAAAGAATTTACTATACTGAGTTTTGTCTTTGTTTGATTTAAAACGATTTCTTCACATTATTCAAATGCATTGAAGAATCGACGCAATTCGTCTTCTCGATTTCGTTTCTACAACGGTTTAGATTCCGCAACAGCTCGCTCGCTCTCTCCTTGGTCTTCTCTTCGCAGCCGACTTGTAAAAGCACTAAAAGTTTCTCAAAGGCACCAACTTGAAGAGCTTCAACCAACAAACGATCTCCATCTTTCTTCTTCCATAACTTCCAAAGAATCGAGACTGAGCATTGCGTTGCGAGATCCGAAACACGTAAGATCTTCTTCACTAGAAGAGGAACGATCAAAGCGTTTCTGAGAACATCTTCTCCGCCTTGCTCGTTGTCGCATATAACGTTTATAACGACGAGACATCTCTCGCAGACGCTCTTTTCCGCGTTGTTCACAATCATCTCTGTCATCAGTCCGACCAAACCCAAACTCAGGAATTTCGCAGCGATCTCGTTGTCGCACGAAATCGCTCTGTAAATCGCCATTAGAGATGATTTCGTCGAGCTCGTAGAAACAGAGTCTCTGATGATCTTTGTTAGTCCTTCACAAGCTCCTTCGATATCCGTTAACGCATACGCATACTTCTTGTCTAACGAGATAACCTCTCTGATACAGAACGCAGCGTTTTGTCTCGTCTTCGCGTCTGTAGCGTTTAAGAAACTCACGAGACAGTTAAGCGAAGCCGTAGATCCCATCCTCGAGAAGCCCTCTGTTCTGTTCAGAGGCAACCAAGAAGAGATAACAGACAATACTTCCTCCAACAGACGCGCGTGTTCTTCAGACGCGAATCTTTCGAAACAAGAGCACAACGCGGAAACGACGCCGTTTTCGACCAAACATTTCTTGGTCGTCTCTCCTCCTTCTCTTCCCAAGTTCTTGATTTTACTCACAATCTCAAAACAGTGGGCATTTTCTTCACGCGCCACCGCGTTTTCAAGTCTCCGACATATCTCTACAGCATCACGCGTGGTCAACGTCACTCGCGGTGACCGAATACGCTCGGTTCTTGATGATGATCGGAATTGAGCTGGAATCTTGGTCTCCACGACGTAAATATCGCCGGAAGTCAGTTGGTTACGTCTCTTTGCTCCACCTCCTCCTCTTGATCTCCATGGTAACACCATAGTTTCTTTTTCCTTTGTTTTGATTGGTTTCCTTTAAAACTTGTCTGTACTTTTCGATTCTTCGATAATCACTAAGATGGTTTATGGGATTGTATAAATATATATATGTTCGTTTACGTGTTTTATACAGAATATGCATGTAAGTGGTTTAGTATTTATACATAATGGTCAAAGGTTGTAAAAGTTTGAAAAGAGAAAAGGTATGAAATGAAACACTTTGATTTATGTTTGTGAACTCAATTGGAACGTTGACCGTTGAAATCTGTGGATTATTATTCTGGTTCCAGTTTTATGACTTCTTTTTTTGACGGTTGTTACTTGTTAGTTAACTAATTGTCTATATTTTCATCTAAAAATGTGTAAAATCTAGAAACCATGGTACTCTATACTAATTAGAAGGTCATACCAAGAACCATCCATATAGTATTGGAAGAGAACACTAATTAGATCACGCGTGTTTCCCCTAATCATTTGTAATACTATACAATATACATTAATACATGTTTAATGTGTCTATATGTATATGACCATGAGGTCCATGACGAAGAGATTACAAAAAGCGTAAAATACACGGGAAAATTTGGACAGGACTCGAGAGTAGGGCGTGTGTGAGACTCATTCTGATATCTGTAGATACGAAATAGTCGGTGTTGAAAGAAGAAAATTTGACAGCCGAAAATAATCAATGATATAGTAAGACCGTTATTATATTAGATAAAAAATGATAAAACCGAGTAAGGAAGACTTTGGACCAACCGTGTGCGACTCGGCCTGGGTCGCATCTCTTCTGTCGTCGAGTCCATCGTCCGTGTTTGTTTACTTTTCCCCGCGTCATGTTTTTCTGCAAATAAAAGTTCAAATAAAATATTATATGCTGTTACGTGACATAAAAGTTAGGAATATTTGTACAAACTGGTATATTCGATTGGATCCGATCAAAACCAGAAAAACGAAATAACTTTTTTTCTTCTTAAATAATCGGTGCCCAAACAAAATTTAGTTTCAGTTATTGAAGTCTCCGGGTGATATAGAAGGTCTCACTCTCAAGTTAACCACAAACTCTTGAATTCACAATTTAAAATGTAAGCTGTTTCCGCGGATGTTCATCATCCAACACGCAATCGAGAAAACGAACAGGTTTGAACGAAAATCGAATTGGAAAATTTAGCAAAAAAAAAATTTGGACCATTTCTCGATTTGTGCGTGTCATCCTTGCGCAGGGGCCATGCTAATCTTCTCTGTATCGTTCCAATTTTATCGGATGTCCCCGAAGGGACCATCATGTTTGTCACTCCATCGATATATAAACACTTGTTGCGCTGCTCTGATAAACGATGTGGGATAAAAAGAGAACTTCGGAAAAAGATGACTTAAAGTTGGGCCTTTTAAAATAAGCCCATATAATAACCTCAGATTCCGTTATAAGGCCCGTTTGGATATCGATGTGGGACTTAGTTAGAAGAACGCTGAAGGAAGAAGACTTCAATTAGGCAAGGCATTTACTAATTAACAATTTCGGCTTTTTGATAAGGCACATTATTATCTAAACAGTCATTTTGAGGAGATTAATTTACAAAAACAACATTCATATTCAAATTTCAGTTTATTAGACTTGCTCGGTAGATCAAATATTACAAAGGCGCTCACTATATTATCAAAAGGTCTCATCTTACATATTTCATTGATCTTCTTCTAAAAAAAAAATAAGCATATGTTAATTTCTTCTGCTTGGCTTGTATTGATTCTGCTTGATTTCCCTGTTGATGTTTCCAGTTCTACTGCTGAAATAACAAATCACAATGACAAAGATACAGAAACAGTTTCACAATGATCAAACTCAAAACACATTAATTTAACTGCACAGCAATGTCAATGTGCACCTCCATAGATCTACTCCATGGAAGAGAATATTTCCATGGAGATATTGTCACGGAGACGCAAAATCAATCTTGTCATCTTCCGACACAAAGTTGGCATAGAGATATTACCTAATTGCTTTATAGATGACTGCAAAATTGTATTCTCAGGGACAGTAAAACACCAATCTAGAATTGCAAAAAAAAAACCAATGTGAAAAGAAAATTCGATAAACATGAAATTAAATGTGGAAGTGTGTACTCCGCTGAGCTACTACATGGAGGAGAAGACTTCCATGTAGATAATTGTCATGAGGGAGAGATATAAGCTTATGTTGTCATCTTCCGACACAAAATTGGTACAAAATTAAGCCTATTTTGCTTTGTTAGATGACTTCCTAAAGAAATTGGAAAACACGAACAGATACAAAAGCTCTCAATCTCATGAATCCTAAAAAATCCTAAAAGCTGCAGATGAAAGTACAAAGCTAAAAACACAAATTATATACTCATGGCGGCTGTTTAGGGCAACCAACAAAAAGAAGCAAAACGATACCTTTTTACTGGATTATTGGCCTCTGAATATATCAATTTGGCCCAACGCACTCTTACTGGGCCTTGTAGATCAGAAGTTGAAAAACAAATTCAGTTGAACCGGTGATATGAAAATTCTAAACCGGGAATACAATGTTACCTTACTTAACCAATTTTATTCACCTGATTCGCCAAAAGAATATTACAGTAATGGCGATCAGAACAAGGTCAGTTTTTTGTATAAATCAACCTCTATACACTTATTAATCAATGCTTGAGATTAATCGAGATTGAGAATTTACAGATTCCTCTTCTGAAAAATCAAAGCTTTTCTTAAGCTCTCTTCTTCTTCACTGCTGTGTATCAATGGTGGTACTAGTGTCTTTGCCAGAGGTTGTTGTAGTTGCTGCTTGTCTTGTTTCAGACACAGAGACTCTTCTGGCATGCCCACTTGATGTTTCCACAACCTCGTCCGTCTCTGAAGCTGCGTTGTCGTATGAGAACACTCTCATTGGGTGATCAAATTTACAGCTTGGACCAAATTTGCAGATTCCGTACCGTGTATAGAACACACACAATGGCTCTCCCTATCCAAAAACAAACAAAGAGCAATCAGAAGATCCAAAGAAAGTCAAAAGCAAGATGTGTTTATGTTTTCAGTGTTTGAGCATTACCGGGCGTAAAGGGAGGCCGAGAGGACTTAAGAGACAATCAGGAGGAGGAGCTTGTCTATCTCTTGGATGATGGAATTTGCAGACTGTGCCGAATTTGCAGTCACCTGTCTTCATGTAGAATTGGCATTCCGGTTGTCCTGGTCTCTCCGGGAATACATTCTCCCTCGGCAATGCGTAGAATCCTGAATTGAAACCTGAGAATGAGCCTTGAGACTGAGAGCCTGAGTCTTTGGCTTCGTTCTGCTGTAAGTTTCTGTAGTTTTGTTCATTTCCAGTACCTGATGGAGAAACTGCGCCCATCTGACCCTAACCCCCGAGAAAAAGTTCAAATTTGGATCAAAACAAAGTACAGTGGTTGCAAATCAGATTTAAGCAATGTTTTGTTATGGAAACTTACGCTGTAAGGGTTCCATCCTTGAACAGAAACAACGCCTTGAGGCATAAGTAAGGGAGCGAAGGTAGAGGGATCTTGCCATCGAGGAGGGTTGGCGATAAAAGAGGGTCTAGACCAAGGATAAGACTGTTGTTGCCCTGAAGTAGGAACCATCATGTTGGTTGTTGCTTGAGCCTGAGGCTGAGGGTGGTTGAATTTACACGTCCCACCAAATTTACAGTGTCCAGTTCTTAGAAAATAAGCACAATCAACTTCATTCTGCATTATTATAAAAACAATGAATCACTCAAGACGAAGAGGATGGTGAAAGGAGAGAAATGTCAGTCAAAAGTCAACAACATACCGAGCGTAGAGGATAGCCTAACATGTTAAGTGAGACTCTTCCAGCAACCCCAGCTTTGTTCCTCGGATGATGAAACTTACATGTCACTCCAAACTTGCATGTTCCTGTCTTCAGATAGTACTAATCAACACAAAACATAACAAATAAGTTAGCTTCTGTAAGAAACAAAACTTTTCATAAAGAACATAGAAGATTTTTGGACCACCTCGCATTCAGGCTGACCAATTCTTTCTGGGTACTCTCCTCTCATCCTTGCAGTCGCTATAACCTAAAAATGTGGACAATGAGAAAGAGAATCACATAACCTAAGAGAAATCAAAAGCTTTGAACTTTCGATCCAACCACACAGATCACTCATTAAACTCACAAAATCACAGACAGGGAAACAAAAACCATATCGTACCAGTTCACGATCACGAGGATGATTGAACCGACAAGTTGAGCCAAATCTACAAAGTCCTGTCCTTATGTAATAAGAACAATTCGGCTCTCCTGGTCTCTCTGGGTACGAACCTGGTTCCATTGTTTCATCTGAACTCATATTCATTTGCCACATTACATCTGATCAGACCAATAATTCCAGATTAAACCCAATTGAATTTCCGTCAAACAAACAAACAAAAAAATCAAAACTTGATAAAAATAAAAAGAGGAGGAAATTGAACGACCTTGATTTATCAGAGGTGAAAGAGAGGACATGGGAACTCCGGCGTTAAAATCCATAGACGTGAAGAAGAAGAATGTCTACGACGATGATGATGGTGATGATAAGCATAAGACATTATACTGTCATCACTCTAAAATGATCCGTCGATGATCGAAACCCAGACCGATCTTCTTCCTCCAACAAGAAAATGGAGTGTAGAGAAAATGACAATGGAGAAAGAAGTCATAGAAAGAAGCAGAATCGTGTAAACAGAGAGATGAGAGGAAGTAAAGAGAGAGAGAGAGACGAAAAGCAAAAAAGCGTTCTCGTCTCACCTCCACACAAAAGAAACAAGAAATTTAGCCAAAATTCATTAATTAAAAGTTTGATGCTAGTACGAAGACGAAAATGCCCCTATGATTTTTTATTTTTCGTGTGCCATTTTTATTTTATCTTCTCCACCAAAATTGGACGGTAGAGAACACGTCATATAATTTTATTACTTGTTATATCTTCTTTGTCCCTTTCTGTATGGTTAGCTATTAAAATATTAATATTTTCATTTTTATATAACCTGCTAAAAATGCTTAACAAAAACACACTTCTGCTAATGATTAATTTAGGTTGGACTCAAATTTTGGTGTGATGGATCCTAAACCGAATCATACAGTAACTGTATAACTCATACATATGCTAGATTCAGTTACACATTGGTTAAAACACCAAAAAACCCCCCAAAATCAACCGAAATCCAAAATGAACAATATAGCTCAGGCTAATCTTGATTTGGTTGGAGCCTTGCTTTGGCTCTCTCGAGAGCCTTTAGCCTATTAGCTTCCATACGCACTCTCTGTTCCTCAGAAATGCTCTGAGCTCTCTCCATTGCCTTCAATCTATTAGCTTCCATACGTGCTCTTTGCTCTTCTGTCAGTTCAATGCTTGTATCCGTGATTTGCTCATCGCTTGGTAGCTTCGAAGTATCTCTCGAATCCATTGCATTGTCAAAGATCTCGTTCAACATACTGTCTTGAAAAGCATCAGCATTTGTATCAGCATCAGCATCAACGCTCTTGGATGGTATGTTCTCTTCATCGTCACTTGGCAGATCCATCTCCAGGTTAACTGCAAAAGAGTACTCATTAGTCATTACCTACAAGATTGAACTTAAGTGGAATGCAGCCACAAAAGAAGTGGTTTCAATTACTTTAACACTTATGTAGCCAACCAAATTTCAAAATAAAGAAGCATAGAGATATTAAAGAAGATTCAAGGGATAAAAGCTGAACATACCTGGATCATTAGAAGGAACATCATTTTCCTCTTGCTTATCGTATAACTTGTTTGGATCAACTCCCTTGGCCACCCTTTCTCTCAATTCGTTTATACAAATCTAAAAGGATAACACAGCAGTTTTTCTGTAAGTGGCACCAAGTTTTATAATGCCAATGCAACATACTCATCGAGTGAATATACAGTTTAGGCAGAACCTAAGTATGTTAGGCAAGTAAAGACCAAGTATCAGCACAATGATCATGTACCAAACACATTCAAAGATTCATCACAATATTCACATACCAAAAAACATTCTTAAATTTGCACAATGATCATATATACCCAAGGAAGGAGAAGAGCAATACATTTCTCATTTCACTAATCTTGACTACCACTGCTTGACACAATCAACAGAATATTTTCAGCCTACAAATCAATTGAAGGATCATGAAGAAGAGTTGCAAAATCAGGAAAAAGAGGATGGAACCAAGCCAATGTACCTTAACACGCTTAGTGGAAGCGACTTGGTGAACTTTATGCACAAACTGGTCAAACGAATAGTAAGGTAGCAAATGAGAGTGCCACTCACTGTACAGCCTTATCATATTCCCCAAATCGCTTGCCTATCAAAATTCAAAGCCATATCCAATTTATCATCACCAGTTTCATCAAAACTGACAGAAGCAAAACGATGAAAAGACAGGGAAAGCAGCGAAAAAGATCAATAGAACCAGCGAATTAGAAGAAAGGATCAAAATGCGGGAAACGACATGCCTCTTTCCCTCGGCCACGATACTTGAAGGATCTAGGGAAATAGCGAAGAACATAGCCGAGACCATCCTCCGAGAGCAGCATCTCAGGAGTTAGCTTCGGCCTCTGGGCTCTCGCTTTCGCCGATTTAGGAACAGGCGCTGTGGAGTTTCTGGCGCTTTTGGCGAAAGAAGATCTCTGAGAGTCGTTATTAGGGGTCTGAGACGGAGTGGGAGTAGACGATGCGGGATTGCCGGCGACCGGAGCCGATGATGGGCAATCGCGTGACCAGTGACCGGGACGGCCACACTTGAAGCATCCTGTCGGCGCTGATTCCATCTTCACCCTTTGATCTCTCTCTCCCTCTCTCTCTCTCGCTCATAGGTCTTATCATTCACCTGCGAAATGACATTTTGGCGGCCTTACTTTTTCATTGGCGGGAAAATCAGATGGGACGAACCGGGCGGGTATTACTCGACCCATTCGACCCGTTTAAAAAAAAAAGAACAAAAAACAAATTTTAACTATTTCATAACTGTTTACCGCGCGAAAAAAATTGTTACGAATCGAACCCGTTATTACAGTACAACCATTTTTGTATGTTCTGTATGACTGGCATTTATAACGGTACCACCTATGTTTATTGTAATGTTGTAGCGTTGTTCTTAACAGGATAATCTATCACGAAACTCGTCATTAATCCACTTTAAGATCTTTACTTGGGAGAGTAACTATTTTTATAAGATCTTTAAAATTAGATTTTTACAGCAATCGAAAGAAAAGAAGAAGGATGGTTCTCCCTGCTTTTGGGAGATGTAAACTTTTTTGAGACTTGAACATTTTTTTCCCTTTTTCTTCGGAGAAGTCAGTCACTCTTCTTCTTCTTCCTCTCTTTCTCCTTTCATTTTTCTTCGTGTGTTTCTCCTTTTACTTGGGTCCTTCAATCTCCCATGAAGGACCCGACCCATTGCTAAATCCAAACACACAACAAAAACCTTGTCTTTTCTCTGTTTCTTTTTCTCAATTAGCTTCTTTTTCAACCCTTTCATTACTAATTGTGGATCATCATGCATTGCTTTCCGTGTTTCTCTTCGCCAAAGAATAAGAAATCTTCAACGAACGAAACTAGCGACAACGAACACAAACCACATGGTATATATATGTCCTACTGTTGAATAACGGGACTCATTTCTTCATTTTGTCTATTTCGTCATTCATTCGATTGATTGTAGAAATAGATAAATATTGTTAATCTTTTTTTGGTTTTAAAAAGAGAGGAAACGGTCAGATGAAGCAGAGCAAGCGGAAGGAACAAGGCTGAAAACATTCACTTTCCGGGAGTTAGCGACGGCAACGAAGAATTTCCGGCAAGAGTGTTTGTTAGGAGAAGGTGGATTCGGTAGGGTTTACAAAGGAACCCTTCAACCTTCTGGCCAGGTTCTTCCTCAAATCTTCCTCCAAAGAGTACTTAGAATTTGGAAGTCGAGACACATTTCATAAATTCATCACCAAACTTAATTGTTTTGGGGAATGTAGGTGGTGGCCGTGAAGCAGCTTGACAAACATGGATTACATGGGAACAAAGAGTTTCAAGCTGAGGTCTTGTCATTAGGCGAACTCGATCATCCAAATCTTGTTAACCTTGTAGGGTATTGTGCCGATGGAGATCAAAGGCTTTTGGTCTATGATTACATCTCTGGAGGCTCCCTTCAAGACCATCTTCACGGTATTAACCATATCCAGAGCTTCTTTTGTTGCAACATATTCTTAAGAAAGAAAAGTGAGATTTTTGGATGTTTGTTTTGAAGAGCCAAAACCAGACCAAGAACCGATGGATTGGACAAAAAGGATGCAAATAGCCTATGGAGCAGCGCAAGGGCTTGATTACTTGCACGACAAAGTGAATCCACCAGTGATATACAGAGATTTGAAAGCTTCGAACATTTTGTTAGACAGGGAGTTTTCTCCAAAGCTTTCTGACTTTGGTCTGCATAAGCTAGGACCAGGGACAGGTGATAAGATGGTTGCTTTCTCTTCACGAGTCATGGGTACTTATGGTTACTCTGCGCCTGAGTATACTCGAGGAGGAAATCTCACTCTGAAATCAGATGTCTATAGCTTTGGAGTTGTGTTGCTTGAGCTCATCACTGGTCGTAGAGCTCTTGATACCACTAGACCTAATGATGAACAGAACTTAGTTTCTTGGGTAGAAAGCAACAAACCCTAAAAAAAATTCTCTGTTTTTTCAATCATTTTCAAAGCATAAAGTTGTTTTCTTTTGTAGGCACAACCGATCTTTAGAGATCCAAAAAGATACCCGGACATGGCAGATCCAGCTATGGAGAAGAAATTCTCGGAGAGAGGGTTAAACCAAGCAGTGGCAATAGCTTCAATGTGTGTGCAAGAGGAAGCAGCGGCTCGTCCTTTGATAAGCGATGTAATGGTTGCTCTTAGCTTCCTTTCCATGTCGACAGAAGACGGGATTCCCACAGCTGTTCCTATCTTGTCCTTCAGGGACAAGAGCATGTCTATTGCCTTAAGCCGGCATGATTCAAGACTAGCAGCAGAACATGAAAAGTTTAGCACATCCTCGGAGGAAGAATCAGCTTCGGACAGCGAAAAGGAGAGAGTGAGTACAATGAAGATGAAGAAACTTGAAGAGGAAGATAGCTCAATGGGGTCTGATGAAGGGTCTGATTCTAACTCAGATGATGAAGAACATGAAAAGGAAAAGGATGGTTCGCCACCGAAGCATATTGATGAGAAGAACGCGGCGCAGAGCTTGAAGATTAAGTATAGATATAGCTGGGAAGATGTTGGTGAGAGGCTAAGCAGTAAAAGCAGCCAGAAATCAAATGACGAAAGCACTTCTTCTTCACGGTATGATAGTAGTGATAGGGATCATGATGATTCACCAAGGAAACAGGAGAAAGGAGAAGAAGAAGAAGAAGAAGAAGAAGAAGAAGAAGAAGAGGAAGAAGAAGAGCAAATGACTCATTTTGAGCACATTCATAGCTCAAAAACTGATGATGATCAAAGTGTTTACTTTGATGATGATAACAATTCAGGAGATGACAGTGAAGCCTCTTTGCATCGTATAAAATCAGAGGTTGAGAGGGATTCTGTTGAAGATGCCAATGGAGCCTCTTTGCACAAGGTAGAATCAGACGTTGAGATTGATTCTGATGAAGATGAAAATGGAGCCTTGTTGCACAAGGTAAGGTCAAACGTTAAGAATGATTCTATGGAAGATTGAAAAGTTTTTTCAAGACTTTATTCTTCATCCATTGAAGCTAAAGACACGAAAGAGTTTGAATCTTTTGGGGGTTTCATTTTCGGAGGAAACTCTCGTTGGGGAACATAATATTCATTTTGAAGGTTTTTCTTAACGAATTTTAATCATCTCTCTTTGTATATGATGAAGATGTTTTGGATTGATAGATAAACAAACAAGCTGTTTGAGAAAACAAAACTCAGCTTTTCATAATTATCTTATGGTGCTTTTTGAAAGAGAAAAAGTCAGAACAATGACCAAAAATGTATCAATAAAATTTACAATAAAAAAGTGATTTATTATTTTTATTATTTGTAATAATGCAAACCGAGTAAAACAGTTAACAAAAACATTAAATTGTTACCATTTAAACACAAAACAAGTGTCAAATAATCAAAACCTAAATAGGAATCTTAAGAATCCTTCCTAGCCACAACTAAGATTAGATCATCATCATCCTGAGGAAAAGGAAAGAAATAGATACTCAATTATCTGAAAAAAAATAATTCACTTAACATACAAATTTAAGGAGTAAGGATATGGCCTTCGGATTAATTTTGTCAACACATTTTTTTTCTTCTGTCAATAGTCAATAGTTTCAGTCTTTGGAATAAAAATTCAAATAAGACCACCTAAGTTTGTATAATTTTCTTGATTCCACCACTACTTTTATTCGTGTTCGACGCACTTTATTTAATTTATGTTCAATTAAATAAAAATGATAAATGGATTGACTCAAGTTTCAGTTTCGGGAAAGAATCGTCAGCTGTGACTGTGAGTGAGGTCAAATTACGACACGTGTCAAGATCGTAGAGGATTCCAAAGGGGTCCACCCTAAATCCTTTAAGGAAGAAAGAATAAAGAATCCTTACCCAAAAAAAAACCCTCAAAATCTGAGTACGCTTTTCAAAGTTGTCTCCTTTTTCTAATAGAACCCCACTTGATCCCCTTTCCTCCTATAAAAAAACCTTGTTTTTCTCAAATCAATTACACCAAATCTCTCTCAAGGTCTCTTGGGCTTTGCTCTGTTTCTCTCTTGCCTCTTTGGGTTTCTCCATTTTTCTCTGTTTCTGAATTTTTTTGTAGAACAGAGAGAGGCTATTGAATTTCGATGTGTTTGATTATGGAAACGGATGATCACGACGACGGTGGTGTTTTAGTTCCGCCGTCGAATTTCTCGATGGTTGAAGACGGGATTTACCGATCTGGGTTTCCTCAACCCGAGAATTTCAGTTACCTCACGACCCTAAATCTCCGTTCCATCATGTAAGACGATTGGTTTCCTCTTCCTTTGTTCAATCTTTTGGGTTGTTTGATTGATTTTCATACAATTGATGTCGACTGGATTAAGTAATCGCTCGTTGATTCATCGAAACAGCTATCTGTGTCCTGAACCATACCCAGAGGAGAATCTGAGGTATCTTGAGGCCAACAACATTAAGCTTTTCCAATTTGGAATCGAAGGCAAAACGGTGCGTTTTTGATCAACAATCTTTCTTGTTTCATGCGGTTTTTCTGATCCTTTGAATCACTGCAATGCCCTTGATTTCTTATCATTGAATCGCTTCACGTTTATGATCATTCAGGATCCAATGCCAAAAGATACAGTTTTGGATGCTCTCAAAGTCTTGGTTGGTAAGGAATCAACACTCAACATTGTCGTTTTTTAAGCTCTTCCCAGCTGCTGTTTCACGATTCTTATAAAGTAACTGTTTTGTTGTCTCTGTAGATGTAAGAAACCATCCGATTCTCATACATTGCAAACGCGGGAAGGTAACATACAAATTCGTCTTTGGTTATTTGGAGATTTGTGTTATTAGTTTTGCATTGGACATTCATGGATTGTGGTGGTTTTGGTGTATGCAGCATAGGACAGGTTGTTTAGTGGGATGCTTGAGAAAAGTTCAGAGCTGGTGCTTGTCATCGGTGCTCGAGGAGTACCAGAAGAACGCAGGTGTGAAGTGGAGGCAAAGGGACTTGAAGTTCATCGAGACATTTGACATAGTGAGCTTGAGGCAGTGTCTCTTGAGCATTATGTATCGCTATCACGGTTATGGCTTCAAGAGGAAAAGGCTCGTCTTTGAAGAAGAAAATGTCCAGAAACCGCAGGCTGCTAAAGTTTGAGGAAAGAGAGAACAGAAGGATAAGTTAGTTTATATCAAGATTCATAAACAGAAGTTTGAAGGATAAGTTAGTTTATATCAAGATTCATAAACAGAAGTTTGATTTGGTTTGTTTTAGCAATAGAAATGTACAGAAGGTTTTAATTTTCATTAGAAACTGATGCAGGAGGGGTCCTTAAGTTTAATGACCATTAATGGCGTAAGCTGTTTTTTTTTTAATCTTTTCTTGTCAACTCTTATTAAAGTGGCTTTATTATATTAAGAAAAGGAAAAACAGAGGAAGTTACGAGTATGGAGTCATCTTCCAATGTATACCAAGGGCACATGTATTTAGACAAATATGCTCTAAAGATATCTTTTAAAATAGTTAATACAATCCAAATTTGATTATTCTTTAGCTAAAAAGAGGCCATATTCTGTTTGTCTATTAGACTATCACGGTGTCTTTACATCACATCTAACACGTAAATAGATAAAAGGAGGAAAATGTGAACATGTAAAAAGCCATCACATTTCACGACTTTTACTATTTCCATTATAACTCTTCGCGTGATGTGATCGAATCATCCAAGTTGGATTTCTGTATAAAACAAAGCTTTCAAAGAGTAACCCAAACCGGGAGAATTAAAGAAGCAAATTAAAAAACAAGATGTCAGACATTGACGTGTTTTGCCAGATCATTCTGACAAATGCCTTCATAGCTAAACACTTCAAACTCCTTTAATCAGTTAATCGCGACACACAGCCCAATTAGACCAAACGTGTTCCACACTTAATGTTATGCCAACACAAATAAACAGAGACATTGATACCACAACGCTAGCCTAAACCAAATGGCATTCGAATTAACACAGGCTCGATAAGAGAACTCGATCAAATATCAGTTTATTCATATAACATATGTATCCCCTCCATTTGGAAAACAACATATAATAAGTATATGAGATCATAAGACTTTTTCAACATGGTGGATTGGGAGTATATAGAGTAACAAAACTCAGAAAAAGATGACAAATTTTGAGGAAAATGAAACATAGAGTTACTTCTTCAAGCTTCCCCTGATCCCGGGTTTTGGTTTCGACTCAATAACTGGAGCTAAAACCGCATGGAGGTTCACGAGCTTGGATTCCTCGTAAAGAATCTTAGGATGCTTGGATTCGTGATGGATCTGCATCGTCTTCAGATCCGGAGCCGTGATCTTGCAGTGAGGACACTCGTACTTTGCATGACCACCTTTCTCTTTTCCGGTCCTGTCAGCTATTCCCGCCTTTCCTCCGCCTCTGTTCGTCAACGCAGCATCGATCTTTGCTTGAATCTCCTTCGCCGTGTGCTTCTTCGGCTTCGCCTTACCTGTCATCCTCGTTGGCGGCGACTCAGGGAGAAGCCCTAGCCCTAACCCTAGTTTGTGCTCCTCTTCTGATCAAGACGATAGAATCATTTTCGCATTGAGAGGACCTATATAAAAATCTACACTTTTATGAAATAATTGCAAATAAACCCTCTGAATTACCAAAACATGCTAAACAATCCTCAATATTTTGTGTTTTTAATCAGATAGTGGGTTAGTTTGGAGTATTTCGTAGTTTTAGGGTTAACTTGAAAACATTGGTTACTTGAAGGGTTTTGTTTGAAAATTACAGCTTAAAAAAGGAAAAAATCTTATCCGCTTTTGTGAGGAGGGTTTTATGCAATGCGGAGAGGTGCATGGTAAGAGCGATGGACATACTGTAAAAAGCAGGTGAAAGCATCAGTCATCACCACATGCTCACCAATGTCTGCTTCTTCTTTATTTAATCTCCCATTGATTCGCCTCAGATCTCTCGCTCTTCTCTCTTCTTCCCGATTTACCCATCTTTCTCTATCATCGATCCGATCCGTTTCCGTTCCCATTTCGCCGAGAAAGTTGCCGAATTTTCGTGCTTTCTCCGGTACCGTCATGACGGATTCTAAAGATGCTGGAATGAATGCTGTTCAGAGACGCCTCATGTATGAGGACGAGTAAGTCTTTGATTTCCTTTTGATTCTCCCTTTCTCGATTTCAGCTTTTGGGTTTTTACCAAAATAGTACCTTTTTTGTCTTTAAGTCGTATTCTCGATTATGGCTTGTCTCCATCGTTAGGTTGCTGGGAAAATTGATCAAATTAGATTCTGGGATTTAGAAATTTGGAGATTGACTATGGTTTAGGAGCATAGGTCTATTAATTTGTTGACTTTGATGAAACATTTCTGGATTCTGGATTTAGTAGCTGTCAAGTTTCTTCCATTTATTTTTTCCTTTTCTGATTGTTGGAATCAAATGGGCAAATGATTCTGGATATAGTCATCTATGAAAGATGTCACAGTTTCTGAGAGGAACATAGTGAGGTTAAGCTATGTTCCCAGGTTTTTGGCCGGAAATGGATTCTCTGGATCTATATTTTTGTCTTCTTTTTGATGATGAAGGTTTTTGCATGCAGATGCATTCTTGTTGATGAAACTGATCGTGTTGTGGGGCATGACAGCAAATATAATTGTAAGTAAACTTGGTTCGAGTCTCAGTCTCCACTAAAATTTTTGTGCTTCTTTATTTTCCTCCTATTCCTGGACTTAGTTTCAGTTGGTGCATCAATTTTTGACATAGCGTGGCTCTGGCTCCCTTTGATTTAGTGTTGTTATTAGCCCTTTAAGTTTCCATCAAATGTCTTAGGCCTCTCCGTGAATGTGTCCAACATATTATTTCTGGTGTAGCTAGCAAACATTTTCAGTGTCTATCCTTCCTAAAGCGTATGGATGTACCATACGACACTTTGCTTTGGAGTGCTGTGCCATTTTAACCAGACAATACATTTCTCCTATGACATAGTCAATTCTGTCTTTAAGAATCTTAAAAGTAGATGAATATAAGATGTTGCTTCTGGAAAATGGTTGAAGAAAATTAATCTACTCGCTAGGGCTGTTTGAATTCTTATCTCTGTTTGGGCCTCTATTCAAGATACTAATACCTTATCAAATCTGCAGGTCATCTGATGGAAAATATCGAAGCTAAGAATTTGCTTCACAGGGCTTTTAGTGTATTTTTGTTCAACTCGAACTATGAGTTGCTTCTCCAGGTATTTTCTTATGACTGCTTTGAAGTCTATATAACTCAAATCTTGTATACAGATGGATCACAGGCTTGTGACTAGGCATGGTGTTGTCCTATCTAGAATCACCTTATTGTAGAGAATTATAAGCTCAATTAATAGGGGAGTGTATACATCGTAAGCTTGATTCTAGAGATTTAGTTGCACATATTTGGTGTGGCTATGATGCTGGGATGTTCTCGTGATCTTAGATACTGATATTACTTCTTTTCTTTTGAGCAGCAAAGGTCGGACGCAAAGGTGACCTTCCCTCTCGTGTGGACAAACACATGTTGCAGCCATCCTCTGTACCGTGACTCAGAGCTTATCGAGGAAAATGCACTTGGTTGGTATCTATTGTTCAAATAATTCAGTACTTCTTACTGTCTTTGCAGCAAACTGTAGCTTCACTTAACGAGTGACCTCATTGTTTGTATCATGCTCATCAGGTGTGAGGAACGCTGCGCAGAGAAAGCTTCTTGACGAGCTTGGTATTGTAGCTGAAGATGTACCAGTCGATCAGTTCACTGCCTTGGGACGTATGCTTTACAAGGCTCCTTCCGATGGCAAATGGGGAGAGCACGAACGTAATACCCTTCCCTGAGCCATTTTATTGAATAGACACACTTGCAAAATGTTAATGGAACATTGATGTTCTTCTTCTTCTCCGTTGCGCTTCCTTTTGCAGTTGACTACTTACTCTTCATCGTGCGGGACGTGAAGGTTCAACCAAACCCGGACGAAGTAGCTGATATCAAGTATGTGAGCCGGGAAGAGCTCAAGGAGCTGGTGAAGAAAGCAGATGCAGGTGAGGAAGGTTTGAAACTGTCTCCATGGTTTAGATTGGTGGTGGACAATTTCTTGATGAAGTGGTGGGATCATGTGGAGAAAGGAACTTTGGCAGAAGCTATAGACATGAAGACCATCCACAAACTCTGAAATCTTTCTTTTAAGTTGTTTGTTGTTGGATCGTCTTTCTCTTTCTCTTTCGCTTTTTGGTATTTGTGATGATAAAAATTGGGAGATAAGACTTCAGAGATTTTAAGCATGTCAGGCAATAAAGCTTTCATTTTTATTTGAACTTATGAATATCTGTCAATGTTCTTTGGATATGAAATTCTTCCGGAGATGTATAAAAACGCATAAAGAGTCGAGGACAACATAAATTAGAAAAAGCGAGAACATGGTAGTAAGGAAACAGAGTCGAAACCAGAGCAAAAGGAAAAGCGAAGATTCGTTTTTTCCGAAGCTTGACAACTACCTTCGATCTGATTTGTTATAAACTTTATAATATAAAGTTAAAAGTCATTATTTTATCATCATGAAATGACCAGAGCAAGTATGTTCTTCTTTAAATCACCACTTCATATCTCAGAGACTTGAGCACACAGACATAGTTTTCTTTTCTTCATCCGAGTTTCAGGTAAACGAAAATTCGATTCGATCTAATTCCTTGTATTTATTTAGATGGATATTGGATAGTTTTCTTTGTGAAAATGAATGAAAAAGTAAGTAATTTTCGTTCTGGGTTTGATCGATTGACCGTAAATCTATCATCACTTTTTTTTCTTCAGATTTTGCCTTCTGGATTTGAGCGATTTCCTTTAGTTCCCAAGATTACTCTGTTCTGATCATAATCCTTAATCCAGGTGAGAAAGAAATGGCGTTTGTGACCACAGCGGAAGTTTGTGACGCGAATCAAGAGCTGATTCGTAGTGGCCAGCTCCGAGCTCTGCAACCCATGTTCCAGATTTACGGTCGTCGTCAGATATTCTCAGGCCCTGTAGTTACTGTCAAAGTGTTTGAAGACAATGGCTTAATCCGTCAGTTTATCGAAGAGAAAGGTATCAAAATGATCATGTCTTGCTAAAGAATTCTACTGGAAACTGAAACTTTATTCGTAGAGAAAGGACCTTTGAGATATGAAATTCCAGAGGATTCATTGACATGGTTTAATTGGTATTATTTGTGAAATAGCTTCAGTCTTTCTTTGCTTGAAACTATGTTAGAATAAGTCTAAGCCTCTGTTTATATACTTCTCAAATTACCTTGTGATGCGAAAAGGTGTGAGCTTTGATTTAAGGTTCTTAGACTAAACCAATCCGTCTCTGTAACATGTACACTCAACCAATATGTTGTCTTTATCTTTTCACATAAAAAACTTTTTAACATTTTGGATGAAACAGGCAATGGGAGAGTGCTTGTGGTGGATGGTGGAGGGAGTTTAAGATGTGCGATACTTGGAGGAAACCCGGTAGTACAAGCGCAGAACAACGGATGGGCGGGGATCATAGTGAACGGTTGCATCAGAGACGTTGATGAGATCAACGGTTGTGACATTGGAGTGAGAGCTTTAGCTTCTCATCCTATAAAGGCTAGTAAGAAAGGACTTGGTGAACAAAGAGTCCCTTTGAACATTGCCGGCACTCGGATTTGCGATGGCGAATGGCTTTACGCTGATACTGATGGAATCCTCGTTTCTCAGATCGAATTATCCGTTTAGAAACTAAGCAAAAAAATGAAGGAGCTTTGTCTTATCAAAGTATACAAAGAGTTTATGTCTTTGAAGTTGAAACTGTTACTGGAGCTAATAAAGAACGTTTTTTTTTTCAAAATCGTTATATATTTGGTTCGTTTAGGTTAAAACCAAAAATCCCAAATTTAAAGGATCCAAAAGTGCGTTTCGTTTCTCTCTCTCTCGTGCTTTGCTTTGCGATTGTAGTGTAACAATGGCGGCGAAGAGTTCGAGTATCACTCTGGGAGGGAAAGGATCTGCTTTATCTTCTTCCTCCGTTTACAAGGTTGCTTGCGGCGTCGCTAATGTAGTTATCGACTCTTCTGCGATAGAGAGATTCTCAACTAAAACCCTTCAATCGATAGAACGAAGCTCCTTTGGTATACCTCAAGGGTTAACGAACGAAGAGATCCGAGCTTCTCTGGCTGTGCTCTTAAACAAGCTTCTTTTGTCCAACTCCGGCTCTTCCTCTTCCTCCACCGTTCGTTCTCTTCTTCCGTTTAAGATTCGGGAGATTCTGAATTCGAGGAACGAGAGCTTCGAGTTCGGTGAGATTGAAGTGACGGAAGGGGAGAACATTGTGTTGGACAAGTCGTGGGCTTCGTTGATCGGACTATGTTCGATTATAGATCACAAATCGACGGCTCTTTCTCAGATTGTTGATTCCGTTGCTGCCTTGAGCTGCGAGGCTACGAGAGGTGATATCACTTCGTTTAGCTCGTTTGATTCAGGAGATGGGTTTGGTTGTAAAGATGCGATTAGTGTCGCCGGTGATCTCAAGGTTTTGCTTAATGGCTCTAAAGCTGTGGGGAAGTTTGAAATCGAAGAGATTTCGAAGATTCCGAGGATTCATGGCAAGTTCAGAGATGTGGTGAAGAGCTTGCACTCGGATGCTAGGATAGAGTTGAATTCGGGTGTTAAAGGAGGCAAAACCGGGTCTGGAAACTCTGGGATCGGTGAGGCTTTAGGAGCGACATTGTCAGGTTTGTCAAAGCCGATTCAAAGCTTGGGAGAATGTTCATTCCTTCGTGCTAAGCTATGTTTTGAGTCCATTGGAAACGAGGATCTGAGGACTCTGCTGGTGGAGAAGAGCTCTGTTGAGTATGAGAATCTGAAGAATGGCCTTAAGCTAGCTTATGATGCTCTCTTCGAAGAGGACTACTGCGGTTTTGCTCATAAATTGAATGAGTGTGTGGGGATTGTTTGGAGAATCGTTGGTTTGGAAGCAGTTGCTGCCTTCTCTGCTCTTCCAGGTGAGAAGAGAAAAGATGCAGACAAAGAGGAGAAGAAGAGCAAAGATGTGAAGAAGGCAGTTTTGGGGAAGGGAACAAGCGTGGTTATACAGTTTATCAAAGATAATGGTGACAAGATGGAGCCATTGAGCGAGTGGGTGGAGCAAATCTTGAATCTTTTTAGTCCGGAGAGTCACAGTTTTGATTGCTTGTTGGCTAAAGTGAAAGAGATTGTAGAAAGTAATGATTCCAGGAGACTTCCCAAGCTTCCGAAGGTATACATACATTGTAATCTCATCATCAAAAAAATGTTTAGGCCGCGAGTTGTCTTCTGCTCGTCTCATATGTTTGATTCTTGTGACAGGGTACTCGAGATTTCGCTGAAGAACAAATGATGGTACGAGAGAAGGCATTTGCAATCATACAAAACGTGTTCAAGAAACACGGTGCAACTGCACTTGACACTCCTGTTTTTGAACTGAGAGAGACGCTTATGGGAAAGTACGGAGAAGACTCAAAGCTGATCTACGATATCGCTGATCAAGGTGGAGAGCTTTGCTCGTTAAGATATGATTTAACCGTTCCGTTTGCGCGGTTTGTGGCTATGAATGGAATCACATCATTCAAAAGATACCAAATAGCAAAAGTTTACAGAAGGGATAATCCATCTAAAGGGAGATACAGAGAGTTTTATCAGTGTGACTTCGACATTGCTGGTTTGTCCGAACCAATGGGACCTGATTTCGAAGTTGTCAAGATTCTAACCGAGCTCCTAGATAAGCTGGAGATCGGAGATTATGTGGTGAAACTGAATCACCGGAAGTTGCTTGATGGAATGCTGGAGATATGTGGAGTACCACCTGAGAAATTCAGAACCATCTGTTCGAGTATCGATAAGTTGGACAAGCTGTCACTTGAGCAAGTGAAGAAAGAAATGGTGGAGGAGAAGGGTTTGGCTTCAGTGGTTGCAGACAGAATCGGCAACATCGTTGAGGAGAAAGGACGTCCTATGGAGCTGTTGTCGAAACTGAGACGAGAAGGGAGCGAGTTTTTAGCTAACCAGTCAACAAAGGAAGCACTTGATGAGTTGAGTATAATGTTTGAAGCTCTTGCGAGATCAAAGTGCAGTGAGAGAATAGTGTTTGATCTAAGTCTAGCTAGAGGTCTTGATTACTACACTGGCGTCATCTTTGAAGCCGTTTGTGTAGGAGCTGAGGTAAACAGAACAACAACAAAAAAGAGCCTTCTTTGGTTCTTGCTTCTTGCAATCCAATGAGAACAAAAACAGAGTAAAGGAATGATCTTTGCTTTTCTCTGCAGGTTGGATCGATTGCTGCTGGTGGAAGATACGATAACCTAATAGGAATGTTTGGGAAAAGGCAAGTACCTGCTGTTGGCGTGAGCTTGGGGATAGAGAGAGTGTTCAACATAATGGAAGAGCAGCAAAAACAAGTAACTTTCCTCTCAAGGAACCTCTTTTTTATATGTGATTGATTAAAAAGATTGGTTTTTTGAAATTTTGTTGTTGTTATTAGGTGGTTCGAGCGACGGAGACACAGGTTCTGGTGAGTGTAATGGAGGATAATAAACTAGGGGAAGCTGCGGAATTGGCGAGTCAGTTATGGGAAGCTGATATCAAAGCAGAGTATCTTGTGAGCAAAAGGAGAGCCAAGCATTTCGACCGTGCTACCAATTCAGGGATTCCATGGATGGTGATGGTCGGCAAAACAGAGCTCAGTGAAGGTGTTGTGACGTTGAAGAAGCTCGTTAAGGGAAGCGAAGAGGAGATTTCGAACGTTCCTAGAGATAGTTTTGTTGCAGAATTGTTGAAACGTCTCTGAGGTATGAACGATTCCAAAGATATTTTGTTGGATAAATGCATTTTCTTTTATTCGTTTTTGTTTTGTTTTGAATCTGATGAGCACGACTCGAAAATCTAAAAGATTGGTGTTATTGGAGATACGAAGTGAGAGGTTTTGTATCTTTACTAGAAGAGATATGATTGATTCGTGGATGGATAACACCGACCGGTTTCGACCCCAACTGATTGATTAATCATTCTGATAATTTCATTTTTTAGCTAAAAGAACTTCTTATTTAATTAAATAACCGGCCAGCTAGAGTGATTAATCAAAGATTAAACCGGCCATAGCCGCTAATCAGCCATCTGCGAAAAGATTAACGATTACTAGATAAAAAGAACCCCAAAGTAGCTTTTTAACTCATCATCGCTCTTAACTTAATCTATGATCTTATACAAAAGAGGTTCGATTATTTGATTGAGATTGGGTTCAAGCAACCAAGCAATCAAGGAAGAAGATAAGATTGAAAAAGTCAAAAATGATTTTGGGTTCCATGAAAGAAATAGAGAGAGAGAGAGAGAGAGAGAGGGGAACAGACAGAAACTAAAAAACTGAACAACAGGTTGTCTTCAAAATGTTGATCTGCAGATCTGCTGCATGAGAAGAACTTGATACGTGTTGGTTTCTGTGCCCCGTTGCCGACATGTGGCTTCGATTTTTGTATTTATTTTTTGTTGGTTGTAACCATTTTTTGTACTCATGACTATTTTGGGTTCTACTGAAAATGATAATATTGTTCTCTCATTCATATATTTGAATTTGGAGAAATTTGTTTTCCTCCGTTTTAGAAACAAGTTTACTCCAACCGATTTTTCAATCATTTAAAAAAAAAATTACAACCAAAACACTATGCTATTTTTAGAAACAGATAATTTCTGTTAAGCTAAAAAATTAACTTTAGGTTAATTATCTGTTTCCCGGTTTCTTTTCAAAAGTGAAAAATTAACTCTAAAAGGTTTATCTTATTCCCGGTTTAACTTTCACTTTCACTATTATCATTTACATCTTTTCAATCAACGGTTACAATACAAATATCACGAACATTTGATAATAAAATATAAATTTTCTTATCTTATATTATTATCCTTTTATTCACACACCGTATTTTAATCCGATAGTCTCTCACCTTCATAGGATGGGATGATTCGATATTTGTATGGATTTATATGATTTAAAATGCATGAATAATTTTTTTTATTTTATTTTGGTGGATGTCAGGAAATTATGTGTAAGAAACGTCTTATCCAACCCCATGTTAATTGTGCCAGCTTGAAATAGAAAAAACAATCATAACACAAACTCATATTCGTACATGAAAAAAAAAGAAAAAGAAAAAAATCACCATTATATCCGAAAGAAAAATCTCAAAACATATTTGGTTGTATTGTATTGAGAGTGTGACCCATCTCCATTACTGTTCATATCTCTCTTCTCTCTCTCTCTCTACATAAAAGTAGAAAGAACGGGTTTGTAGTTGGTGGTTGCGTTTCTTTCTCGTAAATTTTCATCTTCTTCTTCTTCCTCCTCCTCCTCAATTATCTATTTCTTGTTTCTCTTCTCTCTACGCACGAACAAGGTTCTTCTTCTCCGGTTTTCTGAATTTCCCCGATTGAATCTGGTTCTGAGATCCTCTCTGCTTCCTTTGATTGATCTGTCTCCTGGTTAGTGTCTTTCCAGCTCGAATTCAAATTTGGGTTGATTTTATAAAAAAAGTTTTAATTTTTCCAAGTGAATTTCATTTGATTGGTTGCAGAGGAAGAAGAAGAGAGAGATAGAGAGAGAAAAAGAGGGTTTTGGTGATTCTCGTGTTTCTAGTCTCTTTCCCAATCACTGTTTGATGGATTCTGATGTATAAATAAACAAACACCTCTCCTTTTTTATTTTGCCAATAGAAAAATTCAACGTAGATCTGTTCTCCTTTTCCTCTCTTTAAAACTTTTGGGGGCTTAAACAACTGTACACACATTTCACTTGTTTACAAAGACAAAAGAGAGAAAACGTTTTTCTTCTTTTTTTCTGAAAAGGGTCAGACAGACACACAAGTCTTACCTTACCTTCTTTTCTTTGGTCAGCTTTGAAAGGCTTTGCTTTTTTTTTTCTACCTTCATTCAATTTTGGCGATTTGGGTTTTTCTTAAGAATCACTTGGTGTGTATTGTCAGCTTCATCATCATCTGGGTTCTTGCAGAAACTAACAAGAACTTGAAAAAGGTTTTTTTTTTTCTTTCTCTTAAGGACTGAATCATCATTTGCTCTTTGTTGTGATCACTGGGGATCTGAAAAGGGGTTTACTTTGTTCTTACAGAGAATCTTTATGCATAGTTTGAATCATCATTGTTCTTTGTGGTGATCATTGGGGATCTAAAGCTTCAATCTTTACCACTGGAGGACCGTGGGTGTGATAGTACCATAGTTGGTCTGGAGTGCCTTCTTAATATAATCAGGGCCCTGAGAATGGGGTCCTGTCTATCTGCAGAGAGCGGGAGCCCTAGACCGGGCTCTCCTTGCTCTCCTGCCTTTAGTGTGAGGAAGAGGAAGAACTCCAAGAAGAGACCTGGTTCTAGGAACTCTTCCTTTGACTACAGGAGAGAAGACCCGTTGCATCGCGTTCCGGGTCGGATGTTCTTGAATGGGTCAAGTGAGGTTGCTTGCATCTTCACTCAACAAGGCAAGAAAGGTCCTAATCAAGATGCCATGGTTGTTTGGGAGGTTAGTTACATCCTAAAGTCTTCCCATTTTCATTGTTTTTTCCTTATGGTTATTACACAGGTTCAATTGTTCCTCCACTGCTTTGATCTAAAGCTTGTAAATGATTTAGAATATTGATTTTTTACATGAAAAAGTGTTCAACTTTCTTGGTTCTACACTAATCTATGAAAATGATTCTGATTGTTGTTGTTTTCTGGTGCAGAATTTTGGTTCACGGACAGATACAATCTTCTGTGGAGTGTTTGACGGGCATGGTCCGTATGGTCATATGGTTGCAAAGAGAGTCAGAGACAATCTTCCTCTCAAGCTGAGTGCTTACTGGGAAGCGAAGGTACCAGTTGAAGGTGCTCTCAAGTCGATCACCACCGTTAATCACGCAAGCAACGGTAGCATCTCTGAAGATACTCCTGCTGCTTCTTTTGTATCTGCTGAAGAAGAACCTCTTAGGCCATCCGTTGACATGGAAGAGTCCCATTCTGAATTGTTTCAAACTCTGAAAGAAGCGTTTCTCAAGGCTTTCAAAGTTATGGATAGAGAACTTAAGTTCCACGGAAGTGTTGACTGCTATTGCAGTGGCACAACAGCTGTGACTTTGATCAAGCAGGTAATTGTCTCGGCTCTGGTGCCTTTTAAGTTTAAACCTTATTCACTGTTTCAAGAAGCTGTCTTATATATATATCATCGGCGGTATCATAGGGTGAGTATCTTGTGGTTGGAAATGTTGGAGACTCAAGAGCTGTAATGGGTACAAGAGACAGTGAAAATGGTCTTGTTGCTGTTCAACTAACTGTGGATCTCAAGCCAAATCTTCCAGGTTGAATGTTTGTTCATTTATATGGATGTATGATGGTATCACTATGATGGATTCTTTGATTTGATTGGTTTTTGAATTGGTTTTGCAGCTGAGGCAGAGAGAATAAAAAAGTGTCGTGGAAGGGTGTTTGCTCTTAGAGATGAGCCTGAAGTTTGTAGAGTTTGGCTGCCAAACTGTGACTCACCTGGACTTGCAATGGCACGTGCTTTCGGAGACTTTTGCCTTAAAGATTTTGGTCTAATCTCTGTCCCTGATGTCTCTTTCCGTCGCTTAACCGACAAAGATGAGTTTGTAGTCTTGGCTACTGATGGGGTAATCTCTCTCCCTCTCTCTCTAACTCACACACACACATACACTCATGTTAACATTTCTAATGTTATGTTTCTGTGGTAGATTTGGGATGTGCTGTCAAATGAAGATGTGGTTGCTATTGTAGCTTCAGCTCCATCGCGTTCCTCTGCAGCAAGAGCTTTAGTGGAGTCTGCGGTTAGAGCTTGGAGATACAAGTACCCAACTTCCAAAGTCGATGACTGTGCTGCTGTTTGCTTGTATCTAGACTCCAACAACAACACAAACGCCATATCTACAGCTTCCTCTGTCTCCAAACTGGACGACGACGAGGGAGAGGAACTAAAAACCGCAACTGAGAATGACGATGATGATGCGTCAGGACCAAGCGGTCTAGGCCGTTCGAGTACTGTCAGGACCGGGAAAGAGATTGCTCTCGACGAAAGTGAAGCCGAGAAGCTGATAAAAGAAGAGGATCACTTAGATACAGAGCATGGAACAGAGTACTCTGCACTAGAAGGTGTTGCAAGGGTTAATACGCTTTTGAACTTACCAAGATTTGTGCCTGGAAAGTGAAATGAGAAGGAAAGAGTTTGAAGTGAAGAAGCTGAGTGGTGATAAATCAATCATTATCAAATAAATCACCTAAGAGAGAGGTACTATGTCTTTTTTTTGGTCTTGTTACAACTTTCTATATTGATCTCTTATTCTTTCTTTTGAGTCGAAGACATTCATTGGTTTTGAAACATAGTTTTTTTTTTTATGTCAGTTTTGTCTTTTTATTTCTGTCTTTATTTCGTGTTGATGTTTATGCTGTTTTTTTATTTTATTTTGGTTTTGTCAGTAAAGAAGAGTGAAAAACATGACATGATGTGTTGTAATAATGGCTTGTTGTGTCGTGAAACCCCTCGGACTTAATTTTGTCTGTCTGTGGGGAAATTTACTGTTTTTGTCTTTTCAGAAAGCTCCAATTCAACAACTGTATGATTTGTGTCAATCTCTGTCTCAGAATCATGAAAATTGCAATTTTTTTCAACAAATGGGAATCAAATTTCTTTAAACGAAAACAACAAAAGGAACAAACTTTTTACCAAGAGGTTTTCTTTTTCTGTAACTATAAAGCAATGTTAAACAGGAAAGGAATTAAGAAAGAAACAAATGTAAGAAGTTTGGTAACAGCTAAAGAAGAAGACCATGAGAGATTGTGAGCACCAACTGTGTAGATTGCTCCACTCTGTTCATCCTTTACTTGTATTCCTGCTGAGCCTGTGTGGTCGATTTATTACAGTCAAAACACTTAAAAAAACTCATACAATTTCAACAAAGACAGGATCTGCGGTGATGCTTACAGTTGTGATTGGTCCATCCAATAACTTGGTTTTCGATATCGTAGACAACTAACTTGTTAGAAAGCGCCATATCTGCGGAGCGAAACAAATCAAGATATCAGTTTTCTGGCGATTTGGTTATGAGAGACATTTTGGGAAGAGAGAGAGAGAGATATACATACCTCCAAGAATTGTCAATACTCCTACGCCTTTAGTCTGCATCCCGCCGTTTTGCCAGCCAAAACACCATGTGTTTTCCTAGAGTTTCGGTTTTATGTCAGAACAAGAACACGAAACAAGAAGACAAAGTCACTACAAGAAGGAAACTTACTTGAATTTGGAACAGATATTCTTGAGGAGTCACCGTCAATGAAGTCGACTTGTCAAACTGAAATGTCACAGGTGGGAAGCGATCTAATCTGTGGAAGCGTGTACGAATTAGTACAAATCCACCAAATAACAGTAACAAAGCAGACAATAGTGTGCACGAAACACCGAGAACTACATATGGTATGAGTTAGATTCTTACTTGTCAGTGTAATGGAAACAAGTAAACGAATCCTGAACAGTATGCAAGGTAAGCTCTGGATGAGAAGCCAAAATCTGCCAAAAGAAAACCAAACAAACAAAGTGTTTAGTACTTTAACTAGCTAAAGACAGATGATTTTTCACAAGACAAAAGAAAACAATTTGTCTAGACCTGACTCATTAACGGCTTAAAAACACCATCGGGAAGATAAACCAAAGTTGTACCACTGTCAACAATGACCCCTTTCTCTTCTCCCGAATCAAACGCTCCCGAAGAAATTTTCAGAACTGAATCACCAACTTGAATTGAATTGAGGTTGACACTATAGTGAGCTCTGTAAAAGCATCCCAAAAAAATTGTGAGTAACAATTCAAAACATTTTGTCACGACTTTGAGTAACAAGGCATTCACTCACGAGTTAGAGAGCATAGGAGTAGTCTTGACTTTGGGCGAGACGACTTCTCCAATGGTGAAGATACCACCTCCATTGTTATTATCCAAGCAATGTGCAAATGACCTTTTGACTTTTCTCTGTGAAGCTAGCTGCGATATAAACGACGAATTCGACTGTCCAAATCCAATTATCCCATCAACTGCGGATACGGATTCACCGAGCTGACCAGACTGCTTAGACCCGCACCTGTATAACAAAACACCGATTCAAAATTGGCAAAATGCATATAAGAAAGAAAGAATCTGTCTTTAGTCTTTACTCTTAAACTCACCCGAAGATGATAGTTCCATTGGTGGAACCGGTTTGGCGATTTCCGGTAACTAAATCCAAATGCATAACATCTCTCACTAAGTATCCGTTAGTGGAGCTTCCATCTCCGTATTGAATCACGTATTGACAAGTGGAACCAGAGTGACACTCTGATCTTTGGTTAACGTAAGAGCAGAAGCTGTCGCTGCAAGAAACAGATTTCGCAGTGGACGAAGCATCCGCGTCGTAAGGTGTTAGCTCTACCAAATCACTCTTCCTAGGACATCTGATGCAGCCAGCACAATTCACCCATAAGATGTCACTTCCTGTATCGACCTGGACATGAAAGTCTCTGGATGGAGTTCCTAGTCCGATTTTTGTGAAGTATAAACTGAAATCAAAGAAACCAAGAACAAGAGTCAAAACATTTTACACAAGAAGAAACAGAGAGTCAACAATGAGGTCTATGACCAAACAAACAGTGGAGAATCTGAAAAGATGAAAAGCTAAAAAGGGGTTTGTTTTTCTCAGATTCCACATTTATAGGCAACATAAAATAAATCGGTTTTTCGGTTTAAATTTCCCAAATTTTGATTTCTCTCTCTGAAACAGAAAAATCTCAAAATTTGGAGCTTTTAGTGATTGCGATTCGAACCCGACAGACTCAGGCTGGCTATCGCCGCCGAGAGGAAGATCGATGGCGGAGAGGAGTCGAGAGTGACGGTGAGTGTCGTGAGCTCTGAGAGCTCGGAGATCTATTTGACTTTTTCCGGCGAACTTGCTTCGAACCTCAAATACCAAATTCTCCGACGCCGCCGACGATAACTGCGGTGGATTCAGCAATGTAACGAATGACGCGGACAGCAAAATCGCCGACAAAGACCAATGTCTCCGTCTCAGATCCATCTTACGTCAACACTAACGAGGATATTCCTAACTTATAAATCTAGAAATGAAAAGGAAAGGAAAAGTGTCAGCTTTGGCGGTGGAGTGAGTTTTAGGACAAAGAGGGAGAAGAAAAGAGACTTGAAATTTACCAATAAAATTTATATATTTCCTTAAATAAATTTATTAACAGAAGTACAGAACAGAATGTCGAAGCACCTTTGAAACTGACTAAACAATTATACTTTTTTTGTATACTTTTTTTTCCTAAAAATTTGTTAGAAATATTTTCCGAGATTCTTAAATGAATCTGAACAAACCGTTACCTTCACTTTGGCGGCAGTTGTTTGCCTCTGTCCTGTGTCAAACTGTCAATTGTTCTCCAGTTTATAGTTGTTGTAGCTATGGGATTACTAATCACCAGGTTTTGATGTAAAATTACTACTTGATTTTGTTTTCCCCTAAAAAAATAACATTAGATGTTCTTCGTTAAAACTGAATTTTGTTTTGCCACTAATGCATATATCTATTTTGAATGCTATAGCTATTGATTTATTTTGTAATTAGTTTTTACGCTTATTTAACATTTTTAACCGTGTTAACAGATATATTAATATTCGAATCAAGATCAACGATCCATTATTATAGAATCTGAGAGTTTAATGACAAGCAAAAGCAAAACCATTTGATCACTGAACTACCAAGCTGTTGGCATTTTGTACTACTATGATGATGATCAATAATTTAATTTATAATTCATCTACAATATGGAAATAAATTAAATTTTTTTCTAAAAAGATATTGAGGGACCGAATCGTCATTTCCTAATAGACCCATAAATATCAAATTCCCTCGGGAAATTCTACACCTCCCGTTCATTTATCAAGAAACTAACGAACTGACATAAATACCCCCGAATATCCTTCTTCATCCGCAGCAGTTTGAGGGTATAATCGTCTCTTCCGCTATAAAATCCAACGATACAAAATATAGCTCACTCTGTTGAGACCGCACACACAACACACAAGCAAGCTCTGATCAACCTTTCGAATTCCAATTTCATCGTCTTCGTCTCCGTCACTCTTTGTTGAACTCGATAATGCCTCTCTCTCTCCGTCTCGCTCCATCTCCGACGGCTTTATCTCCAACCACCGGCGGGTTTGGTCCCGTGAGGAAGCAGTGCCGGATTCCTTACTCCGGCGTCGCCACGACGAAGATTGGTTTCTGCTCACTGGATTCTGTGAAAAGGGTGGATTCATCTGTGGTGAGGTGTAGCTTAGAAACCGTGAATGTGAGTGTTGGTCAAGTGACGGAAGTGGATAAGGACACTTTCTGGCCCATCGTTAAAGCCGCCGGTGAAAAAATCGTCGTACTTGACATGTACACTCAATGGTACGTTGATGTTATCCACTTCTTCTTCTATGGATAGTGATGACTTGATTGTTGAGAAATTCCTATTAGCTTATAGGAAACAGGATTAGAGCGGAGTCGACGATGCTTACTTTGTCACCAATGACTTGAAATCAATGGTGTTTAGATTGTTTGAAACTTATATTGATAATTTTTTTACAGTTCTCTCTTGATTATATTAGAAATCATGAAAATTGAGGAAGAACATCTTGTTCAGTGAGAGCCACTTGATGCCTGATTTTTGCTATGATGCTTTTTTAGTAAGGTTCAAGTTGTGAACAATAGCTTACTGCTACTATCAATTTTTTTTCCTTATAATTTATACAAGTGATAAGTTGTATGCTTTAGTTTTAATGATGTTAATCTTGTAAGAGAATTCAAACCTTTCTGTTCGTTCAACTAAATGATTTGTGTTATGCAGGTGTGGTCCATGTAAAGTGATAGCCCCTAAATACAAAGCTTTATCAGAGAAGTATGAGGACGTAGTGTTTCTTAAGCTTGACTGCAACCCAGACAACCGGGTTTGTCTTCTGCTTTTATATCTCATTTATTTCTCACCACCAAATACCAATGTCTTGTTGTTGTTTGTTGCTGCTTAGCCATAGACAGTAACTTAGAAACCCCTTTTTTGTTGTGTTTTGTTTGGTGCAGCCATTGGCAAAGGAGCTAGGAATAAGAGTGGTTCCAACTTTCAAAATATTGAAGGACAATAAAGTCGTCAAGGAAGTGACCGGTGCCAAATATGATGATCTTGTTGCAGCCATTGAAACAGCCAGGTCTGTTGGTTCCGAATGAACCAATCTCGTCTCTGTTGGCTGTGTATCAAATGTAAACTTTGTTGCTGTTGTTATTATGACTGTTTCTGTATATGTAAATGTTTCCAAGAAATATGATCAAAGATAATGCTTTATTTCTTGATATTGGTGTATGGTCATTGAAGCAGCATAACCGGCTCAACTAAACTACTTAAACCAGTGAACCTAATGGTCCTAATCCACACCAGAAAAACAAGGTTTAAGGAAACGTGGATGCCAAGTCAAGAATCTTACATAAGTATTGTAACAAATCATCGTGATCTTCATCACTTAATATTTTAGGCTAACGTGTAAGTTCCTCGAAAGTCACAAGTTATAATTTAGTCAGTGTCATTATTTCACAGCTGTCACTTAGTTGTGATTTCAATAATTTGTATGCATATTCAAAGAAACTCACTCTTATTTGTTCAGACAAACATATATTAAGAAAGAAACTTATAACCATTGTTTAAGGAAGACCATGTAAACGTGGCTACTATTTTTATTTCAATTAGCTGGCATTGTCGGCTGGTCAATCGCCAGTGATAATATAAAAAAAAAAAACAGAGAAGATCATACAGCGAAAATTGTGAATTCCAAGGAAATTAAGTCTCATATATATGAATATGATCAAGACGAGCCATCGCAAGACAAAGCTTGAAACTTCTTGACTTCTTCTTTCTTACCTTATTCTTCCCGAATCTGCAAACAGAGGATATGCCTACTAAACACATGATGCCGTTTCATGAACATCCTTTATATGTAGATGATGGCGACTCTGTTTCTTGGTTGTGCGCTTTGTGCTTATCAGACGAAAAACGAGGCACCGTCTATCTGTGCATGGAGTGTGAGCTCGTTACACACAAACAATGCGTCGAGCCATTCCTCAACCACCCGTTTCAGTGCAATCACTTCCTCAAGCTCTTCATGGCTTCACCAATCAGAGCTGAGAATCACCACCATTGTCATTTCTGTCGAAATCATCTCTCCTCTTTGTTGTATGCTCGTTGCACGGTCTGCAACATCAACATGGATATGGACTGTGTGAAATCTCCACCGCCGCTCACTGTATTTCAACCGAAGCATCACAAGCATAGCCTCACACTCTTGTCAAGATTGGTCACTTTTACTTGTAATGCATGTGGTTTGGAAGGCGACCGCAATCCTTACGTGTGTCTTGAATGCAATATGATGCTCCATAAAGATTGCATTGATCTACCGCGTGTCATAAGCATCAATCGTCATGATCATCGTATCTCTCATACTTTTCATCTTGGTCAAGAAGAAAGAGACTGGGAGTGTGGAGTTTGTCGGAAGATGATTGATTGGGCCTATGGAGCTTATACATGCTCTCGTTGTCCTAGTTACGCTGTTCATTCAAAATGTGCGACGAGAAGCGAAGTATGGGACGGGATAGAGCTTGAAGATGTGCCTGAAGAAGAAGAAGAAATCGAAGATCCATACAATGTAATCAACGAAACAGATATCATTCATTTTAGTCATGAGGATCATATTCTAAGACTGGATGAGAGTTGTGTAATCACGGATATGCGTTGCGGAGGCTGTGTTCTTCCCATTAACGAAGATGATCAATGCTACAAATGTGTGGAATGTGATTTCATTCTTCACAAAGAGTGTGCTAATCTTCCTAGGAAGAAACGCCATTTGCTTCACAACCATAAACTTGTTCTGCACGTTAACGAGGTTGCTTTTAAGTGTAGAGCTTGCGACATCTATTCCAACGGTTTCAGGTATAAGTGTGAAGATGGTTGCAAAGATAAGTTTGTGTATGATGTTCGGTGTAGTTCTGTATCGGAACCGTTTCACCATGATTTGCATCCACATCCTTTGTATTGGACATTGGAAGGTTCTAAAGAATGTCACGCTTGTGACAGAGAGACTAAGAATCCTCTGAGTTGTACGGTTTGTGAGTACGCTCTATGCATGAAGTGTACTACTTTACCAAGAAAGGTGAAACATAGGTGTGATGATCATTTTTTGTCGCTGCGCCAAGGTGTTGGAAACGCGAGTGGTGATTTGTGGTGTGATGTTTGTGAGTACAAGGTGATGGATCCGAGTGAATGTTGTTACTATACTTGTGATGAGTGTGGAGTCACTCTCGATGTTGATTGTGTGCTTGGAGAGTTTTCGTATCTCAAGGTAGGACACATAAGTCCCAATCTTGAAGTAGTTGCCAACAATGGTCTTACTCGGCCTTTATGCAACGGATGTAAAGTGCGATGCAAGTACGATAAACTGTTTAAATTTTTACTGAGTAACTATTTATATAATCAATCTTCAAACTTCATGTTTAACATTAGGTCAGAGCCCACATGATTTCTAGTCATAACTTGATCTACTTCATAGGCCAAGTCAAAAAGTATTGCTGTAGAGACTATTTTAGGCGATACGATATGATAAGGAGACTACGTACTTAATCGGTTGGATCGAGATCGATTGGGTCTACAGAAAAGAACATAAATCTTTAGATGTGTCGTCATATAGTAAACGCTAAGAGAATTAGAGAGAAACTTTATTTCCTCCGAAACTTTATTTCCAACCTAAGAAAAGGCTTCAGTTTTACACACATATTGCATGCAATAGCAAAACGCACTTACTCTACTGTATGAATGATCATTAGTACAAAGTAAGAGCTTAAACACCAATTAGGAGTCTCGACCAGACGCCACCACGTCAAGCAATATTTTATCCGCGTCATCAGAGGTCCTTCACTTTCTGAAGAAAAGGGGAAAAAAACGTAGCATTGGTCACAATGTGCATTCAAGTACTTCTTGATTATGTCAAAACTAACTAAAATCGTTGAGAAAAATGAAGGAGAGAAAATCTCCCTCTCTCTCTCTCTCTCTCTGCTCTACTCCACACCTAAGCCAATTGCCAAAGCCATACCAAAACCTCGAGTTGAGAACCACACGCCAAATGATGTTCTTGCTCCGTTCGACTCTACAATCAGAAATGACAAAAATAAACAAAAGCTCCCTGTGTTAGTCATCATATACTATATATATACATATGCGAAGCTCCCTGAGATCCTATTTTAATCTTCTGCCACTTTCTCGTCTTCCCCTTCTCGCCATTCCTTATTGGAGACTGGAAACCCTCGCTAGGAGATTCTTGTTAGTATCCTACTCTTCTGTTGATCCTTCGAAAAAGGGTTTCATTAGTTACCATTGATCAGCGAAAAGTTCAAAAAAGAAAAGGGAATTTGTCCAGGTTTCTTATTTCTTCTTTTATTGAACCTATTTAAGACCCAAAGAGATGAACCTACTTACCTTCGGTAAAATCTTTAGAGTCTTTTTCATGTCTTACCTCAAAATGTTCTTCCTGCAAAATAGGAACATATATAAAGATACTTATTATCCATTAGAATCATCCAAAGCATAAAACCGAATATTCCCCACATCACAACGCTTAAAATTATAAGCCAAATAGTTGTTCGGTTTTCCCTATCTAATTCTACTACAACTTACAATGTTTCTGAATACTGCAAAGCTGCTCTCTACAGTTGATTAAAAAGACCAAATGACGGGGCAAATCACAAATTATTGACATTTAAGGTCCTGATGTGAAATTAATACACCTAATGTCTCTGTTTCTACTTTGATGTGCTCATGGGAGCGAACCGAAACGGCGACGTTGAGGAGGTGAATCGCAAATACTACGACCGCGATGTGCTCAAGTTGAGGAGGTGAATCGCAAGTACTACGACCGCGATGTGTGCCGTCTTTACTTGCCTGGTCTCTGTCACGATCTCTGCCAAATGACGGTGCGTATATATATTTGAAACTTCCATAGCTTCACCGATGTTCAGGGCTTTATTATTTGCTGATGCTTCTTTTCCAATTTGTGTTTTATTATCAGAAAATGGATATATGGGACCTTGCCCAAAGGTGCATTCTTTGGGGAAGCTTAGAAAAGAGTATCCTTTTTGAAAGAGAAGCAACTTCGTTTAAAGTGTTTCTTTCCATTTCTGTTTTGCTGTAACTCGTTCCCTTAGATATCGAGAAGCAAGGGCCAAAGGTGTTGATAACTACGACAGGGAATTGGAAGATGCGATTGATAGGCTTATCGTTGAGTGTGATCGGAAGATTCGTAGGGCCCTTAAGCGTCTTCAGGAAGAGGATGCCAAAGCTGCCATTGTAATTTCCGTCTCTCAAGTCACTCAGGTGATGATTTGATTTTGTAATTTTTGTTGAGGTAGGTAACTTCTAAGCTTGGTACACTCAGGTTTGTTTTATCAACGTTTAACTGCAGACACCTGAAAATCGCGAGTTACCTGAGAAAATTAAAGAGAAGATGAAGTAAGCAGATCTGCTCGGTAAATGAAAACAATCTTGCTTCCGCTTTTGAATCTCTCCTTTTGATTTGTGGAGGGCTTTTGTTCTGTTAATTAGGAGCATTCTCTGGTTTGCATGCCACTTTGCAGATCTTGAAGGCAAAACGGATCTTAAGATTAGAGCTCTTGAGTTAGTTGAAGAGATGAGGACAACAAGAGCTGACCAACAGGTGAACTTTTTGTTGTTGCTGGTTTGTTGCGCATTGTACTTTGTTAAATTTATTTACCTATGGCAAATGGAAAGTCATTTGTCGCGTTTTGCCTCCAGGCAGTGCTGCTGCTGGAAGCCTTCAACAAAGATAGAGCATCCTTGCCAGTTGCCACAGCCCGTTCCAGCTCAGCCGCCAGCTTCAGCATTACCCCCACCGGATCCTCGCACTCAAGAAATGATAAATGAGAAACTGAAGAAGGCAGAAGAATTTGGTAAGGGAAGTAACCTTGATTTGTATGCTGTTAGCTGTTTATGGTCATCTTAATTTATAGCTCTTTAAGAAGCCGTTATAGTGGAATACTGAAACTGCTAATTAAATTATCCACGTTCTTTTGTTCCTAGCCAATGTGAGACTTTCGGTTGGCTGATCAAAGATTTCTTGACCTATTAACTGCTAGTCATGAATGTGTATAATGTATGTTCTTTGCATGTTATTATACCTATGTTAAGGAAACACCTGAACTTCTCATAGTTGGAAAGATGGTTATAGTAGCTATTTGTTTTCTCAGGCGAACAAGGAATGGTTGATGAAGCGCAGAAAGCACTGGAAGAGGCTGAAGCTCTTAAGAAGGTTCATCCTCTTTCTTAAGCTCGAATTCTTTTCCTCTGTTAGTAAAATAGGTTAGTCAAATAGGCTGAAGCTACTTCTGTTAGTCAGTAACTAATGACTGTTGTGCCAATATTTGTTTCAGCTTACAGTTAGACGAGAACCTGCAGTGGATTCAACGAAGTACACTGCTGTTGATGTGCGCGTTGTAAGTTTACATATTCCTTTCAGTGACGCCCTTAAGATTCATATTCCTTGTCTATTTATCAGTTTGTTTATTCAAAAGGAGAGTTGACTTCTAGAATGAAAACAGTCATGTTTTGACGTCTAGGTGAAGAATAATAGTAAATCTGAATAGACTCGTTTGATTTCCTTCGTAAAAGTATTCTTTGGGACAGAAGTACAACATCTTGGCATTCCCTGCTTAATATATGTAAACATTTGTTTCATCTTCTACTCTCACTTGTTGGTCCTGTATCATCTCAGACCGACCAAAAGCTGCGTCTGTATGACATCTATTATCATCTTAAACCTTGGGCTTTTCTCGCTCTTCCCTATGCGCTCGTCGATAATCTCTCCACAGCTTCGGAGCGATTACCCGAAACGATTAACGAATTTTCAGATTCAGAGGCAATATGGAATGTTATTGTAGGGACTAGGTAGAGCCGGTGATAGAGTCAGCGAAGAGTAGATTTTCAATCGTTTATCAAACGATGAGATATGTAACAGAGTAAATCTCTCCGATGCTTTGATTGACACGCTGATCCATATGTTTAGAGATGACTGGAGATCCGCGCTTGGGGTTTTGAATTGGGCTGAGTCTTGTAAAGGGCACAGACATTCGAGCGAATCTTACGATGATATTCTCGGGAAGGCGAAGAAATGGGATCGGATGAAGGAGTTTGTGGAGAGGATGAGAGGAGAGAAGCTCGTGACATTGAATACGATCGCTAAGATCATGAGGAGATTCGCTGGTGCAGGGGAATGGGAAGAAGCTGTCAACGTATTCAATAAATTAAGGAATTTGGTTTGGAGAAGAACACTGAATCGATGAATCTTGCGATTTTGCTAGAGCTCAAGTCGCACATTACGCCGAATGCTCACACGTTTAACATCTTCGTTCACGGTTGGTGCTCACACGTTTTATATGCAAGTAAGTGATTTTGATTTAATTCCTCTTTAATTTTTAATACTTTTATTCAACTCAATAGATTATTTTGGAATGAATCGCTTCCTATCTCTCCTGACTCCCTGAGTCAAAACCTATTTTCATCTTTTCTAGTCGTTTCATGCTTATGATTATTTCCCATTTCCACTACAAGTGTCCTTCTTGCACGTATTAATATTTTCATTTAAATATCACGAGACCACATACTAGGGTAAAAAATTTCTGTTAGCAGCTTATTGTGCAGTACTTGACTATTTATGCTATTGTTATTTGAAGCGTAAGCCTTACACAGATGCTAGTGTTTGCTGATATTTTCACCTTCTATATTTATAGGCAGCATCCGGTACTAAAGGTGGCTCAAGTGGTTCTCCTGTCATCGATTGGCAAGGCAGGGCGGTAGCCTTGAATGCTGGCAGTAAGTCCTCAAGTGCATCAGCCTTCTTCCTCAAGTGTATCTCCCTGATTTCATTTTTAGTGTTGCTTCAACTATGGTTCTTATATGAAATTCTCTTATGACTCTTAATCAACTATGGTTCTCTTGTTCGGAAGGTTGTCAGGCGTTGAGTTTTCTCCAGAAAAGCATCGACTCGTGCACAGATAAGCCAAAAGCAGTTCATATACCTCGTGGTACCCTTCAGGTTTGTTTTCCACCTGTTCGATTTTGAGTCTCTTTATAGTGTAGTTAAGAAACTTCCACGAATATTAGTTTTGACGTCTTTTTTGTGTGGAAATAGTTGGGTTCAGGCTGCCTAAAAGTTACTCGTACTGTTACATGTTATTGTTATGTTAATAGAATGTATGTGTAAGGTTTTATCTGTTTTCTTGTGTATTTAGATGACATTTCTTCACAAAGGCTTCGATGAAATACGACGACTTGGTCTCAGGAGCGAAACTGAACAGGTACATCATTTTCCTTCTTACCATCATGTAGGGCATCTTTCTTGTGTTACACACTGATACCTTAAAAATGCTATACTTGGCCATGTAGGTGGTCCGACATGCATCTCCACCAGGGGAAACCGGAATGCTTGTTGTCGACTCTGTGGTGAGTGCATTGCTTCAGTATTAACATGTGATACAATACAATAATAGTTTTCAAGGAAATGGATGCTGTATATCTGGTGCCTAAGCTTAAAGATTTTCATCTATATATGATGTCTTGACTTGTGGTAGGTGCCAAGTGGCCCTGCTGATAAACATTTGGAGCCAGGAGATGTTCTTGTTCGTGTGAATGGCTCAGTAAGTTATCTCGATTACATCTTTTTAGTAAGGACTGTTTTTCTGTTTGCTTCAAGGAATCAAGAATTGTGATATCTTTGCTGTAACATTAGTATGAAACGCATAATTTAGAATTAGTTATTTATTCCCTGACCATAGAACAATTAATCAGTGCATTTTCATTCTCTAGTTATTTTTTCCTCGTTCTGCTAAATCTCCCTCTCTGCATTTTTCCATTGTTATCAGTTATCACAGGTGCTTACCCAGTTTCTGAACTTGGAAGGACTGATTGATGATGGTGTTGGCGAGATACTTGAATTGGAAATCGAAAGGGGTGGACAGCCACTTTCTGTTATTGTATCAGTGAGTTCCTTTCCTAACTTTGGTTTTATGTGCGCCCACTCTTCTAGGATTTTGTGTTTAGTCTCTACCCAGTCACATACAGGCTAGAAAAACTAAGCCTATGCAAAGACTAGAAGTAAGATACATGTAGCCGTCTCTTCTGTTTTCTGTTGGTCATTCAATTTGTTCTTGCCGCGCTTTTTGTTTTCCCAGAGATTATGTAATTTTCATCTAGCATATCATAATCTGCTAATGTTAGTCATACTTCTTTCTTTTATAAGGATACATAACCTTATGTGTTTGTGTATTACCTGACACAGGTTCAGGATTTACACTCAATCACTCCAGACCATTTCCTGGAAGTAAGTGGTGTTGTGATCCACCCTTTGTCCTGTCAACAGGTAACTACAAAAATATATATTCTGCCAATTTCTGCTTCTATGTGCCTGTATGCATATTGATAATTGTGTGTCCTAAATGTGGAACTGTTGAGTTTATGGCTTAGGGTTTATTGTACTTGCTAATGTCTAGGGTTAGAGTTTATCTGTTATTGAATATGGGTGCTGATATTGCCAATTGATGACTAAAACCACTTTTCTCGTTTCCAAAGTAAGATGTTTAGCTGAAATGTTGGCTTGTCCATAATATATCTTTGGAGGGGCATGCTCTTTGTGAATTTAGTAATGCTTATTGTTTGATCTTGGAACTTGTTAATGTACTATCAGTTGGAGGATCGTATCAATATGCTAGTTATATTATTCGTTACAAATGCTTTGGAATTTTTTTGACGTTACCCTTCACATGCCACACTTACTTGCTAGATCTGAGCTTTGAAGCATAACTAAGTGATCTCGGGATGTTACTACCCCACCCTTATGCTGATAAACAAGCTTACTTTTTTTTTACTGACCTCTTATGGGCATTGGCTAATCTTTAAAGTTCTTGACACAACAGGCTCGTAATTTTCGTTTTCCTTGTGGCCTAGCATATGTTGCGAACCCTGGGTACGCTGATCTACTTCCTTCTCCATCAAAATTTTCACATTTTCTTTATCCATTTGCTATTCCTCAATAGAGTCCAACGGAAAGGAGTGTTTCCTTTCATGTTCTTTTATTTCTGAAATTATTTATCTGCATACTCGATACAAAAAGTCAGCTGTAGCTTATTCTTATACCCACTCAGTTTATAAAATGGCACACTTTTATAATCTCTTAACCAGAAATCTTAGAAAAGTTTGTGTTTAGCTTATAGTCTTTCTGTTGACTTATTTTTAAATCTTCTTGATTGTTGTGTCAATATCCTTAAATGTGAGCTTATTGTGAATGCAAATGATTCCATGATCAGAAGATTTATTCTTATACACTAGATATTACAAGTCACTGTATTTCTGGACTTACTTAAATTAGCGAGTTTCTATGCAGATACATGCTATTTAGAGCTGGGGTCCCTCGACATGCTATCATCAAGAAGGTTGCTAATGAGGATATTTCTGGTCTTGGGGATTTAATATCTGTTCTTTCGAAGCTCTCTAGGGGTGCTCGTGTTCCCTTGGAATATATGTCTCATACTGATCGCTATCGCAAGAAGGTGATATATATGATCATTTGTTAGACTTCCTAACCCACTGAAAACATACACTGGTTATATATGATCATTTGTTAAGCTAAATCAATCAGCATCTGCATTCTTGCATGCAATTTGTTGATTCTGTGATAATATTACATTTCTTCTCGCTGTTCAGAGTATGTGAATCTTATTGCTACTGCGGTGCTGATTGATCTCTATGATCACTTTCTATGGAAAAAAATAATCTCTGAAGCTCTATGATAATCACAGTGGATCTTTTTTTTGCAGACAGTTTTCTTGTCATTAACATGCTTGGCGTCCATGTTTTTTATTTAAAATCTTTGATATTATTCAAATGAGAGAAGTACTTATTTTGGATTTTCTATTTCCTGCAGTCTGTGTTCGTCACAATTGATCATTTGATCGTCATGAATGGTACGCTCCTCCACAGTTGTATACCCGTAATGACAGTTCTGGTTTATGGGATGCGAAACCTGCAATCGAACCTGCTGCTGTTCCACCATCTATTGGTAATATTGGTTTGCCTATAAACCAAAATATTACTCTCTGCCATCACGATACAGAACCCATGCATGAAGTGAATGTTCGTGGGGTTACTGATACTGCAGCTATTATGGAAACCTCTAGCGGGGATGGTTCTCAGAATGACTTTGGGTCAGAAGCAAAGAAACAAAGAGTTGAAGATGATTCTTTTGATGGAACTGTCGCAGACGGCTTAAATGGCAGTGAAATTAAATCTGATGATGCAATGGCAACAGATAATACAGTTTTAAGCGACTACGAAGGTGCAACAGCACTGCTTGCTAATTCTTCATTGGCTGAACGTGCTATTGAGCCTGCTCTTGTCATGTTTGAGGTAATGATTAAGAATTCTCTCAAATTTGGGTGTGGCAGTGGATTCTTTTAATATGCTGAGAAGATGGGGTTGTCACTGAATAAAATAGTGTACAAATTGAATTCAAGGTTCAGATTTCGTACTCACCAAAGCGACGAAGTATAACATGTTAGATTTGCTAGCTGTCTGAAAAATAATAATCTATGGATGCTTAGAAGAAAACCATAGAAGTATGGTCGTGTGAACGGGATTACTGTCTTTGCTAAACATGTTTCTGGTGTTTGTGATTTTGATTATAGTTTCTATTGTGATTAAAAGGCAACCTGCATATGCTGAAACCAAGTTCTCTTATACAGGTTCATGTACCACCCATCGTGCAGTCTTGATGGTGTACATTCACAACATTTCTTTGGGACTGGCTGATAAGAAACTGCGTATTATATAGATAGGACTTGCTGTGGTCGACAAAAACACTATTGCAATTTCTTCATCTGATGTTATGTTATCCTTTGCTGCTTTTCCAGTCGAGATTCCTGGAGAGGTTAGATTTCACTGAGAAGCTTACAGTTCATGGAAGGAAGCTTTAGTATTGATCTTTCTTAACTGAAATGCAGGTGGTATTTCTTCATCCTGTTCACAACTATGCTCTTATTGCGTATAATCCGTCAGCATTGGGCCCTGCCAGTGCTTCAGTCATTCGTGCAGCTGAGCTACTACCTGGTATGTCAGTACAAATCTGTACCAAAGCACCTTGGGTATTATAGTCTTGTCAAATGAACGAGTTCATGTTGCGATGACTTGTCTGAACAGAGCCTGCACTGCAACGTGGAGTCAGTTTATCTTGTCGGATTGAGTAGGAACCTTCAAGCCACATCAAGAAAATCTATTGTAACCAATCCTCTGCTGATTCTCCCCAGCATCAATTGGCTTTTCATTAGCTTTGTAGTTTTGGTTATGTCTGACCTTTTACAGGATTGTATGGAAGACTATGACCTGGATTAGTGACCTGCAGATTGAAGTTGTAATCGTTGTGTTGTTGTTTGCAGGAGAGTGGGAAGAGAGAGAGCGGAGAAGATAATCTAGAGGAAGTATCAAGAGGGGAAGCGAGAGCTCACATGTTTCTGAAAGAATTTGCAGAGATGCCACTTGATATAAAACGGAGCTTAAAATTTCACTTCAACGCCTACCTGAGATGGAAGAAAGATGCCACTGGGTTCCCCTTTGGATTCACTTCACTTAGTATGTAAAGTGTTGTCTTTTGCTTTGAACGAGACTGATGAAGTCATTTTTGTAAGTAAAACTTGTTTGTTGACGATCTCTATGAGAGTATTGCAAACTAATACAATCGTTTCTGCAGACTAAATAACATTTATTTTCCATTCTCTCTGGCTTTCCATCTCTTTCTAGTTTTCATTGTGGGTACTAGTTTGAGTAGTACTAAATGTAATCGCTTTGTAATTTTGAAATCAAAGGGGGTAAAAGCTCGAATTTGGGTGATCGCTTTATCTTGGTAACAAATGAATTTAGATAGCAAACAAGAGTATTTCAAAGAGTATTTATCGCGTTTATTTCAAAGAGTATTTCGGTCTCAAATAGCAAACAAGAGGTTCAAAACAATTGTCTGAAAAAGAACATCACAAAGAGAGAAGAACAGAGAAAGTAATACTAATAAACTAGGGGTACTTGACAAAGTGGCTTTTCTTCCTTTTGCCGCCTGGTTTGATTTGCGCTAAACTTGGGACAAAAGAGCACACATGTGGGCCATGATAAATTTTGTCAGATCCTCCTCCTTTTAAGTCCTCTTTTTTGAAATATCCATCCTCCCCAACGATATAAGCCACCCTCTCCAATGACGACCCACTGTCAGGTCGAGCAAGATCAAGAACGACGGCGACTTTCTTCTCCTCGTCAACAAAGAAACTCGCAAATGCGACATCAAACTGATGTTGACCAATGAGTGGTTCCATATCCACGGCTAACATGTAAAATTTGCTCCACGATACCACTTGAGGATCAATCTTAGTGGTGATCCATATCTCCATACGTAATGTAAACTGGTGCTGATACAACACAGCAAGCTGCTCATCCCTAACACTAGAGAGACTCACAGTGTCCTCGGCGTAAGAGTGAAACGGTAGACTCAGAGGCTGTCCAAATCTCTCTGTGGTAAAATCATAACAGATCAAGTAATCTGGGACCTCTGATATGTCAACCGGATGTGGAAGCAGCTGCTGAGCAAACCAATAAGTATTTCCATTCAAAGACGCGCCACGTGCATAAAACTCTATATCCCACTCCGTGTTGATAGTGATAGGCATTGTAGTATCATCCTTGGAAGGGTTGATGTAGTAGACTTCACACCGAACGTTTTCGTGACAAGTTAAACCAAATCTCAAAACTTTGTACTTGCGGCGTGATTTGCTAATCTCATCGTATCCTATAGCATAATTATAGCGGCAGATTCCATAGCTATCAGGTAATAGTTTGAACCACCGGTTTTGGCCAGTATACGGATTCCAAACAACGAGTCTAGTTTCATCTATCGTGACGCATAACAATAAGCCGTCGCAGTGATAGACTTGATATATATCGACTCGATTTAAATCGTCTAGGCTGATAAGTTTACCTTGACGGTTTATACATGCGTCGACGCCCTTGTGGAGGTTTATGCTCATCAGATAAAGCCGATGACTTATCCTCATCACCACCATAGACTCCCTTGCCGCTGCTGCTTTCGCTCGAGCAAGGTGCTTCTTTGTAAAGCCTCGACCTTTGGATAAACTGTTCCATTTCTTGCAAACAGATCGCACTGCTCTGTTTGATGTCACCGGAAGCCTTATCAGGACTTCCTCTGCCAAATCCCTTGTAAGATCCGACAGCATCGGATCGATGATGTCTGACAAGATATTTTCTGTCGTGTCTCGCCTACCGATTTGAAGACGCGAAAACCCCCAAACAACCCTAGCTGAAGCTGGGCCAATCATTTACCTTTTAGAATCTAGTGGGCTTTTAATGTGGCCCAAGATAAGATTTCAAATACCCACCGGATCCTCACCATGTGGAATAAAACAAACTCGTGTTGTTTCAATTTCTTCATCAAGTATCTCTGGTGGATTCTTTTAGTAATAGCGATGAGAATCGAATCTGGTCATTCAAAATGTGCGACGAGAAGATGAAGTATGGGATGTGATGTTTGTGAGTACAAGGTGATGGATCCGAGTGAATGTTGTTACTATACTTGTGATGAGTGTGGAGTCACTCTCGATGTTGATTGTGTGCTTGGAGATTTTTCTTATCTCAAGGTAGGACACATATAAGTCCCGATCTTGAAGTACTTGCCAACAATGGTCTTACTCGGCATATATGCAGCGGATGTAAAGTGAGATGTAAGTTTCCATTCCTCGTGAAGAAAACTACAGAGGAATTAATCTGTTCGTTGCTTTTGTACGATAAACTGTTTAAATTACGGTTAAGTGATTATAATGATAATAAAACGTCCAAAATTCATGTTTAAGTTGTAAAACAACGTGCTTAAAACTTTGGACAAACTCCAAAGACATCAAATTCCTCCAAAGACACCATATGCCACAAGTTTTACACACACATTACATCTGTAGAGCATTACATAGCAGACAAGTGAGTTGGACAGAAAAAAGAAAGTCTACATAAAAAAAACATGAATGCCCAACAAAGCCATAAGCTGTGACACAAACTCTGGGTGTCCCGGCCATGCTGCTCCAGTCACCAGATTCCCGTCGGTGAAGCATCGGTGGATTGGATCCGGTTCAAGCCAAGTTCCTCCTCCAAGCACCACGTTCAGTTTCACCGCTGGATAAGCAGTGCATTTCCTTCCCTGCAACATCAAATCAGATCCAGCAAGTTTCAATATACATTACACAAACTGTAGTGACCAAGAAAAAGAGAGAGCATAATTTATACATAGGAGCTACGAATCAACAATACTGACCTTGAGGAGACCGGCAGCAGCTAAGATCTGCTGTCCGTGGCATATCGACGCAACTGGCTTCCCGGAATCCATAAACTCTTTGGCAATTTCAAGGACACGTTTGTTCAACGCCAGATACTCTGGAGCTCTGCCTCCAGGAATGACCAGAGCATCATAGCTGGAAGAATCAATGCCGTCAAAGTCAGCAGTCAAACCAAAAGTGTGGCCTGGTTTCTCACTGTAAGTCTGGTCACCCTCAAAGTCATGGATCGCAGTTGGGCATCGATCACCAGCCTTCTTCCCTGGACAAACCGCATCAACTTCACACCCCAAAGCTCGAAGCGACTGAAATGGGACTTTGACTTCATAGTCTTCCATGTAATCCTGTCAAAGCTCAAAAACAACTGAATCAAACATGGTTACTGATATAAACTGAGTCAACGAAAGAGGTAAGGTCTCGCTCGCTTACCCCACAAAGAAACAAGATTCTTTTATCTCCTCCACTTGTTATGCCGCCCAGAGCCATCAAGAAAAGCTGGATAAAGTCAGGATGGCCCTCATACGTAGCTGCAGTAATCAAACTGCCATCAGTGACACAAATACCAGGCGTTACTGGCTCCACCCACTTGGCCCCTGCAGCGATAAGGGCAGGTCCAAGAGTTGCGTAAGCTGTGCAGCTTCGACCTTTGACTGCGTCTGCAGCTGCCAATATCAACTGTCCGTGGCAGATAGAAGCTATGGGCTTCCCTGAGCTCGAGAACTTTTTAACCAACTCAACGACGGATGCATTCAACGCCAGGTATTCAGGAGCTCGTCCTCCTGGGATAACCAATCCGTCGTACTTGGTGAAGTCAACTTCATCAAATGTTGCATTAAGAGTGAAATTGTGGCCTCGCGACTCCGAATAGGTCTGCAATTTCTCAAACAAATCTAAATCAGCAGCGGATTTTCGTACTGAAAACTAAAGTGTTGAACGAGCTTCGGATTCCGATTTAGAAGAGAAATTACAGTTTCAAACGAACACTAAAAAAACCCAGAAGAGCCGGAAGCGATAAATCAATCATCGAATTCGTCGCTCAATTGAAAACGAAGCAGCATTTCTGAAATTGAATCTTTCAATGGACACAGGTCGCTACACGTCGAGATCGAGAGAGAGAGGGAAACCTGGTGGCCGCAGAAATCGTGAACGGCGGTGGGGCAAGAGTCACCGGCCTTTTTCCCGGGGCAGACGGTATGGACAGAGACTCCGAAAGCTTGCAAAGCCTGGAACGGGACCATAACCTGAGGGAAGAACAATCGAATTTTCACATATATGTACAAGAAGAGCGAAGAAAGAGAAATTAAGAAAGGTAGAAAAGGAAGCAGAAGAAGACCTCATAGTCTTCCATGTAGTCACCGCACAAGATCAAAATAGTTCTCGAATTCGCCATTTTCAGCAAAAGAGAGAGAGAAATCGATACTGCTTTTGCTTGAATGTGTTCAACTATGGAAAGATTGCTTCAAGGTGTATCACTGATTCACTGAGACTTGACTTTCTGGAGATATCTGGTGACGGCGGCGTTTAGGGACGAGTAGTAGCACGCGTGGTCTCATTTTCCCGCACGTATCGCATAATTAAAAAAAAATTACAATGGATATTATTTATTGTAAAAACGTGAACGGCAGGATTCGAACCTGCGCGGGCAGAGCCCACATGATTTCTAGTCATGCCTGATAACCACTCCGGCACGTCCACTCTTGTGTGAAATGTTAGCTAGACTAGACTCGTTGAAACTAGACTCGTTGTTTGGAATCCGTATACTGGCCAAACCCGGTGGATCGAACTATTACCTTGTCGCTCTGGAATTCGCCAACTTAATTATGCTATAGGGTACGATGAGATTAGCAAATCACGCCGCAAGTACAAAGTTTTGAGATTTGGTACAACTTGTCTTGGAAACGTTCGGTGTGAAATCTACTACATCAACCCTTCTAAGGATGATGTTACAATGCCTATCACTATCAACACGGAGTGGGATATAGAGTTTTATGCACGTGGCGCGTCTTTGAATGGAAATACTTATTGGTTTGCTCAGCAGCTGCTTCCACATCCGGTTGACATATCAGAGGTCCCAGATTACTTGATCTGTTATGATTTTACCACAGAGAGATTTGGACAGCCTCTGAGTCTACCGTTTCACTCTTACGCCGAGGACACTGTGAGTCTCTCTAGTGTTAGGGATGAGCAGCTTGCTGTGTTGTATCAGCACCAGTTTACGTTACGTATGGAGATATGGATTACCACTAAGATTGATCCTCAAGTGGTATCGTGGAGCAAATCTTACATGTTAGCCGTGGATATGGAACCACTCATTGGTCAACATCAGTTTTATGTCGTGTTTGCGAGTTTCTTTGTTGACGAGGAGAAGAAAGTCGCCGTGGTTCTTGATCTTGCTCGACCTCACAGTGGGTCGTCATTGGAGAGGGTAGCTTATATCGTTGGGGAGGATGGATATTTCAAAAAAGAGGAGTTAATAGGAGGAGGATCTGACAACACTTATCATGGCCCACATGTGTGCTCTTTTGTCCCTAAGTTTAGCGCAAATCAAACGAGGCGGCAAAAGGAAGAAAACCCACTTTGTTAAGTACCCCTAGTTTATTAGTATTACTTTCCCTGTTCTTCTCTCTTTGTGATGTTCTTTTTCAGACAATTATTCATTTGTTTTTCACCTCTTGTTTGCTATTTGAGGCCGAAGTACTCTTTGAAATAAACGCTTCTTCCAATGACAGTACAACATCATGGTAGTGCTGTCCATATGGACATAAAAACAGATATTGCAAATTCAAAGTCTCAAACTCGGTAGTGGCAAGTTTAAAAAAACGTGAACGGCAGGATTCGAACCTGCGCGGGCAAAGCCCACTAACCACTCCGGCACGTCCACTCTTCGGTTAACTGACATCTATTTTATTATATATATATAACATTACAAAAACTATCACGCGAAAAACGAAGGCTTTAATCTAATCCCAATTATGAAGGAGGCTGGAGCTTCACGAAAAGTGGTTGGTGGCAGCATACGGCGCGCCAGTCCGTCCGATGGCCGACGAAAATGCGCGCCAGTCCCCGAGTTGAACGATTTGAAGTGGAGAAAAATTGTTGGATTGAAAAGTCATATATCACAAGTTCCATTAAAAAAGCTAAAAATATTCATGTACTTTTTGACCAATAAATTGACCTTGAGCTCTTGATTTTAAATCCTCTGATATAAAACAGAGTATCTCTGGTGGTCTAATACAAATTGGAATCTGATACTGAGTCAGAGGAGCCTATTAGGGATTTTACCGTCTTCTTTCTTTCTCCTAACTCACATTGCCGATATAAACAACTGAATTCTCGCCTGTCCTCGTTCCTTCTCCTCTGCTCCTTCAACATCTCCAATGTTGTCATGATATTCCTGTCAAGGGCTTACTTATGTTAGCTAAAGTAATAAGGAAGGATAAAACTGGGTCGCAGAGAGTACAGGTTAAAACAATATGGTGTGAAAAAGAGAGATTTATTTGTAGCTAATCCGTGATGGGATTTGGACTTATCAAATTGTTCAAAAAGTTGTCTACACATAAATTAATTGCTGTAGAGACTACTTTCAAGGTGAGAAAAGAGAGAACCTGAAGTATCTCCTTCACATCGCTTTTACTGAGCTTTTGTTGCTTCAACAGCAGCTCAATCCGCGCTTTCATTCCAGAATGCCTACATGTAAGGGTTCTTTTACAACTTTAGTATGCCAGAAACTAAGCTTAGGAATGCATTTCAAAGGTGTTTAAAAGGACGAGGGGCTTACTCAGAACACCAAATATGGCCCAGAATAACAGCAACAAGCTGCAATTTTCAGAGCTAACATTACTCACGGTTAAGAATCAAGTAGATATAACAAGCCACAAATACTAAACATAGTCGAACCTGAAGACTGTAGAGGCCTGACTCTAACTTCCGATTATACTTTTCATCTTCATCCAACTGTAAAGCAACACAGTGGAATCAGTTCAAAAACAAACAGATTCAAGCTTAGAATGAAAACACAAAAGATATAGAGGAGAAACTGATTTACCTCTAGGTCATCAAGCTCAAGTTGGTCTAACCTCTCGGCCGCTAATCTAACCCTATCAGAGTATCTGCCAAGTGCAAAGACACAACTTTAGGATAAGTACTAGTGAATGGTTAATACACTCAAGTGATACATAATAATATAACAAAGCTATGCCGCAAAGAAATGTTGGCTCTTTAGTCAGATGCTCAAAATGAAATAACTGAAGAGGAACAGAACACTTGTATTACCTCATGTATAGCTCCATAAGGCGATCGATCTTCTCATATTCGTTCTCCACGAACTTGCTTAGCAAACGGTCTCTTCTAGAACCCCTAAGAATCCCAGCTGAAAGAAACCAATGAATTATCATCAAGAGCATGCAATCAGAACACATTTCTTTTACATGAACATCTCACTTGACTTCTTACCAAATAATGACGCAATCAGCGATATAACCCGCTCCTCTAGCTCCTCCTTATACCGCTCCCTCTTGATCCTCTTGTTAAGCGGAATCTAAACAATCAAAGAAGTAAACAAAATCACTATGAAAGCAACATTCATACAGAAAGATGCTCAGAAAAAAAGAAGTGGGATTTGAGAACTTGCCTTACCCATGAAAGCAGCAAATGCTGTTTTCAGTCCCATAACATCTAAGAACCTCTCACACGCAGGTGGATAATTGGTCATGGCGAAGTCGAGAGCTCGAATTGCAGACCCGTAAGCATACTTCTTCTGCTTCATGATGATAATCATCAGCTCAACTCCTTCCGCATTGACGAACCTCTCCTTGTTCTCCAATGGCATCAAGAGGCAACACAGACTATCGAATAGATTCTCCAACATCTCTTCCTCGTCAGGATTCTTGGGATCCTTTGACTTATACATCGCCACACCCTCAAGCAGAGCGTCTACGCCATTCATTTGCCCAAGCCGTTTCTGGTTCGCCGTGCTGTTTTGCAGCAGAATCGCCAGAATCTCAGACGCGTATTGCTTGATTCCCTCGAATTCCCTCACCTTGATCTTCACAAGAAGCCACCGCAAGAGCTTCGTCCGTTCACACACCATTTCAGCCACAGCCGGCTTCACTTCCACCAGATTCTCAATCACCGTCAATGTTGCGTATATAGCCGTTGCCTCATCTGGGTCTGCCTCCGATAACCGGTTCATATTCTGAACCAAGAGCTCGAGCACATTGTTCTCTACCAGCGCGTCGATTAGCACACGCGCCGACTCGTCGTTATCCTCTACGGCATCTCCATCGGTCAGATCCTGAAGAAGCTGAACAACGTCGTTCGCGATATCGGCGTTTTCATGAGAGAGGAGATTCACAATCGAGGAAACCGTATTGGAGGCAACAAGGTCCGGGTAAAGCTCCGGAGCCCCAGCGAGAACCTTGAGCTTCTGCAAATCATCGTGTAGGTCAACCTCCGAGTCAGCGAACTTTTCAGGATTCTCCACATACTTGAGCCGAGCAGCTATGTTGTCCCTGAGACGCCGCTCGAAGGATAGGACAAGCTTTTTTAGGGTTTTAAGATCAACTGCCTCTACTGGAGGATTATGCGAAGAATTCTCCATTGCTTCAAGGAGAGAAAGATCTACAGTGTTAGGATCGTAGCCGTCGGAGCCTCGATACGCCGGCGGAAATGACGGCGGCGAGTTGTGCCCGGGGTCGATTGCTTTCCGTTTTCTGGCGTGATTTGAGACTTCCATGACTAAACTCTTCTTCTTCTCAAACCAGATTTTGCTTTAGAGGTTTAAAAGAGGTGAAGATCATTGGACTTTATGATTTGGGCTTTAACTTATCAAAAGCCCAACTTTCAAGCAAGAATTTGATTAAATGTTTTATTAACAATTTTCTTTTTTTGGCCAATCAGCTATCCCCTTTTTGAAACATGTCAGATACATGATTTATGAAAAGGAAGAGAAATAAACCCCACACACTAAGCAAAATTAGATCGTCTTCTCTCTTTCTCTCTCCGCCGCTGCGTAATCTCCGATTTATGGTTCTCCGTTCGTCGGCGGGAGAGTTTGAGAAAGCGTGAAGATGGGATTTCTCTCCCACAAAATCTCCATTGATGAATTGAAACCAGGCGATCACATCTATTCATGGCGTCAGGCCTATGTCTACGCCCATCACGGTATCATCTTCTCTCTCTGTTTCCCTATTTATAGATTACATACATTTACCTTCATTTTGATCCTATATGCATCTATTTTCAATCGTAGATATCTCAATTAGATTCGCGAAAACTTCCAAATTGGGGAAGAATCATAATATTCTGTTTCGATTTTGATCAAAATAAAGGTTTAGGAGATTTCTTCGATAATGATTCTATCATTCTGTGTGATTCGCAGGAATCTATGTAGGTGATGGACAAGTCAACCATTTCACTCGTGGGGATGGCCAAGAGACTGGAACTGGGACTTTCTTGGATAAGATCATTGTTAGCTCATCCCCAAATCATGGAGATAGCCCGTGTCCAAACTGTGGAGATAGATCCGTCAAGGTTGGTGGCGTAATCTCCTCTTGTCTCGACTGCTTCCTCGCTGGAGGTGATCTCTACGTCTTCGAGTACGGTGTCTCTCCTGCTGTTTTCCTCGCCAAGCCTCGAGGTGGCGTGTGCACGATTGCGTCTTCAGATCCTCCGGAGGAAGTCATTTACCGCGCAAACTTCCTCTTGCGAAATGGTTTCGGTGTTTACAATGTTTTCAAGAACAACTGTGAGGACTTTGCCATCTATTGCAAGACTGGTATTCTGGTGGCGAACACTGATGTGGGAAGGAGTGGTCAAGCCGCTACAATGGCTGCTGCTGCTAGCGTTGTTCTTTCTTCACCACTCAGGTTTGTAACGGGTTTTGGTGGTTTGGCTGTGGCTGGCTATGGCATGTACTGCGTCGGTCGCTTGGTTTCAGACATTGGCATGCGTTGGGATGTCAGCAAGGTCCCTGTGGAAAGACTTGTTGCTGATATGGCTGAGATGGAAAATAGTGAACCGGAGGACAAGAAGACGACTTAACCGCTATGTGTTCCAGAATGGTCCGGTTTGGGACTACTGTGGTTGATATATGATTGTAACTGTTGTGGAGTTAAGTAAGAGAACATGCTCAATGCTGTATCGAATTGTACAACTTCATTTGTTATGTTATTATGATGAAACTTGGCTTATGAACTACTACGATAATTCACTTTGTTATATACACAAGTGTAAATCGAACAAAGTGATGTTTTTACATTTATAAGAAGCTTTGAAAAAAAAATTCTCAATCGTCGCCTTGTGGAAAGTTCACTAAGTATATAGCAACTAAAGTGACGGCTGCTCCGACCAATTGCAACCAGGAGAACGTCTCATCAAGATACAGATACCTGTTCCAAACAAAATATGTCAGAATACGAACCAACGAGTAAATCAGAGAGAAACATGAAATTGTTGTTTGATGACTTTAGTCCTACCCAAAGATTGAAGCAAACATTGGTGTCAAGAAAGTGAGTGAACTGAGTTTAGTCAGGCTTCCTGCAAAAGTAGACATGATAAAAGAAATCAGAAATCTGAAACTCAAAGCAGCGATGATACATCATGAGGAGAGGAGGAAGCAAAATAGAACCTTGAGTCGCGCTGTAGAAATAAACACCGTAGCTAATGGCGCTGCCAAAAATGGATGTGTAGAGAAGTGCTATGACATCATTTGTGGTTAGCTCTTGAATACCTCCATTGAAAATGGGGTCATGGTTGATAACGGAAATCGCCAAAAGAGGAAGGCCACCGATTACCATATGCTGCAGAGAAAAAACGAGAGACATGTTTGGTTTGGTTCTTGTAAGAAGAACTCTCAGGACAAGCCATTGAACATGAGAGCAGCATTACCCAACCGGTTGCCATAATCGGGTCCGAGTATTTCGAGACCCACCGAACCATCACAGTGCCAATAGCCATGCTCTGAGCTGCAAGAAGCATCCACCACTCTCCACTTCCCCACAAGGAAAAGCTATTACCATCTGAAGTAACTGATGGAACCTGTAGAGAGAATCAGACATATCCACAAGATGAAACAACACTATCGAGAATTCGAGATACTAGCTCGGTCTTGGCTTAGATCATGAATTACCTCAAGCAGCAAAAGTCCAGCAACCCCAAGAACCAAACCTCCAGCTCTCACTATTCCAATGGACTCGCCAAATAAGAAAGATGCTAACACAGCTACAGTCAGTGGCTGAGAATCAATTATAACCTGCAACACAAAGAAAGTCTCAAACTTTTTGGCCTTTGGCCATTTTAGGACAAGAGTACAAGGTAGTAGAGAAAAAACTTCCTTACACTTCCTAAACCAGCAGAAGTCCTCTGTAATCCTTGAGCAAGAAATCCCTGAACCATCATCATTATCATTCAGAGAAGACTTTATCAAGTTTTAACTCTTAGAGCTCAGGGTGAAGTAAGCAGACCTGGAAACAGGTGGCGTCCACAAGAGCAAAGAGAGCAATAGAGAGCCAAGCATTGATTCCTTTAGGCAAAGGTCTGCCTCTGTAAACCGCAAACGCAACCAGCAACAAACCGGCCGGAATTAACCGAAACGCAGCGACGAAGAAAGGACCGGTTATCGGCAACACCTCCTTCATCGCCACCATCGCCGTTCCCCAGAAAAAGAAGGGTGAAATCAGAACCGTCCATTCAAGCAACGATCCATCTCCGCCGTTCAAGATTCCGGAGCTCTGATTCTCCTCGTCTTCTCCGTTATAGACGCACTCCACGTTTGATCCCATCCCGACGCAATCTACAGACTGAGATGAAGATGAAGATGACTCAGTCTCCTCCGCATTTTTGTTGCTTGTGGTGCTTCTCCGGACAACGGAATCTCCATCGATTCGACGTTTACCGATCACACCAGTGACCAGATTATGCTTCGAGCTGAAATTGCTCTGTCGCAAAGGTTTAATCGAACTGTTGGACGGATACTTGTTTCCACAATTCAAATTCGTTCGTTCGGTAGTAGACAAGCAATAGTTAGGAGAAGCAAAGAAACAACCAGAAGAAGAAGGAGAAGAAGAAGCAACGACCGACCATGGCCACTCCATTGTATGCTTGCTTGTGTTTACAACAGAGAGAGAGGATAAAGTTTGTATCTTTTCGATTTAACAGAGAAGTAATGGCCACATGTTTTAATCAGAGAAACCAAAAAGCTCATTATATTTATACACATGCGTATGCATCTACACTTGCCATCTGAGGCATTGTTACGTCATGAAAAACAAAACAAAAAAGCTTTTGATTAGTTCCTTGTGATCCAGTAACCAGTAACAAAAAAGCTATCATTCACTCTCGAACGTTCATTTCACCTTGAAACCTCAACCTCGAGTGAGAAACTCGCGAATGGAACCACCAGCCTTTGCACGCTTTCCAGCCTGCAGATTTTGATATATACAAGTGTAAAGAAACTAGCTGGATGATCTCTAGATTATTGATGATGCAAGATGATTTTGATTGAAACCTTTTCATTGACAAACAAGTCCTCTGCAACGGCTTCCCTCTGCTTCCTCTTCTTCTCTTCTTTCACAAACTCTGCCACTTCACCGCTATCGTACTCTCTGCCATCACCAAAAACAAACGGCTAAGTAAAGAAAAGAGGACAAAACATTAGGAGCTAACGAGCAAGAGAAAGAAAGACCCGAGATTTTACTTGTATGGATCTTTGGCGAAAGGTATCAGGTTACTGAAACTGTTTCCGGATGTAACATGTCCCTAGCAAAGCAAATCATCATGTCACGAACATGAATAACATTTGTCTCCAGAATCCAAAGGTTTTCTGTCTTACCTTTCTGAATCGCTTGAAGTCAACTACTCCTTCCTCTCCTGTAGACCGAACATTTCTCATTGCTCGCAAATCCCTAACAATAAGATCCTGAGTGTAGATAATCTCCGACTTCCCACTTTCAGCCTCTTCATTTCGATCCCTTCGGATTGTCACATCACTTGGCTTCTTCTCATCACTGTAGTCTTTCATTTCAGTATATGCCGTTAAGTTTACGCTTTTAAACTCATTCAGGTTCATAGTTTCTTCCAAAATCGTTACCGGACTCTCACTCTCCTCTATTACAATAGCAGCTGGCTTCTCTGGTGTTTCTGCCTTTACAGTGGCATCGATCATATGAACTGATGATGTTGCCTCTTCCTCTTCAGCATCTGAATCTGCTACCACTGTCTCGTCCGTAGAGCAAGATGATGAAATGACAACTACAAACAAGAAAGGTTTCAAGATAAGAGTTTTGCAATTCATAAATCCAAAGAAAAAAGCAACTATATTTGGTATTGTGTATTCACCGGAAGGTTGTATCAACGAAGTAGAAGGTAGATTTCCGGACAAAATAGCGCATAATAAATCCATTTCCTTCACTCTAGATAACAAACTGAGATGCTTCAAATGGCCAAACTTGTCTCCTGAACTTTTTGGGATGACACATATCATGCGGTTAGTTTCTCCATCCTGAGAATCCTGCAACGTTGATTATAGTTCATTAGCCTACTTACAGAAAGACCAAATGAGCGAAACTGTATAAACCTAGTACAAACCTGACTCATGGAGCTAATGTCTGCTATGTCAACAGTCTCTGCGCCACATACTTTCAGTAGCGATGAGAAGCTACTTCCAAATCTGTACTGCATAAAGAAAAAAAAAACAAATATGAAAAAACGAAAGAGAGAAAGAATAAGTAAATGCCTGTTCATATCAATAACCAATACCGTGTCTGTTGGTTCCAACACAAAGGTAGATCCTTCTAGACATGCTTCACGAACGTTTGGCTCCATTACATCCACCAAAGCTTCTTCCACCATCACTGATGGTCTATACCTGAAATATCATTTACATTTCAGTAACTGAAGAGTTTGTTCTACAACTTGAATTAACATTAAGGTTATATGACACTCACTGGCTGTTTCCAGGAAATTCGCTGCGGATACTTTTCTCTGCGAGAAGCTAGACAAACGACTTAAGTTAGTTAAAACCCATCAACAAACAACTAGCGAGGTGTGACAAATGAAATTCTCAGACATACCTTAACCCAATTCGTCAGAATGATTGGTTTTTTGGCTAAAACTGCATTAACCAGAGCTTCATTCACTTGCATACGTGGATCAATAAGGACATGAGTGCACTCCTCACTCAAGGTTGTAGCAATATGAGCACCTGAATGAATATCAACATATTTGAAACTAACTACATGAACCAATTGTACTTGCTTTAGGAAGGAGATAAGATTTTCACTAACCGATTGATGAAACTGCATCTTGTACTGACTGATCCACCTTAAAGGTATTAGAGGAAGGGCAGATGTAAAACACGAGAGGAACTAAAGACAACCTGCAGTGATTTTAATTCGATATAGGAACTGATATAAGCCATGATATGACATGAAGATACAACCAAAAACGAAAAAGAAAATCATCACCTGTAAGTTGCTGCACCAGTACCAAATGTGATAACATCTCCATCTTTGAGAATTTTCTCCTTATCAGGTAGCTCATGAACTTTATCTTTCGTCCCGAGGTCAGTTTTGACAAAAGTCCCATACTTTGAACAATCTTTGACACTGATAACAAATGAGGTATCCGAAGATTTGTTTTTGTTCCTCCGAGAGGTTGAAACAGCTGTTGCATCCAAAGTTAACTCTGCATGGATCCTAGAGACCCCCTTATCCTTATTGATAATTATATCACATCCTACAGAAAACGAAATTCCATTGGCATAGAATTACATTATAATCCGAACAAACGAGTAAGAAAATGAAGCAGTAATAGCAACAGCAATACCTTTTCGACCAATCTTGTAATTCCCTTTTGAAAAGATGTAGTATTTCTCTTCCCCTGAGAAGCAATTTGGGATTTTTTCTCACATTTATCAGACAACAGTAATGAAAAAAAAAAAAAAAAAGCAAAAGCGTCACATTTTGGGTCTTTCTAAGAATAGAACATAGTTGAGAACTGCAATTACATTTCGTAATGGTGCAATTTGTTAATAGGAAGCAATCAAACTCGTTTAATTTGCAAGCTCTCTATGAAAGACTGTACATTCTAGATAAAATACATACTGCGACAGAGTTTTTAAAAAGGTGCAATGAATCGAATCTAATGGGGGGAAAAACCTGAGAGAGGATCAACGGGAAAGAGACCCCAAACCATCGATTCGCTCCAAGAAACTGAATTCGAAAGGGTTTTTCTACGCACTGCAGAAACACCGAGTAACTCTATATTTTTGCTTGCTGGGTTTTAAGGAAACGGTTTACGATCAAAGAAAAAGAAAGGAGATCGGTTTTATATCTAAACCGTTCAAATCGAACTTATTTTAAAAATAAACCGGTTCTCCTGGTTTCAAATTATCTGTTGTGTGAGGCAAAACAGAGGTCGAAAGCAAAGTCCATTCTTGGAACTGCAAACCAGTAAGCTCTTACTTTCACTTCTTTCTACTCAAAATTCAATTTAGCTGTAATCTTTATCCATATTAGGTGTGTTGTATAGTTTCTGAAGTTGGGAATGTATTCATTTTTTTGGTTATCCGCAAGTAGTTTCTATGGGTCTGTTCTCATCAAGCTGTGAGATGCAATGATGGGGATTCCTTTACAATTTGGCCTAATTTTTTGGGACTCATTTGTACTTTCCAGTTTTGGAGATTGGACGATTTCGTTCCCGGGTTTTTGGGTGGCAATATAGGACTGTTGTTAATAATGCCTATAAGGTGTTTGTCAAATTGCCTGAATCTGGAATCAGTTTTTTGATCAAATACATTTACGATTGTTTTCAGCTAATGGGTGTTTGCATTTACAGCTTATGAATCTATGGCGTATGCAACAGGAATGACGCTTGCTTCAAGGACTATCTTGCCTTTTTGTTCAAGAACCTTCTTATCTCCTTTACGTGTGGCTTCTTTACTCGTTTCTCCTGAGAAATCCTCCTCCACTTTCTTCAGAAGGGTCCATGTTCATCAACTTTTCTCCACTTCCACTACAACAACTCGTCTCTTCTCCTCTGTTAACTGCTCAATTCAATCTACTTCCACACTTGAGGCAGAAAGTCAAGCTCTTTCTCGCCCTAACGTAGTCGATATTCTTGAAGAAAGAGGACTACTAGAGTCAATCACCAGCGAGAAGCTCAGGTCTGCTTGCTCTGATCCCAACGTAGCTCCTCTAAAAGTCTACTGTGGGTTTGATCCAACGGCTGAGAGTTTACACTTAGGTAATCTCCTTGGTATCATTGTGCTTTCTTGGTTCCAAAGATGTGGACATCAAGCCGTTGGTTTGATCGGTGGTGCCACAGGACGTGTTGGTGACCCGTCTGGTAAAAGTCTAGAAAGACCTGAGCTTGACGCCGATACACTGGAGAAGAACATTTCAGGGATTCAAAACATCATCGTCAAGATTCTTGGTCGCAACCCGATCATGTGATTCTTAATAACTATGACTGGTGGAAAGATGTGACAATGCTCGACTTTTTGAAAGATGTCGGCCGGTTTGCTAGGGTTAGCTCTATGATGGCGAAGGAGAGTGTGAAGAAGAGGTTAGAATCAGAGCAAGGTATGAGCTACACAGAGTTCACTTACCAGTTACTGCAAGGATATGATTTTGTTCACCTGTTCAAGAACGAAGGGGTCAATGTTCAGATAGGTGGGAGTGATCAGTGGGGGAATATAACAGCTGGAACAGAGTTGATCCGGAAGATTCTCCAAACGGAAGAAGCGGCTTATGGACTAACGTTTCCTCTCTTATTGAAAAACGATGGGACTAAGTTTGGAAAATCTGAAGATGGAGCAATCTGGTTAGCTTCTTCGATGTTATCTCCTTATAAGTTCTATCAGTACTTCTTCTCTGTTCCAGACGTTGATGTGATACGCTTCTTGAAGAGTCTGACTTTTCTGAGCTTGGATGAGATCAAGATCTTGGAAGATCAGATGGGGAAGCAAGGGTACGTTCCTAACACCGCGCAGATGAAACTTGCTGAGGAAGTAACACGGTTTGTACATGGAGAGGAAGGTTTGAAGGAAGCTGTTAAAGCAACAGAAGCTTTAAGACCAGGAGCTGAGATGAAACTTGATTGGAACTTGATTGAGAGAATTGCAGAGGATATACCTTCTTGCTTACTGCCTATTGATCGAGTCTTGAGGTTTTCGATTGTGGATGTATCGGTTTCTGCTGGTTTGTTTGAGAGCAAATCTGCTGCGAGGAGGATGTTGAAGCAAGGTGGGTTTTATATGAACAATGAGAGAGTTGATGATGAGAATAAGAGAGTTGGAGATGAAGATATTGTTGAAGGGAAAGGTCTTGTTCTCTCTTCAGGCAAGAAGAACAAAGTGGTCATTAGAATTTCCTGAATTGTTTTTTCTTTTCACAAAACACCATTCTTGTATTTCTCTTCACCACATAGCACTAATAAGTAGCTTGTTTTGTGTAAACCTTTCACTATATTTCATCTTCATTATCAATTATCATATACCTCTTCACTCAAAAGCTAAAAAAACTTGAAACGAAACTTGGATTGAGCACCATAAATGCTTATTGGAGAATGCTTCAGTACAATAAAGAACAAACAAGGTATCTTCTGAGATAAACCGAGAAAAAAAAACATCTTCAAAAAGCTATTCCAGATTGATAGAACAATGGAAACTGTCGAATCAAGTTCTATGCTGCAGCAATTAAAGTAGCATCTTCAGTTACATTGGCTTCAGAATGCATCTCTTTAACTGCCCTTATTAAACCATGAGTAATCGCATTGAGGTGCAAGCCCTTCTGCTTCATCTCCTCAGACAACATCTCTGCTTTCTCCCAGTCCAAAGCTTTGAGGCAGAATGATTGTATCAGCTTATTATACTCATCGGCACTAGGCTTCACCCCGCAAGTATCCATTTCACTCAAAAGTTTAAGAGCTTCGTCATATTCTTCGATCTTGCAGTAGCCTCGGATGAGACTGTGATACGTCACAGGACTAAGCGTCTTATGTTTCTTTTTCGCTTCCGCTAGAACCTCTTGAGCTTCCTTCATCAGCCCTCCTTTAGCATACCCACTAATGATGACTGTGTACGTGTACACATCCGGTTTCAAACCTCTACTCTCCATCAACTTCAAAACCTCTTTTGCTTCATCAAGATCTCCAGTTCTCGAACAACCATGCACAACCAGATTGAATACCGCATTCCCAGGAGCAGGGCCTTTAGCGATCATATCCAAAAGCAAAGCTTTAGCGTCTTTCACGTTTCTCATCCTGCATAAACTGTGGATAACATCAGAAAACGGTTTGATCCCATGTCGCCTAGCTTCTCCAGTTAAATCAGCCAACATCTCCTGAGCAAATGCAACAGTCCCATCATTCTTGCAGAGCGCACTTATCAGAGAAGCAACAGTTTTAGGAGGCGGGAACTTCTCTTTCCCCTTTGCCAATTCGTAGACCGAATAAGCCTCTTCGGCCTTACCTTCCTTGCAAAACCAAGCTATGATGTTACCAACCTGGTCTCCCTCTGGTAACACACCACTCTTAAGCATCTTCTCGCATACAGAGCATGCCCATTCCATAAACGACCGCTTACAAAGCGCCTCCAAGGCCTTTAGCGATCATATCCAAAAGCAAAGCTTTAGCGTCTTTCACGTTTCTCATCCTGCATAAACTGTGGATAACATCAGAAAACGGTTTGATCCCATGTCGCCTAGCTTCTCCAGTTAAATCAGCCAACATCTCCTGAGCAAATGCAACAGTCCCATCATTCTTGCAGAGCGCACTTATCAGAGAAGCAACAGTTTTAGGAGGCGGGAACTTCTCTTTCCCCTTTGCCAATTCGTAGACCGAATAAGCCTCTTCGGCCTTACCTTCCTTGCAAAACCAAGCTATGATGTTACCAACCTGGTCTCCCTCTGGTAACACACCACTCTTAAGCATCTTCTCGCATACAGAGCATGCCCATTCCATAAACGACCGCTTACAAAGCGCCTCCAATGTCACATAATAAGTCTGAGCATTCGGAGTAAAGCCAAACTCTTCGGTTTTATTAAACACATCAAAAGAAGCTTTGGATTTGCCAAGCTTCCCAAACAAGGCTATCAATCGATTCATTATCTCCAAATTCAAAACAGCACTGCTATTCTCATCCTCACCAATCTCTTTAACCAAATCCCACAAACCATAAGCATCCAATCTACGCCTATCACCAGATATTACTGCAACGAGAGATTCTACAAGTTGTGTGGTAACACTAATCTCTTCTCTCTTAGAAGCCCACTTCAGAAACCTAATCAAATTCTTACCTGAAATTCCTGGGGATTCAAAGACTCTGACCACAAAATCCAAGTGTAGATTGACGTCGAGCGCCTTGAGACCAAACTCCAAGGACTCCTCATCGCTCCGTAACAAAGATAGCACAGATTCGAACTTTTCGTCGTCAAATTTGGTTACCTCGTCAGCCAGAGGATCTCCGACTTCTACAACGGATCCATCGTCAGAAGCTTCAATTGTAACAATTTCTGAGTCTCCATCTTCACCAACACCAACTATGGCTTCCACGGAATTACCATTTTCACCAAAATCGCCACTTTCGGAAAAACCCAAATCGGAAACATTCGATTCTTCACTGGTAAGCTCTGCGACTGACGCGACTGGGATCTCATTCGTAGGTAACGAGGCTGGGTTCTCTTCCGTAGGGCTCGCGGAGAAAAACCTCAGGTTTCGGCCAGACGCATTTCCCGACGAGTCGACGACATTTGAGAATCTGGAAATGGATGTTAGCGATGGAGTCTGTGTCTTCTTCTTCGAGATTCGAGAAACAGCGAGATTACGAGACGCATTTTGCGATCTCCAGAAAACGGATCTCCACATTTCTGCTTTCTCCCAGAGACTACCTTCACCAGCGGTTTCTGATGCTAAACTAAACCCAAAAACCCTATTCTCTCTCACTCAATTTCGATTTTAGCATTTACTGAATTTAAGGTGATAACTGGAATGAATAAGAAAAAAGAGGACTTTTGTTGCAAATTAATAGTTTTTCTTCTTCTGTTTAACCAAATTAAATTGTTTTTAACCAGTCAGAACCAAACTGTTTCAAAAACAAAGTGAACCAGAATCAATTTCGGTTCGACATAACCCAATTCAAATGGGAACCACAGTCAAACCAAATCCAAATCACATTTTCGCCAATTGCAATCCCAACTAACCGGTTCTCAACCTAAGCAACTTCAAGAAGCTTAACACCAAAGAAAGCACTTGCAGCGAAACCAACATCAACAACAAAACCGCACCCAAAAACGCAAAAATCTGCCAAGAACCATAAACATAAACCTCAACAAATCTCCCAATCTTCACTTTCCACCGTCCGGTATAATACCGGTTAACATCCTCAATAGTCTTATCCAAGAAGCCAACTTTGGTCAACCTCACAGATTTGCTCATACCATTCCACATCTCTGCAGCTTCTTGATCACTCTTGAGACGGCTCACAAGAACGCCTTGCTCTCTAAGCAACCTAACGTCTTCCTCAGAATCGATGATTCCGTTTATCAGCTCTGTGTAACGAGTGAACACCAGTGGCCCCGAAGTGTTGGAAGCTTCGTAAGCAACGAGGTTCTGTTTCCGCCATCGTCTCCTCTATTTTCTTCCTCTTCTTCTTCTTCGGCCTCGATTCGTGGAACGATCATCTGATACAAGAAATCTAAGATATGATTAAAGTTATGTAACCGAGCCTTCAAAATCTCATCGTCGTCGAATTTGATGACGAGAGGAGAGAGATCTCTGCATAATCCGGTGAGAACAGAGACCAACAGATCATCAGCTGAATCCGTCGACTGAAGCTGAAACTCGAGTGTCTTCCTCAACACAAAAAGCGGGATTTGGTTCTCGCTCATCATTATATCTCTAAGAATCTCGTTATGCCCAACTCTGTTAACCAAAGTCTCCACCTTTCTGAAACTGTAAATCTTAAGAAACTCGATCAAGAACGACGAATCTACAGCCATGATCCACAACAGAGTCTCGCCGTTAAACCCGATGTACTTATGATAACAAGCTCGAATTTTTATCTCCATGGGTTGAATATTCTCTACAAGATCGTGAAACTTGAAGGATTTAGATTGGTTTCGAATTTTTCTGGCGATCAGTAGTTTATACCTCTCCATTTCGTGAAGCTCTGGTTTCAGACAGTGATAAGGTCCGATCGAAACTCGGTGAGGTGTGTATGAATCTGGATGGCTACACATTAATGCTTTGGGAACAGCGGAAATGCTGACTGTGACTTGTTCGAGATCGTGTTCTTCGAGCTCTGCGTCCAGAGATTTCCCGACATTGATGACCCATCTAGCTTCATCAAATCCATGTTTCTCTGTTGCTGAATCAGCTGTTCTTTTCGGTAACATGATCTTCAGTTTGAGAAGCAGCAAAAGATCTTGAGTCGGATTTTTCTTCTTCTTTCAATCTTAGCGTAACAGAAGAAATAACTGTTTTTTTCAATCGAAACGTTTCTTTAAGTTTTATCTTCGCTATGGTAATAAAACGGTCTGTTACTTAATGAAAGGCTATCCTATTTGAGGATAAAGATATCCTTGTCACGGATAAACGTGAACCCAAATCAGCCCATTGGGCCTGCTAGTCTTGTTCTGGAAAAAAACAAGAAAAATCAAAACACTAGCCGTTGCCACATCTACTGCTCTGCGAACCCCAACGGTCATATATGGAAAATCCGACCGTTTGGATCTCTCTCTCACTTGTCTACTTAAAAACCTCATTTTGTTCTTCTCAACAATCACAATTCACATCTATCTTCTTCTTCTTCTCCATTAAATCTGTGGAAAATCCGAATAAGAAAATTTCATCATCATCATGGGTTTGATTCCTCAACCACAAGAATCTCACAGCCACACCCACAAAATCTTTCTCTACTCGAACTACATCCTCCTTGGCGCATCCACAAGTTGCATCTTCCTCACACTCTCTCTCCGTCTGATCCCTTCGGTCTGTGGATTCTTCCTCATCCTCCTCCACGCCACCACAATCGCCGCAGCCGTCTCCGGTTGTGCAGCCGCATCCTACGGCAAGAACCGGTGGTACGCAGCGCACATGATCGCAACAGTCCTCACCGCCATTTTCCAAGGATCAGTCTCTGTTCTCATTTTCACCAACACGTCGAATTTCCTCTCGAGTCTTAACTCTTATGTCCGTGAGAAAGAAGCGTCTTTGATCTTGAAACTAGCTGGTGGGCTCTGCGTTGTGATCTTTTGCCTTGAGTGGATCGTTCTTGTGCTTGCCTTCTTCTTGAAGTACTATGCTTATGTCGATGGTGGTAGCAGCAACGACAATGGAGTTGCTATGAAGAGAACTGGCAAGGTTCAGAGTGAAGATACTCTCAAGGATTCGCCATGGCCGTTCCAAGTTTGAAAATTTTGGCTTCTTGTAATGATTTCGATTGAGGGAGAGTTTTGTATCAAACGTTAGTTTGATCTGTTGTTTTTAAATGTTTGTTTCTAAATATGTCTTTCCTTACAAGAGTTAAAAACCGAACGAGCATTTGACTTACTAAAATGAAGAAGAAAATGCTAAGCAATCGAGAGAGAAAATGGTAATGAGTTTTACAGACCCATTTATTTACTTATATGAGAGAAACATTATTAAGTACTGATACAACAAAAAGAGAAGCAAAAAGCAAACTTTAAAGTCTTACCAGACATCATCACTAGGAACATTATTAAGTTTTTGATTGATTCTAACATGAAACATTACATATAACTGTATCTACAATATTCCGTATGAAACAAAACATATTCAAATGAACTGGCGTGGTCTATAAAACTGGTCCGTCATCGTCATCGGTGAAGAAAGTTTATAGCTTACTTGGGATATTTTGAAACATAGTTTAACTTAAGCCCTGATCTCTCGACCAAAGATCCAGCTGAATGGTACGTTTTTGGATGCTTCTTTGGCTCTTCCTTGAGCTCTCTCTTCAATTCTACGGATTCTTGCAGGTAGTCCGCAGACAAAGTCCTGTCAAAAGCAATGACAGAGTCAGAATTTGAGCTGAGAAGTAATAATACATTCACCACAAGTTTCATGGAGGTAATTTACCTGAGCCCTATGTCCTTCACTAGAAAGGCCTGACAAAGTCTCAACGTTCCACCGTTGAACAAGAAACTCCAGAATATCAGCATAGTCCTTGGCGGTGTAGACACCAAGCCTCTGTGCAACGGTTGAGAAGTGCTCAAAGAGGTTATCATCTTGGCCGTCATACATCAAATGTGCAGGCATCGAGATCTTCTTCTTCATCATATCAGCCAAGCCCAAGATCGTGCCATCAGCGTCGATTTCAAAGAGCTTCTCCACAATCTTGGTGTAGGCAGTCTCGTGGCGCTTCTCATCAGCAGCAATGGTCCCGCATATCTGAGCAAGTTTCAAATCTCCAAGTTCCTTCGCGTGCCTCGCAGTGTTTCCATGGGAGATGAAGGTCGCTCTTTCTTGAAACGAAGTGTAGATGAAACCCAAGTAAGGGTTGTTTTCAGTTTTTGGATCCTAACAAGACAAGACAATCAATCAAATAAGCAGGCAATGATTGTATTTCCATCCTAAGTCACTCTTTACTACGGCACAAATGAGATGAGCTTACCATTCCAGAACCAATAAGGTACTGGATTGTCTTTTCAATCTGCCTCATGTCCACTCGACCAGACAAGTAAAGATACTTGTTAAGAAGATCACCATGCCTATTCTCTTCAGCAGTCCAAGCCCTAGTCCACACAGCCCAAGGAGTAGGACTTGCGCCTGTCTCATCCCTAACACCATCCAAGGTGTTCAACATGGTCTGGTAAGTCGGAAGTGCTTCCTCTGTGATCATGTCCCCAACAAGAACCACAAAGTAGTCATCGGGAAGCTCCTTACACCTTTCTCTCAACTCCTTGACTTGGTCATAGAATCCTTCTGACTCAGGCTCAGGGAGGAAATCTGTCGGCTGCCAAGATTTCTCAACAGGTTTTAGATACGTCAGGAGGGTCTCATCAGCCCATCCTTCTAAGGACTTGAAGATCTCCAGCTTTTGTGGCGGCATGGAATGTTTCACTTGCACATGCACCTCTCTAGGAGGGATATACAGTTTCCTTCCAAATAAAGTTTCGAAATTCAGAAACGACATGAATAAAAAAGACTAAGTAAGCAGCTACTACACAACAATCCTGAACAACCAGGATAAGCAGCGTAGTCTTATGGGCCAACAACCAAGTAAATATAATATTCAAGAACACAAAACAATTCATGCATGCGTTAGGGAACGAAAAGATTAGCAAAATTTTACTGATTCTATAGAGAACAAGTCAAAGATTTCCCTTTGCATCAAATACATTGTTGAAGTCCACAGATTAATCAGAGACCGGTAAATTGGAAGAATTTACTAGAAAACGAAAAGAAGCAGATTCATCATTTCAGGATATAATATATCGATTTCGTCCTTAAGATTTGAAACTAGTTGTTAAGAAACGAAGCCAAAATGTGTTCCGATGAATGCTTATTTAGCAAAAGAAGATTGCATTGGGGAAAAATAAAGTTGTTGACAAGAGAAAAGTAAAGTGGATCAAACGAGTCCAGAGATTTATCATCGACACTCAATAAAAAACAAAATCAGATCAGGATAAATTCGATTTCGAAAATGAAGCGAGGAAACTCACGTAGAAACAGAGCGAATGGTAGAAGCCATGAAGACACTGGAAGATCTGGATCGCCGAGCTTGAGAAGGACGACGATAGACGCAAGATGAAGGGGAAAGGACGATCCGATCCATAGCCATAGCCATTTTCTCTTGTTTCTTCCCTATAGAAAAAACTCAAATCAATCGAAGATGATGATGACAGAGCGATTAAAGTAGAAGGAGAAAGAACAAAAGTCGATTATTTCTATGTTACGAGACTGTGACAAATGTGAAGGTTTTAACGAGACAAGAACAAAACTTCTGGGCGTGATAATCGAGCTAAGTACACTCGTTGATATAAAAAGTTGCAACTTGTGAACAAATGGGCCCAACTTTGGCCTAGTCCGAAAATAGCCACACATGTGATATTGCCTGTTCCTAAATGGGCCCAATTCTAGGGACTGGGGTTTGTTCTCAAACTTTGAACCGAAATTTCAAAAAATTGAATTGAACCGAAACTAAAACCGGGTTGTAAAAAGAAAACGTACCATACCGTATCCGATAAGATACTATATAGTGGTTTCAACATGTCGCATATCAACACGACCAGATAGATAAAAATACTTGTTGAACAAATCATCGATGGATATGAAAATAGTCATCCACACAACACGAGAGATACCGACAAGAGCTGCAAATAGCAAAGGGAGTATCACAATGCATAGCTTTGCAACGTGGCCTATACCATCAAATGCTTGAATCTTTCCTGATGAGTACAGTGACAGGTATCCTAAACCCACAAAACAGGTTTGGTCTTCTTTACTTACATGAGCTGTGTCCGCTTGGGAAGCTTTTGCGGCCTTCTCTTATGACTCTTTTATCACCACGGCATATAACATCACCAAGGCTATCATAAACCTGAGAGGCAAAAAGCGAAACTTCAAGAGAGGCAGAACAAGATTTGAAAATGAAACGGGATAGTAAAAACTCATGGACACATTTACTTACAGCTTTGCCATCGGGAAACAACGCCAGAAGAAGCCTGAAGCAATTCATAGTTCGATTGACAGTGAGAGTATCATGTGGTGATGATGATAATTTAGGGGAATGGTCCTTCCATTCGTCTACAAGCTTTCTAAGAAGAGCAACGCTAGCCTCTAGATGCTCCTTATAGATGCTCCTGAATATTTCCAGCTCATATACACCATATACATTTCTGAAACGTAAATCTATAGAACAAAGATGGCGGTTGGACTGCCCGGAGATGGAGGATTCTGGTTCACGAGTGATGCATGTGGACCAGCTATACAAGCAGCATCATTAGGGTCAGTTGCATCATGTATTTCAACCTCTTCAAGACCAAGTGCCGCTTGATCAACTCCTTGTTACTCTCAAGGACTTCCTTCTCTCCAAAAGGTAACCTCAAATTAGAGCCCCACTGCCTAGAGCTATTGCCTCGTCCTTCTTAATTTCAGGAAAGGCATGCAAAGCTTCTGAATTTGCTTGAAGTTCTCTGCTTCTCCATCATCCTTCTGCATAATCTCCCTCAGTTCTCCAAGTATCTCTGAATCAGGGGCAAAAGTACGGTTCTCTTGGTCAAATTTCCTTTGAAGAATCTCGAGGCAGTGAGCTTCCATCCATCAAATTCCTCATTCACATATACTAGGCCTTTCAACTTCCCCTCCGCCACTCTTGTTAACTTTCTGTAGAAGCTTTCTCATTAAGATGATAGAATCTTGCAGATATTTGTTAGCACCTTGAGAACCAAATCTGGCTCATCTGATGTTGGCCAGCCTGCTTTACCACAGAGCCTTCCTTCTTCAAAAGTTCCCTCCAAACATGCTCTGCAAACTGAGGACAGATTGGTTCAATGAGGCGTGTTTGCACATCCATAAACTCAGTATCAAGTTCTTGATTCATGCCACCACTGCCGCAAGAGAGCCTATACTCATCTCGAGCAGCTTGCAAGTCGTAAAACCCATTCTTAGTGCCTCTAAACAAACAATTCTCGTAGGCTTTTTCAGTCAATCTGATAGCAATGTTCATGTCATTTTCAAACACTTTATCAGCATATGTAGTAGATGGAGGGCCCGTTCTCAAAGAGGATTCAGCAGCAGAACTTCTTCCATCCATGTGAGCTCTTTCAGTCAGCCGCAAAATTGCAGCATTTGCGTTTCAGATACAAAGTTTGCATCGTCAACGCCATCACCAGCATCAGCCAAAGCAAACCTCGTAGCAGTGGCAGAGAATTTTCAATAGCCTGGCGCAGGGTTTTGAAATTTCCAGTTGACTTTGACATTTTCAGAATTCAGCATGATGTGACCATTACATCTGATGCCACGTGGCCAGTTACGTTCGCCATTAGTGCAGTGTGGTTGTAGATGAAAAACGTCAAATGATTCTGAATAAGATCCTTTCCTGAAACTCGAAGATCAGTGGGTACCAGTAGTCAAATTCCTGCTTCATCTCACTAAAACATCTGACGGAATGTGAGATGATTTTGGGTACTGACCATCACAGAAGAGATAGTCCCAAACTTCATCATTCATCTGCTCAGGGCGAACCAAAGACTTACTCCCTTATACATGTCTCCATCGTGAAAGAAATGGGCAACTGTGTAATACGCCATATAAAGAGAGGAATCAGACAAGGATTCCGCAACTGTTCATCCCAGGGAATGCGAGTTCCAAGACCAAAAGACTGAGCAAGCCACTGATTGAGCCAGCTCAAAGTGTGCTCAAATCCATGCCTTGTTTCTTCAGAGTAGAGATTCATTTTTGCTAAGCACTCCTCAGCCATTTGCCGCCATTCTGATTCGCCGTACGTTATGTACCACTGATCTGTAAGAGCCACAACACATTCCACCCATCTTGACATCACCGGCTTCTCGGGTTCCACTGTATATAATTGCCTCGCCAGACTCTATGAGCTGTTTTCTTGATAATAATGGCAATAACTTCTTCATCAGGGGCATCACTAGGCAAGCTGGTGACAATGCCAGTACCCTTGTTGATCAGAATATTTGACCTGGGGAGAGCGTAGATGATCGTGTGCACTGCCAGAGGAGACCTCAAAGGGAGTCCAATCAGATCATTCCCGGTCAATTCAAGTAAGCAGGAAGGCTGCCGATGGATCTTTGACAAGTCCTGGTAGGCAAGGTTGAATGCAGCTCTCTCAGTAAGGATGAAGAAATCAGTTTCATTGATTTCATAAGCTCCATATTTCCCATCAGGCAATACCCATACGTCTGTTTGTCCGTACATGATCTCAGGCCTGAGAGTAGCTGCAGCCAAAAACACTCTCTTTCCTTGCAAAGGAGCCAGCTTCAGTGGAAACGGCTCCACAACTTGCATCTTAATAAGAGTGTACTCTAGAGGCTCAACACCTTCACCACCAGGAACACGGTCGTGGTCAGGACAAGGCTGGCCAAGTCGAGGTGAGAATATCATGTACTCCCCACAGCCTTTGACAATCTTTCCCATGGATTTAAGCTTCCTCATCTGCCACTTCACGAAGGCATCGAAAAACGGATTAATATAAGTGGTCAGGAAGGACCGTCTCCAGTCACATCCCAGTCCATAAGCCCTGAGATCTTCAACAGCCGCGGGGGGAAAGTACAAAAACCATCGATATGGACGTTTGAATTCCTTTATGTCATAATCGTCAAAACCATGACTGCGCATAATCTCCCACTCAGATTCCTTTGACAAACCTTCTGGAGGAATCCCATCTTCATCTTCGTCTCCAAACTCCTCGCCCTCTCCAAACTCCCTGCTCTCAAGAGCAATCCTGTCCACAGAATCCTTAATCGAGTTTCCAGAACAGTGGAAGGCAAACGGAAGGAGCACATTAGCCCCTCTTAGTCTACGATAGGCACAAGCAAAATCAGCCTTGGAAAGTGAGAACGCATGCCCCATGTGTAGATAACTATTCATATACGGCATAGGGAAGCTCGAGAAGAACTTTTCTCCTGGTTTCGGTGGACCCTCACCAGCTTCAGCCTTGAACACTTGCTCATCCTCCCACAGTTTTGCTGCTTTTCTCTCAATCTCGACAAGACGATCTCTTTTCACCAAGCTGATCGAATCAGATGCCATTGCCTGCTCAAACAAGAGCAAATTGAGTCGAAAGAATCACAGACAAAAGAGAGAAGAGATATTATAACCTTGTGGGATGATGAGCTTCGAGGAAACACGAATCGAGTCCACCGGGAAAGCAATGAGAGAAGAATGAGGATGGTTTTTCAGCGTCTAGGGTTTGAGATGTCAATCTGAGCCATATAGGTCCATTACCTTTAAACTGAACCGACTTATATACATATGCAGAGCCGCGCCTTGTGTGTATATATACAAAATAAGGCCCACGAACGTTTATATTGGTTTAGATTCTTTGTTTTAGAAACACTCTAGCTCAGCGAATCACTGCGCGACACTGGAGAGCTTGTTGGAGAAACGGCGGCTAAGAAGCAGAGACATTGTTGTAGCTTGCCCACCAAGTCTCCTCTTTCTACTCTTCCCTTCCATCTCTGTGACCTTGGGATACTTGCCATTTTTGGCCAAACTCGATACATGTGGGGAAGAAAGGTTACAGAAATCGACTCCTTAAACCCGAGTTAAACTAAAAACCAAACAAGAGTAGTTCTATCATACAGAAATCGACTAAAGTAGTCAAACAAAGAATTTGAAAGACGAGAGACAGAAGTATCCTAAAGAAGCAACCAAAACCATATTGCAGAGTTTTCTTCACCTCAGCCTCTACCAGTTTCTACGTCTCCTTCTCTCCTCATGGTCGGATTATCCACCAAATGTAAACCCATAAACCCATCGTCTTCCTCTTCACCGTTATTCTCTTGTGGCGGTCGCTGCACCTCTCCATTCTCGCCTACCTCTGCTTGTGCCGCCGCAGCCGCAGCCGCCAACACTTGGAAGTAAGCATATGGTCCCCAACCTGCAAAAACATTTGATGATCAACCAAATTCACTATACATCTTTTTTTCACCGACCCGTAAAAATGTAATCCCCAGTTTCTTTTTCTCACCTTCCGTGTGATATGGTGGCGGGAAGAATTGAAGATAACAGAACGTAGAGATCACGAGCCCTGCCATTTTACACGATAGCTATGTGTAAGTTTGTATGATTTTTTTAACAAGTTTTGACCTTTTTTTTAGTAGAGAGAGTGAAGAACAAAACAAACCTAGCAAGCCTCCTGCAAAGACGTCTTGCCAATGATGCCAATAGTCATCTACACGAGAAATACCAACAAGAGCTGCAAATAGCAAAGGCAGTATCACAATGCACAGCTTTGCAACGTGCCCTTTACCGTCAAATGCTTGAATCTTTCCCGACAAGTACAGCGACAAGAATCCCAGACCCGAGAAAGACCCTGCACAAACAAAACAAACCTGCAATTTATAAAGACAACTTTTTCTAGAACAAAACAAAAACAGAGTATAAGGTTTGGTCTTTACTTACATGAGGTGTGTCCGCTTGGGAAGCTTTTGTGGCCTTCTCTAATGACGCTTTTATCACCATGGCATATAACATCTCCAAGGCTATCATAAACCTGAGAGGCCAAAATTCGAAACCTCAAGAGAGGCAGTAGAAGATTTGAAACTGAAACGGATAGTAAAAAGTAAAAACTCATGGAGACATTTACTTACAGCTTTGCCATCGGGAAAACAACGCCAGAAGAAGTCAGGACGTGGTCGACCAACTGCATTCTTTATCGCATCTGTAAGCACAGCTGTCACTAGAACAGAGTATAAGAGACCTGCACATCCGAAAGAAAAGGCAAACACTTTAATGGTGGTGATTATACATGAAAGAAAGAAGACATTTTTTGAAAGAAAACAGTGATCTCCACTGACCTAGCACAGCGTGATGCAGATCGTATACATCTCTTCTACGGATGTAGATAATGATGAAGATTACCAAAGGCAACAGCATTGCATAAATCTGCGATTTTTCAAAAGAAAGGAACGTCTTTTTACTATTGTGGAAAATGCATGTGGCCAAACAATGTTAAGAGTTTGATCTAGTGGAAGCTTACCGGGACAGACCAAATTGGTACAGTGTTACTCTTTAGAGGGTAACTGAGATCAGTCATCATATCTTTCCCAACGAAACGATAGAAGGGATGGATTATAAGGAGTCCGCCCTCGAGAGCAACAAGTAAAACGAGTATGATCCAATCATGCATGTAAGCTCTTGCAAGAGTCTTCCCATGGGACCTCAAAGTGTGAGCTCCTAGTTGTGCCTCTCTCATCCTGTGCTGCTGCTGCTTCGAGAAAATAAAATTGCCGTTAACCAAATAATCTTCCCTTTTCTCTCTACATCTCAAACCAACTCGCCACAGAGAAGGAGAAACCAACAAGCTAAGCAAGAAAAGGTACTTGTAGTGTGTGTGTGAAAGGGAAAACATCGGTATAAATAGCAACAATGACTCAATAGAAAATCTATTTATAGCCCTCTACCAAATTGGAGCTGCGTTAAGAAGTGTTATCCTAGATTTTCAATTCATCAACACCGACTAAAAGTTAAGTTTTGACATGGACTAGACTCGCCAAGAATCGTTTGGTGAAAAGACAATACCTCTTTACTAATAGGTTCTATGAGAGGAATGTCAGATGGTGAGACCAAATTATCACCAGTTTCTGAAATCTCAGGTCCCCGGTTTGTCACTGCCTAAGATCAATAATTCCAGGTTACAATTTTTACAGGGAAAGACAAACAACAACACCACCCCAATCACTCAAGAAACAACATTATAGAAGAAACTGTCCTCAGCTTAGAGGAACAGAAAACATTTGATTGTCTTAAATCTACCTCTTTAGTCACTAAATCTGTCTCTGCCTGCATAAATTGCATAAGAGGAACAGAAGTTCCTACTTATGTACCAATACCATTGACAAACGAAGTCTACGGTTGATTCTTTGTTATCCAATCATACAAAATGTGGTAATCAGGTGAGATGGGTTAGGTCAATCTTTGGTAAGCTAAAACTGTCTTTGCCGTAACTAATTGGTTCTCTTCTGATCTAAAAGCCCCTTCTTTCTACATTAACCACCTAACATAATAACCATTCCGATGTTCAAGCATAAGAAACCCCCCCAATGGTAACAATTGTCTGCAAAAAAAGCCTAAACACAGAACCACAAGAAAAAGGAACAGAAAAGTAGCAAAAGAGTCACTAGCTTACTCGCATTGAACAAAACCATGGCTAAGTAAGTTGTGGTCACCAAACCGAAAATGGAACCCAAGAGCCACTAACTTGATACTATGGAAATAAGAATATTCAATTGAGACACTTGCAAACCTAACAATCCCAAAATTAGATTCGAAATAAAGCTAAACTCACCTATAATTTACAAGAGGAAGAAGCCAAGCACAAACTGAAAAGATAAAACTTTTGAAGTAGCGAATCAATTTGAACTGAGGGATTCAAGCAAAACCCACCAATTTCAAACCTTTCCCAAAAACATTGGCAAGAATCGACAAACCTGGGAAAAACCCCCAAAATTCTGAAAACGAGGAAATGGCATCGTGTGGTAACGTAGCTAGTAGTTAAAAAGTCCCCAAAAGTTAGCTGAAGAGGAAGGAACACTAAGAAAGAGAAAACCTAGCTGTCGGAAAGTAGAGAATTAAGAATTAAGAATTAAGAAAGAGGAAGAGGACAGAAACAGACATCTCAATTAGTAGTAGATGAAAACCCAAATCAACATCAAGACAGTAATTGAAAGAGCACTCACAGTGACTCTGTGGGACATCCTAATCTACACAAGTGGGAGTGACAATACAAAATGTTTTGTATGTCAAGAAGACAAGAACACCCATGTGAAAGAAACCACATAAGAGAACGAAAATTACCGGACTCTGTTTCAAGTTTATCGTGTTAAAAGAAGAAAAAAAAAACAAAAAAGGAGAATTTACCTGACTCTGATCGATTCGCCTTATGGTTATGGAATGTTTTGGAACAAAATCGTGCGTTAGTGAAAAGTAGTACAAATTCTATATATTCATGGCGGATGAAACTGAGAGGGAGAGAGAGATAGCACGCGTTTTGATGATTAGAGAAAGCGTTTTGTTTGGGGTGCATTTATGTAATTATTTTATCCGTAATTTTCTCTTCATTTGTTATGTTTTTGAATTTTTTTATTGTCTTCAAATTTCTTTTTCTCTTTTGAATTTTACTTTTTCTTGTTTTTTGAAATTCTCTACCTTAAGTGGAAGAGACAAACTTTGCCTCTTTACATATTCAGCAACCTACCATATCAGTATAAATTAGTTTTACTATTTTCTTTAAAAGAATCAAGAGATATGGCTGATGTAAAACTTTGACTATAAATAGTCAGAAAAAAGGTAGTAAAAGTGACATCATCTTGTAAATCTCTCAGATTTATTTTATCTAAGAGATCCAAGTTTGAAAATATATCCTCTTAATAAGGTTACTGAAATAAATTAATCCACCAAATTAACATTTTCGCATTAAATCAAAGATTAACAGAAAAGTCCGAAACTTTTGCAGCGAATTGCGTTACAAATTCCAACAAAGTCATTTAGAAGACTTTAAAGGGTCACGAGAAGAACAACACGTGAAGAAAAACGTGAAACGTCGAACATTCTCATTTCTCCTTCAAGTTGTCTTGTTCTGCTAAAGGAACCCTAAGAGAGCCAAACATCCAATCTATCCAAATGGTATAGTGACCATAGTTATGCTTGTATGTGGTATGGTGTATGGTATGGTATCCAGCACCCATTATAGGCCAAATGTTAGCATGGATGCAATCATGGATGTTCGCTGTCCATATCCCTTCCAAAAACAAAAGACACAAATGTGTTGAGAGATGAATCGGCACTATAAACAAAGCTATCACGTGCGGTAAAGCCTGAAGCATCCCGTCCAATGGATGCAATGCCATCCCTGAAAAACCGAAAAAAAAACGTTTTAGTTACGACAAGTTATTGAATCTGAAGTTTAAGTATACAATAATTTGACTTTACCAGCAAATGGAGAGAGAGTGTTGTGCTTGTTGTAGATATGGTGGGTTGCATGGAGATGCTTGTAGAGAAACTTAATGTCATGAAGCTCTCTGTGAACCCAATAAACCATAAACTCAACTAAAACAAGATAGATCGCGATGTAAAGCAGACAGAGGAACCAATTGATTTGGTCAACTGTAGAGTAGCATTTGGTCCAACCACGCTCGATCATATACTCAGAGACAGGTGGAAGAAGTGTGTACCAAGGCATTGCCTTCATTCCCACATATATTTGCATAATCATTGCCTTTCTTGTTGGAATTGATTCTGAAGCAAATTGTACGTAGTATCATCAAAAGATTCAAAATTAAGAAAGAACTATATATATTATCCACAGTTCGATTCAAATTTAAGAAACAACTATAAAAAGTGAGATGACCTTTGGGAACGTAAACGTTGAGTTTAAGGTAATAGATGTAGAAGCACCAGAGGAAGCAGGAGATGAAGTAAAGTATGTTGCCGGCGAGGTAACTCCGGAGCCATGTCTGGAGGAAATGTGGTAAAGGTTCCCACAGATTCTCCGGCAAAAGGTGTTTCAGGACGATTCGGTTGTAAAACGTTGTCTCTTCGACGAACTGAGTTAGATACCCGTTATCCACCGCCATATACCCGCCGTGGAAGAGTAAAACGTTTTCTCTCTCTCTCTCTCTCTCTCTCTCTCTCTCTCTCTCTCTCTCTCTCTCTCTCTCTCTCTCTCTCTCTCTCTCTCTCTCTCTCTCTCTCTCTCTCTCTTATGCCTTAGATAGTTATATATATATATAGAGAGAGAGAGAGTCTCTGCGTAGAAATCGCCAGACAGGAGGGGCTTTGTGAGCTGTGCTTAGGTTCCTTGTTAGATAAGTTCCTTCTTGCCAACATTTACTAATATTTACAGTACAACACCCACAAATTACATTACATTACTAATATTTAAGACACTTTGATTGAGCCACCGTTTCTATACCAGGGTTATATATGCTATTACGAAAGACATTTGAACATTTAGGACATGTAAAACTTTAGACTAGGAACATTTAAATATGGATCAGTTAGGCCGTCTAATTGTTAAGTATTCTGTATCTCTAAGTTTGTTTGATTTGGTTATTACTGATCAATCAACCACACATCATGCATCGTGTGATGGATTGGTGTCATTTATATGAATATGCATGCTTAAAGTCATTTTCTCAATCAATGGTCACATGCTGGTGACTTGTTAAACAAGAAAGAAGAAGTCAGTCTAACGCTAGCCAGTATTTTGGGCCTGGGAGATGATTCTTAACCGTGCAAAAACAGATAGGCACGGACCGGTTAAACTGGCCATAATCCAAAGTATATAACTATATACTATTTTCTTTCATTTGGGAGATTAAGACGAACTAGTTAACAAGACTACACGAAGCGGACCTAAATTTTTTGAAAATTCAAACGACCTACAAAATAAATGGCTTTCCAAACAAAACCAAATATGAAGTTTCTTCCTGAAAATTATATACGGTAAATAATTTGACATTACCCTCAACAGTTGGGTGGTGAAGAAAAGTCAAAACCTTTGCTTCAACATTACCCTTTATAAGAAACAGAGTCTTGCAAAGAAGGAACATTTACCTGAATTGACAACAAATGTGCAGTCAATGCTTTCTAAACAAAATAATAGGAAAGGTTGGGAAAGACACATAGAACGGTAAAAAGGTTGAAACTTTGAACAAGCCAGCGAAGCTCAAATGGGTCAATCTCTCACTCTGCTTTCTTGGAGCTGTCTTTGTTGTCATCTTCTTCTAAGAGAGGGTCCCTAAGAGTGGCACACATCCAATCCATCCAAATGGTATAGTGACCATAGTTGTGCTTGTACGTGGTGTGGTGTATCGTATGGTACCCTGCGCCCATCACTGGCCAGATGTTACCGTGGATGCAGTCATGGATGTTCGCTGTCCATATCGCTTCCATGAACAAAAGACCTATATGTGTTGTGAAATGAATCGGCACTACAAACAGAGCCATCACATGCGGTGAAGCCTGAAGTATCCCGTCTATCGGGTGAAACGCAAGCCCTGACAAAAACCAAAACGTTAGACTCATATCAGATGCCACATTCATGACAAAAGTGTGAAGTAGTTGGATGTGCATTCACTTACCGGCAAATGGGGAGAGTGTGTTCTGCTTGTTGTAGATATGATGGGTCGCATGGAGATACTTGTATAGAGGCTTAATGTCATGAAGCTCTCTGTGCATCCAATAAATACAAAACTCAACTAAAACAAGATAGATGGCGACGTAAGCAAAATAGAGGATCCAGCTTGATTCGCCTATTCTAGAGTAACATTTGGTCCAACCACGTTCGATCATACTCTCGGAGACTGTTGGAAGCAGAGTGTACCAAGGCATCGCCTTCATTGCCACGTAAATTTGCAAAAGCATAGACTTTCTTGTAGGAATGGCATCTGAAGACAAAAAAATGTTTTCAGATTAAGACAAGGTCACAAAAAGTACAGATTCAACGTAGACAATCACTTCAATTACCAAAGTACAACATTCAACTTTAAAGATCTAAACTTCCTATTGGTAGCTCAAGAGCTTATATCAAGCCCAAAGATGAAGAATTTTGTCTATCATAAACCGCATTAAGAAAGATAATCAGAAAGAAGTATGATCCACAAAGTCCATCCATTTCAAGGAATATACAAGTACAACTGAATTGTAACTTCATCAGAGAAGTCAAACTGAGAAATTAGCTATTGAGGTTGTTTTCACGAAATCTAAAATCATCACTAAACATGAGATTCATCATTCAAACGCCAGCCATCCGACAAGAACAGATCACTGAAATCTCATTCTAATCAAACGCTAGAATTTCAATCGACAAGAACTAACCAGAAGTGATCACTAAACTTCAAGGATAAAACAAATTGAAAAAGTCAACGAATCGAATCACCTTTTGGAAGATAAACGTTGAGTTTAAGGTAATAGATGTAGAAACACCAGAGGAAGCCGGAGATGAAGTATAGCAAGGTTCCGGCGAGGTAATTCCGGAGCCATGTCTGGAAAAAGTGCGGTAAAGGATCCCACAGATTCGACGGCAATAGATGACTCAGGACAATGCGATTGTAAAACGAGGTTTCATCAACAAACTGCATCAAATACGCATTATCCGCCGCCATGTGATCCACCGCCGCGATAAATCAGCGATCTACCGAGATCGGTTAATTTTTTACTTCACCTGTTCCTGAGTCGGAACGAATCAACTGTACCAATGAGGCAATAATGCATGTGGTACAGAGAGAGTTGCACAAATTTGATCTCTTACTCATTTTCGTTGTAATTGTTCTTGGCCCACATTGGTTTTATCGAAGTAGCCTAATATTTTATTATATTTACATAACAAACATTGTACTTCTATAAATCGAGAATAAACCCACATAAGAAGTATGAAATATTCAAGATTTTGTACTAAAACACGTTTAAGTCTGTGGCTGTTACTGGATTTTCAACTTTTCTAATGGTCTCAAAATATCTATATTTGAATTATTCAAGATTTTGACCAACAACTAAATAAATGATCCTTCAATTAATGTGTCAAATTTGCCATACGTGAAAATAAATGATCCTGCAAGCGTACAGACTACAGAGAAAGATGGATATGGGTGTGAAATAAGATAATAAAACTATATTGGGTAAAAAATGTAAAATGTTAAAAGAAAGAGAGTAATTCAAAAGGCGACAGAAGTAGGAACTGGGAAGTGATGTGTTCCGATGGAAGATATTTAAGATGCTATTGGTCCTCGAAGACCACAACATCAATTAAGTACAGACATGATGTGTCCGCACGTGGATAAAACGGAGAAGAGACGCGCGCCGTCAGAACGAGTTTAGTGGCCAAGGACCCATCATGGAATCTAATGGGCTCATAATAGAAGGCCCAAACTAGTATAGTGAAACGTAAGATAAGAACATTTCAATCCAGCTATAATCTAGCTATTAGAAGGAGATTCAGATTAGTATGGATGTGATTTGGTTACTTTTAGCCGTTTATATGTCTTACGTTTACAAGTTACAACAATATAACATTGGGAAAGAAAACTAAAAATGAAGATATCTTGGTTCAAATAGAAACACTACAAAAGCAAACTTTTTAATAAATAAAAGATACGTAACGTATCTGCTGTATTTGTGCTGTTACTGATTAGATTCTCTGTTGTTGTATTTGCGTTTTGCTTTTGTCAACCTTAGATTCTTTTTCCCTTTTATTGATATAAAGACCAAATTTGGAGTTGACGAAAACAATGAGAACGTTTTTACTTATTTGAGACGTCGTGAGAGTGAGTGAGTCATCGTGACAGTCCACGTGGACAGCTAGCAAACGGCCCACACAGCACGGACGGACGTTAACTCCGTCGGCAAAGCACGTGATTTCTTGTAACATCTGTCACTTTTCCACCTTCTAAAAGCTAAACATTCTTAACCCCACATTTCTGTTTTATTCTCACTTTTGACCCCGTACTTTTGATATTGCCAATCATATCTTCCTCTGTTTATGAAATAATAAATTCCCACGATTCGTGAACGCGCAAAGGAAACAAAGCTCAGAGTCTTTCATTGCCATGGGCGCTTAGCTTATACTCGAGATTAACTAATCTCCGAGACACAGATTTAGATTCGTAATCGTGAGTTTTTGGGTGTAATGGAGATCGCTACTGTCGTTAAGGCAAATGGCGGGTGTGAAGCGGATCGACGATGGCTTCGCCGATTGAAATGCTCCGTTAAGGATTACGATTGGGGCAAAATTGGATCGGATTCACTCGTTTACAGGGTTTATGCGGCTAACTCAGATGACCAGATCGATTCCACCCGGCCGTACGCCGAGCTTTGGATGGGGACTCACGAGTCCGGTCCTAGTTACTTGGAGGATGCTGATGGGTCCAATGGCGTGACCCTTAGATCGTGGATTGCCGAAAACCCTAAATCTCTCGGAGATAGGGTTTTGGAGAAATGGGGTTGCGATCTCCCGTTCCTGTTCAAGGTACAGACATTTCTACATTGCCACATTGTTGATTCATCCACGAAATCTCTGAATTTTACCATTTGCGGAAATGATTTTCCTCGTTTCTTATGCTTTGAGTTGCAGAAATGTGATTTGGATATTGTAAAAATTGATAGGTGTTGTCGGTGGCAAGGCCCTTGTCGATCCAAGCACATCCAGATAAGAATTTGGCAAAGAAAATGCACAAAGCTCATCCAAATCTTTATAAAGACGACAATCACAAACCAGAGATGGCTTTGGCCTATACCCAATTCGAGGCTCTGTGTGGGTTTATACCTCTTCAGGTATCACTTGCTCTGTCATCACTCTCTTTACCGTTCTCAAAGTTTTTGTCTTCTTTAACAGAAAAGATGAACCTTTGCAATGTCTCATGACTCATGAGTGATGGTTAAAGAATGTAGTATCTTTTTTCCTTTTGCTTAACGTTTGAGAAGAGTATTAGATAGTTTGCTGAGGTCTTTCCCAATGTTTGAGATTGGACTCGCTGAAGAAATCTTTTTGTTCAGTTTCCAAAACTCAAGGATTGCTAGCTTACTTTCCAGAATTGTTTCGTGTACTAATGTTGCAGGAGCTTAAGAGTGTCATTCGGGCGATTCCAGAGATTGAAGAACTTGTTGGGAATGAAGAAGCAAACCAAGTCTTCTGCATCAGTGAACATGATGAGGAGAAAGTGAAGTCTGCTGTGCGAACAATCTTCACCCTGCTAATGTCTGCTGGTCCCGATACAACAAAGCAGATTGTATTCAAACTAAAACGCCGTCTGCATATGGAGAGTCAGGTCAGCCATATAACTTCCCTGTTACTGTCTACTTTGCTCAAATGATTGCTCTTCTTACCCCAATTGCCTTGTAAAATGCCACTGCCTGAAACCTTCCCTTGGAATTATGCAGGAACGCCAACTGACAGACAAGGAACGGCTAGTTTTGAAGCTAGAGAAGCAATATCCAGATGATATTGGGGTCATATCTGCATTCTTTTTCAACTATGTGAAGCTCAATCCTGGTGAAGCCTTATACCTCGGTGCAAATGAGCCCCACGCATACTTATTCGGTGAGTGCCTTGAGGTCATGGCGACTTCAGACAACGTAGTCCGAGCTGGCCTTACTAACAAGCCTCTGGATATTCAAACCCTTTGTTCCATGCTCTCGTACAAACTGGTAAACCTTCAAAACTTATAACCAAACCCAAAGCTTAGACTGAGACTTACAAGGTTGCGGCTTGGTTACTGAGTTTTCACTTCTGAGTTTCAGGGCTTCCCTGAAATCCTAAAGGGATCAAGGATTCGACCATATATTACAAGATACCTCCCACCTTTCGAGGAGTTTGAAGTTGATCTCTGTGATCTTCCCTGTGGAGCCTCGACAGTGTTTCCCTCTGTTCCAGGCCCTTCTCTTCTGCTTGTACTCCAAGGTGAAGGCAGAATGTCTACAGACGCTTCAGCTGATGAGATTTCAATGGGAGATGTTCTATTTGTGCCTGCAGATACTGAGATTCACTTAAAGTCTTCATCCGACTTGAAGCTGTACAGAGCAGGAGTGAACAGTAGGTTTTTGTATTCTCTATAGTCGAACTACACAGAAGTTTTTTCTCGGTTATTGATGTATGATTAATTTATACTTTGTCAACACACATTTGTGCTTTGAAATTACAAATTTGATGTGAATCTTTTTGAGTTAATGATGTTGTAACTGTGAAAACTTCAAGGTCAAATAGAAAGAACTTTGAAGAAGACTTCAATTGATAAAACAAGAAAATCTTTTCGAAAAAGTTATACTCGCAAACAGAATCAAAAGCTCCCTATCCGACAAAAAAAAAGAACCAAACAAATCATCTCTCAAGCTTCGACTGGGTACTCGAAAACTACATCTCTTCCAGTAAGTTTCCTGTACACACAAACCATCGACTCAAGCTTGTACTCGGTGTTGTTCTTCTCCTTCACGTCCAAATAGACCTGCCATAGTTCAGGAGATGCATTATGTTAGCGAGCAGCTTATAACATTTAAAGAGGATCAATATATGTATTTAGCTTCACTACCTTCATGATCTTGGTTCCATCAAGGCATCAACATGGTATCTGGTTCGTTTTCCTACAATTTCAGCAGGGTAAGCAACATCCTCGAGCATTGATTCATGGACAGAAGTGAGAGTTCTGTTGCGTGGTCTCTGAACAGCTGAGCCTTTCTTTGGGGGACGCACAATTCTTCTGGTGGCGACAAAGATAACATCTTTGCCACTGAACTTCTTCTCAAGCTCTCTGACAAGACGAGAATGAATCTTGCGGAAAGCTTTCCTCAATCTAATTGGAACGTAGATCACAACAGCCTTACGGTTGCCAGAAATATCCAAATGACTGCACAGAAAGAAAAAATTAAAACGAAGAGATCTCAGTCGAGAAACCAAAAGTTAAAATCCTTGCAATCACGAGAAATGAATACATACACTGCTTGGTTAATGTACAGATCTTTCAAGTCACTCTTCAGCTCCTGGTTGGTGTTCTCCAAATCGAAGAAAGCCTGCACAATAAACATCCTAATCAATCAACAACGAAAGGGATAAAAAAGCCAAAACATACACAGGAAGAAAGACCATAAATCGGCAAAAAAGATAAGCACCTGAGCAACTGTCTCTTCAAACTCTGTTGGTGCCACACCCTTATCCTTGTGGATCTTGTTCTGAGCAGAAAACATCTTTGCAGATCTAGGACAGTCGCAAGATAGAGACAAACGTATCAGCCAATCAAGTTTTAGTTACTTTCATGATTGAAATGAGACTCTAAAGCTGAATAGCCTAATACTATTCCAGATTGAAAGTCTAATGCACAGACTGATAACACTAATTTGATCAGCTTTTCCAAAATTTTGACTTTTGTTAACTAAACTCAATAGACATATTGATTAGTCGAATTTCGATCAAATTCCTAAATCTCCTGGCAAGTGAAAACGTTTTGAAGCTTTATGGAGCTAAATTACACAGCATTCTATGGGCCATTCATCACAATTATGAGTAAAGCAAATAATCAAACAGCTTATAAACCTAAAGGAAGTCCTTAATTGACATCATTTAGCAAGATCACTCTGATTGAACTTAATTACACGTTTCACTAAAGCTTATATCTTTCTCTAAATCATTTGAGTGAGCAATTATACTAAGGAAAAACCGATTAGAGACTCCAATAAGCAAACCCATTTCCTAGATTTTGCAGAATAGTAGAGAGAAGGGAAACATTTGAAGCGTACCAGTTAATAACGACGAAGAACCCTAGAAGGTGCAAACGTTTACGGCTTTCAGAGCTTCGCGTTCGAGAGAAAACACGAGTCTAGTGAAGGAAAGCTTTAAATATTAAGGGTTTTCTCTGAGATCCCTATTTTGGACGGCCTGGATCTGCTCATAACTGGGCCGCCGATAGATTCCTTAAACTAATGGGCCTCATATATTGGTTATTTTCAAGCTAGCCCAATCAATTTAAGACTGTAAGATTTAGGACTATTTTGGATTTTGATGGACAAAGCGATATTGCTTTTCAGAAGATAACAATGGAATCAGGGTATTAGCTTAATTGCCACTTGCTATATTACTTTATTCGTTGACGACACTTACGCATTTTCAACGTGAAAGGCATTAAGAATGAAAAACTATACGAAATTCTTAAAGCTTAGTGCTTGCTTGTAACATTTTTCAGAAATTGGGGCATTTATCTAAGAGAATTGGGTGTTCTGCTTCGTTGAAATTTTGTATTCAACAAAATTGAATGATCTATAGTCTTTTGACCATTCAAACTCAATAAATTAAAAACTAAGGAAATATTTTGATTAGTTCCATCAAACGACATCGTTTTTGCTAACTCAAAACCTTATTCACATTTTTAATTTTCTCGGCATCTTATAAAGTGCCTTCACAGCCGCTCTGTTTATCCTCTTCTTTCGCTCACCCTTATCGCCGCAGTTTCGTCGTGAATTCTCAGGTAATACCTTTCTCTCTCTTTCTTCTTTATCGAGTCCCCGTTAATGGCGGAAATGACAGATCAAAGTTTTCTAATTTCCTTCTAAACGGTTTGCTGTGAGTCTCAAGTTTTCAATTTTATCTTGTTCGTTTTCTTCGGTCTTGTGAAAACTTTCCTTTTTTAGTCCAGTCAATAAGTCTGTTCCTTAATTTTTCAATTTTTCAGATCCTACGAAATTGGTTTCTTATAGTCAACGTATTCGTTGGCTTATTCTGTTTCAAAACATCCTTTTTTTATCCCCCACTCTCTCCTCAATTTCGAAATGATCCAATTTTTCCCCGAATCGAATTTTCGTCCTTTTCCCTCAAATTCAACGGAATCTGGGTGAAATCTGGACGAATTGAGGGAGAATTGTTCAGATCTTACCAAGTAAATTCCGATTTTCTTATCCGTTGGAATTTCGAAAATTGAATTTAATTTCTTTCCAACTTGAATCCCTAATTTTGTTTGACATGATTGATGCAACAGATTTTAGGGCGTTCTACTGTGGCGAGAAAAGTGGTTCGAAGATGAATCATTGTAAACTTCAGGAGAACGCCTTCATGTCCCGTGACGAATCCAGAGGATCTGTTGTTTGCCCTAAGCCTCGTCGTGTTGGCATTCTCGCCCACAACGTTGTTCGTTCCTTTAGATTGCATTCTGGGTATGTTTAAAAGTCTCTCTCTTTTTTTTTCACATTGATTCTATTTTCTGTTTTCCAAACAAAATGCTGATTTGCTTTGCTTTGAAATTTCGCAGTCAGTCAGAATCAGGAGCAGCTGATGTATGTGGTGATTCTAAAGCCGGTGCTGATCTTTTGGACATTATTCGTAGAAAGGTTTGTCTCTGCTTTCAATCTTTTTCTCATAGTTGTGTATCGAAGCAATGTGTCAATTGGATTCACTTTGTCCTCCTTTGGTTGATTTGGTTGATTTTCAAGCATTTCCTTGTTTTGTGTTTCTTTGAATCAAATTCAATGCTAGGCTTTATAGCTTCTCTTAATCCATATAATGTCTTCATCACATTTCACCTGTCTCCCTGTGTCTCAGCTATGGTTTACAAAATTTCTCCTTTTTTCTAGAACCTTGAAACCATTTTTGTCTATGTTATTGTGTATTGAGATTGATCTTTAGTTGAAATGTGTTTTGGGATCTGAAAGATGTTTCTTTGGTCTTCTTATTTCTCTGCAGGAAGAAACATTATCTGCTGTAGCTTCATCACCTCCGTTTTTCTTCGGGTCTCCACCGAGCAGAGCAGCGAACCCGTTAGCTCAAGATGCGCGGTTCGGCGACGAGAAACTCAACCCGGTCTCACCCTCGCTCTCACCATTCCTCCCATCTGCATCTCCATCTCGTGTCAAAGGAGTAGGAGGTTGTGGGAGAGTGAACTTTGGGCTGAAACCAGCAGCTGTTAGAGTAGAAGGATTCGATTGCCAAAACTCGAGCATCCCTGCCATGGCTTAGAAGAAGAAAGAAGAAAAAGGAACAGAGAGATTCACAAAGTGTACATAACATCCAGAATCAAGACTCCAAATCCATTTTTCGAGGCCAGATGTTTATATATTTATATTTTTGAAGATGACGAGGAAAAGAAAGATTGTATAAGATGAGTCAGCAGCAATCACCCGGTTAAGGATTTTTACCGCAGTTTTCGTTAACTATTGTGTATATTTATGTATAGCGGTAACAATTTAAGAGATAAAAATCAAGTCTGTTCATATGTATGTCATCTACATTTTCTCAAGTATCGTTGTACCATATTAAAATCAATCTTGAGTGTTTTGGTTTTGTACTCTTATCTTGTGTAAAAATCTTTTGTATAGTAAACGTTTCTTCTTTTCTTTAGATTCTCAGCCTTTGTAAATTATAAATGTTAGATTCTCATCGTTTGAACAAGTTTACGTTTCTCTCTCTCTCTCTCTCTCTCTCTCTCTCTCTCTCGCTCTCTCTAGTCTTTGGAGATTCTATCTAATTCGGCAGTCTCGGAGGGATAGAGAACGAGAAACGGAAACGGAAAATAATGGCGAGTGATAAGGATTAAGGATTGGTACTCGTCCGTGGTTGGACGTTGACTTAAGAGTTACGGTCTATTCAATGAAGAAGATTGATTCCTTTAATGTTGATTCGTGAACGAAACCTGTAAGTAAAGTCATAGACGCATTGAATGAATGGAACTTGGGTTTAGTTTGACTAATTAATGTTGTTTTCAGTTTCATTAGAGTTTGAAGTTTGAACCAAAAACCATTGAAATGCAAATAGGTTTCATATTGTTGAAATGTATAAGTTGATTAAAGTTGATTACGTAATAATACCAAAGCTGATTTTTGGTTTAAAACGAAGAAACTAAAGAGGAAAAAGTAATAGATTACGCCTTTTTAACAAAACCGTCGGCGAGTAGAACACAAAAATCCGCCCACAGTCACAAGAAGATAATATCAAAACCCGGAAACCGGAAACCAGACACTAGTTTTGGACAATTTTAAAAGCAGTTTTGCATATACGGATTCTTTTCCCGAAAACCAGGAGCTAAGCGTGGGCCCCTTATTTCCCAAATGATCCTATCTGGCTCAAATGTGGCGATTCGACCAAATTTCATGACGCGCGAGCGTGAAGGCCACGTGCTTTGTTGCTTCTCTTTCCCTCATTTTAATTTCCCTTCGCAAAACCAAGGCAAACAAATTGATTGATTATAGTTTTTTGACCCAGATTTACCATTAATAACACGATCTTTAACAAATTGATTTAATTATTTAAGATTAGTTAATTAGTATCCAATTTATGATTTGGTCAGATGCTCTATCTAGAAAGTAAATACCCCCATGATCTACCAACCATATTGGATATATATCTAAATGTTTTGGAACGAATGAGATTGTACCAAAATCTTAAACTGTTCTAAAAGAGAAAACAAATTTATACAATCTGGATTCTAGATAGTTTATTACTTGTGAACCACCAGTCAATTAAATGTTGTAACACGTGTAGGACACGCGCGTGGGAGTTGAGAGCGGTGATGAAAACAAAACTTGGGGAAGAAACAGAAGTAGTAAAACCTTGAATCAGGGCAAAAAAAAAACCAGCGGCGTTTCTGGGAAAAAAAAAGAAGACAAAAACAGCTCTTCTTATCTCCCTTTATTTGCCTTCTCTCTTCTTCCCTTGTTTTATCTCTCAGCTCCCAAAAACCCAGGGGCTTCTTCTCCATGCACACAATCCCTTAAAAGCTTTCATCTTTCTTATATAATCAGTGAATCTCCTTCACCACTTCCCACAAAAATCTCCCAAAATCTTCTGAAATTGTTTTTTTTTGGTGTTTGCTATCTTTGTGAGTGTTCGATCAGTTGATTAAATCGAAATCCGACAGACAAGAGAAGATGCGGATGAGCTGTAATGGATGCAGAGTTCTTCGAAAAGGGTGTACTGAGGATTGTAGTATAAGACCGTGTTTGGCTTGGATCAAGTCGCCCGAGGCGCAAGCAAACGCAACCGTGTTTCTCGCCAAGTTCTATGGCCGTGCTGGACTCATGAACCTCATCAACGCCGGTCCCGATGACCTACGCCCTGGTTAGTTCAATCCCCTAAACGCCGCCGTATTCTAATCGTGTTTTTCCAAAACGCCTGCCTTTTGCTTATTGATCATTTTTAAACGATGACGTTTCGTCTTAGGTCATTTGACTGACGGAATCTGGGTGAAATTTTGCAGGGATTTTCCGATCGTTGCTGCACGAAGCTTGTGGGAGGATTGTGAATCCGATCTATGGTTCGGTGGGTTTGTTATGGTCGGGAAATTGGCAGCTCTGCCAAGCCGCCGTGGAGGCGGTGATGAAAGGTGAACCGATTACAGAGATTGCTACAGACGCGGCGACGAGTGGCCAAGGTCCGCCGCTCAAGATGTACGACATCCGTCATATCTCTAAGGACCAGAACGCCGCCGGTAAGGATACCGTGACAACCGATGAGAAACGGGTGAAAACTCGCCGGTTTAAGCGGGTCTTGGCTTTTGCTAAACCGGCGGAGTCGGAGGGAAAATCCGACGGCGGAGAGGCTAGCCATGAGTCGTCGTTGAGTCACCAGTCTGAAGTTGTGGCTGCTCATGAAGGAGAGAGCAAGGAATCGGAGAGCAATATCTCGGAGGTGATGACATTCTTGCCGCCGGCTGTGAAGGTCTCCTCCGGCGATGTTAAGCTTGATCTAACTTTAGGACTCGAGCCGGTGTCACGTGCCTATCACGTGGTACCTGTTAAGAAGAGAAAGACCGGCGTCTTTGGCACGTGTCAGGAACAGAATGCATGTAAGACTGAGCTTATGCTTTAGCTTAGCTCTGTTCGAACTTTTTCTTAGAAGTTTTGTCCGCTTTGGCTCGGCCTCGAACACCAAATCGAGCCAGCTGCCTCATTGAGCCGAACCTATAACTTTTAGTATTACTATTTTTCTCTATTTTCTCCTTTAATAATTTGCACTTTCCCTTGTGAGTGAGTCTTGTGATCAAAGAAAAGATAAATTCATGTACAAACTTATTTACAGATACAAATTCAAAAATTGACTGTATTTTCTTCATTACAGAAACAACAAAAATTGAAAACTGGGCACGATTTGTGGGTTCTATTTCAACATTTGTGGATTCTTTTTCTGCGTATTAGAAAATATTGTGGGCCAATATTCTAAACATTAGGAATGTTTTGGGCCTATCTTTCACGACTGTAATAAACAAGAGACTTGTCAACAGCACGTGGCACAATTTAATTGGTTAATTCGGATGACATGGCCGCGTAGAAAGGACAACCCATGTGCTTCGGGCCACAATCCAGTGGAGATATCGAGGGAGTGAAATTCTGTATCTGCTTTCACCGACCTCATCGCTTTCTCTCTCTTCCGAAGTTATCGCCGGCGGCGGTCGATCCGAACGGAAATTCGCCGGAGAATTCTGTCACTTGGACTGGAATTTCCTTGGAACCACGAGAGAAGATGAAGATAAATGTCAAAACTCTTAAGGGGAATCACTTCGAGATCGAAGTAAAACCCGAGGATTCGGTAGGAGAATTTCTGCTGATAGTTTCCTTATTTGTTAATTGAGACGGTTTATTTCCGCTTTCAAACCGATTTGTCGATCGATTAGGATTCCTGTGATCCGAGTGTTAGTATCTGAGAGTGAAGTTAGAGGTTGCTAAAGAGAATTGATACAATTCAGCAATTTTTGTGTATAGTGTAGTGTGTTGGCTGTTGATGTATTGGAAAAAAAGTTGTTGTCTATGCATTTGACTATTATCATGAACTTATGCTGGTAAAAAATATTTGCATTCAGGTTTCTGATGTGAAGAAGAACATAGAGACTGCTCAGGGAGCAGATGTATACCCTGCTGAAAAACAGATGCTTATTCACCAAGGCAAAGTGCTAAAAGATGAGACCACAATTGAGGAGAGCAAAGTTGCCGAGAACAGCTTTATTGTCATTATGATGGCCAGGGTACGTTTGAATTTGAGTCGGCTGTGTTGTTTTTTTTGTTTAGCCTTTTGGATTACTCGATTGATCTATGCATTGCTCTCTGCGTAGGGTAAAACTGCTTCAACTGGAGCGTCTAGTGCATCTGCTGGCCCTACAGCGCAGGTGAGTTGCTTCTGTTATAGCTTCATTATTAATGCTGAGATGCTGCAACCTGCGATTTTGGAAAATAATTGCCTCTGCAACTATTGAAATGAAAAGTGTCACACTTTTTTGTTTGTATGTTGAATGATCTAAAAATTTTGTGCTGTTTTAGGCCAAGTCGACGCCTCCCTCAACACCACAGCCTTCAGCTTCTCTTCAGACTCCGAATTCTGTAACAACGTGAGTTTCAGACAAGCGTTTTCTATTTGGAACCTTCTTGGAATTCATCTGACAAAACTGTTATTCCCTTCTATGCTAACTTTATTTTCATTCTTCTGCCTCTAATCTTCCTAATTCTCTGCAGACCAGCTACACCTCCACCAACACCCGCTTCAACACCTGCACCGGCACCTGTAGCTGCACCCGTACCTATGTCTGCACCTGTACCTGAACCTGAACCTGTACCCGTACCTGCGTCCATACCTGCGTCCATACCAGCAAGCACTCCTACACCAGACTCAGCTGCTGCGGGGTTAGCATCTCTGCTATCTAAATCTTTTGCTTCGCTCAGAAATTTACCTAGTCTTATTATATTTCCTATTTTCTTGGTTGAGATAGAAGTCAAGCTGATGTTTACGGACAAGCAGCATCGAATCTAGCGGCTGGAAGTAATTTAGAGAGTACCATTCAGCAGATTCTTGACATGGGTGGAGGAACCTGGGATCGTGACACTGTTATCCGAGCACTTCGTGCTGCATTTAACAACCCCGAAAGAGCTGTGGAATATCTTTATTCCGTGAGTTCAATTATTTTCTCTGAATTCGCTGTAGATCCCGTGCCCCCTCATACAACTTTGTTTAATAGGCAAATTTTGGTCACTAGTCTCTATGCCTTCCTTGCTACTACTATATTCCTTGTCACTAAACTGAGAGAACAATTCATGTTTCAGGGAATCCCTGAGCAACCTGAAGTTCCACCAGTTGCCCGTGCCCCAGCTAGTGGTGGACCACCGGCAAATCCTCCAACACAGGCTCAACAACCTGCACCAGCACCCGCAAGTGGTCCAAATGCAAATCCATTGGATCTCTTCCCACAGGTAATATACATTGAGATAGAAAAAGCCTACTTGTTGCAAAACTCTTGAGATTGTATGGGTGTGTTAACTAAAGCTACTCTTTATCTTTTGACAGGGCTTGCCAAATGTTGGAGCAAATCCTGGTGCTGGAACACTTGACTTCCTGCGCAACAGCCAACAGGTATGAGCTGTTTCTTTTCTTACACTTTGCTTACAGAAAGAGGTGTATCAGGCATAAATGTGTAACGTGTTTGTTGTTATTCTTGGTTATATTAGTTCCAAGCTCTGCGAACAATGGTGCAAGCAAACCCTCAAGTCTTGCAGGTATGTTGATCCAATTCGCAGAGGAACCCTCGGCTTTCATTTAGTATTGTTTCAAATGATTTCGTTCGCACGTTTTCTGCAGCCTATGCTTCAGGAACTGGGAAAGCAGAACCCAAACTTGATGCGTTTGATTCAAGACCACCAAGCTGACTTCTTACGCTTAATCAACGAACCCATTGAAGCGGGAGGAGAAAGGTATGTACAATAATCCCTAAGTTATTTCACTACTATGATCCATGTGTAACACACATCAAAACCAAAACTTTGGGAGGCTTTTGATTACTTAAACACTGATTTTTTTTCTTGTTTAATTTGTGTTGTGTATAATGATGCAGTGGCAACCTCTTTGGCGAGGCGGGAATGCCACAGCCTCAGGCGATCCAAGTCACAATTGAAGAACGTGAAGCAATTGAACGGGTCTGTTCCTTTTCTCTCTCTTTAAACTCTTAGAACTTTGGTCTTTCCCCTAAAGAAGAAAGCTTGTACACTCTTTATGATCAATAAACTCATTTTCACATTGATTTAAAAAAAAAAAAAACAGTTGGAAGCGATGGGATTCGAGAGAGCATTGGTGTTGGAAGTTTTCTTTGCGTGCAACAAGAACGAAGAGTTGGCTGCAAACTATCTTCTAGATCATATGCATGAATTCGAAGAATAGCTTCTTCAGTAAAGTTACCTTCTTCTTCTCTCTTTCGCTTCTCAATGCTGCATTTGTTTACCTATACATTGCGGGATGCCAAGTTCGAACCAGAGATTCACTACTCGTCTATTGGTCATGGATTCTCTCAGTTGTCAGTCTAAAGTGGAGTTTCTCGTCTGCTCTTTCTTCGTATTATTCTCTTTGATCGTCTCTTAGTCGTTACAACATCTTTTGTTCCAGTTATATTTGTCACAACATATATTGTTCATGTATAAAGATTGATTAAACCAAAATAAACCCACTGTAATAATCTCCGAAAGTTCCCCTCTTTTAATCTTTACTTTGTGTTTATAACTACAATTCATTTTCACCTTTTCTACTATAAGTTTATCTATGTTCATTTTATGATATGCATCAAAAATTTATATTTCCAGGAACCAAGGAATGTGAAGATGTAATAGTGTAAATTGTTTTTCTTTGGTTAAGTGTTTTTGGTTAAAATACCTTAATAGAAATTGATTTTCGACTCTGCAAGAAAATTCAAAAGTAAGGAAAAGTTTATCATATTTGCAGAATTGCTCGCTTCCTAAGACTCTAGTTGAGCTAGCGTTTTTAGTCTAACCTCGTTAAAGGTCTAAAACATGCTCTGAGTCTCACTTCGGAGCAACACCGAGAACTAAAACAGAAAACTCAGAAGCTCACAGAAGAAAAGCCCTAGAAATTCATTTTCTCTTTCTTCTCTAAATCTGTTTCGTAGATTTCGATCTCTCAGCATCGAAAATGTCTGTGCGTGTTCTGAATCCTAATGCCGAGGTGCTCAACAAATCGGCGGCGCTTCATATGACCATCAACGCCGCCAAGGGTTTACAGGATGTCCTCAAGTCAAATCTCGGTCCCAAGGGTACCATTAAGATGTAACACTCTTTCCTCTTCCTGGATCTATGTATTATTTCTCTTCGCCTTCACTTTTTTCTTATCCCCTACTTACTGGTTTTCATGCGACTTCATTGATCACTCGATTTAGGCTTGTTGGTGGTTCCGGAGATATCAAGCTTACCAAGGACGGGAACACTCTGTTGAAGGAAATGGTGAGTCCATAAAAATAATATAAAAAGCTAGATCTTGTTGATTAATAACAATCTAGCTTAATAGTATCTCTTCTTAGTTGTGAAGTATGTAAAGAAGCTTAAAACTTGTGTCATTTATTGTTAAACGCTAGGCCTATGATTATCTTCTTGGTGAAAATGAAATACGATGTTGAAAATTGAGTATGTCAAAAGTTACTTTGGTTAGACTATCCTGTTCTAATGGATGGCACTCATATGGCTATATATATATATAATCTGGGCACCATTAATGAGTTTGATGATGCTTACAGTTCGAACTTGCTTATCTATGCAGCAAATTCAAAATCCCACGGCCATTATGATTGCGAGGACAGCTGTTGCACAGGACGACATAAGTGGTGATGGGACTACTTCCACTGTCATCTTCATTGGTGAGCTCATGAAACAGTCAGAGCGTTGCATCGATGAAGGTTGGCCGCTAAACAGCTTGTTCCTGAGTTAATACTTTGATTTGTTGACGAGTCTGGTAGTTTTATGGTTAACATAGAATGCTTTCCATTGTTTAATTTTGAGCCCTTGTCATGTTTTGCGTTACCTCAGTGAGAAATGGTCTTAATGAAAAGGTTTATATGTATTTCAGGAATGCATCCACGTGTCTTAGTTGATGGTTTCGAGATTGCAAAAAAAGCTACTCTCCAGTTTCTCGACACTTTCAAGACACCTGTGGTTATGGGTGATGAGCCTGATAAAGAGATCCTGAAAATGGTTGCCAGGACAACGCTAAGAACAAAGGTACTCTTCATTTGATGATATCTATATCTTTTCGTTATCACAGACTTTTCCTCTTCGCTTCTAACTGGCATTTGCTTTTCTGGCTTACTTAGCTGTACGAAGGCTTAGCTGATCAACTGACTGATATTGTTGTTAATTCGGTAAGTTTACTGATATCTCTCTATGAATATCATCATGTTTTTTTCCCCCATAGATATCAATATATGAGAAATAATCTATGGATAAGTTTTGTATTCAAGCTTGTTTGTCTTCTAATTAGCTGCTTCCTCCACATAACAGGTTCTCTGCATCCGGAAGTCTGAGGAACCTATTGACCTGTTTATGGTTGAGATAATGCACATGCGCCATAAATTTGATGTTGACACACGATTGGTATGCCTTTGATGTGTTGGATGGCTTTTGCACTCTAGTAGTATGACCTTTGTAGGAGATTAAATACGAATAAAAAGTATCATCTTTATACACCTGTTGCTGATATCACATGGATTGTTTCTCTTGTATATAAGGTTGAGGGGCTTGTTCTGGATCATGGTTCAAGACACCCTGACATGAAAAGACGCGCGGAGAATTGTCACATCCTAACTTGCAATGTGTCACTGGAGTATGAGAAGAGGTATGTAATATAAACTTTTGGGTTGATTGGTTGAAAAAATATGAAAGACTAGAGGATCTATCTCGTGTATCACTGACTTTGTAACTTTGTATATATCAGTGAAATCAATGCAGGGTTCTTCTACTCGAATGCCGAACAGAGGGAAGCCATGGTTACTGCTGAGAGACGTTCTGTTGATGAAAGAGTTAAGAAAATTATTGAGCTGAAGAACAAGGTGGGTTTTAAACTACTACATCCAAGTATTATGCGGTATTTTTTTTTCAGATATTTACATGGTCTATTTCTCATGCAGGTCTGTGCTGGTAATGATCACAGCTTTGTTATCTTAAACCAAAAGGGTATTGATCCCCCATCATTGGATCTTCTTGCTAGAGAAGGGGTAAGCTATGACTAGTTTTGTACATTTCTCTGTATCGACAATTATTTCCTGTTATTCCGATTGCCGGAAAAGCACAGGCAAACTGAACTTTAAAAAAAGATTTTGAATTGAAATGTAAAGTTAAACTGAACTAAAACCAGTAGAGAAGGTTCTCCACTAAGAGTATTTCGCTAAAAGCTTTTAAGGCCTGGATTGTCCACTAAGCTTGTTTCTCGTCTTGTACTTGGTATCTCTTGTCTACAAGTTGTTAACATCCAATTATCTCTTCTGTTTCTTAATGTTTATACGTGTTTCCAGATAATCGCCCTTAGAAGAGCCAAGAGAAGGAACATGGAACGTTTGGTTTTGGCATGTGGTGGAGAAGCTGTGAACTCCGTTGAAGACTTGACCCCGGACTGCCTTGGCTGGGCTGGACTTGTATATGAGCACGTTCTCGGGGAAGAAAAGTACACATTTGTTGAGCAGGTGAAGAACCCTCATTCATGTACTATCCTCATCAAAGGTACAATTGCCCAAACTTCTATCTCTTGGCAGCTAAAAGTTTTGAAAGCCGGTTTTTCTCTATTTACATGCCTGGTCATTGATCATCCATGAAATTAACTTGTTTTTTTATAGGGCCCAACGACCACACCATTGCTCAAATCAAGGACGCTGTCCGTGATGGTTTAAGATCAGTTAAGAATACCTTAGAAGATGAGTGTGTTGTATTGGTAAGGGCCTTCTTCTCAACAAAGATCAACGAACATCCATTTCAGTGTGATTGTTACGGTTTTGTGTGCTTATGGTGTCACATTTGCCTCTTTTGGCAGGGAGCTGGAGCTTTTGAAGTTGCAGCGAGACAACACTTAATCAATGATGTCAAGAAAACCGTTCAAGGGGTATGTATCCTCTTCTCCAATGCAAATTCTTGAATTTTTCGGGTTGCTAATGTCAACTTTGTGGCAAATTGCAGCGAGCTCAACTCGGTGTTGAAGCTTTTGCTAACGCCCTTCTCGTGGTTCCCAAGACACTCGCTGAAAATGCTGGTCTTGATACACAAGACGTTATCATTTCTCTAACGGTATTGCCTGTTTTTTCCACTGTCGAAAAATGCTTATATGCAACTTTTTTTGGGTTTCTCTACTGAAGTTCTATGTTTTGTACAGAGTGAGCATGACAAAGGAAACGTCGTGGGACTAAACATAGAGGATGGAGAACCCATCGACCCTCAGCTTGCCGGAATCTTCGACAACTACTCGGTGAAACGCCAACTAATCAATTCAGGGTATGTACAAAACCAAAACGCTTAAAAATCGTTATTGTTGAAATTCAGGGAGTTAAAACGGTTGTTTTTGGTAATGTGTTGCAGGCCGGTGATTGCTTCGCAGTTGCTATTAGTGGATGAAGTGATTCGTGCAGGAAGAAATATGAGGAAGCCTACTTGATCACTTCTTCACTATTGTAGTCTTTTTGTTTTTCACCCTTTTGCTTTTGTTTCCTTTTCCTTGTTTCGAGTTTTAAGCGTTACTTCTTGAATCTATCCTTTGTTTTGATTGTTGTCTCTAGTGGAAAAGGATGAAGAAAAAGACTGAACTGTATTTTATTTTGTTTTTGTGGGTTTTCATAAAACTATAATCCTTGTTTGAACATTTTTGAAGTGATGCTGAATTTGAAAGAATTTAAAAAGTAATCGTAATCATAGCATTTCAGTTTTACCAATCACCAAAACTAAACTAGTAATTGAGAAATAGAAAGTGGCAAGACAAGAAATTAAACAGTCGTATAGAAATCTGTGTTAACTAACTTAACTGCATAGCATTAGGAAGAAGAAAATTGTTTTCAAAATAATAAAGTCAAATAAACAACAATGCACGGAATCCGGGCCCCATATAATAATTAATTTAAAGTCATTGACGGTCAACACTATTAGACACTTGTCAGTCTATTATTGGGCTCTTTTCTCTTTACCATCTCCGAAAATCAAAGCCCATTTTTTCTTCTCGTTTTCCCCCTTGTTTCTTCTTCTCACTTTTCTCATTACGCCTCTCAAATCTTCGAATTCGACAAATCCCAAATCCCTAAATCCCCTCGGTAAGCTACGATCTGACCTCGCTTTGCTCATACTTCGACGATTTGTTTCTTTGTTGCTCGTTGATGATTCCGTTTCGTTTTGTGGACTTCGAACTTCGTTTACTCTGTTGATTTTCTTGTCTGTGTTCGTTGTCATGATCGAGATCTGGCATATTAGTCACGAATCATTCCGATCGATTTTAGTGTTTCGATCTTCTGATTTTTTTTCCGTTTAGACTTCTAGTCTTCGTTTTATCTTCGGTTTGTTGGTATATAGGATTGATCTGTACAAGATGATTACGAGAATCTGGATTTATGAATTTTGTATTTTCTGGGATTATTTTGATATAGCAATGTTGTTGATGAAGTTTTGAATCGAATTATGAAAACAGGATCTAACAAAACGATGTCGACTTCACGGGCAGAGAATGTGTACTTAGCCAAGATAGCCGAACAAGCCGAACGTTACGAGGAAATGGTTGAGCTCATGGAGAAAGTTGCCAAGACTGCAGACACTAAGGAGCTTTCTATGGAAGAGAGAAACCTCTTGTCTATCGCTTACAAGAACGTGATTGGTGCGAGGAGAGCTGGGTGGAGGATCATTTCTTCCATTGAACAGAAGGAAGAAAGCAGAGGAAACGAAGAACATGTCTCCATGACCAAGGATTACAGAGGAAAGATCGAGACCGAGCTCAACCAAATCTCTGATGGAATATTGAAGCTTCTGGATTCTCACCTTATCCCCACTGCAACTTCGGCTGAGTCCAAAGTGTTCTACCTCAAGATGAAAGGTGATTACTACAGGTACCTTGCTGAGTTTAAGTCTGGAGCTGAGAGGAAGGATGCTGCAGAGAGAACTCTGGAGGTTTACAAGTCAGCTCAGGTAAAAATCTGATTTTGCTGCTTTGGTACCAGTAAAGGAGCTATCTTGAATCTTGATCAACGCTTATGGTGTTTTTGTTTATGAATCAGGATATTGCACTTGCTGAATTAGCTTCTACGCATCCAATTAGATTGGGACTTGCCCTTAACTTCTCTGTTTTCTACTACGAGATTCTCAACTCGTCTGATCGCGCTTGCAACCTCGCAAAACAGGTTTATATTTTGCCTTATGGGATCTTGTAAGCATTGTTATTGCACCAAATCCTGAATGATATTCACTCAAAATGTATTCACATTTTCACAGGCTTTTGATGAAGCAATCTCTGAGCTGGACACCTTAGGAGAAGAAACATACAAAGACAGTACTCTAATAATGCAGCTTCTCCGTGACAACCTGACACTCTGGACTTCTGACACCAATGTACACTTTTTTGTCTCCCTCCCTTATTCATCTTCCCTTTTAGCTTGTATCTACACAATCTAAGCTTTCTCTACTGAGTAATTTCGATTGAACGCCGATGTGTTTGCTCGTTTTCAGGATGAGGCGGGTGGTGATGAGATCAAGGAGGCGTCAAAAGATGAGTCGGTAGAAGGCAAACAAGCTTAGACGCTGAAGTGACCAGAGAGATAGAGAGAGAAAGAGACATTTCTATTGGTGTATGGTATGGATTTGGCTCTGGTTTCCTAAAACATGTGATGTGGATGGCTTTGTACAAGTAGAGAGCTTTTGATTTTTTTTTTATAATTGGGTCTTGAAAGCTAATGAGTCTTTGCTTTTACTTTGGTTGCTTGTTAGTATCTAGAAAGTAAAGAACGGAGATGAAACAAAACTTAGGATTATTGCTTTGGATTCAACTCATTTAAGATTTATCGTTAGTGTTATCGGTTTATGATTTTTTGTTTTTCGTGTGGATAAAAAATCAAACACCTAAATCCTGCACGGAAACAAAAATCACGCAGAGTCAACAAAGAATATATACAAAATGCCTTATGTAGTGGACATGTTACCACTTTTTGTAAGCTGAAATTTTATTCTTCAGACCATATTTTCCTTATGTGACTAACACACGTGGTCGTGGGTCTCTTTCCGTACATTAAATTTCTTTCTTCTTTATTTATTTTTCCTTTTATGTTGTTCCTCTTTTATTCATGTTTTCCATATTTGTGAATAAATATTTTGTATAGGATTTTTGTTCAACTATATCAGTAAACGAATTTGAAATAGTAACCTCGTCAATTATCTTATCATCTTAATCCGCTGTAAATTTTAAAATTTAACTCCGAATACACATATTAATGTAAAATCATTTTTTGAGCATATTTATAGAAATACGAATATATGCAAATCAATGTCTTGAGCATCTTAAGTAATTTTGAATTTTAATAAAATAATTGAAACAGATACTTAACATAAAAAAACATATCGCTATTATTACCACTCCCCTCGAATCCCCACTGCTTTCTTTTTCAGCTTGTCTCTGTGAATTCTCTCTCTCTCTCTCTCTCTCTCTCTCATGGTTTCAGCAACTTCAATCATAGCTTGGTCCATTTACTCTACTCTTCACTTCTCTCTAACTTACAAAGTTTTGATTTTTGCAATCACTCTTGTTAAAACTTAGCCCCTCTCTCTTTCTTATCATATTGAAACTTGGCTTTTCAGGGGCGCTGGAGAAGATGGGCAACTAGGAATTGGCACCAACGAAGAAAAGGAATGGGCTTGTGTCGTTGAAGCTCTCGAGCCTTACTCTGTTCGCTCTGTCGTCTCCGGTAGCCGTAACTCCCTCGCCGTTTGCGATGATGGCACGGTACTATCGCAATATCTATACATTTGGAGTTTATCAAAATGAAATTTTCTCTTGTCTTAATTGGTCTCTAACCATTCAAAGCTGTGATTTTCAAGCTTGGTTTTATAGGTTCTTGTAAAAATTTAAGTGAACCAATGAACATGGTTTGTCTCATCGTTAACCAATGATGCTCTGTGTATTCCTCTCTTGTGGGAACAGTCTTTTAAGCTGCGACTCTTAATTAGAAGTTAGGAAATATGTCAAAGTTGATTTCCTGAAATGGCTTTATTGAATTGGTCTGATTTTAGCCCTTATTTCAGTAGTTTGAGTGACTAAGTTGTGTGTTTTGAACTGATGTCAGATGTTTACATGGGGTTGGAATCAAAGAGGTACATTAGGACACCCACCAGAGACAAAGACAGAAAATATCCCAAGTCAAGTTAAGGCTCTCGCCAATGTCAAGATTACTCAGGTTTTGATCTTTCTTTCTCTCTACTGAATCTACTGTGTAGAGTATCATATGGAACTAGCTTTGAGTGTGTTGTTATGTAATGGATGATGAATAGGCAGCAATTGGTGGTTGGCACTGCTTAGCTGTTGATGATCAAGGCAGAGCCTATGCGTGGGGTACGCTTTAATGTTATTGCCTTTAATCTGTATCCGTTTTTCTTGTTGAAGAATATTGATACTCATTATGGAGTGCACACAGGTGGGAATGAATACGGACAATGTGGGGAAGAGCCTTTAAAAGATGACATGTGTAGGCCCGTCCGAAGAGATATTGTGATCCCTAAGCGTTGTGCCCCTAAACTTACAGTCCGACAGGTAAACTAACTTCAAAACACTAAATCTCTCTGCAGTGCCTCAAAATCAAATTTCTCTTTGTACTAGACAATGTTGATCTGTAGATACAATAATCCATCTTCTTAACAGGTAGCTGCAGGGGGCACTCACTCAGTGGTTCTGACACGTGAAGGTCACGTGTGGACTTGGGGTCAACCGTGGCCTCCCGGTGACATGTATGGAGAACAATTAAAGCAGTAATATACATTTTGTGCATTCTTAGGTTATAATGTTGCTAAAGATGTTGGGTTTTGGTTTGCACTAAATTGCAGAAAACAGATATCTGTTCCTGTAAGAGTTCAAGGACTTGAGAATGTGCGTCTGATCGCTGTTGGAGCATTTCATAATCTTGCTCTTGAAGAAGATGGGAGATTATTGGCATGGGGTAATAACGAATACGGACAACTTGGCACCGGTGATACTCAGCCAAGCTCTCTTCCTGTTCCTGTCCATGGCCTCCATGATCTCACTTTGGTTCGTTCTTTTTCTTTCCCTTTTCTACCTATTAAACCTTTGAAAAGTGATCTTTAAGCTTCAACAACTTCTCTCTGTAGGTTGATATTGCTGCGGGTGGATGGCATTCAACTGCTTTAACCGATAGAGGAGAGGTATTGGAACTCATCTACTTTTCTCAATGTCTCAAACTTTGCTTCTCAGTCTCACAATGTGATAGATCCTCTGTTTCATCAATATATAATTATGGGTTTGGTTGGTCTTGTAATTTCTTAGGTGTATGGTTGGGGAAGAGGAGAACACGGAAGACTCGGGTTTGGTGACAATGACAAGAGCAGCAAAATGGTTCCACAAAAGGTTAATCTCCTGGATGAAGAAGACATCATTCAGGTAGTTAAAGCGTTAAACTTTAATTATCTTGAGATCTCTCTTCTTTGCTCGAGAGGATATTAGTCAGGTAAAGCATTTAACTTTAATAATCTTGCAATCATCTCTTTTTTGTCTAAAGGTTTCTTGTGGCGGAACACATTCAGTTGCTTTGACAAGAGATGGCAGGATCTTCTCGGTTAGTCTCTTTAAAACCAAGACTTTTTGGAATATACGCAAAAACATTCATTCATTCTTGTGATTATGTTTCTGTTTGTGATCAGTTTGGTAGAGGAGATCATGGAAGACTTGGTTATGGAAGGAGAGTAACAACGGGACAGCCATTGGAGTTACCTATAAAGATTCCTCCGCCTGAAGGAAGCTTTAATCACGCCGACGAAGAAGAAGAAGGAAAATGGATAGCTAAATCGATTGCTTGCGGTGGCCGCCACACTCTTGCCGTTGTAGAATGGAAGTCCGATGACATTTGATCCTTCAATCTCCTATGGTCACTGAGCAACTTAACGAAGAGAAGAAAGCAATACGAAGGAAGAAACGCAGAAGGAGAATTTGTCTCTATTATATGAAAAAGAAAGAGGGAAAAACATACTTGTTTCAAATTACTTTTTCCCTATAAATAATCTTTAGATAAAAGTATTTTTGATCTCAAGGAAAATTTTACAAATATATAATTTTGATCATGTTAGATCTTTAGTTTGTTGAAAACCTTGAACAAGAATTTGTCTTTTACAGTCTTTTAAATCAATAAAAATGTCTTTCTTTTGTAACTCTTGAAGTTATTGTTGGCTTGATTGTTACTAAAAATATAGATAAAATGTCTTTTAAAACTCCTAAAGACTTTTACATATTAGGAAAATTAAAGATATTCTATCTAGCTTAAGATCTTGCAAAACATTACCTTCAGTAGATTTTTACTAATGTTGGTTTGAAGCTCAAAAAGCATTGACAAGACGAGGAACACAAATGAGAAAGATGCATTTGGATTTTGTTGGCTGCCTTTGCCCTTTCCTCATCCATGAAAATAATCCATTTCCTCTTTTCTTCTTCTTTTCTTCTTGATTTTCTTTTGTCATCATATTTTGCTTCTCTTCTTCCATTTTCACCACAGCCTTGAAAATCCCAAAAACACACACCAATCATGAAAGAGTATAGATACAAACATTGTTAATTAGCCTTTTCAATATGGAGTACACAAAGTCATCAATGAAATAATTACAACATCAAAGTTGGGTGATAGTACTGTTCTCTATCATCGACACCCTCAAGTATTGTACGACCATTTTGTGCTTCTTTTTCGTAATATCATCAAAGAATCTAAATCTTAACAAGTATACAATATTATCATACATAAACAAACAAAAACGTGCAGTCTTATCATTGTCGATCGCTTCTATGATAAAAAGAAAAATTATACACTGCACACATGTATTGGTGTTTTCTCTTATTTTGTGAAAGAATCAATTTATTTTGTTGCACTAACGAATTCAAAATTTTATGCAATTATTGCGTACGTACCTTTACATACTTCAAAATCAGTTAACTTTTAATGGCCCAGTGCAAAGCCGTACCAAATATTGATAATCATTGTTAAAAAGTTAATGTCATTCTCATATAGGCCATAACTTTCAGAATTTTATTCAATCATGTTACAAACTTACAATATTAAAGCACCAAAATATAGTAATAATATACACTAAATTTAACGAATAGTATTTTTCTGTTAAAAAAAAATGCATTTGGTTTATAAGCCAGTTTCTTATAATATGTTTAAAGTTTAATTTTGAATGTGTAAAAGCAAAAAGAGATTATACATACCTCTTGTTGAGCTTTCAACTTGAGTGCATATGGCGAATCAGCAGCTTCCACCTGTATTTTCGTTGATTTCTCCATGATCGGCGGCGGGATGTTCGCTCGTCGACTAACATTCACCGGCGCACTCTGGACACCCACATCTTTCAACCTCACAACTTTCTTTTCTGCTCAATATTACACCCTCAAAAACTCTTATTTTTGTTAAAAAACAAATTAAAACACAAACCACGTTTATGAGATAATTAACAAAGAAGATAATCAATGACCTTTAATAAAAACATGATCGGGAGATATAGGATCCTTGTGAAGAACTCTAACGTTAGTACTAATCGTTCTTGGATTGTTGAGATTGCGATTAGAGGGTAGACTCATTACTGGAGTAGACATGGTTGATAGGTTACTAAAAGATCTTGAATTTAGGGTTTTAGAAGACAAACACTCCATAGGAACTTCACCAGACAAAGGATTGCAGATATATTTCTCCGCTTCGTTCCATTTCGAGTGTAACTCAACACCTTCTGGTTTCAACCAATTCCAATTCTTCTTGTCTTGCAACCCTGTAAGGAAAAGAAAAAGAACAGAACAAAACATAGAAGTTGTTGCGTTTTCTAAATTCTTGTTTGTAAAAGAGAAGTATCTTTCTTTACAAAAAGCTTACCCTTGAGTGCACTAGTGAATGAATAATTTGATGGGTCAATTTCCTCTGTCACAAAATTTCAAAACATTTTTCTATGAAAACACGTAATTATAACACAGAGAGATATTCAGAAAAAGAGGTTACTAATTACCTGCGAGAGAGTAGCCAGGAGAAGAGGCAGTACTAGAGATGGTGACAGTTGTTCTACACGACTTGTGATCTTCTCGGAAGCTTCGAATATAGGAGCCAGAAAGCCTTCTACAACTTGAGTTTCCGCGAGTTATATGACCTTTGCGACCCCATTCTCGTAGGTTAAAGTCAAACTCTTCGCCACGCAAAGCCATTGGAAAGGAACAATGTTTATTTTGAAAGAGCAAAGATAAGCTAAGGAGGAGTGAGAGGGGAGGATGATATATGTACCTTGAGATTTAAATGGGATTATTGATTTATTTTTACTCCGGAAAATATTGACTTTTTTTAGTACTCCTGTATTTAGTTTTGTTTCATTATATTTGGGTATTTTGAAATAATTTTTCCTGAATTTTTTTAAAACAATATATGTTGAATTCTAATTGGATGTTCTAAAAAACATCTTATAGCAACGTTTCTTTAATCTTTATATTATTAATTGAGAAGTACATTCTAATGTTTGGATACAAGAATTAGAGAAACATCTATTTGGATAGAAGAATAAATGGAAACAAAAGTTGTTTGGATATAAGAATAAGAGAAAAATCTATTTGGATAGAAGAATAAATGGAAAAAATTGTTTGGATACAAGAATAATAACTTAAAATAAACCGATGGTTTAGAAAACTTCCGTTTTCCATCTCTTAAAAATCTGCAAAAAAGAAAACTTAACATAATCTAACGATAATTCCAAATCAATAGAATATGCTTTTTGGATTTTCGGGTTTTTATAGACAAGTTCGGGTTTGGGTGAAAATCTGAGACATAATTTTATAGAGATATATATAGAGATATAGAAATTGTTCGGGTTTCTTTGAAAATTTCTGTTCGGGTTAGGTTCAATTTTTTTTTCAGTTTAGGGTTTTCCGGATTTTTTAGATTTCTGGTTTTCGGGTTTAGATATATTAAAAAAATTGAGTATTTTAAAATTTTGATTAGGTATTGGGGTCGGGTTCCGGGTGAAAAAGTTTCCAGATTTTTTTTGTTCAGTCAGGGTTTTCGGGATTTTTTTGATTTCGGATTTTCATGTTTAGACCTATTAAAAAAGTTTGGGTTTTTAAATTTTTTGATTAGGGTTTTTTGTCGGGTTCGGATTTAGGGTTTAAATTTTCTACACAAAACAACAACGTCACACCGCACAAACGTGCGGGTACTCTACTAGTTTTGTCTTTTGTTTTTGGGTGTTATCCATATATAGGAAACAAACACTCTTGGCATGTTCCATCTTTTTCTTTTTAGTTTCTGATCTTTTTAGATCTTGTGTCTTTTTCATGTCTTAATTTGTATAGTGACAGTTGAAAATTAATTGAATTGATCAGTAAGAAAAGATTGATTGATCTAACAAGTTTGGCTATTTCTCTCTATATATCAAATTGACTAGAGAAAACTATTTGCAAATAGGAAAAGTAATTATTCACTCGTGTAAAAGGTCGTCAGAAGTCCCAAATCATAGATGGCATCTGAAGGAAGCTCCAACAAAAACCATAGATAGAACAATTGAACGATCCAACCCAGAAAATTATGTTCTTGCATCGCTTATCAATTTCGTTGACAAAAATTGACTCGGTGGGTCTCCGAATCTCTGCATTAACAATAAGTTCTGTAAGCCCAATAAACTCATATGAGTCCATTAATAAGATTAATATAAGCCTAAAGTTTCAGAACTTAAGAATGTTAAGGCCTATAATAACTCTTTTTATACAGAAATTCGTGATCTCATCATCATGCTTTTCTTTTATCCACCATCGTCAGCTATCTCAAAAGTCAAAGTATTTAATATCACAATTATTTGGATGAGCTCATACTACAGGAATCAAAACTAAGGACAAATATAAGGGTCAACGTGGGAATTGATCGATATTATTGGATGCAATAAAGTTGGTATGTAATGGTCTTAGTTAGATTACTACTTCCAAGATATCGGATGCTTCATAAGCCAGAAAGCAATCAACATTACCTCAAATGATTAGTAAATCAAAACAGACAAAAGTCGAAACTGGTTCTTGATGCGTTGCATTGGACAAGTGTTTAATTAAGGACGACACTATATCTTTTGAATCATCCAAGACCAGGATACGGGTAAATGATTCTTAATTGTGTTTTTAAGTTCATTATTAAATGGTAATTCATAATAAATGTGGTAAAATGATCATGGATACATTTTCTGAATGAAACTAAGTAGAGTAAAGTACTAAATTATTAGTAAGGAGACAAGATAACGAAAGTTGTCTAGGTTATGCCAAACAGTAACCCTCTAGCCATGCGAATTTCACGTGCGGCATGCTCCTCATGCTTATTCCATTTCAGTACTTTAATTTGCATTATTTTATTTAGCTTTGTTATCTTATCTTTCAAACTATAAATAATTGGATTCCAAACAACCACAGAGACAACACAGGTTCACGACTTATTGGCTTTGGTTGATAACGTTAAACTTGGATATTACAAAATGTAATGCTTAATGTGTAACCAATCAAAGGAGTATTATATTTGTGATGTTACAAAAATGCATACTACAACTTTATCTTGTTATACGAAAACGTCTTGCCTTTCAAAATGAAAGCACTTGACCATATACGCGAAACTATGTCTAAACGCATGCTCTCTTTGACAAATATTTATTTTTTTAAAATAATACTTAACAATAAATAATAACACCGAAATGTGCTGTCTCAAAAACATGGCATAAGGCCATAAGGGAAAACGGCGTACAGTGTAGAAGGGGACACACAGAACAACTTCCAAGGATTAAGACGCTAATATAATCGATTGGCTTTGGCATTTGACTTGTAATTAAGTAAATTGTTTAAAAACAGCTTTATATATATATATGATAGAAACTAGAGAGTTGAACTATATTGTATGAATGGTTAAGTGGAAACTGAACGAAGCAGGCCAGGTTCAAGCTACGGGTGATTTGGTGGTGAAACACGAGAAAAGACATGTGGGATTATGTTTTGGCCTCGATTAACTCATCCCAGCTCACAAGTCACAAATTTCAAGCAATTAAAAACCTAATCTTGTATTTTCTAATTGATCTTAGGAAGTTTCATACGTACAGTACTTAACACTAGTACCCAAACAAAAAGTAGAGTTTCGTAGGTAAATTAAGTACAAATTATGAAAATGGTAGTACTTTTGTTTGCGAGTACAAATTACTCAAAGATCCCCATTTTTGTGGGATCTGTTCGTTTCATTTGAAGCAAAATGGCTCTAACTATACTGAATCAGTCAGTGTGTTGAAAAGACAAAACAAACAACAATTAAAGCAATTACAAGCATATTATTTTTCATGTAAATTCCATATACATACCTCCCCCAACTCCCAAAGAACTAGATTTACATATAAAAAGGTTAGTCGTCTAATCAAAAGAGCCCGTGATTATATTTACATATAAGACTTATAGCTTCTTTTAAAAGAAAATACTATTTATAATAACTATAGTTGTTAAATTTTCCTTTTTGTGTGACTACTTACTTATTACTATTAAAGAAGTGCATAGAAGAATAAGGTATGCAACCAATTGGCCGACCAGTGTATCTTGGTTGGTGGATTCTCACATTGTTATGCAAAGTTTGGTGACGTGACTTAACCATAAAAAATGATGATAATTTGCTCAGACACTATTCTTATTATTATCGTCTACATGGTTCGTCTCTATGTGTTACTTCATTAATCAAATTGTGTTTTCTTTTTTTCTGATGGGTATTGTTTATTCGTTTATAAAATGTACAATGCAGACAACAACTTCTCCCTATAAAAGTCAGTCGAACAAGTATCTTCCCCATCAAACCACTTATCTTCCAAAGCTCCCATCTCTCTCCATAAGATTATTACACACTCTCTCTATCTAAATCTTCTAGAAGATTCCTAGCTCTTGGAGAGAATCCAAAACACGTTTTTTTCAAGAGTTCGTCGTATTAAATCTCACACTCGTCACTATTTCAGACTGAATCATTGTTAAAGCAACCGGTTTTTCAAGGAAAGCAAACGGAAATGGAAAGCATCATGAACTTGAAGAGAAAAGAGAAGAAATCACACAGCAGAGGACTCGGGAAATATCTCAAAGAACAAAAAGGAAGGATTTACATCATTAGAAGATGTGTGATGATGCTCATTTGTTCACGTGATTGAATATTCATTTGTTCATTTATTTAGAAATCAGAGGCAAGACTAAAGCATGATCAATGCTAAAAGTTTAGCTTGCTTTGTTTTTGTCTTGTCCTGTGTGTAAATACATAGTAAAGTTGAGAAGTCAATGATCATTATTTGAAAGTGTTACTTTATGCCTTAATTAAGTTTACTAATATAATATGACATCTTTTATATACATTCATCTTCGTAAATCAAGCGGAGTGACAAAATTTTATTATTCAAATGGCGAAACGACAAACATATGTAGATGTGTCCATGAACAAACATCTTTAACGAAATTAGGCTTCGATAAGAGCAGGAGAAGGTAAAGGTTTCTCTAAAGAACACTTACCAGGAGGTTTCATGGAACTGAAAAGCTGTAGAACATCTGCATTGCGACGGATATAACTCGGGGAGAGAGACAGCAGATCCTGAGCTTCTCTATGCCTTCCAGACTTCAACATTGCTCCAAACACGCGCATCACCATTACATTAGATGGAAACTTCTTCGAAGTCAAAGCCTCCAGAAACGCAAAAGCTTCTGCAGCTGTTCCACTACTTGAGAAGTAATCTATGAACGGGTCCACGAAAGGAGGGAAGCCCTGATACCTCATCAGACGTAGAAGACTCAAAGCTTCTTCAAACCCACCATCGACTGCCACTTTCTTCATCAACAGATTCCTCACCATGATCTTGTACGTACTGTGCCAAGGTTTCAGCTTTTGGTTCTGTTTCACTAGCTCGGTGAAAAGCTTGTACGCATCTCTCGCCTCAAAACTGTTGCAATAAGCAAGCACCAACTTCTCAAATGCATAACCAGCATAAGAGACCCCTTCTTTGCCAATCATCTTCTTGAAACACGTTGAAGCTTCTTCGAGATCTCCTGCATCACAATGCCCTTCAACTAAAGATGCCATTGCTTTGTCATCTAGCTTGTTTCCAGAGGCATCCATAAACTCCACAACTTCATTGGCTTCATCTTTCTTCCCCTTACGACTAAGTCCCGATACAATCACACTCTGCAGATTCCCGCTAGGTACATAGCCGCTGCCTTCTTCGTTCATCGCTTTCAACACCTCACTGCTCTGCCCAATCCTATCAACGCTTCTCAATGACTTGAGAACACTCTGCATCATTGTATCCGTCATCACGTTTCCATTTCCGGTATAAGCTTTCACAGTTCTCGAAAACAAATCCATGTCTAGTTTCTTGCTTGTGCAGATTTTCTTCATCAGTAAGCTGCAGCAGTGAGCAGTAGGCGTGTTGCCACCCGCCATTGCAAACTCAAACAATTCCACAGCTTCTTTAACCATTTTAGTCTGACAGAACCTCGCTGAAACCCTCACATAAGTCTCCATTTCCATCTCATAACCAGCACTCCTGGTTTCTTCAATAAGGCTCTGAAACCTATCAAGAAACTTCTCTTTCCCCAAAACCCTTGCCATGGCGTTATACGTCTTCTCATCATGCTTAAAGCTGCCAGACTCATCAACCCAACGGAAGAACAGCAACGCTTTCCTCGGTTCCATGTCGAGTTTCTCCACTATCATCTTCACCAGATCGCTGTCAAACTTAATCTTCAAATCCCTTAGCTGTTTCTCCGAATCAGCACTCCATTCATCCTTCATCACAATCTTACAAACCCTATTGCAAACCTTATAAATCGAATTATCAATAGAGCCTGAAGCGAAAATCTCTCTCAGTCTATTCAGATCACCTTTCAAGCCATCTCTCTGAAATTTCTCACCCACTTTGTCCCTGACGTTAGCTGATACGCCATGCCCTTTCTTCTTCATATCATCAACCAATTTCCAAAATTCATCAACAAGCCCATTAACACCTAGAATAAGCAGCATCGTGTTGTAGCTCTTGGAGGAGATTTTTCTCGGAGAAGCTTCCGAAACCCACCGGAAGAACCTTCCCGCGACATCAGGGCTTGATTCAAGCGATCTCAGAGCTTCCAACACTAAGTCATGGCTAATCACGATATTATTCGAATCAAGCTCTTTCGTAATCTCATCGTTACTACTCAATCTGCTAAACACATCAATCACGACTGCCTCAGCAGAAGTTTCCTCTTCGGTAGCAGAAGTAGGCTCAGATGAAAAGCTTCGGCCAGCAGAGATCGTCACTGGCGGAGGCAAGGCGAGAAGACACTGGCCTTGTTGCAAAGCTCCAAATCCAGAACGTTCATGGAGGAAATGAGTGAAGGATCGGATTGAATTGGGGATTACCTGGAAACGGGAGTCGTGTGAGAGAAATGGACGATGACTGGAGCGGTAACTCCGTAAAAGAAGCAACCGCCATTGATGCTTCATCTTTCTTTCAATCTCGACTACAAAACGCAAAGGTTTTGCTTCCTCCGAACGAAATGAGAGGAGCAACGATAGCTAGCGGGTGAAAATCGTTAGGGTTTTAGAGAGGATTTTTCATTTTCTAATTTCGATTTTAAACTGTAGAGTGAAATCTGGGCCCAATTTTGTTTGGATTTTCAAATCGATTAAAATCCATTAACCAACCAGACCCCTAACGTTTTTGTAGTTTTCGCTTTTAGCCACAACTTTCTCAATTTGACTGATAATCACCACTGTATACACTTCTATTGCAATTGCGGAAATTTCATTACCATATGCCTTTTTTTCACTGATCACTATACTTTTACCATGTCTAAAAGTTTTGAGTTTTCTTGGGATCCTTACAAATTGTGATATCGTTTTTAAATTTTTTTTGCTAATGCATCATTGTTTTTTAATCTAGAACTCTTTCAAGTTCTTTAATTTTTCTTCTTGAATCCTCTTACTTTTTTATTCCTTCATAGTTTTCACACTAGCTAAAAAACCAGAAATTTATTAAGTATAACGATAAGATTACATAAACACCCAAAAAGGGAAATTGCATCAGAAGCAGCAGTAGTGAGAATTAAAATTCCCAGAATTTATTAAATAACTCATAAGAGAGGAATGAGTTAGAATGGGAAAGTGATCAAGTTGTTTAGGTGTTCTTGTTCATGCCGGTCTTGTCCTTCACCACATCAGCAGCTCCTTGTGCCTTCTCCTTCACTTGTTGTCCCGCCTGCGATTCACATTTGCATTTGCGGTTAGGACCATATTTTCTTCATGTATATACATATTTTGAATTTGGATGAGAGATTGAAAAATCAGAATGAACCTGTGAAATGGAGTCTTGAGCTGAAGCAGCAGTATCTTTGGCCTTGTCCATCATCCCACTTGCCTTCTCCTACATTCATACATTTCACCACATTTATCAATATTTTAACTTCCCAATAATGATGATTTAATTTAACAAAACACATTTCTAGACTAAAATGACTCTAATGTTTAACAAAAGACCATAACCTTCAAATATCAGATCTAGTGTAAGAGTTAAGAGAGAGAGAGACCTTAGTCTGGCCAGTGGCTTGACCGGCTTGGTAGCTAATGTTTTGCTTGTTGTCTGCCATTATCTCTTTCTGGTTTTTGCTTAAACTGAATTTGATGTTTCGATTGATTGGTTGTTTGTGTTTTTGATGATGAGAAATGTTGGAGTCTTGAGTTGCTATTTATAATCCAAAGAGACGTGCTTGGGTGCCTCCACGTGTTGAGGAGTGAGGACACGAGGATTGGTTCGAGAATGTTGCCTCCGCCGGTAGGTACGTGGCGTATCCACGTGTTGGTTAACCGTTTGACCAGGACATAAAAGGCTTACGTACGTGGTTTTCTCGATCTCTGATCCGAAAACGACACAGTTTTGACTTATAGCAACCAATTATTCATTTGCTGCTATAGTAAAATGATTTTGAGTGAAAGTAAAAAAACACACATAAAGTTGAATTTGAAATTCGAAATATTTTAATAAGGGCTTCACCATCACCGATGGGCAAATTTCCCTTTTTTTCCCCCCAAATTGAAAACCTAAATCGACGCACAGAGGAAAAAGTGCTCAAAGGCGAAATCTTTAGTCGCGGGGTTTCAGAAATGAAGGTCATTGAGAATTGGGTGGCCGAATTCTTCCTCCGTCGCCAACAAAATCCTCGAGTTTCCGGTAGACGACTGCTCTCGGCTCTGAAATCGGAAGACGTTGTCAAGCTCAAGATAACTGCCGTTTTGCGGGACATTTCGAATTCGTTGATTCAAGGTAAGGTCGACGAGGAATTGCTGGATCTCCTCGAGATTCTAGAGAAGCTGCTGCGGCAGGGAGATAAAGATTCGGCAATCATGGGGCCTCACAAGTCTGCGTATTGCTGCACGGCTGTCGAATGCACACTTAGATTCATGTTGCCAATGACTGCTTCGGAGGGTTTCTTCAGCGACGCCCTCGAGAGGATTTGGAAGAAGCGGATTGGGGAATTGAAGGAAAGGAAGAGCGAGTTGGTGACTCCTGAGTTGTTGAAATGGGAGAGTGATCTGAAGTTGGCGTTTGAGGAACCTGAGATGTACCTGAAGATCCGTGAGAGTAACATCAGGTACAATGCCATCTCTCATCTCAATCAGATTCTCAAAGAGCAGTGGGCTCTACTTGGGTGTTCCTCTCTTGAATCAGAAGCTCGAAAAATGCTTCTTAAGGGCAAGGAGTCAAATGCAAACAGTGGAGAAAGTGACAGGATTGAGAGAGAGGCTAGAAATGGAACCAGTAGAGGTGTAGTTAATGGCGTTGAGGTTGAGGAACATGAGGCAAGTCTTAATAATGGGGACAAAAGAGTGGCTAGAGAGCTTAAAGATTGTTTGTTGGAGATTCAAGGAGTGATCGACCCTTCCACTAGGCAAGGGAAAGAAACGAACAATGTTAGTGACCAACCAGTTGATGTCTCTCGCCAGGCAGATCGGGGGAAGAGGAGTGAAAGAGGAGGAGGTCAAGCAGAAGGTAGTGAGGGAACATCTTCATCATCGTCTGGAAGAGTTCGGCCTCATCTACCAACCCCGCAACCTCTGAATGTATCACCGTTGAAGAAAAATGTTAAACGTCCCAGAAGGCCAGTCAAATTCTGGTCGCGTGAGGAAGAGGAAGCTTTGACGGAAGGAGTCAAAGAGCACGGAAGAGCGTGGAAATATATCAAGAACTCAAATCCTCTTGTGTTCGCTGATAGGACTGAGGTGGATTTGAAGGATAAGTGGAGGAATCTACTCGGTCGGTAGAGACATGAATCTTGCCTGCCCCTTTTGTATGTTGAGTTCTTGTGGAGTTTTTTTTTGAGGAACTCACTTTTGTGTGATATGAGCAGAATATGTTCCTGTACTAGTCTTTTGTAGTAGTGTGTCAAACACTCAAACTTGAAACGGCATTTCATATTCGGTAAGATGTATCAATCCATGGAAACATATTGAAAACCAAAAACTAATCAAGTGGATTGTATTTGTATGCAACTTGAAGAAATAAGTCTAAAGCATAATCATAATAGCAACATAATAGTCTCACATATATAAAACCCAAATTTATAGAGTACGATAACAACAACACACTTGCTTGAGAAGGAGACCACCTCAACTTCACAAGACATTATTCATTACAACTTATTAAAAGAAAAGAAAAAAACAGAAAGCTCAAAAAGAGTTAATGAAAAAGTTCTGCTAGATTCCCTCGTCCTTCTCGTCCTCGCTGCTGCAGCTGTTGTTGCTGCTCCATTCACACTTCAAGGTAGATCTAGGCGATCCACAGTACTTCGAAAGCTTCTCAAACGTCTGATACATGACAGTTCCACTCTCTTCTCCTAGAGACTCAAATGTTCTCTCTCTGCACCCATAGTCTTCCAAGTCTACACTGATCTCTGGCTTGTACGCGTTCACCCCAACGCTCGAGTGCACAGCCACAGAGAATTGCTTTGGCTCAAAGCAAGACAGAACCCTTGCCACCAGCTGGCTCAGGTCAACAGTGTTGAACTCATAACCCACGGCTTCGAAGCTGGCGTAGCTGAACCCATCCTCAGGGGTCACATGGATAGTGGAGATTGCGTCGCCTTCAATGGAGTTCATAGAGTAGCCACAGGGCTCGAACTCAAAGTCGCAGATCTGGGACTTGGGGAGGATCTTTCTGATTCCAGAGTTGTCAGTCATGGATCCGTTCTTGTCAGATTCATCCTTGTAGAAGACAGCCGCCTTCTCTCTGTCTAGACCAGTCATGCACATCTCGAGCGTGTAGACATTGTTGTTGCAGTTGCTGGAGCCTTGGGCAGAGGCGGCGTAGACGTGCCATTTCTTAGTCTCATCATCATTGCCCATCAAGTAGGCTACGCTGTTCAAGCCCAGCTGAGAAAAGTGCCCATCGAGAACAGAGACTTCTTCAGAGAAGCTCCGGTGGGGAAAAGGCTGGCCTCCAGGGCAGAGGAAGGAGCCACGAGTGTACTTGACAGACTTGACACTAAGAGAGAGCTCCCCGGCCAGCTTTAGAAGCGGCGGAATAGAGAGGAGTAGCTTGGTGGTGCCGCAAGTCTTGATGATGACTTTGTATGGGTAGACAAAGAAGCTGGACTCGGAGAGGACGTAAGAGTCCAACTGATCGTTGGAGAGAGAGGAAACGATCGTGCATGCAGCAGGAGTGAGGATTTCGTCCAACTGGGACTTGGAGAGAGCACGGAGACCCAGTCCCTTGGAGTCTTGAAAGATGCTTGGCTCAAAGAAAGAGACCTCGAGCCGTTTCTCGTAACCTTCGAAACCGATTGCAGACAACGCCATTGCGCCTTGTTGTGTGAGAGACAGGACTTGTTGTAGGAGGAGAGAACGATTGGATTCGGGAACCAGCAGAAACGGAGCTTAGAAAATAGTAAATTATTAAACCGGAAAATAAAGAAAGCTATTAACTATAGGAGATTCGGTGCACGCTGGTACTCAGGATGGCCTCTTAGCGCACTGCAGCAAGATCAAAATTAAAAATAATCATAGTTAATAGACTTGATATTGAACACAATCAAGAACAAAGTAGACTGTGAATAGAGGAGACTCACGTTTGAGTAGACAGAAGATTTGAATTTCTTGATTCCACCGTTTGGACGAACGTCTTCAATGCTGTAACCGAGGGGAGCTTCGTAAAATAAGGAACTACTACTGCTGGACTTCTTTTTACCACCTTTTGACTCCATCATAATCTCATTCACGCTGGACAAACACAAATCAAACCAAACAATAAGGTTAGACAAAGACGAGCACATCATCAAATAGATTCAATAGAGATCTAACGCTCAAGGGTTACAAGACAGTTTATGATCAAATTGATTCATTGGATCTAGCAATATGAACCCTAAGATTACGGCTAATATGAATTTGTCATCTATGCTATAAGGAAACGTCAATCAAAACCTAAATCGTTCGTTACAGACATAAAATCAATCTAACCATGCATAAGAAATCAATCTCGACCATAATTATGAGTCTCTAATACAATCACCAAGGATAATCTGAGATCTATGTAAATCGATAGAAAACGTAGGCCAGACGTTAGAGATACTTACAAGTTTTATGAATTCCTTCTTTCCAGAAACTCCTTTATCCAGATATCAAACGAAACCCTCAAACCTGAAATCCAACAACAACCCAGAATTCTTCGATTAGATAACAATTTTCTCAAATCATCAGATCTACGAAAGCGAAATTGAGAGGAAGCAGATCTGTATTGCATAAATTAAAACTCACCAGATCTAGATGATTCAGGAAACAGCAAGACTTTGAACGACAAAACTCTGAAGAAAAGAAAGAGAACCCTAATTTGAGAGAACGTTTATGATGATTTGGTAATGATGAGGCAATGAGAAGCGTTCGTGAGGAGAAACGAAGAGGCAGAGAGAGACTTTATATAGCCCTAGGTCATGCTCCTGAAAATGACGCGTTTACCCTTAAACCTTAAGAAAGGGTTTCGCGTTAAATGCGTGAGACTCTCCTGAGCCGTTGATTTTTCTTTTATGATAATCTGCCGTGTTTCGAGATTTCTTACCAAAAGTACCTCAAAACCTTTTTTTAATTACGTGGAAAAGCTAGGTGCGTGAATCACGCACGACTCCTGACCACAGAAAAATCACAACAACTAAAAAAGAAAAATTTAATTCTGTTTTTCCTTTTGTGGCCACCAGGAAAAATATTCAATTCTGACATTTGTTTTGAACAATATTTTGACGTTATCTTCAGCACGAGGGTAACAACATTACGAGATTGCCCGACACGGTGCAAAAAATATGAAGAGAGAGAACCGAATCAACCATTGAAATAACGACACGTGTAAAGATACGTGTGCCGGTTGAGCGGATAACTCGAGGTGAGCTGTAAACGTTACGTGGGGCCAGCGAATCAAATTCTATTTTTCTCTGCTCAAAGGCTCTCTCAACTGCTCCGCTAAATGACAAAAAGGACCTTCCCCGTGACTCACTCATGACTCATGACCCCATTTGTCTCAAAAGTACAAAAATTAACAAGTGTATAACTAATTAAATAATTCAAGTCAAGAAGTGGAGTGATTGGTAAAAAAGTTTTTGAGATTTTAATCACAGTTTAATGATGAGATTTTTCTACAAACAAAAGTCACTATCTACACATAGCTGGAGCATATACCTTCATTACCCAGAAATTGCTTAAAAGAATCAGAGATAAGAAATTCCCACCCCAACTTGACAAAGATGATGAAAGAAGAATATATTCCCAACCATCAAAAAGATAAGGATCAGAGAAAAGCATTCCAAATCCAAGAAGCGTCTGGTTCAGGCTATTTCCAAACCGGTTTTCTTATGGTTGAACCGGTTTGGCAATAGTCTTCTCATAATCCACTTTCAATTCTTCCAAACGCTTTGACACCTGCCATGACCAAAATAATGCTTTTTAGCTTGTCCATAAGATAAAAGAAGAAAGCTTTCATTGAGAACCTTAATGGAGTAGGCCAATGGAAGCAAAGTATCCGGATTCATTGCATCTTCAGGGAAAACTTTCAGAGCATGTATGAGTTTTTCAAACGGTAACTTCACCTGCACAGAGAGATAATCGCAATTCAATTAGCTTAGCAAAATGAACTTATAGCTCTTGAGAAAGACTTCACTCACCAACTCCTCTTGGCAATAGTTCAACAATGCCAATCCGACTTTGAACACGATTTTAACACCCTAAGGAAACAATGATCAAACAAAATATGAAAACTTTAATTAGAAGAAGAAGAAAATATTGAAAGAGATGTGAATGATAAAAGTTTTACCTCAGAGAGAAACACATCCCATATCCGTAAAGCCAAAGGGAAAGGAAACGAATAAGAGAAGACGGTGATGAACCATTGACTTGCATACATACTCGGATTTATCATTTCTTCTGTAAAATGTTCTCCCAGCTTTGGAATTACTTCTCTTACCAAGTTTTCTAACTGAAACAAGTATTGCTGTACAAGTGGAAGCCCTGCCTACATTTACACAAAACAACGCCTCTTACATTATCCAAAACCCTCTTAAGGTTTTCTCTTTTAGTACTTTTTAATTCAAAGAACGTTGTAAGATCAATACCATAAAGTCACTATCTTGCAAACTTGTAATGATTAAAAGACTTACATGATACAATCCTTCCATTGGAGCATGAACAGCTCCTTTGAGTAATGCAACTAGTAACCAGAACGCATCTTCTTCGCTCATATAAAGGAGCAACAGACCGGCTATAAAACCCATCCCCTGCAGTTTTCAGAACCATGAATCTCTTAGTACCTACCATATTCAAAGAGAATGAGAAACAAGTGTATATCTTATCTCGAGGATAGACCTGAACATATCCAACGTCTCTGTCATAAACTGAGTACGCCTTGAGGACATTGTACAAGGATCTTTGTCCAGGTCCATGTCTCTTCTGAAAGAAAACATGTGATGGGAAAGTACGGGATATGTCTCTAATGATATCAAGTTCTGATGCCGATGTCTCATAAATCACCAATTGCTGCACAGAAGATTCATCAGAACATGACTCATAAGATAGGAGCAAACAAATGTAACGATATAAAACAGGCGAAAATCACCTCATAAACACCAGGATTCATAAGCAAAAGGTCTCGGCTTCCTGAGATTAACTGCCAAACAAGACCTCTCAAGCGATCCGGGATCCCTTTTCGTATACGCCTTTTGACAACATTAGGTTTTCTCCTCACATAATGCTTCCAATCACTACCTCCAACACCAATCATCTTCCTCCATTTTCTCACCTTTCTCTCCTCTCTATATCGCCAACAACAAATAACACACTCTCATTCTTATCTTTATCTGAATTATGTCAATCTAATACAATTGTGACTCGGGACGTACCTGTCATGGTCAGTGGATGATGCCAATCTAGACTTGCTGCTGAAACGCTCTGGAGAATTGCCATGTTCTTGCTTCAGGACACCGAATCTATCCACCGGGACATGAGGAGTGACTGGTCCTGAATCATTCTCATTTTCTGATCTTTTTCTACTCATTCTACTTAATCTGAAGAGACTCCTCCTAACATTGGTTTTAGATCATTTTCAGCTTTTGATTGTGATCAAGCTGGATAATGTCACAATCATAGACACCTGAGAAAACATTCACTTTAAGATTAACATTCCACGGAACATGAAAGAAGCAAATAAAATCTTCAATCCGGGAAGTTTGATTGCCCAAGAACTGTAAATTTAGAAAAGGCAATTCAATCCATGATGGTATATTCAGCAGAAATGTGATGTAGAGGGAAAGTAATATCCACGGTGATCAGTTCTTCCTACTAAACGAAGACGATCCACAAAACTCGGAGAAACATATTAAAATTTCCTGGAAAATTAAGACTCACCAAATTTTAGTCAGATCAATAGATTCGTACCCAAGTCCTCGATGTTTCCGATGAATCAAGGAGTTAAAGCCACCAATTGGTGGGAGAACAGAATTTTCGGGATGGAATTGACGAAGATGGCGAAAACGGAAGAAATAAAACGTTGGAGATCACGTTGGTTAATCGGTAACTCATACGTGTATTATTGTAACCCAAATCTTTGAATTTTTCATCCGCTTGGATTGGAGAAAGTCATCTTTTTTATTCCTCTCCCTAGAAAAAGTGAGCCGCCAAAGGGGAAATGAAAAAAACAGCGTGAAACTGAAAGCAGCATGAAACGACGCCGTAATTAAGGACGGTTTTGGGTTAACTGTGAAATGGCTGCTGGGTCAACCAAAAAAGGGAGAGTCAAAATTGTAGCGGCCAAGTGCGCTAACTCTTATCCTTTTCAATTGAACCGGAGCACAGATTGATTTCATCAAAAGCCATCAGCTTCAAGTCGATAGCTTTTGTCAAATCCCATCTCCACTCCATTTCAATCTAGTTCACGAGCATGACTCTTGCGCCTGGTCATGGTGGGTTTTCGTAAGCTTTTGGTTGTTTCGGATTTTTGCCCAATTATGAACAACGCATGATTCTGGTTTCTTAGGGAAGAGAATCCATGGCTACTTTCAGTGTTCTCTGTAGCAATCGGTTTCTATTCAAAGGTGGTCAATTTCCTGAGAAATCTAGTAGAAAGGTGTATTCCTCGAGGAGTAGTGAGCTTAATGTCTGTGTCGCTAGAAGAATGAATCAGTCGTCTAGTTGCAGAAAACTTGGTGGGTTTCTGGAAATTGGGTTTAGAACTCATAGCGATTCTCGAAATGGGTTTACTTGTAATAGCGAGATCAAGCGACTAGTAAATGGTAACTACGGAGATAACGAGACTCGTATTGGTGAAAATGGTAGAAACAAAGAGAAGAGAGGAAGAAGATTCTCTCTTAGGCTTCGTCCTAGATTACGATTGTTGAGCATGAGACTTGGGAGATTCGATTTCAGAGCATCACTGGATGATTTTCGGCTATTTTTGAGAAAGAATATCAAAAGAGTGATCTTATCTACTGGTGTGGCTGTTGTCTTTGGACTGTGTTATCTGTTCTTGAGGCTAACCGCTGTCCCGTCTCCATCCATTGTTCCTTACTCAGATTTCGTAACGAATCTTCGAGGTGGCTCTGTTTCAAAGGTTCTGCTCGAAGAAGGTTCTCGTCGAATCTACTACAACGCTGATGAAAACGTTGAGGAGGAGGTTGAAAATGCTCACAAGTCTGAAACTTTAGAGACTCAAACTGATGGCGGCGCAGTTACGGAAGAAGTTATTCNATGTATGAGTTTTTCAAACGGTAACTTCACCTGCACAGAGAGATAATCGCAATTCAATTAGCTTAGCAAAATGAACTTATAGCTCTTGAGAAAGACTTCACTCACCAACTCCTCTTGGCAATAGTTCAACAATGCCAATCCGACTTTGAACACGATTTTAACACCCTAAGGAAACAATGATCAAACAAAATATGAAAACTTTAATTAGAAGAAGAAGAAAATATTGAAAGAGATGTGAATGATAAAAGTTTTACCTCAGAGAGAAACACATCCCATATCCGTAAAGCCAAAGGGAAAGGAAACGAATAAGAGAAGACGGTGATGAACCATTGACTTGCATACATACTCGGATTTATCATTTCTTCTGTAAAATGTTCTCCCAGCTTTGGAATTACTTCTCTTACCAAGTTTTCTAACTGAAACAAGTATTGCTGTACAAGTGGAAGCCCTGCCTACATTTACACAAAACAACGCCTCTTACATTATCCAAAACCCTCTTAAGGTTTTCTCTTTTAGTACTTTTTAATTCAAAGAACGTTGTAAGATCAATACCATAAAGTCACTATCTTGCAAACTTGTAATGATTAAAAGACTTACATGATACAATCCTTCCATTGGAGCATGAACAGCTCCTTTGAGTAATGCAACTAGTAACCAGAACGCATCTTCTTCGCTCATATAAAGGAGCAACAGACCGGCTATAAAACCCATCCCCTGCAGTTTTCAGAACCATGAATCTCTTAGTACCTACCATATTCAAAGAGAATGAGAAACAAGTGTATATCTTATCTCGAGGATAGACCTGAACATATCCAACGTCTCTGTCATAAACTGAGTACGCCTTGAGGACATTGTACAAGGATCTTTGTCCAGGTCCATGTCTCTTCTGAAAGAAAACATGTGATGGGAAAGTACGGGATATGTCTCTAATGATATCAAGTTCTGATGCCGATGTCTCATAAATCACCAATTGCTGCACAGAAGATTCATCAGAACATGACTCATAAGATAGGAGCAAACAAATGTAACGATATAAAACAGGCGAAAATCACCTCATAAACACCAGGATTCATAAGCAAAAGGTCTCGGCTTCCTGAGATTAACTGCCAAACAAGACCTCTCAAGCGATCCGGGATCCCTTTTCGTATACGCCTTTTGACAACATTAGGTTTTCTCCTCACATAATGCTTCCAATCACTACCTCCAACACCAATCATCTTCCTCCATTTTCTCACCTTTCTCTCCTCTCTATATCGCCAACAACAAATAACACACTCTCATTCTTATCTTTATCTGAATTATGTCAATCTAATACAATTGTGACTCGGGACGTACCTGTCATGGTCAGTGGATGATGCCAATCTAGACTTGCTGCTGAAACGCTCTGGAGAATTGCCATGTTCTTGCTTCAGGACACCGAATCTATCCACCGGGACATGAGGAGTGACTGGTCCTGAATCATTCTCATTTTCTGATCTTTTTCTACTCATTCTACTTAATCTGAAGAGACTCCTCCTAACATTGGTTTTAGATCATTTTCAGCTTTTGATTGTGATCAAGCTGGATAATGTCACAATCATAGACACCTGAGAAAACATTCACTTTAAGATTAACATTCCACGGAACATGAAAGAAGCAAATAAAATCTTCAATCCGGGAAGTTTGATTGCCCAAGAACTGTAAATTTAGAAAAGGCAATTCAATCCATGATGGTATATTCAGCAGAAATGTGATGTAGAGGGAAAGTAATATCCACGGTGATCAGTTCTTCCTACTAAACGAAGACGATCCACAAAACTCGGAGAAACATATTAAAATTTCCTGGAAAATTAAGACTCACCAAATTTTAGTCAGATCAATAGATTCGTACCCAAGTCCTCGATGTTTCCGATGAATCAAGGAGTTAAAGCCACCAATTGGTGGGAGAACAGAATTTTCGGGATGGAATTGACGAAGATGGCGAAAACGGAAGAAATAAAACGTTGGAGATCACGTTGGTTAATCGGTAACTCATACGTGTATTATTGTAACCCAAATCTTTGAATTTTTCATCCGCTTGGATTGGAGAAAGTCATCTTTTTTATTCCTCTCCCTAGAAAAAGTGAGCCGCCAAAGGGGAAATGAAAAAAACAGCGTGAAACTGAAAGCAGCATGAAACGACGCCGTAATTAAGGACGGTTTTGGGTTAACTGTGAAATGGCTGCTGGGTCAACCAAAAAAGGGAGAGTCAAAATTGTAGCGGCCAAGTGCGCTAACTCTTATCCTTTTCAATTGAACCGGAGCACAGATTGATTTCATCAAAAGCCATCAGCTTCAAGTCGATAGCTTTTGTCAAATCCCATCTCCACTCCATTTCAATCTAGTTCACGAGCATGACTCTTGCGCCTGGTCATGGTGGGTTTTCGTAAGCTTTTGGTTGTTTCGGATTTTTGCCCAATTATGAACAACGCATGATTCTGGTTTCTTAGGGAAGAGAATCCATGGCTACTTTCAGTGTTCTCTGTAGCAATCGGTTTCTATTCAAAGGTGGTCAATTTCCTGAGAAATCTAGTAGAAAGGTGTATTCCTCGAGGAGTAGTGAGCTTAATGTCTGTGTCGCTAGAAGAATGAATCAGTCGTCTAGTTGCAGAAAACTTGGTGGGTTTCTGGAAATTGGGTTTAGAACTCATAGCGATTCTCGAAATGGGTTTACTTGTAATAGCGAGATCAAGCGACTAGTAAATGGTAACTACGGAGATAACGAGACTCGTATTGGTGAAAATGGTAGAAACAAAGAGAAGAGAGGAAGAAGATTCTCTCTTAGGCTTCGTCCTAGATTACGATTGTTGAGCATGAGACTTGGGAGATTCGATTTCAGAGCATCACTGGATGATTTTCGGCTATTTTTGAGAAAGAATATCAAAAGAGTGATCTTATCTACTGGTGTGGCTGTTGTCTTTGGACTGTGTTATCTGTTCTTGAGGCTAACCGCTGTCCCGTCTCCATCCATTGTTCCTTACTCAGATTTCGTAACGAATCTTCGAGGTGGCTCTGTTTCAAAGGTTCTGCTCGAAGAAGGTTCTCGTCGAATCTACTACAACGCTGATGAAAACGTTGAGGAGGAGGTTGAAAATGCTCACAAGTCTGAAACTTTAGAGACTCAAACTGATGGCGGCGCAGTTACGGAAGAAGTTATTCCGCGAAAGGTTCGAGCTTTGAAGAGTCCTGTGTGGAAGTATGTGACGAGAAAAGTCGATCATGATGAGAAGTTCCTTCTTAGTTTGATGAGGGAGAGAGGGATTACTTATAGTTCAGCTCCTCAATCTGCATTGGTGTCAGTGAGAACTACTTTGATAACAATCATCTCTTTGTGGATTCCTTTAACTCCTCTTATGTGGCTTCTCTACCGGCAACTCTCAGCATCTAACAGCCCTGCCAAAAAACGACGGACGAAAAATCCCGCAGTTGGATTCGATGATGTTGAGGGCGTGGATTCTGCTAAAGACGAGCTCGTGGAGGTATGAAAAGTTTCTCTAAATGTTATGTTTTTGAAGTTTAGTTTGAATACAAGCTTGACATTTTTCTGCTTATCTTTTGGTTGTAGATAGTGTCATGTCTTCAAGGAAGTATAAACTACAAAAAGCTAGGAGCAAGATTACCTAGAGGTGTGCTTTTGGTTGGTCCACCGGGGACTGGTAAAACCTTGCTGGCTCGGGCTGTAGCTGGAGAGGCAGGAGTTCCGTTTTTCTCTGTTTCCGCTAGCGAGTTTGTTGAGTTGTTTGTTGGAAGAGGAGCAGCTCGAATCAGAGATCTTTTCAGTGCAGCCAGGAAAAACTCGCCTTCCATTATATTCATCGATGAGCTCGATGCTGTTGGAGGAAAACGCGGTAGAAGTTTCAATGATGAACGTGACCAGACCCTAAACCAGGTAAAAGAGTCAACCTTTTTGAATTAGGTAACTTCCGTTTGGTGATGTGCTTCATAGTTGCTGCTTCCTTTTGTAGTTGCTTACTGAGATGGATGGATTCGAGTCAGACACAAAAGTCATTGTGATTGCAGCAACTAACCGACCAGAGGCTTTAGACCCGGCTCTTTGTCGGCCTGGAAGGTTCTCAAGAAAAGTTGTGGTTGCAGAGCCAGACCAAGAAGGCCGTCGGAAAATCTTGGCTGTACATCTGAGAGACGTCCCTCTAGAAGAAGATGCATTCCTCATATGTGATCTTGTTGCTTCGCTAACTCCAGGGTTCGTAGGTGCTGATCTTGCCAATATTGTCAATGAAGCTGCATTGCTCGCTGCTCGTAGAGGTCAGTCTTTCTTGATATTCAAATCTTGTTGCTTCCCGGGTTTAAAGAGATGATCTTTTGGGAATAATGGTTTTTGGTTTCAGGCGGGGAAGCGGTGGCGAGAGAAGATATAATGGAAGCGATAGAGAGGGCGAAATTTGGGATCAATGAGAAGGAAGTGAGGCCAAGGACTTTAGGAAAGGAGCTCAGCAAGCTGTTCCCATGGATGCCATCTTTGGTTGGGAGGAACGGACCAGATCAAGACGGTTTACAAGGATATCAAACTCTCAGCTAAACCAAACCGGTTTGAGAGCAAATCCACACTGATATGAAGTTTCTTTGTATCTGAAATTTTTGGAAATGTTTTTGTGTGATGTTTACAAAGCGTTTTTGTAAGTCAATTGGTTTAATTCCTTCCTTGCTTCATGCTAATCCAATAATCCAAAATCTTCCTACCATCTCTCTCATCCCCTGATATTAAAAATAGATAATTTATTCCTAATATTGTCTTTTTTTTAATGGTTTTTTTGGGAATAGTTAAACGAAATGGAACTTCCTCTGACAAAATTACGAATAGGACTACATGTGATTGTTCCTCTTATCCTACTTGCAATAGCTCCAATCCTGTTTCTTCTTTTTGGTTATCCTCTCCATTATTCATCAATATACAAACATTTATCAACTTCATCGTCGGAAAAATCTTTTCCATCGCTTTCTTCAACGTATAACCATTCATCTAGTTCATCATCATCATCGGATCTTGACAAGACATTATCATCACAACCATCATTGTATGATAACGATTATGACGACACATACCATGGTCACAAGCAATCATCTTTACACAACAATCATTCCATATCATCATCGAATGTTGATGAGCACCAAGAAACTCCTAGAAAAGAGCATCGCCGGAAAAAGAGAAAACCGAAGAGATGCGATCTATTCTCTGGTGAGTGGGTCCCAAACCCTGAAGCCCCGTACTACACAAACACGACATGCTCGGCGATACACGAACACCAAAACTGCATGAAGTATGGGAGACCTGACCTAGGTTTCATGAAATGGAGATGGAAGCCGAAAGAGTGTGATCTCCCTTTGTTTGATCCTTACGAGTTTCTAGAGATCGTTAGAGGAAAAAGCATGGCGTTTGTTGGTGACTCCGTTAGCAGAAACCACGTGCAGTCTTTGATCTGCCTACTCTCTCGGGTGGAACATCCCAAGGAAGACTCAAGACAACAAGACTTTAACTTCCAACGATGGGAATACAAAACGTACAACTTCACAATTGCCACATTTTGGACAACCCATTTGGTTCGGTCCGAGGAAGCAGGTCCGGACGGTCCTAACTCATTCTACAATCTCTACCTTGACGAACCGGACCCTTCTTGGGCTTCCCAAATCTCCGGGTTTGATTACATCATCATCTCCTCCGGGCAATGGTTTTTCCGACCACTCTTCCTTTTTGACAAACAAAAAATGATAGGATGCTTGTACTGTTACATTCCCGGGGTCAGAAATGTTGGGGCACATTTCGCGTATAGAAGAGCATTAAGAACAACATTTAAGACAGTTCTCGGATTAGAGAATTTTAAAGGAGAAATGTTTCTAAGGACATTTGCACCTTCACATTTTGAGGGTGGAGATTGGGATAAAGGTGGAAATTGCATGAAAACGCGACCCTATAGGTATCATTCAACTAGCATTAAATTTTTAATAGACAGTTTGGTTTGATACAAATGTTCACTTCCTAACATCAACATGTATTTGCTTCTTCTTTTGATTTGTTTTAGGAGCAATGAGACAGAGTTGGAAGGCATGAATCTAGAAACACACAACATTCAACTTGATGAATTTCGCATTGCGAAAAGAGATAAAAACAAAAATAATGGATTAAGTTTAAGATTACTAGATGTAACACAAGTAATGTTGTTAAGACCAGATGGACATCCGAGCAGATTTGGACATAAGCCGGAAGATAAAGTTATATTATACAATGATTGTGTCCATTGGTGTTTACCAGGTCCGATTGATTCATGGAATGATTTTTTACTCGAGATGATGAAAATAGATATTTAGTGGGGTCTTTTATTTTTGAATTAAAAGTGAAGTTAAAATAATAGAATATAAATTTGTAGACTTTGTGAAGAAAGCTTAGAGATTGTAAATGGTTTTCTTATTCAATATGATACAAATATGTTATATACCAAATGACACACTTTGCCATGCAATATACCAAATAACGTTCATACTTCCAAGTCAGAATTATAATTCATAATGATTTAATGTTTTAGCATGTCTTACACAAATAAGAAAATGTACAATATTTGTATATTTATCTAAACAGTTTTCTGAGTAAACGTGAATATTGCTCATCCAACGTTTCTATCATGGATAAAATGTGGTATCACTTGTACTTGTGCATAAAATGCTCTCTAAGTGAACATAAACATTACTTATCCTCCAGCGTTTATTCTCTGCCATGGATAGCCGAGATTCATGTGACAACCCACTTCAATAAAATGTAATTTGGTTAATTCCAAATTAATTGAAATGTATAAAATTATGAAGAACACAACATTTAAATTATATAATCAATCTGTTTTCGTTGATGGAAACTACACAACCGGGAGTTATTGCGCCTTTGCATCTTCATCTCTTGTAGAAAATGGGAAGAGAACAAGAGAAAAAACTGTTCAAATTTTCTCAAGAGTTGACTGCATCATCATCATTCAGCGATGACATTCTTGCGGAAGCCATCTCTAAGTTGGGTAGACTAATTAGTGGAGATTATTTTGCTTAGCTCGGGATAGACGTGAATCTGGTCATACGTTTGATTTCTTCATATATTTGAAGATTACAACACCAAGAGAGTTCCCAAAGTTATCAGACCTAATCATATATGAAATAGAAAAATCACTTCATATATACAAAAATAAAATAAACAATTATAGTCATTTTTAAATATATGAAAAAAGAATATAATAAAAATCACATAAAACTAATATGTGAATTATGAATTAGTTATTCTATTGATGTGATTAGAAATGAGAAAAAAAACATTAGCAGATCTTCTAAAAGCATTATGTTTATAGGTTTTGGACCTCACATTATTATTACCATCAAAACAAAAACTCTAATCATGATATTTAAAAAAAAAAAATCGAGGCCAATGTTTCAAATTTTTGCACTGAGGCACGGCCCTGACAACACCAGCAAAAAACAGCAGCGTATAGTATCAAGTGCTAATGGATTGTGTGATTTTGATGAGGATTGAGAAAAGGGGATTGGACCATTTCAATAAATAAGAAGTTAGAGAAATCATCTTGGAGGCCAATACTCCAAACTAATAACTAAATTTCATTGCCTCTTTGAACAATATCTTTGAGCGATTAATAATATTTTTCTTTTATGGGATGATATATGATATATATCAGTCCTACTCTCTCTCGTATCTATTTATTTGAGAGTTATTTTAAAAATGCTAAAGATTAAAAACGAAACTTAATTTTATAAACTACTGCCGTCGCTTTTTAAGGGGATAGGAAAATTGGACCCAAAAAAACAAAACCCAGAAAGGTCGAATCTCTCCGGCGGAAATAGAGAGTTGCAGCGATCGCATCGATGACGGAAGGCGGCGATGATCCGCAGCGATTGAAGAAGATTGCGGCAGCGTCCTACGACTACGAAAACGACGCTCGATGGGCGGATTACTGGTCCAACATCCTCATCCCTCCTCACATGGCTTCTCGCCCCGAGGTCGTCGAGCATTTCAAGCGCAAATTCTACCAACGCTACATGGTCCGTACTGTCCTCCTTCGTTTAACAACTCTTCAATTTGCGTTTCCAGTCTTCATACTTCGAGTTCGAGTTTGATTTTGCCTGCGCTACTTATTTGGGAGTTTTGGTCAACTTTCAATTTTAGGTTTAACGTGCTAGATTTTAGCGATTGGAAGTTTAGATGCTCTTTCTACTAATCTCCTCTCGGGGATCTTCATATTTTCGATCTCCACTCGTGCTAGATTTGTTGTTCATCTTTGATCTTCGCTGTGAAGATTTCAAACTTATTGGTCTCGATTTGTTGCTGAATCTGGGTGCTTATACTGCTATGGCCTTTTTGTAGGATCCTGATCTTATAGTGGAGCCTATGTCGACTTCATCTTCTTCTTCGCAATCTACCAGACCAGCTGCTACATCTGCATCTACTAATGCAAATGAACAAACTCGCTCGCGGAACTCAGGTGAACTTTTTGCTCTCTCTTATCTTGTTTCTAGTATAGTCACGATCTTGCAACTAATTCTATGAGATACGAGAAACTGAGTAAACTCTGTGCCTCAGGATCGGCTCCTCGAACCTCTGGACCTTCTGCTACGCCAGGTGCAAACCCAAGCTCAATGCGCTGGGATCAGCAGACGATTCATTTTTCTGTCAATGCTTGGGTATGATTATATTTACCTGTTACAGTTTCTGCCAATGCTTCCTTCTTGCATTTGTGTGGGATACTTCACCTAATCTGTTTCATCTTTTGCAGGTTTTCGTTATAGCTGTGCTAGCAGTGTTACCTCTAATACCAAAGAACCTCTCAAATAGGGCTTATCGTCTGTCTTTTATGGGAACTGCGTGCTCGTCTCTGTATTCCTTGTACTCTCTTTACGGTGTAAGTCCCATTTCTACTCTCTCGGAACCATACAACTTCGAATTTTCTTTTCATAAGCAGTTTTTTTTGTTATCTGCAGAAGCCAAGGGCGTGGAATATGCAAGGGCTGCAAGTTTATTTCCAATCAATTGTGGGAGCAAAGGATTTCATCTATTTCATCTACTGCCTTACATTTGTCACTTCCCATCTCTGTCTCAAGTGTAAGAGTTTATTGAATGTTTTTGCGTCTTTGTGTGAAATCCTTCAAATTACATGCATTCTTATGACCAGCCTGAGTCTCCTTATCACATTGTTGCAGTTGCTTTGATTCCCATCTTGTGTCGAGCACTTGAACAAGTGGCCAAGTTCTTGAGGCGTAACTTCGCTCGCTCCACTATATACAGGTAGGTTCAATAATTTGCATCCAGCTGATCCGCAGGTTTGAGTTTTGAGTACTTGTTTTCATTTGTGGATTCTTGCTGATGCTTAACTCTTTTTCCTGTGTCCTGTTTTGTAATGGTTATCAGAAAGTACCTGGAAGACCCTTGTGTGTGGGTGGAGTCGAACACAACTACCCTCAACATCCTCTCATCGCAGGCTGAGATAGCCATTGGCTTCCTTCTGATTATCTCTCTGCTCTCGTACGCTCTTTCTTCCTTTTCTTAGCACTATATTTCTTAGAACCTTTTGAAATGAATTGAGTTCATATATGAATATTATGAGTGCTTCACTCACTCATCTGATCAAAACTGTCATTCTACTTGCTGCAGATGGCAACGCAACATTATACAGACATTCATGTACTGGCAGGTATGACTGACTATTCAAATGTTTAGTTTTGGTTCGAGTAATCATCTCCAAGTAAAATTCGTTGTTGAAACTCGATCAACTGTACATCTGGTTATAGGAGGAACCACCGTTTTTAATCAAACACCTTTCTTTCTCTGTTGATGATCGTCGTCTTTGAAACTAAGTATCACATGGGCTAGGACCATTAGGTTAAGCATTGAGATGTGTGCTTTGCTGCTTTTGTTGAAAATGATATGTTTGTGTCATGAGTAACCGTAAAGTTCGAAAACTTTTTCATCATTCTCTAAAGATAAATGTAGTTTCCAAGATTGTTGCTTGGATCTTGAGAGTTGTCACACTTCTCATGAACAAGGATAAGCCTGAGTTTTGTTTTGCTTTTTGTTTGCAGCTACTGAAGCTGATGTATCAAGCACCAGTAACAGCAGGTTACCACCAGAGCACGTGGAGCAGAATCGGGCGGACGGTGAATCCGATTATCCAACGTTACGCTCCCTTCTTGAATACTCCGGTGAGTGCTGTTCAGAGATGGTGGTTCAGGTGAAAACAAACAAATTGCAGATCTTGACATTTGAAACCACTTTAAAGACAAAAACAAGAGTCTCTAGCTTTCAGCAACAGTCTTATTTCTCATTTCATCTTTCAGCAGCGTAAAGTAGATTCTTCTCTTCACTTTTCTTACGTTATTTAGTTTACGAAATATTGTTGTTGGTATTTGACTTTATTTTGGTTATTATATACAGTATACGTGACCAATTCCCTTTTGCGTAGGAGACATTTTAAGGTTTATCATTTTTGTTTACATAAGTGATTAGATAAAATTTTCCCAAAAATTCTCGAAATCAAAACCATCTAAATTATCATCTTGCCCTATAAAATCGGGTTAGTAGTCTAAGCAAAAGATTTTTAGGTAAAGTTTTAAATTTGTCCAAGATATTACAAAAATATAAAGTGATATTTATAGTAACTATAATTGATTGGTTCTTAGTTGTTAGCACATGAAGATGAGTGTTGTTTTTGTTCGAAAGAAGGAAAATCTAAAATATTGAAAAGAATATTATTAGGATCCCTAAGAAAACTCATCATCATCAATTTGATTTAGAGATTCTCTTGGTTGGTGCACGTGCCACCGCTAAGTCACACGTCACGTTCTAAAGTGTGGGGCCCACAGTGCCATGTGGCGTTTATGCACAAGCATGTGAAGCTACTAGTGTTTAGACATCAAAACACAAACGATTACCAATAGCGTTCACGTTAGCGGATAATATACTTTATTTTTGTGTTCTTTATTCAAAACACAAACGCAATTCATTATTCTTATCGCAATTATTTATAACTCTTCAAAGTACGGTTAATAAGGTGAACATTAAACTCAAATGCATAGTTCATTCACAATAATTGTCGTTAAATAACGATATATCACCTCCAATGATTTCGATATTAAATTACTCAATGAGGAAGTAATTAAAATTAGTCGCTATGACGCCGTTTTGCAGCACTTTATATATAGTAGCTTATTAAAGGCTTTTTTCAAAAGTTTGAAATAATAAAGCAGAAGAACACCGATAAAAATATAGTAAAAGCCAAGAGGAGGGAAAATTCGAGATCCGACCATTTTCCGACTAATTTAACGGCGGACATGCAATCGTCTCGGGAGATTCACCTTGCGGACCGATTCCGTCCAATTGCATCAACGGCGTCGGAGCTCAAGGCGAAAAAATCGCCTCAAATGGAGCTGCTTCAGGGCTCCAACAGGTTGTCTTCACCCGAAAACGTTCGTCGGAGAGTCTCAGGGAAGTCTTCGGCGGAAAAAACGCCACAAGTTAGCCGGCAGCTGTCGTTCGGTCGAGAAATCGGCCATGCGGCGGCCGAAACGTATTTGGTGACTCGACTTACCTTCAACCTTCTTGGATATCTCGGGTACTAATCTCCATTTTACCCACCGCTCTTATCTGCGTGGCATGTTGTCGCTTAAATATGTTCGTATGATTGTATCTTGTTCAACAGGGAATCGTTTTATTTTTTTTTGTTTTTACGGAATTTTGTTCTGTATTTTTTATTGTTTGAAGTTTAATTCAGGGTAGGTTATCGGTGGATCACAAGATTACTTGCTCTTGCTTGCTATGCAATGCTCCTTATGCCCGGTTTTCTTCAAGGTGACCGTTGTTTGTCTTCTTGTAATTAAGAAGCTTTTTTTTTTGGTTAATTCTGTACACTAAGCTCTGTTTGTTATTTAATATCTTCTTCTTCTTGTGCAGTTGCATATCTTTATTTTTTCTCATCCCAAGTTAGGAGGAGTATAGTCTACGGAGATCAACCTAGGAATAGGTACGTGTGAGAGCTTTTGAAACTATAGCACAATCTTGCCTTCTCTCCCATCACAAAATGATTGATTTCTGTGGCAGGCTTGATTTGTACATACCACCAACAAATGATGGCATGAAGAAGCCGGTTGTAGTTTTCGTGACTGGTGGAGCTTGGATTATCGGGTAATCCTCACAATTCTCATACTTGTAAAAGATAAAAGTTGAATTTCTCATACTTTGCTTGTACTTTAGGTACAAAGCTTGGGGTTCTCTCTTGGGACTGCAGCTAGCAGAAAGGGATATCATTGTTGCATGTCTAGATTACAGGTAATCAAATTAAACAATTCTCCTTAACCCGTTTTAAATCTAACTTTTATTAACGAATCATGTTTGGGGTCCAGAAACTTCCCTCAGGGAACAATTAGTGACATGGTAGGAGATGCTTCTCGAGGAATCTCTTTTGTCTGCAATAACATCTCTGCTTTTGGAGGCGATCCTAACAGGTTGAAAAACTCACCACTTGTGGTTAAGATTCGATTCTTTTATCATTCACAGGCTCTGGTGATTGAACCATATATATCTTATTGTTTGTGTAGAATCTATTTGATGGGGCAATCAGCTGGTGCGCACATCTCTGCTTGTGCTCTCATCGAACAAGCCATTAAAGAATCAAAAGGAGAGAGCATCTCATGGAGTGTGTCTCAGATCAAAGCTTACTTCGGTCTATCTGGCGGGTAAACTACCATTAAGCTTACATTTGTTTGGTCTCAGTCAGAATCTGTTGACACCATTTTGATAACTTGGAACAGGTACAATCTCTTCAATTTGGTGGAACACTGCCATAACCGGGGACTGTATCGTTCGATCTTCCTAAGCATAATGGAAGGAGAAGAGTCATTTGAGAAATTCTCTCCTGGAGTGAGATTGAAAGAGCCGAGAGTGAGAAAAGCAGCATCTCTCTTGCCTCATATTGTGCTCTTTCATGGATCCCATGATCATTCCATCCCTCCTGAAGCAAGGTTAGATGAGATCACCCGTCTACAAATCAGTATGCTGCTAGTTACTCTAATCAATCTTCTTCTTATAAACAGACAAAACTGTTATTTTTCCTTTTGTAGCAAATCATTTGCAGAAGCTCTTCGAGGTGTTGAAGTTAAAACCGATGTAATTGTGTACGATGGTAAAACTCATACCGATCTGTTTCTTCAGGTGAGCAATAGTACTTCCACAGAGGTCAGTGTATTTGTAAAACACGTGTGTGTGGTTATCATAACAAAGTAATGGCAATATTGCATCAGGATCCTCTGAGAGGCGGTAAAGACGAGCTGTTTGATCATATAGTCTCTATGATACACGCCGATGACAGCGACGCTTTGAGAAAAGATGAGGCTGCGCCGCCGAGAAGACGGCTTGTGCCGGAGTTTTTGCTGAAACTGGCTGGCAAGGTCAGCCCTTTTTGAACACGAAAACAGCTAATCTTTGGATGGATCTCTTGTTGATCATCAATTTACACTACTTCTTGTTGTTTGTTGTCCTCTGTATTCTTCTTCTTCGATTTGTTTATTTTATGTATATATTTTGACATGTAAAAGAAACTCTCATATGATTGAATGTACATAGCCTCTCTCTCTTTTCATAAGAGCGTTGTAAATTCCTCTCTACATACTCTGGACAGCAAAACAAAATGGATCAAAAAGAGTCAAAGCTACTACTCAGATATTCAACGATTTGACTTGCAAAATCAAAGTCACATGATATTAACAATGAAAAAGATTGGTTCTTAGCACAAGCAAAACCATCATCTAGATAAGCACCAAATTGAGTTATATAGATACATGTGGAGTTTTATAAGATTCATAGCACAGCATACCTGCAGAGAAACATAAGAAGCTAACTTAACAAATACTATCATCTTCTTGCAAATTAACTCACACTGCCTTTTCCCATGGCTTGCTTGTGTTGTGCGATATGCTGGTGAACTCTCAAAGATTTACTTGTCATGGGCTCTATCAGCTTCTCTGTCTCCTCAATTATCTGTTTACGCAGTTGAACCCTCATGAATTTGAACCAATCTCCTAGTGTCATCTTCTCTAAATCTACCTCTAACTTGTCTACATTCTTCTTATTCCTCGATTCCTGCTCAGCCTTTTCTTCATCACGTTCACACACACCACCACCATCTGATCTCTCAGTTCCAGCCACCACCTCGCTATTACAGTCTCTTTCCTCTTCGATTGCATCTTGCAAGTTCTCTGTCTCTCCATCTTCTCTAACACTAGCGTTCAGGTCCTCTTCTCCTAATCTGTTATTCCTTAACTCAACCTCCTCCACCTGCTCTACCTCTACACTCTTAGCTGTCTCATCTTCTTTATCACTCTGAGGTTCGACGACATCCACTTCATTTTCCTTATCTTCATCATCAACATCCTCGTTTGTAGCTTCCATCTCTTCTGCTACAACGCTCTTGGACTCCGTTTTCCTCTTCTTTGCACGGCTTTTCGGAGCTTGGTTCGGGACCATGTCTCCACCAATTTCTTTCCTCTTGCTCCTCGTAGCCCTTGTGGGTCTCTTCTCCTCTACAGCAGTATCAGTATCAGTATCCTCACTCTTTATATTCTCCTCAAATTCCAAACTTTCATTTCCGATTTGCTTGCTCCTTGTCGCTCTCTTCTTCATGGCTGAGATTTCTACTCCCTTTGGAGTATCCTCAATTTCCAATTTGACCGAATTCAAACCCGAATTCTGGGCAGCCTCAGTGTTCTTCTTACCTCCCCGAGCCCTAGAATTGCCCTTTATCACCACCGGAACTTCTTCTTCCGTCGTAATTGCTACATTCTTCCGGGACCTAGTTACCCTAGATTTCACCTCCTTTTCATCTTCCACATCCGATTCCTTTTCCTTCTCGGCGATTTCTTCAAGAGGTTTACTTTTCGGAGGCCTACCTCTCCTCCGCGGTTCAGGTGCGTCTTGCTTCGCAGATCCACCCTTGCGCGTTGGTTTCTCCTGAATCGGCTCCATAGCAACCGTAACCGGAACCGGATCCGGATCCGGATCCGCTACAGGCAGACGCCTGTTACTCCTTCTCGGCCTCGGCGGAAGCTTATGCTCCTGCGCCTCAACATCAGTCTCCTCAAAGTTGACGGCAATGGAGGTATACTCACCAAGCTTGATAACGTCTCCATGGCTGAGATTGACGGGGATATTTGGGTCGAGAGTGTCCGAGTTCAATATTGTGCCGTTGGAAGATCCTAGGTCGTGGATTCTCCAGTTCTCGGAATCGGAGTCGATTTTGAGGTGCTTGGTGGAGATTCCGCCGTCTTTAATGCAGATTTCGTTACCACGAACGTATCGACCAATCCGAACAGTGGATCCGGGCTTGAACTCCAGAGAATCGCCTTCTCTTGGACCCTGGAGGATCGCGAGCTTCAGCAATGGCGGAACCATCGTCTATGAATAATAAGCGTCTGTGAGAAGCTCTGCTTTGATTCAAAATGGGATTTCAAATTTCGGATTGTCAAAATTACAAGGAAACCAAACTGAAATACGGAAAAACCTCTCCAGCCCATGGGCTTTCCTTTTCCGTAATAGCCCATCAAATTCTTTTTTATTAATATTAGTCAGAATTGCTTATTTTTTTCATTCTTGACAAATGATCGTTTGTGCATGATTTTGCTATCAAATTCAAACAAGGATTGAGCTATGCTGAATTGTTGTTGATGTAGATTTGTAGATAGATTGATAAATGATAACGTATATAAATTCTACATAACGAGAGTAAAAAAAAAAGTAACTGCAAATGATGTGATGATATAGGACTAGGAGCTTGTTTTGGAACATGTGGCTCATGAGCATCCAAGTCTCTTCAGTAAAGGTTCGTTTGTCATATTCCCATTGGTTGCTACAAATCCACCATATACGTCTTTACCATGTCTGCTTCTTTTTATCTCTCCACGTCAGCGTACACGACCTTTTAACCGGAGCTGGTTTCACTATTTAACTGTTTTTCTAATCTTTGATCATTTATTTATGAACCAGATAGTAAGTAACACTGTAACAGTTAGCCAGATTGACAATCTCGTAAAGCATGACCCACGTCAGCTCATGGGGGTCCCATGGAGAAAAGATACATGGTGTAGATTTCTTCTCCTTTGCCAAGGATATAAAGAAAAGACTTTCCTCCGATGATTATTGATTAAAAAGCTGATGCATATCCTTGTTCAAAACTCAGCCAGCCACAAGTTGATCCAACTACTTTTAACGACCACTAAATCTTCGCCACGTATCCATCTCCAAGATTCTATCTTCCCACTCTCACACAACTGATATAATATATAGTCTCAATATTAGCCTTCCCTCCTTTCTAAACACAACCAAAACTTGAAACTTTACTAACAACAAAAAAAAAATCAGATTTTTATCATTTTCATTATTATGCTGAAAGAGGAAGAGAGCGACGAGAGTGGTACTTGGGCACGACCCTGTGACACATGTCGATCAGCTGCCTCCACTGTCTACTGTGAAGCTGACTCGGCCTACCTGTGCACGACCTGCGATGCCCGAGTCCACTCAGCCAATCCCGTTGCTTCCCGCCACGAACGTGTCCGTGTGTGCCAGTCATGTGAGTCTGCCCCGGCTGCGTTTCTCTGTAAAGCAGACGCTGCGTCTCTCTGCACGGCCTGCGATGCTCACATTCATTCCGCAAACCCACTTGCTAGACGTCATCAACGTGTTCCTATCCTGCCATTATCTGCAAACTCTTGCACTGGTGGAGATAACAGAGTAATGGAGGTGGGGGAAGAAGAAGAGGATGAGGATGATCGAGAGGTGGCCTCGTGGCTGCTGCCTAATCCAGGGAAAAGCAGTAACAATGGGTTCTTGTTTGGTGTTGAGTATCTTGATCTTGTGGATTACAGCATGGACAACCAATTCGAAGACCAGTACAGTCAATACCAGAGGAGCTTCGGAGGAGATGGAGTTGTGCCACTTCAAGTTGAAGAATCAACGACAGGTCACTTGCAAGTTGACATAACAGTCCCAAGAACGCTTAAAGAGACGAGGACAGAGCAAGAATCTACTCATCAGATAGTGCAGCAGCTTACTCCAAAGGAGAGGGAAGCTAGGGTGATGAGGTACAGAGAGAAGAAGAAGACGAGGAAATTCGACAAGACGATAAGGTATGCTTCAAGAAAGGCATATGCAGAGATCAGACCACGGATCAAGGGCCGGTTCGCAAAGAGGAAAGAAACTGAAGCTGATGATGCACAACAACTCTCCGATACCGGTTATGGAATTGTTCCTTCCTTCTCAAACATGGGTCACTAGATTGCATATGCTGTAAAATTACTTTCTAGCTTAAAATCAAAACCTTAATAGATGAGCTTTTGATAACTAAGGCCACAGAATGTTTTCACACAGTTAAGCCAAAATTAACAATTAGAACCACAAACTTATCAGTAGCATTTAAAAAACAAAATAAAACACAACTCTTTAAAATCCAAAGATGGGAAAACTCAGTTGTACAATCATAAAATAGGCCACAGTATTGTCACACATTGAAGAAACAAACATACAGTGTGAAAATATTATTGAAGGAGTAGAATTTCAAAGAGAGAGAGAAAGAGGAAGATGGTTTTACATTACATCTTGGATTTGGATTGTCTAGCAATCTTGAACCACTCGGTGTGGAATGATCCTTCAACATCAGTCCTTTCATAAGTGTGAGCACCAAAGTAATCTCTCTGAGCTTGGACAAGGTTCGCCGGCAATCTCTCTCTCCTGTATGAATCAAAGTAAGCCAGACTCGCTGACATACCAGGCGTGCTAATCCCCGAGTTTATGCTTAAGCACACAACTCTCCTCCAAGCCGACTGTCTCTCGATGATCTCTTTCGCAAACTCCGGATCCACCAACAGGTTAGCCAGCTCCGCGTTCCTGTCGTAAGCTTGCTTGATCCTGTCCAAGAAGATTGCTCTGATGATGCAACCTCCTTTCCAGATCCTAGCAAGCTCACCTAGCTTCAACCCCCACCCTTTCTCCTCGCTCTTGGCACGGATCAGGTTCATGCCTTGCGCGTAGCTGCAGATCTTCGACGCGTACAGAGCTTTCCTCACGTCATCGATCAGCTGCTTCTTGTCAACCTTTTGATCTGTCAAGATATCACCAAAGCCACCTTCTTTGAACACTTTAGCTGCTTCCACACGCTCGTCTTTAAGCCCGCTGAGAAACCTCGCGTCAAGAGAGGACTCAATGGTCGGCGCTGGAACAGACAGCTCAGCAGCTTGCTGCACGGTCCATTTCCCGGTACCTTTCATCCCGGTTTTGTCCAGAACCTTGTCAACCAAATGCCCTTCACCCTTATCATCCTTAATCCCGAAGATATCCGCTGTGATCTCAATCAAGAAACTCTCAAGCTCACTATTGTTCCACTCGCTGAACACACTGTGAAGCTCTTCGTTGGATAGTTTCCCAACGGATTTCAGAACGTCGTAAGCTTCAGCAATCAGCTGCATGTCACCGTACTCAATCCCATTATGGACCATTTTGACGAAGTTTCCAGAGCCGCCTTTACCAATGTAGGTCACGCAGGGACCACTGTCCCTAACCTGAGCTGCGACCTTGAGGAGAATGTCTTCAATGTTCTTGTAAGCTTCGTAAGAGCCTCCAGGCATCATAGACGGACCATTACGAGCACCTTCTTCACCACCGGAGACTCCCATTCCGAGGTAGAGGAAACCGTTGTCAGCCACGGCTTTCTCTCTCCTCTCCGTGTTCTCGTACCACTCGTTACCACCGTCGACGATGCAGTCACCTTTCTCCAAGTAGGCAGAGAGGGTCTTGATGGTCTGGTCAACGGGCGCACCGGCCTTGACGAGCATGATGATGACACGTGGCTTCTGGATCGAGTTGACGAAAGACTCGGCGTCGTGGAAGCCGTAGAGCGGGAGGTTGCCTTCCTTCTTGGCTCGTTCTACGGTCTCGTCGACTTTGGAGGTTGTTCTGTTGTAGACTGAGATTGGGAAGCCTTTCTCTGCGATGTTGAGAGCTAAGTTCTGGCCCATCACGGCTAGTCCAGCTAGACCTATTCTAGTTGGTTGAACAGCCATTGTCTTCTTCTTCTCTCTGCTGAGAAAACACAAAAACACCTCAATAAATCTCAAATCTTTGAAAGATATAACAAACAAGATACACTAACTAAACATCTTCTTAAGCTACAAGAGGTAAGCGATGAGAGCAAAAGCCAAACTTTGCGTCGAAGTGAGACAATAGACCCATTGATTCAAGCAGAGATCGAATTCTCTAACACATAATCGATACATGCAAGTGCAAAATTAGAGTCTGCTCAACATAACGACGACTAAAACAGATCTAGAAGCAAAATTTACGATCGTGTACACCAAGAGCGAAGAATCTGAACAGCATTATGATGAGAATTTTCAATAGAATCATAGATCACGACAAAAATAGTTGCTGTGATCTTCGATTACACGGAAGTTAACTACTTGTATTGAAAATTTCGATACATCTGAACATCATCGAAAGACGATAGATTGAGTAAATCGGATGCGTAAACAAAAATGATTGGAAACAAAGAGGGAGAGTGTGTGATCTGAGAAACAAACCTGATATATCCGGAGAAGGATTTGAGATTATCGAAGAAAGATGAAGAGGAAAAGATCTGAAACACGGTGAAATTACAGAGACTGGTGAAGTTTTGTAGCAGATATATAGCAAATGAACGGTCTGATTCGCACACCAAGTATAAATTATTTGATTTTTTTTTTTCCTTTTCTCTTTTTAAAGTAATGTCAAAATTGGCTACGCTGCGTTAGGTGAAAGAAAGTGGGTGGTGGTGGTAGATGTTTGTCTCTTTTTCTACTATGTAATTGGATCTTGATACAAAATATATTCTTTTCATACCAATCGTATTTTCCCAGAATCCGGTTTATTTTACATTGTCGTTTCCAACTAGTTTATAGATTGACACAAAAAGTAATATTGAATAATTAATTAATCATCATTACAAAAAAGTAATTAAATCATCATGTTACAGAATTCATTTCTTTATTGCGTCTAGTCATATACTAGAGGGACTTATCAATGATCATGAGCAGCTCCAATTCAATGGAAGACAAAGGGGAGTCAAAATTTATCTCCGGGACCAGCACGAGCAAACACTACACCTGGTTCATCCACACAAGAACACATTCATCATACTCAAACTCATTAGAATGTAAAATTTGCTTACAATGTAAAACTCATACGTGAGAGAAAGAAATCATATCATTGTTATCATAAGTTAAAGTTAATCGCCAAAAGAAACACTAAAACTATTTTGATGATAAAGAAATCACCTTACTTTTCACTTGATAGATTTTAGGCTCTTGACAAGATGAATTCATATCCATAGCCCAAAATGTTAACCAATAGAGAAGACCATCAGTAGATTGGTAATTTACATCTATTTGCTCCACAAACACAAGTTTTGTTTCCTACAAAATTTTGAGCCACTGATCATCTCTTCTACCATTTTGATCAAAACAGTTTCACAAATCTGACTGAGATTGAAGATGTTGATATTGAAGAAATTGTTAGGAGACAAACGGTTATGGCTGTCATACTGTGCAATATGTGTGCAGTGAAGTCCACCTACTATAGTATAACATTAAATAGAATGTAAGTTACTTTTCAATATTTTAGCATGAATTTTGTTTCATATTGCATAATTGTTTTGTGTCTATTTTACAGTGGCTTTATCAGCATGACCACGCATTTGATGAACCTTTCATACAAAAGGGGTTATCCAAAACCTCAACGACCAAATTATGGAGCATGAGTAATTTAGATTTTAATTTAAGTTGATTTAAGTTAATTATTTGTTTGGTTTGTTTTATGTTGAAAACGGTTAATTTTGTCATTTTGTTTAGACTTTTCGCTTCAATTTGATTTCTGTTTAAAGTTAAGAAATCATATAATACGTTGATCTCTAGGAAGAAAATGTATAGAGGAAGCCATATCTGAAAATGCTAACATGCATTTACTGATTTAAACTTTTGACCACTTTTCATGCATAATATATGACATTTTGACTAGGGATTGAGTGAGTAATTGTTGTCTAAAACTCGCGACTCCTAGGTATAGAGAATGCTTGTTTTGTACTGTCAAGCCCGAGTGTGGAGTCGTACTTGATCGTAAGTGTAGGGGAAAGATTTTATTATGCTCTACCCAAAGGCTCACTAGTCTACAACCACATATATGATAATCCCAATCGAACATTTGCCAAATACTCTGGTTTTATCCCCTGAGGGTGAATCAGCGCTTAATACCAACATGGTCTGAGAAATTGTTATAAGAGCCAAGGAATTGATGCAGTTTTCTTTGAATTGGTCTCTAAAATTGTTTCTCATGCTAACCTCCAGGTACGAGTTTTCGTTCTAATTCAAATAAATAAATACTTGCAAAAAGAATGTTCACTACAATATAATACTCATCCAGACATCCACCACCAAACAAATCCTTTGAAGTTAATCATCCTTCAAGTTTGAATTCATACACATAACGTAATTAATTATGAAACCCTTCTAAAAAGGGAAACAATTAAAACTGTTTTGAACATGAGTTTCTTTATCTTAGGCAGAGAAGTATGAAAGAAGACGACAAAGTGGACATAATAGTTTGGAGAAGATTTTGCTGTGAAGAGTTTACAAAACTTAAAAATAAGAACAAAACTATGACAAAAAGAAAAAGCAAAACACTTTGTAACCCTATATATAATATAAAGATAAACAACGTATTCAGTTAAAGAATGCCCGAATCGCAGAAACAATATCGATCCAAGGTTTACCTCTGATCGATATTTTTTTCCTTTTTTCAGTCGTCTCTCTCTCTAGAGACCAAAATTGCACATCTGCACAAACTCCATTTCGTTATCCACGTATTTAGTCCAGAGAGACTTGTATTGGTTCATAGCAATGTCAAGCCACGGTTTCATGTTTCCATTGTAATGGATCACTCCTGCATTTCTGATCTCGTCCATGCTCACTCCTGGGTTGTACCCTAACCCAAGCACATGCCATGATTTGTCCAACGATTTCGTCTTCGAATAGAATGTCATCAATCCTGGAGGCAGAGTCCCCAATTTCCACAGACTTCTGTCTTCATTCTGCTCAGTAAACAAAACACAAGAAGACAAGCACACGTCAAAGAAAGCTTTGTTATCTCTAAGTTACTACAAAAAGAATCATACAACTGATGGACATACCAAGTTCTGCCAGTAATGGTATTGTTCGGTGCACTTCTCGCGCCTCCAAGCATTGAGATCAAATATGTTCATTCCAAAGGCCCAAGCACAAGCATTGGGGTTAAAGTTTTCTTTGATCAGAGGATGAGTGAAGTTTAGGTATTGACCATATCGATGGAAAGAGCCAAAGCATGTCTCAACAGCTCCATTCACCTTCCCATCCAAGTTGATCTTCCATAGACCAGTCACGTCTTTCTGCACCACAACGTCATCGTCCAGGAACAAGATCTTATTCAGCTTCGGATACATCTCTGGTAAGTAAAATCTGAGATGGTTCAGCATCGAGAGGTATTTTGGGTTCTTGAACTTGAGGTTATGTGAATCTTTCGTCGCGTTCTCTGCTTGATTCTCGAAGTAGAACTTCTGCAACTTGGCAGACTCGAGCTGTCTCAAGACCGGCGCATACGAAGAGTTCAAGAACTTGAAATCCTCCACCGACTTGATCTCAACATGAGCACCACGGTCCAAAGGACGCATCTTAAACCACACCTTCATGGCTGCAAGATTCATTCGATCGGTCACCACGTGGAAGACATGCTTCCATGGCTCCTCGGCATTCATCACAACCGATCTCACCACAACCGACACAGCAATCACATTATCAGAGAAAATCGCATAGTGGTAAAGACTCGGATCCTCCGCAGCTGGGTCAGGTGGAGAATCCTTGTACTTCTCCGGATGTGAGATCCTCTCTCCTACAAGCCTCATGGCCAAACAATGCAGACTTTTAGGAACCGATTTGGCTGAAATCAAGCTTGCAACAGCGCCGTTTTTCTTCGCCTTTGTCAACTGTTCTTGCACAGCAAAGATTGTATCTTTCAGCTTCTGGATTTTCAGCTGTGTGTCATAACTCTCTTTCGACTCAACAATCATCATCCTCGCTGTCTTCACCTTATCTTTCACTTCTTTCTCAAGCAGCCTAAACGCATCTTCCTCAAGAGCGTTGCCGTCGTCAGACACAGCAGACTTCAAACCAGGCTTCGACTGCATTTCCGAGAAGTTGATAGCCAAATCTTCAAAAAGCTTCAGCTGCTTGGACGCATCAAGCTTCAGCTTCCTGGCGTAAGCCGCATATGCATTCACAAGTGTCAGATGATCAGTCGCTTGCTTGTGTATCAGATCCAGCCTCGTTTTCATTGGATCCGATTGTAAAGCCAAAAACGTCCTCTGCATATATGCGTTTCCCATACTTGGCAATATCTAAACCACAGAACAAACCAAAAAGAAAAAAAATCAGAATTCCAGTTTTACATGAACCCTTGTACATCAAAATCGAAGCTCAGATTCAAAGAGCTACCACCGATTCATTCTAAATTTGATCGAATTGCAAACAAATTAAAGCATAAACAATAGGAAATTAAGGAGCTCTGAGATTGAGGTTGCGTACATGATCCTGATGAGGCTGATGACGAGAAGAGTTGAGGACGACGGAGAACGTGGCAAGGAAGAGAAAAGAGAAGAGGGCGGAGATGAAGATCCGGTAAGAGAAGAAACTGCGAAGTCCGGAAGATTGGCCGGATCCGACGCCGCCCCGGCCTCCACGGAAGGCCACCGCCATTTCTACCGATACGCTACACCTTTACTGGTCAGTTTTTTTATCAGATCGGGGGATTTTCGATTCGTCGGTGAGCTTCTTGCTTGCCTAAGAGAGACTGGACTTAACCTCTGGAGAGTGACGGATAGATCTCAAACATTTTAGTGAAGAGAACACGTTAATCAAATAATCATAAGACAAATTAAATAAACAATTAATTTAGTGCAGAGGTAACGACTCACAACACTTAAATATTAAATACAATTTACCAAGGTAAGTCATAAATAATGCACACAAAAATGACGACGGAAGAAGACCAGAGATGATGTTCCGCGTCGGTGGAATTCAATTCACACCTTAGTTTTGGTTATTTATGTCTAGACCCTCAATCTTTTCAAAAACATAATTATTATATCTTCCACTTTCAGTTTCTAATTTTTTAGCCTTTTGTTCTTAATACTACATGGGCTTTAGTATAACGGGCCAATAGTTAGACCATATGAAGCTAATTGCATACTGAAATTAAAAATACAAAACGGCACGCAGTTCTCAATAAAAACATAAAAACATCGCGTTGTTCATTGTTACCCAAATGAAACTCTCCTGCAAACAGGGTCCAGTCATACGTTTTACACAGAGATCCAGAGAGAACAAGTAACATTGCGGCATCAAAACCATTACATAAGGTAACCTGTAGTTTTGCTCTATCAAGATCATGCAAACTGTGATAACTAAAGAAGCAAGATGCTAAATAATAACGACGATTCATCTTTAAGCCGTGACTTCATTGAAGATATATGTAACTTCACAAACACTTGCAAGATATGGCTTCAAAGGTCTTAACATGATTTCTTTCATAAAAAGGAATATATACAGCATGAACACTATCACCTTCATGATAAGTGCTTACCCTAAAACCAAAGCGTTTCAAGGACCTTCCCTCTGAAACCGACCCTGGCTATTAACATGACAAACAGATATTTTAAATTCAATCAACTCTTATCTACCCGGCAAGGAAAAAGCTGCCACCGTTCCTTTGTGATCTCCTCTCCCTTTCATACTCAAGATCATCAGTAGGAAGCTCAAATCGACAAACAGGGCAAGTGTTCCTTATCCCCAACCAAGGAATAATACACTCCCCATGATAGAAATGTCTACAAGGAAGCTTCCTGACTTTCTCCTCTAGGACCATTTCATCTTTGCAGACCGCACAAACGATGTTCCCATTGTTTACTTCTTCCACTGTAATTTCCACAACTGGGAGAGCCTCAACAACCCTTTTGGCTGCTGGTGGATTTCCCCTGATTCCAGTCTCGTTATCAAACATTTGCCCAAGAATAGCATCATCATTCTCATATTCATCCAAACTAGCTAGATACAGGTAATAACTCGGATCGATATCACCAGGGTTTATCGTGATTCCTTCAGCTTGTTCTATATAATTAACAACATTGTTAACAGTTAACAAAACCTCCCAGTCCAGTTCATGCTCTTCTTCATCATCATCCCTTGATGAAATTCGGGACGGTGATGACAATTCTTCTCCTTCTTCTTCTTCCTCGTCTTCCGATCTACTAAAAGCCCTAACCGTCCAGTTGATGGCGTTCTGCACCTCCTCCCACTCTTCATCAGCCAACATGGTTTCCTCACCGAAGCCGTAATCCCAGACAGGAGGAAGACCCGTACCAACCTCGACCCGACCCGAATCGTTTGCCCCATTCCCACCATCCCCTGAGGTAAAATCAAACACGCCATCTTCGTAATCGGAATCTGAATCGATACCGGTCACTCGAAGCCCTTGCTCGCCTGAGTCACCGGGCTGCTGATCCGACTCGGTTCCTGACCCGGATCCAGTCCCCAGAACTATCTCCTCCTCGTCTTCCTTCGGGTCGTAAAAGCCCCATAAATTGAAATCATCGGCGGTCATCCCCTCCGATTCCAAGTACTCAGCAGCGTCAACCTCGGAAGACTCTCGATAGAAGAAATCGATGGGACAGATGTACGGATCGGGCTCTGAGTCCGTGTAAGAACCCGATCCATAATCTGAAATCGGGCCTGAGAAAGGGAAATAAGGATTGCAATCGATGTCCCTCCCGTCGAACGGAGAGTGACAAACGAGTAAGCTCGCAGCCTCGCCATCTGATAAGAGAATTGAACCGTCTACGGCTGCTGCAACGCTGCCTTCCGCCTCTTCTTCGAGGTTGATTGCGGGACCGGGCTTCGTCGACGCCATTGCTGAGTTTCAGAGAAAAGTAGGAAAAAAAAAAGAGGAATGTGTAAAAATTCAGAGGGAAAATCGTATGATCTCGTATATACGAAGGATGTAATACGATGACGTGTAAGCTGTATGGGTTTGCTGGGTGGATTAAAATTCTGTCACATCAGACAAAAATTGAAAAAAAATAAGAAATGACGTCAAAAAGTTAGATCGCCGTTGCCGGGGATCGAACCCGGGTCACCCGCGTGACAGGCGGGAATACTTACCACTATACTACAACGACTTGTTTGTTAGTAAATAATATTTTATATTTAATTACAGTGATAACCGGTCGAGTGACAGCTAGTTGGAATTCGATTTCAGTTGATTTTTCGAAACCGAGTAAACCGAACCGAATCAATCGTAATCGTTTCGATCCCGCCATAGATAGTTAGATACCCGCTGAGATTGAGTTCGTCATGCATCATGGCGGAGAATCTCAGATTCTTGCGCATGACCAGAGCAGTGGTTTCATTCCATGGGTATCTAGCGGAGAAAGTTTCATACCGAAGAGTTCCAATCGTATCTTATTTTACTGATTTTGTGAATCATGTGAACTCATCAAGCACGACGAACTTTTCGTTTGTTTTCAAAGAATGTGCGAAGCAAGGAGCTCTAGAGCTTGGAAAGCAAGCTCATGCTCACATGATAATATCTGGGTTTCGTCCGACTACGTTCGTGCTGAATTGTTTGCTGCAAGTATACACAAATTCAAGAGCTGTGGCGTCTGCTTGCATGTTGTTCGACAGAATGCCGCTGAGAGATGTTGTTTCGTGGAACACAATGGTAAATGGTTACGCGAAGAGTAAAGACATGGCTAAAGCGAGGTCTATCTTCGATATGATGCCTGTGAGAGACGTTGTGTCATGGAACTCAATGCTTTCTGGGTATTTGCAAAACGGTCAGAGTTTGAAATCTGTTGAGATTTTCGTTGACATGGGGAGAGCAGGTATTGAGTTTGACTGTAGAACTTTCGCAGTGATCTTGAAAGCATGTTCATCTTTAGAGGAACACGTTTTAGGAATGCAGATACATGGGATTGCTGTACGAGTGGGTTATGATGCTGATGTGGTTGCTGCAAGTGCGTTGTTGGATATGTATGGCAAATGCAAGAGATTTGATGAGTCACTTAGAGTGTTTCAAGGTATTCCAGAGAAGAACTCAGTCTCTTGGAGTGCTATAATCGCTGGTTGTGTTCAGAATAACTTGTTCTCTCTTGCTTTGATGTTTTTCAAGGAGATGCAGAAGGTATATGGTGGAGTGAGCCAGTCGATTTACGCTAGCATCTTGAGGTCATGCGCTTCGTTATCCGAATTGAGGTTAGGTGGTCAGTTACATGCTCATGCCTTGAAGTCAGATTTTGCAGCAGATGGGATAGTGAGAACTGCGACATTGGATATGTATGCAAAGTGTGATAATATGCAAGACGCTCAAATTTTGTTTGACAAGTCAGAGGATCTCAACAGGCAATCTTATAACGCATTGATCACTGGCTATTCGCAGGAGGAACATGGTTTCAAAGCTCTACTGTTGTTTCACCGACTCATGTCGTCAGGTCTTGGTTTTGACGAGATCAGTTTGTCAGGAGTGTTCAGGGCTTGTGCCTTGGTGAAAGGTTTTTCAGAAGGGCTTCAGGTTTACGGTTTGGCTATAAAGAGCAACTTATCAGTAGATGTTTGCGTTGCAAATGCTGCTATTGACATGTATGGGAAATGTAAAGCTCTTCCTGAAGCCTTTTGTGTGTTTGATGAGATGGAAAGAAGAGATGCTGTGTCTTGGAACGCGATTATAGCAGCGAATGAGCAGAACGGCAAAGGATGTGAAACGCTTTCTCTTTTCGTCTCAATGCTCCGTTCTGGGATCGAACCTGATGAGTTTACCTTTGGGAGTGTATTGAAAGCTTGCGCTGGTGGTTCTTTGGGTTACGGCATGGAGATCCATTCCAGCGTTGTCAAATCAGGAATGGCTTTGAATTCCTCTGTGGGATGCTCTTTGATCGATATGTATTCAAAATGTGGAATGATAGACGAGGCGGAGAAGATACATAGTCGGTTGTTTCTTCCCGGAACAATGGAAGAGCTTGGAAAGATGAACAACAAGAGACTGCAAGAAATGTGTGTTTCATGGAACTCAATGATTTCAGGGTATGTGACCAAGGAACAGAGTGAGGATGCTCAGGTGGTTTTTACACAGATGATAAAGATGGGCGTAACTCCTGACAAGTTTACGTATGCAACGGTTCTTGACACATGCGCGAATCTAGCTTCCGCTGGGTTGGGGAAACAGATTCACGCTCAGGTCATCAAGAAAGAAATGCAATCTGATGTGTACATCTGCAGCACCCTCGTTGACATGTACTCGAAATGTGGAGATATCGATGATTCGAGACTGATGTTTGAGAAGGCTCGGAAGAGAGATTTCGTGACGTGGAACGCCATGATCTCTGGGTATGCACATCACGGGAAAGGAGAGGAAGCTATTAAGCTGTTTGAGAGAATGTTACTGGAGAAGATGAAACCAAACCACGTGACTTTCATATCGATACTCCGAGCTTGTGCTCACATGGGTCTAATCGACAAAGGACTTGAATACTTCTACATGATGAAGAGAGACTATGGTTTGGATCCTCAGCTGCCGCATTACTCTAACATGGTGGATGTCTTGGGGAAATCAGGAAAAGTCAAGAAAGCGTTGAAGCTTGTTAGAGAGATGCCATTCGAAGCAGACGATGTTATATGGAGGACGTTGTTAGGAGTCTGCGCGATACATAGAAACAATGTAGAGATTGCAGAAGAAGCGTTTGATGCTCTGTTGAGATTGGATCCGCAAGACTCTTCAGCTTATACGCTTCTGTCGAATGTATACGCAGATGCAGGAATGTGGGAAAAAGTTTCGGATTTGAGGAGAAGCATGAGAGGGTTTAAGCTTAAAAAGGAGCCTGGATGCAGTTGGGTTGAGCTGAAAGATGAGCTTCACGTGTTTCTCGTGGGAGATAAGGCTCATCCTAGATGGGAAGAGATCTACGACGAGCTTGGTTTGATTTACAGTGAAATCAAACCTTCTGGTGAATCCTCTTTGGTGCATGATGTAGAAGAAGAAGAGCAATGGTGCTACTGCTAAGTTAACTAGAAACAATTTTGTAGTCATTTGAGTAACTATTTATTTATTTTAATCCAAAAGTAAAATCACTACACGGATAAACTATAAAGTATACAAACAGAAAGAATCAGCAAAAATGGGTCTCTACTCTCAGTAGCCAAAAATGAAGAAAACAACAAACACAACAGAGAACTCTTCCCGAAGAGGACAATCTTCTGTAAACAAAAATCTGATCTCTTGTGCAAACATGTAAGCTTCTCTACTTATGATGTTGAGGAAATATCCTCTGTTGTCTTCTGACGTTTTGGATCGAGCTCTTCTTGAACATTATCTTCTTGCTCTGCATCTTCTTCTTCCTCTTTAAGTTCTTCATGGTGTTGATTAAGATGACCATTGACTGCATCATGACCAATAAGAGAGACATGTTTGCTGGTGATCTGGCGACCAGCTCTAAGCTTTGGACCCCAATGCTTCTCTGGATTTGGCAGAAACCGGGCTACTTTCTTCGCCTGCGCCTTGCTCATCGAACCAATCTGACGCGAAAAATCAACCTGTCCAAACACACACACAAAAACGGTATCAGAAGCTTTGAACATATTCTTCAGTTTCAAATAAGTCTCAGAGAAGCCAGCAAAAAAAGACCTGATGTGATGGTTCTTTTGACAAGATCACACTTCCGGGTTGTTCAGGTGCTTGCGCCTTTATAGGATGATTCTTCACCTACACCAACACATCACATCAGGTCAATCAAAAAACAAGATGTGGTCAAATGAATGAAATTTTCAAATCATCATTGTATTTAAGTTTATACCCAGCAGCGCATGATGTCCCAGATAACCTCCATAGGAGCATCGGTTTTCATGCCGAGGGGATTTACATGAGTCCCTGAGATTCGGTATTGAGCATTAAGAACCGCTGATCGAAACATAGCAGCTGATGGCGATATGCATTTTAGCGTCGCACAAAGATTATGCAGACTCAGAAACAGAGGAACATCTACCAACTCCTGAAAAAACAAAAACAGAGACAATAAAATCAGCTATCAATTTTCTTTTTACAGGTTTACTCTCTGAAAAACTGAATTCAGACAATCAAGTAATCAACTTGCCTCGGAGACAGTGGTGAGTACAGCGGAGATCCGGTCATAAGCAGGATATCTGTGTTTCATGGATTTAACACTGTTCAAAATGGAAGTCACCCATTCTTGATCATGCATTGGAGCAGACCATATTGGTCCTCCCATGTTATATTTCTTCCCACAGTGGCTGCATTCCTGTGCCACTACTGGACCAGTTGCTGGTAGATACCTCACACTCTTGTTCTGCCCAAACAAAAAAAATTAAGATTACAAGATATTTTTGAGAAAACGGTTTCATGATAGAAATTAAACTATTTACCCATAACAATAATCATAGGCTATATACCGAGTTTCTATCTATCATCTTAGGAGATGCATTGAATAGAGAATGATTGAAGTTTATACCTTAGGGAGAGATCTTCCAACAGGTTGAAGATGGAATGAATCACAACCAATGCATTGATAGACGTAAGATAGCTTCAATGGAGTGTTCTTCATTGCACTCGCCGACCTGATAGTTTCATTAAGCTTCAGTGAATCAATATATAATACAAAATCTTTATAGCTGAGAATGTAGAGTGTTTTGATTAGACAATGATAGACTTACGTGTACACGCGGACAAAAACACGAACATAAAAGTCCATTTGCACAGACAGCACCGGAACAATATACCTCTTGTACCGGTTTGCATGGCTCTACATAACCAAAAAGTGAAAAGGAACATAAGAAAACAAGCTAAACCTGATTATTTCGTAAAATTTGGGAATGGCTACGATAAACAAACCTCGATGCTGGCAAGGAGAATCCGCAAAGCCATCTCATGACAATACTTCCCTCTCAGTGGATACGAACCATATCTGATATATCAAAAAGGTTAAAGATCCGTTTAGCCAAAATGGCATCATAATTGGTACACGAGAAAGATGTGAAGTGATAACTAAAGCACACTCACTTGGAATAGCAAACTTCACCGTTTCCACCACATAGCACTGCCATGTCAGTCGCTGTACACATTAGCAATCCACCATCCGCGACTGATTGAACAGCCGAGTCAAGGAAAATAGATGGTGATCCATATGGATCTAGATCAACCTATGAACAGTACTAACCAGGATTAGTTTGACTTAACCAAAATGCAGAGAAACACAACAAATGTGAAAGAAACTTACCACATCAAATTCTTTAGGGTGAGTAAGCATATGGACACGAGCATCGGTATGATGCGACTCCACCTTTGAAATAGCTAAAGAGCCGTTGAACTTTATGTTTCTCTGGCAAGCTTCGACCGATGCTTTTAAAAGAAAAGGAACAGCACATTAGGATAATCAAGAACTCCAACTCCTCTAATCTAATTCATTAAGAATCAAAGGAAATAAAAGCATTTACCAAGGTCATTGTCCAGTGCCACAACCTGACCAATTCCTTCTATTTCACGTGCATACCTTAAAGCACGTAACCCTGAAGCTGACAAAGCCTGAAATTTTCAAGTTTGCAAGAAAACGCTATCTCACCGCAAGATCAAAATAATCCCAACTGAATGAGACAGAGAGTAGAGAATATATGAAGACCTCAAGCACTTTTGGTGGCTTAGGTTCTCCACGTGGAAATCCCTCCGCTGTCTTGGCAAGTTCTTTGGTGGATGCAGAGCTCGGTCCATCCTCAGATGTTACTTGATGTTCACCATTTTCCATTTCTTCCTTGGAAGCTTCAGAAGCATTCTTCTCTACCACTTTGGATTTGGATCTGCTAGTTTTAGATGACTTAGCAGCTTCATGCTCTTGCTTGCGTTTCGATATAAATTCCCTTAACACAGCAATAGACATGTCTCTATTGTTCACCTAATCAATTAAACACCAACAAAAGCAAATACTTTAGGTTAGAGCTCAATCCATATAGCTTCAAACAAACACATTGTCCTCAAAACCGTGAATTAACGATAAATTGATGTGAATCAATGTTCAGTGGTCTTAACAAAGCTAGAAGATTTGAATCAAAATCAAATCAGCCAAATACAATCAAACAGAAACGCCAATCGGATAGAAATTTGGAAACCTGAGCTTTGTTGAAGAAGACTTGATTCTTCTTGTGGAGGAGAATCTCAGCTTCTCCTTCCTTGATAACCGTATAATCATTCGGATCCGTTTCCATTGCTTAATCTCAGTCTCTCTTCACCAAATTCACCTGCTACGAAGACGAGTCCGCTTTGTATGCGAATGCTCGTTATAGAGAGAAAGCTGAGAGGTTTGCACGAGGCAAGAAGAAGAAGAAGGAGGTTCTCCACTTTAAAACCCTACGACTAACATAAACAGAGTTTGACTATTTGTCTTTTTCTGTTTTTCCTAATCTGATTAGTCAAAATAAATTGGGACATGAATGATCAAAACAAAAGATAACGGGTATCAATGTAAGAAAAACCAAAAGACTAGGGACAAATAAATTAGTGGCCCATGCAGGTTTCGAACCTGCGACCTTCGCGTTATTAGCACGACGCTCTAACCAACTGAGCTAATGGGCCATTCGAACTTTGATTAAATATATACAAATATTTTTTTATTTTATGTTTTTTTCCTTTTAGCAAAGGAGGCTAACGTGTCCTCAGCTCAATTTAACAAGAATTATTACACACCAAATCAAAGGAGTAAAACGGTAATAAAACGGAGGGACATGTCACTTTTAGAAAGGTGACTCTTTTCTTTGCCTCAGGCCATCAGCCTGCACGCCTTACACAAAAGTCAAAGCATACTTAAGGAGCAATTATATATCAACACGTGTCCAAACCTTCCATCACTTTCACTGTTTGTAATTTTTGTTACGTCTTTTTGCTACGGATTTCTTACGTCACCTGAAAATCTTTGCTTGTAGATTTTCTCTCTTTTTTTTTGCTACAACTTAATGGTAGATTCTTTGCCCAAAGGAAACTATAGATGACTTCACGTATTAATCGTTCGTAACAAACAAACAACATACATGCATAATTGCATAACTAATGCGTTAAGAATCGTCCGTGTATTAGAAAAATACGACAGGTGTTTAAAAATTTACAGAAACTACCATACCTTTAACATGCCTAAATACGATGTTAATGTCCGGGCCGGGCATTGTGTTCGAGTATGACAGTTGACAGAACAGTACAGCAGTTAAACCATAAAACCAAACAGTTGTTTTTTTTCTTTCTGGGTCAACAGTAAGTCTGTAACTAAAGATGAAAGTAATGTATTTTTGATAAATCATGAATTACCCTTAACCCAAAGAAAAAAACATACCTTCTATATCCTTCTTTGGCCGATCACCTGAAAGATTTTAATTCCCACAACACTTGCAAGCAATAGCCAAAAGTAGAACACTGGAGAAGAAAATCTAATCTACTGCAAAAGGATCTTAATTTACTTTATATAAAAAGAAAAAAAAAATCAAAAGGATCTTAATTTACTTTATATAAAAAGAAAAAAAAATCAACGAACCCGGTTTATATATCAAATATGTGTGTGTGATATACAGTATTTCTCATAAAGCACATTTTATAAACAAATTTATTTAGTGATTATTTAGAAATCAACGTATTAATCAATAGATAAAATCCGAATATAAGGATGGTTAAATTTGATACATTAAAAACTGATTAACACAAACAAACAAAAATCGGCTGTGAGGTACGAAATTCCAATGTTGTTCAATCATCAATACATTGGAAACGAATTGGAAGTCGACACGTACATGTCCATTTTAAGGTAGGAGAGGGTTTTCTGCGGCTTGTGAAGTAAAATGATGATATCTGCTTTCGTATTATTGTAGAAACCAATGTTATTCCCAATCTCACGCGCCATCTATCTACCACTTGCCACTTGTTACCCACTAGATATTATTTTGTTCATCACATATATGCCAGTTGTTGTATGTACATTTATAAACATAAGTACACAACACACGTTGGTAAGAAAAATTCATACGGTTGTAAAAAGAAGGTCACATGTTGTAGAGTTACATATTTATAATTTTTGATAGAACCAGGTTCGTGAAATAGGGTTCTCTAACCGCCAATCATGCAAAGTATTACTTTACTTAGTACATACATTATAGTTTTTATAACCTTTTATTTTTCTAAAGCTTTATATATACACACACTATTGTGATTTTTAGCTCATTATTACGGAAAATACCCAAAATAGTATGAACTTTCAACAGAACAACAATATCGATGTTTTGAAAGTTTTGTAGAAGTTAGGCAATGTATGTATATACCTAAATGAGTCGAAACACGGTATCTAGTTATCTATATATACCGTAGACATGAATTATAATCAAACATCATTTTTGTTTCCAAAACTTCTTTTGTCTTAATTAGTAGTAGCAATCGCAAAGCAACATATTGCAAATTAACAATGGCGTCCGTGTGACACGCGCATGGGAGAGAGAGCGTGAGAATGTTTTTTCACTTTTTTGGAAAAAATGGGAGGATAGAGAAAGAGTAAACAAGGAGAGAGAGAGAGAGTGTGAATGAAACACACCATATATGTCACCAAACCCTAATGATCTCTCACCTTCACAAATTTCTTATCTTTATAGCTTTTATAGATTCACAACAAGTTTCCTTCAGATTTACTATCTCATCACGCACACACAACCGTTCAAAAAAAGAAAAAAAAAGAAAGAAAAAAACAAAAGATCCAAAGAATAAACAAGAACCCTAAAATCAGAAAGTAAAAGTTTCCTCCTTTTTTCTCTCTCTCTCTCAATTCCTCTTCTTCTTGATCTTGAAATCTAGAGTTTTTTTTATCCTCCAAAAGATAAGATCTTTCATCAGAAAAAGCTATACCCCCAAGTCATGGTTGTGTGTGTCTGTATATAGATAAACATTCACATACCCTAATAAGGCTTACATATAAACCTATAAAAGAGTAAAGCAATTAGGGATTTTAAGGGAAAATGGGAAGAGGAAGAGTAGAGCTGAAGAGGATAGAGAACAAAATCAACAGACAAGTGACTTTTGCAAAGCGTAGGAACGGTTTGTTGAAGAAAGCTTATGAGCTATCTGTTCTTTGCGATGCTGAGGTTTCTCTCATCGTCTTCTCCAATCGTGGCAAGCTCTACGAGTTCTGCAGCACCTCCAAGTACATATCATCTCTCACTCTCACTCTTTTTAGCTAGATCTGTGTGTATAGATCTTTCTTTCTAAGTCTTGTGAGGTTGATCTTTCTTGATCTTGCTGTGAATTCGTGGAGGGTTTAGGTTCTTGATTACTTTTCAAGAACTTGATTTTTAGGTTTTGAACCTGATCTGTAATTAAGATCCTGGTTATAGAAAGATAAATCAGTTTGAAGTTATTGAATTTTGAGATCTGATCTCTTCTCATGTCAATTTCTTAGGGATCTTTGAAATCTGTAGATTCAAAATCTATAGGTCTCTCAGAAGTGTCATAATATCATACGTCTTTGTACACAGATATACATGTGATTAGAGTCATCATTAAAGTAGTTAAAGATTCACAGATTTCAATAAAACTAAAAAAAGATCCAACGTAGAATAATCTGTGGTTCCATGCATTAACCAGTCTCAACCTCATGCACACATTTAAGCCCCACAATGAATTTAATTACATCTCTTTTCAGTTAACGATTTGATCCCCAAGATCTTCTTTTTTATAATTTTTTTTTGTGTTATAGCTCCTTAATCAGTCATTAATTAAATTATTAATTTATATCTTCTTCCTCTTCTAATTTGATCTTTCAGCATGCTTAAAACACTGGAAAGGTACCAGAAGTGTAGCTATGGCTCCATTGAAGTCAACAACAAACCTGCCAAAGAACTCGAGGTTCAATCTCCCTCTGATAAACTAATTATATTTGATTTCTATTAAGACAAATTAGAGCTTCGAAATTAAAGAAATAACTATCAGTCAAGAAGGGAGTCCAACATAATGTCTCTTTTCTTATTGGCATTTTTCAGAATAGCTACAGAGAGTATTTGAAGCTGAAAGGTAGATATGAAAACTTGCAACGTCAACAGAGGTATATGTATATACATTAAGTAATCTGTTTGCTCACATATAAACAGCATAGAAATAATGTGTATATGTTTGTATTGATGTATGTGTATATGTATGTTGCTGCAGAAATTTACTTGGAGAGGACCTTGGACCTCTGAATTCAAAGGAGCTAGAGCAGCTTGAGCGTCAACTAGACGGCTCTCTGAAGCAAGTCCGTTGCATCAAGGTTATTTTATATTTGTAGAGAACATGAAGATTCACGCAAATATGTATAGACAGAACACACATTAAACGTTTGCTCTTTCTTTTTTTCCTTTGTTTGTTGCAGACACAGTATATGCTAGACCAGCTCACTGATCTTCAAGGTAAAGAGCATATCTTGCTTGAAGCCAACAGAGCTTTGTCGATGAAGGTATAAATATGATGCCTCTTTTGGGTTATTTAGCATCTATGGCATTTCCAAGAATTGCAGTTTGAATTATAATGTTGGGTGTTTGTTTAGCTGGAAGATATGATAGGCGTGAGAAGTCACCATATAGGAGGGGCATGGGAAGGTGATGACCAACAGAATGTTGCCTATGGACATCATCAGGCTCAAAATCAGGGACTATTCCAATCTCTTCAATGTGATCCCACTCTGCAAATTGGGTAAACTAAACAACTTCACTTGCTTTCTTACACATCAACAGTGGACAGTCTTGTTACAGCCCAAGATTGTCTTTGTTTCAAAGTCTAAAGTTTCAGCAGTAATCTGACGTCTATTGTTGTGGTGATGGAAATAGATATAACCATCCAGTGTGTTCAGAGCAAATGGCTGTAACGACGCAAGGTCAGCCCCAACAAGGAAACGGCTACATCCCTGGATGGATGCTCTGAGTGATACTTGGTCCAAGATCTTAAGCATGCAAGTGGTGTGGGTCGTCGGTTCTTGCTGATGAAATGGATTATAAGAATAACTATGGATAGTAATAAATTTTGTGCTTATGTATGCACAAGACTTCTATTTTGTAGACATAAGTGGCTATTCATGTAATAGCCTTCATCGTCTCTCTTCCGTTTCAGGAGATGTTAGTTGTGCCTTTTGCAACCTTATATATATAAATGGATTGTAATGTGTGAAATGTCAACAACGTTAAGTACCATGTCTCATCTGTCGTTGGCCTGTATTCGTATAATACAAAATGCAGTTTGCGACAGAGGCTAATAAACACTCAAATTAGCATTGAGATTGAACACTTCACAATGCCACAAAGAGCCAGCTTTTATTACCAATTCTAAAGTTTTACAGAACAGATAATTTCAGTATCCTGAATAGTACAATGTATATGTCAATCGCTTTCACGTTTATCAATTAGATTATGGATGCACTTTATTAAAAGGGCTAATGATAGAGGTTACGACATCCATGGAAATAATCTTTTTTTTTACCCGTATCATCTTTGTGCTTTAGTTTTAATTGTATTGATATGGAATCTCAAAATTTTATTGAATTCATGTCAAGTGGAGGTTCGGTTGGCTTTTGCATCTAGGGAAGTCTAATTTTGTCGAAATTTCTATTTAAGAACAACTATCAAATAATTGGGTTACGGCCCATTCTAACAGTATTTTACTAAATAACTGACAAGAGGAGTCATTTTTCTACGTCGCTGATCTTCTTTGTTCAAAGAACATTTTCAAAACGGATGTTCAGAACCCATCAACTGATCCGAACACTATTGTCTATGCAACTAATCCCTCCTACAGTGGCTGATGGCTTTGCTTAGAGATGTTATACACATCACTCTATTGTAAATAACTGAATTAAAATTCATTTGGATATTGGTCATAAACATGAGCCATATACCCCCGGTCAGAGTATATAGAAAATTCTTTGGACAATCAAACTCATTCATTTTTACATGTTCACCTCAAATATTTTTGAAAACTAAAACCAAACTCGTTAGAACCCCTTGTTAATCTAGACGCGAAATGTTAGCGTGAAGACTGCACAAAAATTTCACCTACACTTTTTGTCTTCAGATTGCAAAATTATGTCAATGATTAAATTCGAAGAAAATAAAAAGTAATAATTAGGACACGTGTGGTACACAGACATAAAGATATGAATGGATTGTGTAATATGTGAAAATGTTAACGTTCACCATGTCTCATCTGGTTATCCTGTCTTTGTCTAATAAACTCTCAAATTATTAACAGTCACAATGCCACCAAAAGCCAACTTTTATTTTCAATGCCACATACATAATTACAATATCCGGAAATGTAAAATGTTACAAAGACTTATGCTGAATAATGGACTTTCTAGCTTACAACATTTTCAATTGTCGATGATATATATGATGAATTGTTTGTGCTTCCAACAACACTAAACTGTTGTAAGTTTGGGGTTTGTGCTTTTTAATATACTTCTTCCCCATCTGTAAAATCTCCATCAAGTAACTGCTCCCTGAAACACATCAATTCACTTAGTAATTAGCCTTCGTTTGACTTGATTATGGTATCAGGACAAGTTTATCCAACTTTGCTCTTACCTCAGTCTCTCGCAGAGGCGGGCTAAAGCTTCGGAACCCATTCTGAATGCAACTTCTTGAATCTCTAAAGCATTTGAGAGGTTCACACTATCTGCTAACTGAAATTCACACAGCTCCTTCAACGAGAATGCATCGGTTAAAACAGCTGAGTGACCACCTCCTGCTGCTAGCTTCCTCACTTGTCCTACACACCTGAACGCAACAACACCAGAGTTTACCATTAATCTAACCAAAAATACCACAATGTCTGCATCACAAAACCTTTTTGAATAAGTACAAAAGAAGACAAACTTGTGTGAGCTATACCAGTCTACAGGGGACGGGTACCAAGCATATGAAGATTTCTCATTCGCTGCTTGGCCATAGCAATTATAACCCCATCCACAAATCCTTCCCTCTCTCATATAAACGAGGGTGTGAGAATGTCCACAAGCAACAAGCCGGACATCGGTTGGGATGACTAAAACCGGGACATTGCGCAGAAGCATTTCACTTCCATTAGAGACACGAAACAAGAAACCAGATTGGGGACCAAGTCCTAGCTGTCCAGCTTGGCCACCACCCCAAGCATAAAGTGCTCCTTCCTTAGAGAGAGCACAAGTGTGTACACCACCACAAGCAACTTCTTTCATGGACACACCATCGAGACCAGCGACACGCCTTGGTATCAACTCCTTATCCCCAGACTGAAGAGAAACATGCCCGAGTTGACCCATGCTTCCTAGCCCCCAAGTGTAACTGCAACGAAAGAGATAAGCAGTGGACACTGAATAAGATAACCGAAAGAAATCAAGCGCAAGGGAAGGAGACTTGCATAGTCAAAATGTCAGGAATCCATTTGCTTCCTCAAGCATTTCCATCTGCTTCCTACTAGGAGGATGTGATGACTGATGAGACAGAAATCTCCATCAGAAAGACTTTCCTTCCCTTGCACAGAGAATAAGTAACCAGAGCCATGTGAATAATCAAGACAAAGGCATTGAGATAACTTACACCTCTCCCGTTTCGGATACAGCAGCAGTATGGTATTCCCCACACGAAACTTGCTTAATCTTCACAGGCTCGGGTGCTTCGTCAAGGAATTTCGCATAAGCGGTGATCACACGAGGTGCTTGTAGTCCTTCACAAGTGACTCCTCTACCAAGCTGGCCTTGTTCATTATAGCCTTATTTTCCATGGAACACCAAAAAAAAAAAAACCCACAAGATCATCAATACCACAATTGCTAACTCTACCACAAACAAGTTTCATCTTTATAACAATGTTATTACCCCAAGCTTGAAGAAGGCCATCCTCTGATAAGGCAACAACATGAGCTGTCCCACATGACACTTGGCGGATAGCCTAGAAGATGATCAGATGTATACCAAATCATCTACTAGTTGTAACTAATATTTGATTGCATCGAGGAGAGAGCTGAGAGTACATAAAACATACCGTGGTAGCAGGAAATGCCCCTGAAAATAAGCGTGGCAGATTTGATCCCTAGCACAAAATGTTTTGAGTAAACATAAGAGAAACACATGAATGCCAAAGATTTGGTTTCAGTCACATAATATACCTGATTTTGTCCCCAAACCCAGAGTCTGCTAGTGGAAAGCGTACCGTCGTTTTCACGAGGTTCGGCTATAGCTGTAGTGCAGAAAGCTCCACAAGACACAAATTTCACGAATTCTGACTGCAGCTGCTTCACCTTCTTTGGAATTTTCCTCCCAACCTCGCTTCCATCTCCAAGCTGACCATATTCATTCCCACCTGAAACGAGAACAAAACAAATGCCTAACATTCAACCACAAGATCACATTGATTCAAAAGAAACTAGCTTTTTCATAAAATACAGAAATTGAGAGACAGACCCCAAGTAAAGAGAGATCCATCTGATGCAACCGCGGCTGTATGTTCCCGACCACACGAAATATCGAGCCACCGCGAATTAGCACCAGCGGGGCAACCAAAAAGCTCAGGAGGAAGCTGTTTCGGGATACGCAAAAGCTTCTCTTGCCCTTTCCTGCCGGTTTGTCCACTTTGATTGTAGCCCCAAACGTATATGGCGCTCTTCGTTGGGATACTCACACAAGGAGCAACTTCGCCAATGATTTCTCCAATATCCATTTCTACCTGACAATATGTCCTGCCTAAATTGTTGTTATTCTTCGAAAAAGTTCCCAAATTTATGCGTTTGTCAACGAACTAAACTCCGATTTTACAGAAATGAGCACAAGCGATCACGAATCAAGCAATTTTGTCGATACCAAGTCAATCACGAATTCAAGCATTCCAGAACTAAGCAAATGCGAACTCGATTCACAACAACACATGCAAAGCCAATTAACAGAAACCTGAGACCGTACCTCTTAAATCAATGTTGAAATTTTGAAAGAATCGAAATTTCTGTGACCTTTGTTGTTCGGTTTGGGTTTGGGCGATTGCTAATGTGTAAGAAACGGAGGGAAGGAGAGAAGCAATGAGGATCGTTCGTTCATTGGCTCCGAGAGACTTCGGGGCCCGAGTCGGGTAAAGTTGAGAGAAGTTTCTTTCTGTATTATTGCACAATAAGACCTTCATTTTATGAAACATCTACACAAAAGTACCTAAACTTCTTCTTTTTGGTCTCTTTTCCCCACTTTGTAAATCTGTATCAATGCTCTTTGTTTTCTTTTTTTCTTTTTTTTTTCTTTCACGGAACCCTAATTTCCGATCATGCCGCCGAATCTGAGAGCTGTGGTTGCGCAGGTAAACCGAAAATCTGGTTATATATTTTATCTTATTTTCTCCTTGTTTCTTTTCTCGCTCGATTAATGGACGAAAATTCTACAGTGTAACCGGCTTGGCGGGAGATCAAATGGATGTCGCCAAACTCGCAATTTCAGTTCAACGCCTGGTAACGTTTCCCGCTTCCGCATTTTTGAGTCGGAGCATGCGGTTTCGATGTGGATTCGGATTCGGATTCGGATTCATGATTCTTCTTTCAATTGCAGAGCTGGAGGGAATGGGAAGAAGACTTGTGGCCAAGTGGATGAGGACTTCAGTGTTCCCATGGGCAGCTATTGGATTCATGGGATTCTCTGGCTGGGGTAATGTTGCGATTATCCATCCGTATATTACAATTTTGAAGTGATTCATTTTTTTTTTTTGTTTAAACCTCAGAAGCGGTAGGGCTAATAAGATACTACTTGAAGGCCAAGGTAACCCTTGAAGAATTCGAACTCCGGAAACAACGTCATAAAGAAGTGGTATGAAATGTATTTTCTTCTTCTTATTTTTTTTTATAGTTTGGGATGGAAAGATGAAGAGATTAAACTAGAATCTACTTGTGTGGTTTTCACGGTTTCAGGTAGCCAAGGCGGGGCGTGAAATAGATGAAATTTTAGCTAAAAGAAGAGGGAAGATGAATTGATTGCTTAATACTCTCGTAAGAAAACTTTTTGTTTAGTTTTTGTAAAATCGTTTCAATGTTTGTCAAACAGTTGTGAAAATGTTGCCGTTTATTGACAAAAAAAAAAAAACTGGTTAACACTTGCTATCAACCAGATTTAGTGGTTGCTTAATAATACTCTCTCGTCTTCATGTTTTTGCAAGTTTATTTTGTAGTCAATGGAGGCACACTACAAAAAACAAGGCTTTTCACGTCATTTGTTTTAGTGGTTAACGTCATTTTTAAAGTGACACAAATAACTTGGAGTGATTTGTTAAAATGACGTAACATTCAATAACGTTAACTATATTAGAGTCATTTAGAAAACACACATTAACTTGAGTTACTTAAAAAAAACACACTAACTTTAACGTTACTTAACTAACGTCACTTCTCTCACTTTATATTTAAAGTGACTCTAGATCATTAACTTAAGTAACGTTAAAACTGCTCTATAAATAAAAGCTGTTGAAACACACAATGAATTAAACAGGTTTTCTATAATAATAATCAACAATTGTCATAATTCATACAATATCTTTTTGTTTATGGTAAAAGTACAAATATGGCATAAGTATTCACCAATTCTTCTACTCATATATGATCATATGGTATAAGTATTCACTAAAACTTCTTCTCATATCTGACCATTTGAAGCCAAAGCACACAATTATTTGACCTGAAATAAGCAACCAAAGACAACAAAATTGACCTAAAATCAGAACATAACAAGATATATCCAGAAACATAACATAATCTAAATGTTTTGATTGTGAACAAAACCGTAAAGCATCCAAACAATCTAACAAACCTAACTCTCTAGTCCATAAAACTCTCTACCTAGTTCATCAGATAACCTAACTGTCCAGCTATTGTTCGTAAATCAGCTTCAGAGGTTTAATATCATAACAACAAAAGAAAAGAGGAACATACCAATTTTAAGAGGAGCACACAATCCAAATTCAAGTTCTAGTCTTTGAAACGCCACTTTCCTCAAAGTATTAAGTTTGAGTATTCAGCGGAAGATACATATACAAAGTTTGAGTATCAAGCAGAAGATACATATATAAAATTCAAGTACATTTTTTTACCTGATCACTGTTGATACTAGATGATTGATGAAGACTTGTTTTTCTTTTTGTTCTTTATCTCCTGCACTCACCTATAAAAAACAATCAGAAAGTTTACAAACAGCAGTCACAATAACATGCAAATGACGAAAGATTACAAGAAAGTTACCTGGAACTGCTCAACAAGTTTACAAACAGCATCAGTCACGATATCTAGTTTCTTTTCAAGATCTTTCAGTTGGGCCTTCACATGTATCATCTCAGCAGAAGAGGAAGTGTTTTCCAAATTAGTCATGACAAGGACATTTGATCATACTGGTCTTTATGTTTGCAAAGGCAAAATCCAAAAACTGATTGACTCCACTTATGTAATCTTGAGATAACCGATGTTTAGTTATCCAAGACTTATCCATTTCAGAATAAATCTATCAATAAAACAAACCAATTAAGAAGCTTGTAAGAAGCTTATTTGACATATTAATAAATATATCAAATAAACATCATAAGTGTTTTCACTAACAAAATCAGAAAAGAGTTTTCATACATTTTAAACTAATATGACTATCTATATAAATAGTTGACTATCATTCCATAGAGAAGGTTATATCAAATAAAATTCACGTACAATCAAGCAGAGAGATAGCAATCAAGCTTTAAACACAAATAAGCATACATCAAGACTATAATACCACAGAGCATAGTGAGAGCAATCACGTTCTAACATTAATAAGTTAACATCTAACTTAAGATTATAGAATTACCTTTGTAAAAGTTAAGCTGCTTTTGTCTACTTCTTTGATGATTTTGATCCTTGTTCTTGTCAAAACCTTCTATGTGTTTTCCCCTTTCTCCAATAAGTTACATGAAACAGAAAACACTTAAAAATATTAGAGGATGTTGCATAAAGTAATAAGACACCATACGAAGATGACTTAAACATATGAAATACAAGGAAGAAGAATGTTAAGCAAATGAATCAAACACGTTTTTGCTTTATCCATAACTAACATTTTATCATCAATCTGATTTCTACACACTCAAAACTTTTGGGGCTGATCAGCCTCAAAATTGTGAAACAACAAACACCAAATCAAACACTCAAAACTTTATACCTTCACGCTTTTCTGTGAAACCCTCAAATCTAAGCCACACATACTAATAACCATAGAGCAGAGAGACCATAGAGCAAAGAGACCATAGAGCAGAGAGAGAGAGAGCAATCACGAGTTGAGTATAGAGCTGAAGATTATAGAATTACCTGTAAATTACTAAGAGAGAGCAATCACTTTGCTAAGTCTTCTGCAAATTTGTCAAAACCCAATGAATTACATGAAACACAAAACATTGTAAAACGAACATTAGTTTGAAATTCTCAAATTCAATACTAAAACCCAATGAAATCACAGCTTGCTTCACTAACCTTATTCTTCCAAATTCTAATTCAAGCATAAACTGGTCACGAATAAGAATCACAGAAGATGGAGATGAATTATGAAGGTGGTGAAGAAGAATTTGAGGAGAAGGCGATGGATCGAGATGGATTTGGAGATCGATTGAAAATGACGAAGATGGAGATGAATTTTGAAGGTGGTGAAGAAGAATTTGAGGAGAAGGCGATGGATCGAGATGGATTTGGAGATCGATTGAAAATGACGAAGATGGAGATGAATTTTGAAGGTGGTGAAGAAGAATTTGAGGAGAAGGCGATGGATCGAGATGGATTTGGAGATCGATTAACATGAAGATGACGAAGAATTAACTGGAGAAGATGGAGATCGATTTCGACGAAGAACGAAGAACGAAGAACGAAGTTTCCAGATCTAATGTTGAATTTTATTTTTCACTTTCTTTTTGTTTATTAATAAAACAATAAAATAATTGCGGTGAAATAAGATAAAAAGAGTGTTACGTTATTTAAAATTGTGATGCTAAATAACGTCAATTAGTTTTAACTAACGTCACTTTTAAAACTAACGCTATTAAAGTGACTCTAAACGCCGTGTTTCTTGTAGTGGCAAAGCTCATATTTTGCAGTCACGTAAACAAGCAAACCGGTTTGGGCCACTGATTTTACAACAACGTTGGCAAGTAGGATCCATGCCTTAGAAAAAAAAATCAAACTAATGAAATATGTATTGGAGAAAACAAACACAGGCCACCTTTGACTCCTTCTCTCCTCGTTTTAAGTAAGAAGAGAAAAAAAGAGCGAACCCTAACTTCCCCCCAATCATGCCGCGGAATCTTCTTGGATCTGTGTTTGCCAAGGTAAAGTGGTTATGGTTGATCTTCTTCCCTCCTTTCTTTCATATGCTTTGCTCGATCGATTGATTGACCAAGTGGTTTTACAGAGTTACCGCCGATCCAGTGGATGTCGCAATTTCTCCTCAACTCCTGGTAACGTTCTCTCTGATCATGATCATGGAGGTTTCCAATTCGGAGGGAAAAGAAATCATCTATTTACTCTTGTTATTTTTTTCTTTCGACTGTAGAGTCGAATGGAGCAGGAGAGTCAGTTGCCGTACGTATCTTACGTCCAGTTGGAGGATTAGCTCTGGGATCCACCATAGGTATGGAGAGGGAGAGCCATATATTTTATCCCTTTTGAAATTTATTCATCTTCTGTTTTTTTTTTTTTTTTTTTTTTTTTTTTTTTTGGTATTATAAGCTTATCTTGCGTATGGCGGTACATCTTCTCGAAATGATGAGAGGCTGAAAGAGGTAAACAAAGAAATCAAGAATGACCTGTTGCCATTTTTTATAATTTTTTCTTTGCTACTATTATTTCATCTTTGTCTTTTCTTCTTTGTGTTTTCAGGCGATGAGGGATTACGAAGAAATGTGGTCTCGGTCCGAGAAGGAGTGGTCTGATTTGGTGTCGTCTGTTCAAAAGAGTTAATTATCTTCCAATTTGCCTTTACCTTTTGTAATCACAATTGTATTTCTATCAATAATTTCTGTAACGAGATTAGCTATTCTGCATAATTATTGACATCACTGTTTCTCATTCCAACATAAATTTGTATTTTCTCTCGTGCCATCACCATTTACCTTCATTATCAATTGTCTCGTGAATGCCTGATATACTTGTGAATACACAGGTTCGGATTTATCTTTTTTTCTTATGACTCTACCAAACAACATTAGAAAATCAATCCTTTTGTTCAGAATCAAGTCCCTGATGTGTAATTTTTAGATTCAATACAGATAAAAGGGCAAAGTAATCTCTATATAGCCACTGTAAATGATATAATATTCACAAACCAACTCAAGCCATAATATACAGAAACATCTCCTTTGTCATCTTCCCCGGTTTCAGTTCAGATACAGAGACACAGATCAATTGATCGATTATCAAGGTGTTTCATTGAATTCCATCACCTGCACGCAAGGACATTGCCAACCAACCAAAATGTTAGCTTTCAGAACAACACAAATTTTATGAGAAAGATTACTTCTTTTCCTTTCTACTTTCTTCTATGCATATGTGTTTCGCTTGCTCTATATCTATCTATAAATCATCTTTCTCATGCAGATGAAACCAGAAGCAGCCATGGAAGGAGCATGCAAAACAAAAAGTGATTACCTTTCCGCAGACAGGACAGTTTTCACTTCTCTCCATCCATTCATAAATGCAACCAAGATGGAAATGGTGACAACATTTCGTTACAATCTTTGGATTCTCTGATGTATACTCTGCCAAAAAAGAACCAAACAAGACGTCGAATGAACACTCAAAAGGAAGCCAAAAAAAGGAAATTCAGGAGCAGTGGGATGATTCTTATTATTATTACCTTCAAGACAAGTAGGACAGACATCTTCATCTTCAGACAAAACATAAATGCTTTCAGTGTCAGCCACTGACTTTGATTTCGAAATCCTGAGACTAGATTTACTAGAGTAGTCTTCTTTTGAATCTTTACCAGAGATTACGGATTTGTTGTTTCCCCATTTGCTGCATCCTCGGAAAGATTCGGAATCCGCATCGCTGAGAGGCTCAGCTTCCTCATGGGAATGGCTAGAACCTTTCTCTCTTCTTGAGATGAGTGAACGGATGTATCTTGGATCAGCATCGTAAGGCAGAGGTCTCGGAGTGGAACGGAATGCTTCAGACAGGAAGTTATCGTGGGAAGAAGACGAAGTTAACGACGCAGTCGCTTGAACTGATGACGGGAGAGATCGGGTTTCCCCTCTCCTGCACACCGACATATACTGCAACAAGTAGATGTTGTCACGATTGCAATAGATCACAAGAAACTTGTAAGGAAGCATGAGTGAGAGAAGAGCGTGTACAAGGTTAAGGAAGTTATGAGCAAGGCATCTAATGCAGGGACAGTTCCTATATACAGAGCTGCTTGGATTCATGTACTCATCAATGTCTTGGACACGGAAGCAAGAAGACACACATCCCATCTTTCGAGTGTGTTAAATTTGATGAATTCCTCAAAACCAAACCAAGATCCACCTATCTACACAATCTGCTTCATATCTCCAAGTCGCCTGCAATTATCAAATGTGGTTGATTGTTTAGTAACTGATTCACTGTCGGGGGAAAAACAAAAGTCCAGTTACTGTTTAGTAGGAACTGAGAGTTTCGATCTGAACACGCATGAGACTAACTTGTGGTTTCACTAAAGTGGAATGCAAGCACATAAACTGATAAAACCTGATTTAGGTAAATTTCCAAACAATCACAAAAGAAAAAGATTTATACTTTGCTAAAACCAAATTAAGATAAGAGACGCAGAAAAGTAGATTAATCCAAAGCACTGAGTAAATAGAGTGCATCAACGGCAAAATCAGCGAAATTTGATCGGAGTTCAAAAACAAAAAAGAGAGTTGAGATCCATTGATTGATTTATAACCCATTTCCTGTAATTTCTGAATGATCGCAAAATTAATAAAGAAAGAGTGAACCTTTGATCGAGAATTGAGCTGGAAGGAGAGAAGAGGCCAATTCCCAAAATGAATACTAAAACTTTTTCGATCGGGGCTCAGCGGAGAGAGATATGAAAACAGATAACCGACGAAAGAGAGAAGCTTACTTTTCAAAGTATTAATTAATTCTTCTTTCCGCAAATTCCCAGGAAATTCAAAAGTGAATTTTTCTTCACTTTATTTTTCGTAGTCGATGATGATGATAAGAAAGATTGCGGAAAAAGTGAGCAACACTGAAGATGATGGTGGTGAATGAATGATGATCGTTCTTGTCAAGTTGGGTGAGAGCTTTGTTGGGTGCCAATGGAGCTTCATTAAATAAATTGCATTAACTATTATTATTAAACTAATAATGATAATCAAAGGACATGAGAAACTATAGTTTATCTACGTTTAGTTTATGTATCAAGTTTGAAGTTTGAAGATGATCTTTGTCTTTACCTTTTTGGATCTAGACGTGGCAGAAATATTTGTTTTTGCAATTTTGTATACTCTTTCGGTTTCCAAATCTTTTCTTTATTATATACTTTGTTCGAATCCTAAAATCACATTAGGAACTATGAACGGTCAAAATCTCACGCATGCTTTTTTCTTTACCTTTAGAAGTTTGGACCCATTGAGTTTTTGCACTTATGACCAGATCTAATCACATTTTGTACTTCTACAACAAATATAAAGGGAAATCTAGTTTTATTTATGAGTTTTGATTTTTGCATACACTTTGAAAGCTAGGATTATTCAAACAAACGAACAAAATCTGTAGTTAAATGACAAAACGGAGGGAGTATCAATTTTCCCTTTTTTTTTATATCCATACAATCAACAAATCATCTTCAGTTAAACAATCATCTAATGTGACTGATCAAAAATCAAATAAATCAATTAGCGTCACAGTATGAATCAAACATTACACATACGAATGAAGTTGGATTCAAGACCAAGCTTCAACATTGTACCTCCCTGCCTTCTCCAAAGCCTTGAGCCACCGTGAAGCATCCTCCTTTGATCCTCCAGTCTCCTCCGACACAATTTCCTCCAAAGCCGACATTACATCAGAAGGCATTTTCGTCGACGAGCCAGCCACGTAAACGGCGGCTCCATCACAGAGCAAATCCCACACTGTCTTGCTCATCTCGCGGATCTTGTGTTGTACGTAAACCTTCTTCGGTTGGTCTCTAGAGAACGCTGTGTAAAAGCCACCACCTTTCTCTTCAGAGAGCATTCCTCCTTCTCTTGCGTGAGACTCCCAAAACTCGCGGTATAGAAAGTCTGTGCCTTCGTTTCTGCAACCGAAGAAGAACATGACTGGTGCGACCGGACTAAACTGAGCTTGAACGGCCCTCTCGGCTATGAACCCACGGAACGGGGCGCATCCGGTTCCGGGTCCCACTAAAATGAGCGGAAGCGACTCTGGTGGAGCAGGAAGAGAGCCTTTGTGAAACCAAACCGGTATGCTTATCTCTAACCACAACGGAAAAAGAAAACGCATCACAAATAAAGAAACGAGTCACAGTTATGGTAAAGAAGAAGAAAAAAGAGGTCTAACCTTGTTCAGGCGTGAGGCTTGCAAGCCAAGAGGAGCATAGACCTTTTCGAGTTCTCTTATAAGGCGTGATCCATGATACTATGCTTATGGTCAAATGTACTTGACCAGGGTGGGCCAAAGGAGACGAAGATATCGAAAATGCTCTTGGCTTTAGCGGTGGGACTAACTGTACCAGCCACTCAAAAGGGACTTGTACGGAAGGGAAATCCTCTAGCACCTACATATGCATTACCAATTAATCTATCTGGTTAAACGATTGATGCGTGTTCAACAAAAATAATGTTCCATGAGGGCTTTCGGTGCTAATTTACCTCAAGAACGCTTCTTCTTTCCTTCTGATTGTAATTGTAGAGATCATCTCTCCCCTCTGTTGAGGCAAAGTATTGAAGCCTCTCCTTCTCATGTTCAGCTGTTGCGTAGAAGCTCATAACCTGAAGAGAGATGATACATTACAAAAGTAAACTAAAAACTACATCAACGTTAAGGAGCTTCAAAAATATGAAATACTTTGCATAAGGATTGAAGGGTTTTTACCTCGAAGAAGTATCGTCGAGGTGAGGCGGATGTAACATCCATTGTTAATTCAACAAAACTCTTAAGCCTAATAGGGGCCTGTGTAAGTACTTCTCCACTATTCTCTGTCTCTCTCGGAACAACCTGAAAGTACATCAATTCTCGGCATACTTTGAAATCCCGATCTAAGATCACTATGTCATAAGAGTGGAGCTACTTACAGTGATGAATGATTCTGGGTCCAAACCACAGCGTTCTATAAACGCATCTACTGCTGATAGATTTTGACTTGGAAGAAGCTCAACAACATCGCCGACTTCATATTCGATAGTCTTAAAAAGAGGAGATAACCAAAGAGGATTAAGACTTCACCTTCAAGATTTGATTAAACATTGAGTGATAGCAAATTACTTACAGAAGAAACAAATTGGAACTCAAAGTGGCGGACATCCTTGGTGCTTCCAGCTTTAGTCAAGACTTCATTTCTGGTCTACATGATTTGAATGTTAAGGCAAGCTAGGGGAATGGAATTCATATCAACTAGGCGGCTTAGCACAATAATGCATACCAAAAACCAGATATTTTAAGAAAACATCAACTCCACCAGATTCATAAACAGTGAGGCTATAGCATATCAGATAAAACGAAATATCTATGTTGGGCAACAACATGTGCATACCATCTTGAGAAAGCAGTCTGGTTTACTTTTGTCCTTGGATAATTTTCCGGGAGACATTCCACGGGCTCTTTGTATGATCTCTGCCACAACCAAATAGGCATATTATGCAAGAGTGAGACTACTTCCAGTAGATTCATTCAAATTCAATTTTCTATGAACATTTCTAGCAATTCCTATTAGCAAGTAGACAGTACACTGTTTAGTAGCATCACATAGTCCTAAGTTAACATGAACGACGCAAAGTATCTACTCAACATTTGCCATAAATTCCCTCCTCAAAAACATGATGGGCGTGTAGCTTTGGTATACCTGACTCCGCTAACAGTTTAGGCTCCAGTGGCTCCCGCTTATGATATAAAATCCTATATTTAGGCTGATCAATTACTTCATCTTGAGGAATCACCACATCTGGACCTTTAGGAAAGTATTTTGGATTGATCTGATATAATTTACTCCACAAAGACAGCATCCACGGATCAAGAGTTCCTTCATACCTGAAAATAAAATAAAAAACACCAAAAGTGAAAATTTAGCATTCCAGCACCGGACCTAGCAACAATAAGAAAATGGAGTGATATCTTCAACTGATGCCAAAGCATGTTATGTACTTATGTAAAAGCAGGATCAACTGTGACAGAATCTTATTAGTCTTAATATACCGTATCATACCCTGATGGGTGTTGATCATCTCCTAGACCTTTTTCCACCATGGTTGTAGCCCCAAGATCTGATAATCTTTTGTCTAGCTTCTTTGCTACAAACTAAAGCCACCAGAAAAAAGAAACAAAAAAGAAAGTCACCAATTTGTGCCGCAGAAGAATAATTCAGACAGCTCTCAAGATTTCTGGCAGTGGAGAGTTTTTTTCCAAAGAGTAATAAATCGGAAGAACAGCCCAACATGAGGAACAAAATGTATGTTGACATCATTGTGAAACGGGATCAAAAGTGGTACATGCACTTACGTTGTACTTCTGGTAACCAGAATCACCTAGTCCAAAAACGGCATAGCGAACATGTTGCAACCAATACTTTCCCAAGTTTCTTTGAAGAAGAAACCTCCAAAATGCCTTCAATGATTAAACAGACAATGGAAATAAGCTTCAATAAGTAAAACTGCGCTATTGTATCGGAATGAAACGAACCTTAAAAGAATCTGGAGAGTCTCCTTGTCCTGTAGTGGAGACGACAAAAACAACAGCCTCCTCGTGAGGTAAGGAACTCTGCAGGATGTAAAGGAAAACACTTTTATGTCACTACAAGAGAATTTTGTGAAATCTCAAAAAATTCAATCAATATAACCACTCAAATCAAACAGCTAATGATCATTAGTATGAAGAAAACAGAGGAATTGTAACGGTTTCCTTCACATATCAAGCATCAAACAAGTGAACGAAGCATGCAATCTTCAAAACATATTAACAAACGTTTCAAATCCAGTTGATTTACTATATACCACATACCGCATCGAACTCGTCGGCGGAGACGATAGAAGCTGCACATCCCCGGCGTTCAGCTTCGCGGCCAATACGCTCCGCGGAATCAAGGGCGTTTCCGGTCTGAGAAGCATACAACACAAGCAGCTTCCTCGGCTTTTCTCCCATCGCCGCCACTTCACCAGGAGCTGTTTTCAATCACCGGGATATGCGGATTTGAGAAAAACCGGTACTCGGTTCGACGAATGACGATTTTCTAATATGGAATATTTGAACCGAAAGTGAGGCCCAATCTCGAGTTAAACCGAAAAAATGAGATGTAAAATCCGGTTCTCTCACAATCGCGACCAACAAGCGAAAGGAGACCGAGATAAAAGAATTATGTAATTTTCTCAATATTTTCCTGATTTGGGAAGTAAAGAATAGAAATGAAAACGACGAAGAAGGAACATCGTCTTCTCCACAGAGTCCTCTTACACCGCCTTTGATTCTTTACTTATAAACCCTTTCCTTTCCTCTGTGTATCTCTAGAAACCTTTTGCCTCATTGTCTCACGAACTCTTCCTTCCTTCGCCTCGCCAGAAATGGCAGATGACTTGGCGAATCTCTGCCGATTTCTCTTCGACGAGACCGGCCTCTCCTCGTTGTCGTCTTCGGCATCTTCAGATCTCTTTTCTCAACGTATACGCTCCGATGATTCGATCAAGCGTGGTCTCCGCTATTTCTATCTCCTCCTCCGCTGGGGAATCGCTCCGATCACTGACTCCTCCGGCAAGCTACGGTTTCAGACCTGGTCCGATTCGCAGGTTCAAGCCCTTGTTTCCATATCCCAGGCGATCCTTCTACTATCGCGATCTCTATTAGGTACTGACTTGACGCTTAATAGTTAAATCGAGGTTTAGGTCGGTATTGATTACCTTCCGATTGCTTGATTATACTTCATCTTCTACTTTCTGAGCTTTGGTGTCTACTTTTTTGGCTGTGCTAAGTTTACTACTACTCTAGAAATGTTGATTATCATTGCTAATCAGATTAAGCAGTAAACAGTGATGGCCTTCGATTCATTTTCCTTACTGGTTTACTGTTTTTTGGTGTATCTCAGTGGACCATGTCGAACCAATAGTTTTGGGAGTCATCCAGGAGGTGATGGAATTCTCTCTCAGCTTCTTGGAGAAGTCAAAATTTAAACAAAATGATCTGAAAATGGAGGTTTGTTCTTCATTTTGATAAATGTGCTTCCTGTTACCTACATTCTTTACTTCAATTTTTGATAGAGATTCGGTAGAGAAGTCTTCTTCATGATTTAAAAGTCTATCTGTTGGTCATATTTAGTACACTGGGTAGAACTTCTAGAGAATTTATTTTGCTGCGTTTGAACTCGTTATATAAGTCTTTATCTGGTTTGACACCGGAGATTAGGTCTCAATGTTGCACTGTAAAAAATCGTCACCAATTATCACCAGCATGTCTTCGTTTATCTTTCCATGAGGGGTATAGTGGGGTTAGTCTACTTCCATTTGCAATTCTTCTTCCACTGCCCAAAAATTTGTTGGCTAAGGAATTGTACTTTGTTTCTATCAAGCTTCACTCCATTGGTAAGTAATCTCTCCAAATGATTTTGTGAATCAGGTATACATGGAACAACTTTTGGAGATTGCTTGTTCTGATGGAAGTGAAAAGCAATATGATATACTGGCAGCTGTCTCTCCCGCTGAAGCTGCACAAATGTGGCCAACATTTTCTGCCGAGCATGATAATATGGAACTCTATAGTCTTGTGAAATGTACTTTTCAAGGTATAGTCGCCACCAATCCACTCAGCAATATATTGGTTTGCATCAAATTTATCTGATGATCTTTATATCCTTTGACATATCAAGCAGGGGGCAGGTGCTCAAATGAAGAGAAGCCAGTTGACCGGCTTCTTATTACGCTGATGTCTGAATGCATCGAACCTGATGTCCAGACTCAGTCAGTAGTCAAGCCCTCTTTTCAGCAGGACTCTGGAAACTTGAATCCCTTGACTCGACACCTGGCAGTTGTTCACCTTGGCTGTGTTTGTCGTCTGATTATGGTCTGCAAAGAGCTTGTTCAACTGCCAAATGTGTTAGATGAGAAGATGGTTGATCAAGCTTTCCTTGATAAACTGTCCTTCTGCTTAAGAATTCTGAAGCTGCTTGGTAGTCTTTCCAAAGATGTTCAGAGTATAGAAAACGATGGGTCATTGTTACAAGCAGTAGCTTCATTTGCAGATGCTTTTCGTAAGCTGTTTGGGGTTTTCTTTGAATTCACTAACCACACTGCTACAGAGGGTAATATTGAGAGTCTTTCTCTAGCGGTGGCGGAAGGATTTCTTAGTCTTGTCCAACTCATTTTTGGCAAGAGCAGTGTTTTTCAGAATGTCCAGGCATGTGTATCAGCTTCTATTGTGAACAATCTAGATGCCTCAGTGTGGAGATATGATGGTTCCTCTTGTAATTTGATACCTCCCCTTGCTTACTTCCCTCGGTCTGTCATCTACACATTGAGACTCATTCAAGATCTCAAGCGGCAACCATACCATATCCAAGATCTGAGGGCTTTAGAGTCAGAAGATGACACTGAAAAATCCTCTGTTGATTCTGTTTATTTCCATCTGGGCCAGGAAAAGATCCCGTTGCTCAAGTGCTTCACGGTCGAGGATATAATGAGAGTGATATTTCCTTCATCAAGTCAGTGGGTGGACAACTTCTTTCATCTTGTTTGTTTCCTTCATCGTGAAGGCGTAAAATTACGACCAAAAGTGGAGAGAACATATTCCAGTTTAAGATCAAACAGTTTTGCGGAAGTTGAAAGCCAAATTTCTCATGACGATGAAGCCCTGTTTGGGAACTTGTTTTCTGAGGGTAGCCGTTCACTGTGTTCCATGGAACCAAACGATCAACCACCCGCTGCTGTCAGCAGCAATTTACCATTGCAAGCTGCAAAGGAATTGTTGAACTTTCTTAGAACGTGCATTTTTTGTCAAGAATGGGTTCCTAGCATATACGAAGATGGATGTAAAAAGCTTGACACTTCACACATTGATATCCTGCTCAATGTTGTAGGATGTAGTATTGAAGACAAGGCTTCGGATAGTGGTTGCATGCTTCAAGATGAAGGAAAACCTGAAAATGTTGCCTTTGAACTGTTACTCTATCTCTTGAGGAGTCGTGCCTTGTCTGATTCTCTTGAGTCCCACCTTTTTCAGAAAATTCTTGCTGTTGAAAATGGTGACTTCAACTATAATGATAAGACTCTGGCGCTGTTGGCTCACACTCTTCTCTGTAGGGCAGGCTTGGCTGGGGCACAGTTGAGAGCCAAAATTTATGATGGCTTCGTTAGTTTTATTTTCGAGAGAGCGAAAGGATTATGTGCTGAAGGTTTGAGTCTCAAGGAGTTGACTGCGTGTCTTCCCTCTGCTTTCCATATTGAGATTCTTCTTATGGCTTTCCATTTATCAAATGAATCAGAAAAGGCTAAATTCTCAAGTCTAATTGCCTCCTGTCTGCATAAAGTTGATACCCCATCCGGAATATGTGAAGGTCCTCAGCTCTCCTCCTGGGCAATGCTGATTTCTAGGTTGTTAGTGCTATTGCACCATATGTTGTTGCATCCAAACACATGCCCAACATCACTAATGTTAGATCTAAGGTCTAAACTGAGGGAAGTTCGTAGCTGTGGAAGTAATTTGCTTGTAACCATTGGTGATCATTTATCTTCCTGGGCTTCTCTTGTAGCAAGGGGCATAACTGATTCATGGGCTGAAGAGGAGTCTGTCAACCATCTGATGAGTCAAATGATTGACTTTTCCCCACATCCTCCTACATTTCAGATTGACGTGTCTGCTGCCAAAGCCTTAAACTTGGATTATGGAGATTTATCTGCAAGTTTGTCCCGGGTTTTGGGGTTGTGGAAGGGGAAAAAGGCAGGAAAAATGGAAGACCTGATAGTGGAAAGATACATCTTCATACTTTCGTTGGATATTGCTCGTATTAACTTTTCATTGGATAGTCAGCCTTCGTTGCATGTTAATTACCAGAATGTGGACATATCCAGCACTGTGGATCTCGTCTGTACCAGTCATTTGCTTATAGGCGACTCCAATGTTGTTGCTAAGAATATCGAGTTGAGTAAGATTTTGATCAGTGTTTTAAATCAGCTCCATTCAGCACCTGAGCATGTAATTGAGGATTTGGGTTGGGATTTTATCCGCGAAGGATCTTGGCTCTCTCTTCTGTTGTATTTTCTGAATGGTGGCGTCTGGGGTTATTGCAAGAAAAAAGCATGTTCAGAAATTGATCCCTTCTGGAGGGAGTGCACATCTGTTGACGCTAAGTATATTGCTGCTGCAGAAGGCGTACTCTCTTGCTTGATGGAGACCGGTGACATTGCAGAATTGCTGAGAATGCTTTCATCATTGGTTAGCAAATATTTACGGGTGTATAAGAAAGCTTTCCTTGCAACTTTCAGTACTTGGAATCATCATGGTCATAGTTCGGCATCTCTGCTACTTCTCAAGCATACTCAATTTGGTAAAAGTCTCCAAGCTGAATATGCAAAGATTGGTGACAATCCACTCTATCTTCAATGCATTTTTTATCTCTCAAAAGTGGATGCTCTGGGTGATGGAAGAGGTTCGGGTGTTTTATGGAAAGTGTTTTGGGAATTTATGGTACATGGGTTTCCCACTAGTCTTCAAACTTCTAGTGCAATTCTTCTTTCATGTATTCTAAGCATAAGATGCATTGTGCTGACGATAGATGGTTTACTCAAGCTGGGCAACTCCAAGGAAAATTTTGGGGCAGATTCTCGTGTGCTTCATCAGATACTGAACTCGATCATGATTATTAAGTTTGATCAGGTATTTGAAAGCTTTCATGGGAAATGTGAGGAGATCCATCAAAATATATGTGCCGTGCTGGAGCTTCCTGATTTGACGGAGTTGTTCCTGATGAAAGACATGGAGGGGTTTGTAAGAGATATTAGTGCTGAGCAGATAGACAGAAGCATTGTACTTGAAGGGGTGATCACGAAGATTGTAGATGTGATGGACAGCCTAATCAAGGATTCTTCAAAATCTAGTATTTTCAAATTCTATCTTGGTGTAGATGCAGTCTCTGAGCATAGCAGCGAATTAATTCAGTTGCAACGTGGAGATCTGTCTGTTTTTATTGACTCATTGGATTACTGTTCCTTGGAGCCAGTAAATGTAAAAGTACTCAACTTCCTTGTTGACCTCTTGTCTGTGGCTCTATCCCCCGATCTCAAAAGAAGAGTACAGCAAAAGTTTATTGACATGGATTTGATAACTTTGTGTGGGTGGCTGGAGAGAAGACTGTTGGGTTCTTTCATCGATGAAATGGATGGGAAAAAGTCTGCAAAAGGAAATTCTCTTTCTTTCAGAGAGGCAGCAATGAATTTTGTCAACTGTCTAGTCTCATCTACTAACGACCTACAGACCAGAGAGTTACAGAGTCATTTATTTGAGGCAATGCTGATTTCCCTCGATACCGCATTTCTCTCATTTGATATCCACACGGCTATGTCATACTTTCATTTTGTACTTCAACTTGCAAGGGAAGAGAACCTGATGAAGATGGTTTTAAAGAGAACCATAATGCTGATGGAGAAGCTTGCTGCCGATGAGAAGTTGCTTCCTGGTTTAAAGTTCCTTTTTGGTGTGATAGGCACCTTGTTGAGCAACCGCTCTCCAAGTCACGGAGAGAGTCCGCGTGGAAAGTCCTTGGTGAGCAATAAGAACACTGCAACAGGTCCTTTGGTCCCAAAACTTCCAGGAACAGCAAAAAAATCTGAAACGTTGGCTATCCCTATAGATCAGGAAGGAAGCTCAATATCACTTGAATGCGATGTTACTTCTGTTGATGAAGATGAAGATGATGGAACATCTGATGGTGAAATGGCCAGCTTAGACAAGGAAGATGAAGAAGATGCCAACAGTGAGAGGTATCTTGCCTCAAAAGTCTGCACTTTTACTTCCAGTGGCAGTAATTTCATGGAACAACACTGGTATTTTTGTTACACCTGTGACCTTACTGTGTCCAAAGGTTGCTGTTCTGTTTGCGCAAAAGTCTGCCACCGGGGTCACCGTGTTGTTTATTCACGATCTAGTCGATTTTTCTGCGACTGTGGAGCGGGAGGTGTTAGGGGAAGTAGCTGCCAGTGCTTGAAGCCGCGCAAATTCACTGGCACTGGAAATGCTCCAGCTCGTGGTACAAATAATTTCCAATCCTTTTTACCCTTGTCTGAGGATGTGGATCAGCTTGCAGAAAGTGATTCAGATGTGGAAGAAGATGGTTTTGGGGAGGACAATCACGTGGTCTTATCTATCCCTAAGGAAATTCAGTTTAAGATGTCACTGCTACTAGAAGAGCTCTGCATAGAGGACCGAGTGATGGAGCTTTTCTCGTCTTTGCTTCCGTCTATCACTAGCAAAAGAGACTCTGGGCTTTCGAAAGATAAGCAGATTCATCTTGGGAAAGACAAGATTCTTTCATTTGACACAGATCTTTTGCAGCTGAAAAAAGCATATAAAAGTGGGTCCCTTGACTTGAAAATAAAGTCTGACTATGCTAATTCAAAGGACCTTAAATCTCTTTTAGCCAATGGTTCCCTTGTCAAGTCTCTCCTGAGTGTTAGTGTTCGGGGTCGCCTAGCAGTTGGAGAAGGTGATAAAGTTGCGATATTTGATGTTGGACAGCTGATAGGACAAGCCACAATTGCACCCATAAATGCAGACAAGGCCAATGTTAAACCGCTTTCCAGGAATATTGTTCGTTTTGAGATTGTGCATCTTTCTTTCAACTCAGTTGTGGAGAATTATCTTGCTGTCGCAGGCCTTGAAGATTGTCAGGTACTTACTTTGAACCATCGAGGTGAAGTCATTGACAGGCTTGCTGTTGAGCTTGCCCTGCAGGGTGCATACATCAGGCGTATAGACTGGGTTCCTGGTTCACAGGTTCAGTTAATGGTCGTCACAAACAAATTTGTAAAGATTTATGATCTATCCCAGGATAGCATCAGTCCAACACAATACTTCACCTTGCCAAATGACATGATTGTGGATTCTGCCCTCTTTGTTGCTGCTCGTGGGAGGGTTTTCCTTCTTGTTCTTTCAGAACAAGGGATTTTGTATCGGTTTGAACTAGCTCGGGGCGGAAATGCAGGGGCAACACCACTTAAGGAAATCGTTCAGATTATGGGAAAGGATGTTACCGGAAAGGGTTCATCTGTCTATTTCTCTCCTACATATCGACTGCTTTTCATATCCTATCATGATGGAAGTTCTTTTGTGGGTCGACTCAGCTCAGATGCAACATCCTTAACTGAGACATCTGGCTTGTTTGAGAAGGAATCAGATTGTAAACAAAGGGTCGCTGGACTGCATCGTTGGAAAGAGTTGTTGGGTGGCAGTGGGTTATTTATTTGCTTCTCGAGCATGAAGTTAAACGCTGCCTTAGCTGTGTCCCTGAGGGGGGATGTGGTATGTGCACAGAATCTCCGTCATCCAACAGGATCATCTTCCCCTATGGTCGGAATAACCGCATACAAACCTTTGTCAAAAGACAATGTTCACTGTCTTGTTCTGCATGATGATGGCAGCCTTCAGATTTATTCTCATGTTCGCAGTGGAGTTGATGCTGACTCAAATTTCACAGCTGAAAAGGTTAAAAAGTTGGGTTCAAAGATACTTAACAACAAAGCTTATGATGGTGCAATGCCGGAGTTTCCCCTGGATTTCTTTGAGAAGGCATTTTGCATTACAGCAGATGTGAGGCTCGGTAGTGATGCTATTAGAAATGGTGATTCCGAGGGTGCGAAACAGAGCTTGGCATCTGAGGATGGCTTTATTGAGAGCCCCAGTCCCATGGGCTTCAAGGTATAGCTGGATTTCCCTAGTGTTTTTCTTGAAAATTTTATACAGTGTTCAACTAATTCTCGTAAAGAGTATCTTAATAGTGTGATTAAATGATTTTATAAGTCGCTTTTGTCCATGATTTGGGATTCCTTAAAACATATGAGTTGGCTAATCTTCTTCTCTTTTTTTCAGATATCAGTCTCCAATCCAAACCCTGACATTGTTATGGTTGGCATCCGGATGCATGTGGGCACTTCATCATCAAGCTCCATCCCTTCAGAAGTGACCATTTTTCAGAGATCGATTAAGATGGATGAGGGAATGAGATGCTGGTATGACATCCCATTTACAGTGGCCGAGTCACTTCTAGCTGATGAAGATGTTGTAATCTCTGTGGGGCCAACCACTAGTGGGACTGCATTGCCAAGAATAGACTCGCTTGAAGTATATGGTCGAGCTAAAGATGAATTTGGCTGGAAAGAGAAAATGGATGCGGTGCTAGATATGGAAGCTCGTGTGCTTGGTCATGGTTTGCTTCTTCCAGGCTCTAGTAGAAAGAGAGCGTTGACACAGTCTGCTTCTATTGAGGAGCAAGTTATAGCTGATGGTCTTAAGCTCCTATCGATCTTTTATTCAGTTTGTAGGCCACAGCAAGAAGTGGAACTTAGCGAACTCAAATGCAAACAGCTGCTGGAGACAATTTTCGAAAGTGATAGGGAAACACTTTTACAAACTGCAGCTTGCCGTGTTTTGCAGTCTATCTTTCCAAGGAAGGAGATATACTACCAGGTATTGCTCCTCCCAAATTGAGTTTTACATGTTCAGCTGCTATTTTTGAGCGCATATGTGCCTTGAATCTGTCTGTGGTCTTTGATAATGATTTATCTGTTTCTGTAGATCAAAGACACCATGCGACTTCTTGGAGTAGTCAAGGTCAGCTCGATTCTTTCTTCAAGGTTGGGCATTTCTACTACTGGAGGTTCGGTTGTTGAAGAGTTTAATGCTCAGATGCGGGCGGTATCTAAAATAGCTTTGACCCGTAAATCAAATTTCTCCGTCTTTCTGGAGATGAATGGTAAATGCATATTCTCTTATTATTTACAGTCTATCCATTTGGTATCTGCACATTCTGTTATTATTTACAGACTATCTATTTGGTATATGCACATTCTGTTATTATTTACACTCTATCTCTATGTATGTATAGTTCAAACACAATTTGTTTTTTCTTTTATCCTTGTATTAGGTAATATGAACGCTGTTTGTCTTACAACTATTGTCTTCCTTTGGTATGGCTTTGTTTATATTAGAAATGGTTGTTTTGTAGGTTCTGAAGTAGTGGATAATCTGATGCAAGTGCTATGGGGAATTTTAGAGTCGGAGCCACTTGATACACCAACTATGAACAATGTCGTGATGTCCTCCGTTGAACTAATCTACAGCTATGCGGAGTGCTTGGCCTCTCAAGGAAAGGATTCAGGGGTTCACACTGTAGCTCCTGCTGTTCAGTTGCTGAAAGCACTTATATTATTTCCGAACGAGTCTGTGCAAACTTCCAGCAGGTGTGTTCTTCTGTATGTTTTTTATAATCTGTACTCTTCGATATGCACCAGTCTGCTAACTAAGTTTCTTTACAGCCTAGCCATATCATCAAGATTACTTCAGGTTCCTTTCCCAAAGCAAACAATGTTGACAACAGATGATTTGGTGGACAATGTTACGACTCCATCGGTGCCTATCAGAGCAGCTGGTGGAAATACGCATGTCATGATTGAGGAGGACTCTATAACGTCATCTGTTCAATACTGCTGTGATGGCTGCTCCACCGTCCCTATACTGAGAAGAAGGTGGCATTGCACAGTTTGTCCAGATTTTGATTTATGTGAGGCATGCTATGAAGTGTTAGATGCAGATCGTCTACCACCACCACACACTCGAGATCATCCCATGACAGCAATTCCAATAGAAGTGGAAACACTTGGTGCAGACACCAATGAGATTCAGTACTCTGCGGATGAAGTGTTGCCGGTGATAACCAATAGCGTCACACAAGCGTCAACTCCCTCGATCCATGTCTTGGAACCTGGTGAATCGGCTGACTTTTCTGCCTCAGTGACCGATCCTGTCTCTATCTCAGCTTCTAAGCGTGCCGTAAATTCTTTGATACTCGCCGAGTTTCTCCAAGAATTGAGTGGATGGATGGAGACAGCATCAGGTGTTCAAGCTATACCTGTCATGCAATTATTCTACAGATTATCATCCGCCATTGGTGGAGCCTTCATGGATAGCTCAAAGCCCGAAGAAATAAGCTTGGAAAAGTTAGTTAAATGGCTTTTGGGTGAAATTAATCTTAGCAAGCCGTTTGCTGCTTCAACTCGCTCTTCCTTTGGTGAAATAGTGATTCTTGTGTTTATGTTTTTCACCTTGATGCTTCGGAGTTGGCACCAGCCTGGGGGAGATGGTAGTACTTCCAGATCAGGAGGTAGTACAGACGTACATGATCGGAGGAGTGTCCAGAACTCCACGGTAGTTACTTCCCAGTCTTCTTTAGATGTTCAAGAGAGAGATGACTTTGCGTCTCAGCTAGTTCGAGCGTGCAGTTGCCTCAGGAACCAAGAGTTTGTTAATTATCTAATGAACATACTTCAGCAGCTTGTGCATGTGTTTAAGTCCCGTGCTGCCAATGTTGAAGCACGTGGATCAGGCTCTGGTTCGGGTTGTGGAGCCATGCTCACAGTCAGAAGAGATTTACCTGCGGGTAACTATTCCCCCTTCTTCTCGGATTCATATGCGAAAGCCCATCGTGCAGATATATTTGTGGACTATCACAGGCTGCTACTTGAGAATGTGTTCCGCTTAGTTTATACCTTGGTTAGACCTGAAAAACAAGAGAAAATGGGGGAAAAAGAAAAGATATACAGGAATGCTTCTTCTAAAGATTTGAAGCTGGACGATTTCCAGGATGTTCTGTGCAGCTATATTAATAACCCTCATACGGCTTTTGTTAGGAGATATGCTAGAAGGCTGTTTTTGCATCTTTGCGGAAGCAAAACTCAGTACTACAGTGTCCGAGATTCATGGCAGTTTTCCAATGAAGTGAAAAGCCTTTACAAGCATGTTGAAAAGTCTGGTGGTTTTGAAAATAATGTTTCATATGAAAGGAGTGTAAAAATTGTGAAGTCGCTTTCTACAATTGCTGAAGTTGCTTTGGCGCGGCCTCGGAACTGGCAGAAGTACTGTCTCAGGCATGGAGATTTTCTGTCTTTCCTACTAAATGGCGTATTCCATTTTGCTGAAGAGTCTGTTATCCAGACACTTAAACTCCTCAATTTGGCCTTTTATCAAGGAAAAGATGTGAGCAGCTCAGTGCAGAAAGCTGAAGCAAGTGATGTAGTGACAGGCTCAAACCGATCAGGATCTCAGTCTGTAGATTCAAAAAAGAAGAAAAAAGGTGAAGATGGGCATGATCCCGGTTTGGACAAATCATACGTGGATATGGAAGCGGTTGTAGAAATCTTCAGTGCCAAGGGCGGTGATCTCTTGAGGCAGTTTATTGATTTCTTTCTGCTGGAATGGAATTCCAGCTTTGTGCGTACCGAAGCAAAGTCTGTTATTTATGGCTTGTGGCATCATGGAAGGCACTCATTCAAAGAAAGTCTGTTAGCAGCTCTTCTACAGAAGGTTAGATATCTGCCAGCATATGGTCAGAATATTGTTGAGTACACAGAACTTGTCTCCTTGTTGCTCGGCAAGGCTCCAGAAAACAACTCAAAGCAAGCAATTAACGAACTTGTGGATCGTTGCCTGAACCCCGATGTGATAAGGTGTATTTTTGAGACGCTGCATTCTCAGAACGAACTCATTGCCAATCATCCAAATTCCCGTATATACAGCACTCTGAGTAATCTTGTGGAATTTGATGGTTATTATCTTGAGAGCGAGCCTTGTGTTGCATGCAGTTCTCCTGATGTGCCATATAGCAAGATGAAGCTTGAAAGTTTGAAATCCGAGACAAAGTTTACCGATAACCGCATCATTGTGAAATGTACTGGGAGTTACACGATACAGTCTGTGACCATGAATGTTCATGATGCACGAAAGTCAAAGTCGGTGAAGGTCCTAAACTTGTATTACAACAACCGCCCTGTCTCGGATTTATCAGAGCTTAAAAACAACTGGTCACTGTGGAAGCGAGCCAAGAGTTGTCATCTATCTTTCAACCAAACTGAACTGAAGGTGGAATTTCCTATTCCTATTACTGCTTGCAACTTCATGATCGAGTTGGATTCCTTCTATGAGAATCTTCAGGCGTTATCTCTTGAACCATTGCAATGCCCTCGATGCAGTCGACCTGTTACTGATAAACATGGTATTTGCAGCAACTGCCATGAGAATGCTTATCAGTGCAGGCAATGCCGCAACATTAACTATGAAAATTTGGATTCTTTCCTTTGCAACGAGTGTGGCTATAGCAAGTATGGGAGGTTTGAGTTTAACTTTATGGCAAAACAAAGCTTCATATTTGATAATATGGAAAATGATGAAGATATGAAGAAGGGATTGGCTGCTATAGAGTCTGAGTCTGAAAATGCTCACAGGAGATATCAGCAACTCTTAGGCTTTAAGAAGCCGCTTTTGAAGATAGTATCAAGCATTGGTGAATCTGAAATGGATTCACAGCACAAGGACACTGTCCAGCAAATGATGGCGTCTTTACCTGGTCCCTCGTGCAAGATAAACCGCAAAATCGCACTGTTGGGTGTACTGTATGGTGAGAAATGCAAAGCTGCTTTTGATTCTGTCAGTAAAAGTGTTCAAACACTGCAGGGCCTTCGCCGAGTTTTGATGAGTTACCTCCATCAGAAAAATTCAAATTTTTCATCAGGTGCCTCAAGATGTGTGGTCTCGAAGACCCCAAACAATTGTTATGGTTGTGCCACTACGTTTGTCACTCAATGTCTTGAGATTCTTCAGATGTTGTCAAAGCATCCAAGATCTAGGAAACAACTTGTTGCAGCTGGTATCTTGTCCGAGCTGTTTGAAAACAATATTCACCAAGGTCCTAAAACAGCCCGTGCTCAAGCTAGGGCCGCTCTTTCTACTTTCTCGGAGGGTGACCTGAATGCAGTGAATGAGTTAAATAATCTGGTACAGAAGAAAATTACGTATTGCCTTGAACACCATCGTTCCATGGACATTGCACTCGCCACTCGTGAAGAGATGCTGTTGCTTTCAGAAGTATGCTCTCTCACTGATGAATTTTGGGAGTCAAGGCTGCGCCTTGTTTTTCAGCTACTATTTTCTTCCATTAAATTGGGGGCTAAACATCCAGCGATATCAGAGCATATAATTCTTCCTTGCCTTAAGATTATTTCTGTGGCATGTACACCTCCAAAACCAGATACAGCAGAGAAAGGGCTAACGATGGGAAAATCTGCTCCTGCAGTGCAAGAAAAGGATGAGAATGCTGCCGGCATCTTAAAGTATTCGTCAGAAACCGAAGAGAATAACTCGGACATATCTCAGAAGACGCGAGATATTCAGCTTGTGAGTTATTTGGAATGGGAGAAAGGGGCATCATATCTCGACTTTGTGAGGCGGCAATACAAAGCTTCTCTGTCAATTAGAGGTTCTAGCCAAAAGTCCAGAACCCACAGATCAGATTTCTTGGCACTTAAATATACACTTAGGTGGAAGCGACGCTCTAGCAGGGCATCTAAAGGTGGTTTACAGGCATTTGAGCTCGGGTCTTGGGTCTCAGAGCTTATTCTTAGTGCATGTTCTCAATCTATCAGGTCAGAGATGTGCACACTGATTAGTTTACTCTCTGCCCAAAGCTCACCTAGGCGCTACAGGCTGATCAATTTGCTGATAGGCTTGCTTCCCGCTACGCTTGCAGCGGGTGAAAGCAGCGCAGAATACTTTGAACTACTCTTCAAAATGATAGAAACACAAGATTCTCTTCTGTTCTTAACTGTTCGGGGTTGTCTGACGACGATCTGTAAACTGATCTCCCAAGAGGTGGGAAACATTGAATCTCTAGAAAGGAGTCTTCAGATAGACATTTCACAGGGATTTACCCTCCACAAGCTCTTAGAACTCCTTGGGAAGTTCTTAGAGGTTCCAAATATTCGATCCAGGTAACTTTCTGATCGTTAAATCTATTCATCTTTCATCTACTTCTTCATGCCTGTCTAATGTTTTGAGTGTGGCAGATTCATGAGGGACAATCTGCTGTTTCATGTTCTGGAGGCCCTCATTGTTATCCGTGGCTTGATAGTCCAAAAGACGAAGCTTATAAATGATTGCAACAGACTCCTAAAAGATCTTCTTGACGGCCTTCTGCTTGAAAGCAGTGAAAACAAACGACAGTTCATCCGTGCTTGTGTTTCCGGACTGCAAACCCATGGAGAGGAGAAAAAAGGACGTACCTGTTTGGTAAGAAGAAATATATTATTCTGTCCACTGTTCTTCTTCAAAATATATGATTCTTCTGGATGGGAATATTTTATAAACACTTAGTTTGAGTACTAGGAGTAGTTTGAACTGTCTATAAACTGATGTCGTCTTGAACAGTCTTGAAACCATCTTCACGGACATAACTTGAAATTATAGAGGGTTTATTTTGTTGTAAGTAATATATTATCTTTGACCAGTGTTTTGACCATTTCGATTGTTTCTGCAGTTTATTCTTGAGCAGCTTTGTAATTTGATCTGCCCATCAAAACCCGAGGCTGTGTATATGCTGATTTTGAACAAGTCACACACACAGGAAGAGTTTATCCGGGGATCAATGACGAAAAATCCGTATTCAAGTGCTGAGATTGGCCCACTGATGAGGGATGTTAAAAACAAGATTTGTCAGCAGTTGGACCTCTTAGGTCTACTGGAAGATGACTATGGCATGGAGTTGCTTGTAGCAGGAAACATTATTTCACTAGACCTGAGCATAGCACAAGTTTATGAGCTGGTTTGGAAGAAATCAAATCAGTCTTCTACATCACTGACCACCGCATTGTACGCTTCAAATGGAGCTCCCAGCAGGGATTGTCCTCCCATGACTGTGACATACAGACTTCAGGTTCGTGACCCTTTTCTGGTTAAGAACTAGGTTAAAGATGGGTTTTGCTTGCCTTTACCTACTGTTTAAGGCCCCCAGAAAAAGCTAGTTATTTCGTGTTTCACTTTTTGATGAAAGCGCTGGAAAATTAATTTGCTCCAACTTTTGGTAAAACATTGGCAGGGGTTAGATGGTGAAGCTACTGAGCCTATGATCAAGGAATTGGAAGAAGATAGAGAAGAATCACAAGATCCAGAGATTGAGTTTGCAATAGCAGGTGCAGTTCGGGAATATGGTGGTCTGGAAATTTTACTTGATATGATCAAGGTAAGCTTCTTAAACTATAAAAGGAAATTAAAGATTTAAACTGGGATACTCCTATTTCCCTCATTGCTCTGTATTCATACACTGGGTAGATGCTATATCACCTGGCACTTTTAGATACAGTGTGAAGGAGCTTAATAAGAAGAATAGTAATATTACAAAAAAAGTGGCTTTCTAAGAAACCTATATTCCAAAAAAGCTGGTTGGGTTCGCAACTAAATTTACATTGTTGACTTTGCAGAGTTTACGAGATGACTTCAAATCCAACCAAGAAGAGATGGTTGCAGTTCTTGATCTCCTAAACCATTGCTGCAAGATTAGAGAGAACAGGCGAGCTTTACTCAGGCTGGGAGCTTTAAGCTTACTTCTTGAAACAGCTAGGAGGGCATTTTCTGTGGATGCTATGGAGCCAGCTGAAGGCATTCTCTTAATTGTCGAGAGTTTGACGCTTGAAGCAAATGAAAGTGACAGCATCAGCGCCGCACAAAGTGCTTTGACTGTCAGTAACGAGGAGACTGGAACTTGGGAACAGGCCAAGAAAATAGTGCTTATGTTCTTAGAAAGGCTTAGCCATCCTTCAGGGCTTAAGAAGTCAAGCAAACAACAAAGGAACACGGAGATGGTTGCTAGAATCTTGCCTTACTTGACATACGGTGAGCCTGCAGCAATGGAAGCACTCATAGAGCATTTTAACCCTTACCTGCAAAACTGGGCTGAATTTGACCAGCTTCAGCAACGTCATGAGGAGAACCCCAAGGATGAGAGCATTGCTCAGCAAGCTGTGAAGCAGAGGTTTACTGTGGAGAATTTTGTTAGAGTGTCAGAATCTCTCAAGACAAGTTCATGTGGAGAGAGGTTAAAAGATATAGTTTTGGAGAATGGAATCATAGCTGTTGCTGTCAAACACATCAAGGAAATATTCGCTGTCACGGGACAGGCTGGGTTCAAATCTAGCACGGAATGGCTTTCGGCTCTTAAACTTCCTTCAGTGCCTCTTATTTTGTCAATGTTGAGAGGATTGTCGATGGGGCATTTGCCAACCCAAACATGCATAGACGAAGGAGGAATTTTACCCTTACTTCATGCCTTGGAAGGAGTCCCTGGAGAAAACGAGATTGGTGCAAGGGCTGAAAATTTGTTAGACACACTCGCTGATAAAGAAGGAAAAGGAGATGGATTTCTCGGAGAGAAAGTCCGTGCACTACGAGATGCCACCAAAGATGAAATGAGACGCCGTGCACTAAGAAAGAGACAGGAGCTCCTCAAGGTAAATTTTAAAAGCGATTCTCTCTCAAAGAAACTAGCTAGTCTTGTGACTATATAAGTTTACCAAGTTTCTCTTTTGTTAACTGTAACAGGGACTTGGAATGCATCAAGAGGTATCTTCTGATGGTGGTGAAAGGATTGTGGTTTCTCAACCAATTCTCGAAGGCTTTGAGGATGTAGAAGAAGAGGAAGATGGATTGGCTTGTATGGTGTGCAGAGAAGGCTACAAACTCAGACCGACTGATTTATTAGGAGCCTACTCTTACAGCAAACGGGTGAATCTCGGTGTTGGTACTTCCGGAAGCGCACGTGGCGAATGCGTTTACACTACTGTGAGCTACTTCAACATCATTCATTTCCAATGTCACCAAGAAGCGAAAAGGGCCGACGCTGCTCTTAAGAACCCGAAGAAAGAATGGGAAGGAGCTATGTTACGTAACAATGAATCTCTTTGCAACTCTCTCTTCCCTGTCAAAGGTCCCTTGGTTCCTTTAGCTCAGTATCTTCGTTACATTGACCAGTACTGGGATAATCTCAGTTCTCTTGGTCGTGCTGATGGAAGCAGACTCCGTCTATTGACATATGACATAGTCCTGGTAAGTTTAATAATCGGTTCTAAAACGCTCTCAATTAGTGATAACCATCCTTTTCCCGCCACTCTGTGATTTGCTAACAACTTGTCTTCTCTATAGATGCTGGCTCGGTTTGCAACGGGAGCTTCTTTTAGCGTGGATTCCCGAGGTGGAGGAAGAGACAGCAATTCTCGTTTCTTGCCCTTCATGTTCCAAATGGCCCGCCATCTTCTCGACCAAGGAGGCCCCACGCAACGCGCCAACATGTCTAAATCTGTTACATCCTACATATCATCATCATCATCGCCATCTACAGCAACAGCGCCGTCATCGGACTCACGACCTTTGACTCCTGGATCTCAGCTAACATCAGCTGGAACCGAGGAGACGGTTCAGTTCATGATGGTGAACTCGCTTCTATCGGAATCATATGAATCATGGCTCCAGCACCGTCGTGTCTTCCTCCAGCGCGGAATTTACCATACTTACATGCAACACGTTCACGGTCGGGCAGCTTCTCGTGCAGCGGAATCAACCAGTTCGGGAGGTAAAAGCCAAGACGTAGAAACCTTAACCAGCGATGAGCTTCTCTCTATCGTCAGGCCAATGCTGGTCTACACCGGTATGATAGAACAGCTACAACAGTTCTTCAAAGAAAAGAAACCGGGACATGATGAAGCGTACAGGAAAGAAGGTACATCAAGTGGAGTAGAGCTCGAACCGTGGGAGATTGTGATGAAAGACAGGTTGCTGAATGTGAAAGATATGGTTGGTTTCTCAAAGGAATTGATCTCGTGGCTCGACGACATCAACTCTGCAACTGATCTACAAGAAGCTTTTGATATTGCCGGCGTTTTAGTTGTTGTTTTTGCCGGTGGGTTTAACCAATGCGATGAGTTTGTGAGATTATCGATTAATCTCGGAAATGGAAAAGGATGAAGAGAAGTTTGGTTTTGTCGAAGAGCTTGATTATGTGTGTTTTTTCACTTGGTTATGTATGTGTGTCTCTTGTTTTTGATATTGTGATTGATTTGTATTGTACTTTAGAGGATTTTTGGTGGTTGTAAACATCGAGACACTCGTTTTGTTGTGTTATTAAATGCAAGGCACACACAGATTGCTCTTTGTTTAATCTCTCGCACCGAGTTTGTTAGCTCTTTCTCGGTTCAAGTTCGGTTTTGGTTTTTGAAAATCCTAAGGTCTCAATTCGGAGCAAATAGTTTTTGAGATTCTGACTTGGAAGCCCAATTGACCATTTGGGTCAAAATTGGATTTGTTAAAACCTGTTTTGCATCTTCATGAACATTATGGACTAATCTACTTATATATATCCGCACTCGAAAAGCGTTTGAGGGCTGGACGTTATCCAAACGAAACAAATGTTTTGATCCAGCTTATTTTGTTTTTATTTCTTGTTTTAAACTCAAAATGTTAATGTCTCTCATTCAGTTAAGTTTGCATTTTCAATACAAATTTCTGTTTTTCTTCTCTTTCGTATTTATAACCTTTTTTCTTCACGGAAAGCATATAAATATATAGACAGCAATAATTGCCTAAGCTTGAGAATGGCACGTCATGCGTTAAGGCATTCAGCCACCGACACAGCTTTCTTTATGCTCGTGGGGATATTAATTGTTAATGTCCTTTTTTCTACCAATCTTGCTTTGTTTTTCTTTATTTAATAGTTTAACATCCCGAACAATAAAACTGATTGGATCTTTCTTCTCTAAGTTCTCTTTTTCCATTTTTTTAAAGGGTCAGACACAAAGTTAGTAAACCGCTAGCATTTATTTAGTTTCTTAATTTTGGGTAAGGTGATCATAAATTTTGGAATCAACAGTTAAATGCATTTAAGTGACATCTAACTAACTTTTAATTTTGTTTGCAATTTGCAATTTTTACGGGTTTATCGTGCCACTGTAAATTTTTACGCTCTAAAGTGCATAAACATAATAAGTGGAACCTTTTTTGTTAATTAATAAAAGTTTGGATCAAATCCCTAATCTTCTGTAGTTTGGTAATAACCTTTATTAACACCTAACAATGACATCGTGTAAGGCATCTTTCTTTATAAAATATATATACAAGAAGTCAGTCCTATATCACGACCAAAAAAAAAGAAGTCAGTCCTATAAAGAAGTACTTTGGTTTCTATCTTTTAACGGGAAGACAAACAAAAAATTACGACTGAAAAAATGTTGAGCAATATGGGGAATGGATGATGGATACGTGTCTTCTAAAACAAAGTATCATTGAATAATTGAATTGAATCTTGATTTGCAATCCAAGTCGGTGTGGTACATTTAATTGGAATGCCTCATCGCGTTACGGTCCAAAGCGAAACCCACGTCAATGCACATACCCAACACATTTTCTTAATGAAAGACCAGCCACCAAAATACATATACCGAAATGCAAACTCTCTTTTATTTTAATGCATCACAATCCTATATAAGTATATATGATGAGATTTAGAACATCAATGTCGTTGCCGAGGGCCTTTCATATTTAAAAAGACCTTTTTCTTGACCTCTAACCACAAACTAATCCATCATAAATTTGTTACAAAAAAAAAAAAAAAAAAAAAAAAAAAAAAAAAAATTGGTTGCCAGTCGACAACATCACTTTTTCTATTTAATATGTACTTTATGCATTTCATCATATTTTAAAAATATAATATTTGTGTTCTGGTTTATTTTCTTTTGATGTTGTATATTTCTAAAACAAAATTATTTGAGATACTTACGGCGATACATTAACAATGTATTTCATTATAAAAAAACAATGTATTTCATTATATGCCATATAATATAGTGAAATGATGTGCACACATGTGACGTTTCTATAATTGTAACTGAGAAGATAGATAGTAAAATACAAACAAAGGGAGCAACTCTCCTGGTCACGGGCGTTTGTCCTTTATTTCTCTTTTGGTGAGTTTTCTCAATTCTCATATTAACTTATGTTTAAATTTTAATTTCCGTTTCTTTTTTCTTTTGTCCACAATAGAAAAGTCTGCTAAAACATCTATGATAAAGTATAGCTCACGTGAAGTAAAACTATTGCGGTTTGCTGAATTTTTATCCATATATATATGCATGAAATATAAGGATTCATGTAAGGTGTATTTAATTGTCTTCCTGATAAATAACGAAAACCATATTGGTTTTGTTTAATGAAGGAATGCTATGAGACACGACTTGATGTGTGGTTTATAAAAATTAGCTACTTTAAATACAGTTAACATCCTAATAAATACGCCAGTACAGATAATGGATTTGGACCATTTGGTGATTGGAACATAATTAATTATTTATTTTCGTCAAACACACTTCAAACTTCAAAGGTTGACTCATTTCAACAAGTCTATGTTCAATATTAAATCATTTGTAACTCATATGTTTTTGTCAATGTAGTTAATTATACTGGACTTTTCTCTTACGGTTATCATTGAAAATATATTTATTCATTTTAGCACATGTATTCACGCATGATTAATTAAAAATATTTTTTAGATAGTTAATTTTTCATAATGCTAGTTATGGTAGATAAATAAATTAATTGATTATTTGTTTCCAAAAATGACAATCTGTGATTGAAATTTCATGCAAGAATCTTGCTTTCTTTTTTCACCATCTGTTTGATGTTTTGTGATCGTTAGGATTTGAATAGTAGAACTCGAGTTATGATTTAGTTAACAGATCTTAAGATTTTCATTTCACCATCCGTATAAATTTCCAAGATTTGTTTCCTTAAAACGATTAGTATCTTCTTCATTTCCGGTATATAATGATGGGAGTTATATAACAATGGCTCCAACTGTCTAACACAGAAAAGGTTAACAAAACGGTCATTAAAAAAAAAAAAAGACAACCGACAAAAAAAAAAAGACAGTTCATTTCGTTTTTTTGATCTCGTTATTGAGAAAGTTCTCATCTTTTTCACATTCTTGTCCTCATTCTTCTTCTTCTTCCCAATCTCTCTGACGAGTTTCGATCCATTTTCCGGATTCTTTGGTGATCACCGACCGGATCTGGACAAAGAATCTCATCTACCATTCTCTTTCTCTCCACCAACTCAAATCTTCCTCCTTTCTTTTCAGTTTTGCTTTATACTTGGCTCCAAAGCTCGCCATTTTGCAGAGTTTCCTTGCAATTTGGAGAGTTAGCTTCCAAGTCTACATCGAATTGATTCCTTTGGGTTTTGCTGGTAGTTTAGTTGATGCTGAGATTTTGAGCTGTCGGTTCTTTGAAATTTCTTTTCTTTTTTTTTAATTGATTAAGAGGAGAGATTGTAAGAGAGTTGTGTGTCGTGTCAAAAAGCGAAATTTGTGGTTGACTTGAAAGCGAGATTCTGGATTTTTTCGAGGAGTCATTTAATGTTCTTCCCTGGTTTTGCGTAGAGATTACATTTTTTCTCCAAATGCCAAATTAGAGTAATCATTGCAGCAGAAAGAGAGAGAAATAGAGAGATTCTTATTCTTCTGAGGAAGACTCAAAGTTGATTAGTCTTCCTTGTGTCTGATGAAATTCCCCAGTGAGAGTTAGAAATGTGTAAAGTGGAGAACTTTCTATACAACAGGAAGCTGTGGGAGATGAAGGTTAAGTTTCTAGGAGACAGTAAGATAGAGAAGTTGAAGAACTCTTTGGTTTCGAGGTCTCGTATGAGCCTATGGATGATTCGGGCCATGACCATACTGTTGCTGTGGAGTTGCTTTGTTCACTTGGTGGCTTTGGGAGAGATGTGGGGACCAAGATTGTTGAAAGGCTGGCCTTCTTGCTTCAATCACCATGATGACTTCCCAATCGCACAAGACATGTCTTCTCTTCCCACCAAAATCGCCCTCCCACCTAAAAGTAGAGCATCTCTCTCTCTGGTTATGTAGCTTGAGATTAGTACTACTTTTACTTTGTCAAACTGATTTGAATCATCTTTGTTCTTGGCAGGGATATATCACAACAATGGCTATCTTATGGTTTCTTGCAATGGAGGACTCAACCAAATGCGAGCAGCGGTAATGATCAAAACTAATCTGTCTGTGCTTTGTTAAAGAATCCTTAATCAAAAGTTGATGTGACTTTTGGACTCTGTTTTTTTGCTCTGTCTTTCCAGATATGTGATATGGTCACTATTGCAAGATACATGAATGTCACACTTATTGTCCCTGAGCTTGACAAGACCTCGTTTTGGAATGATCCAAGGTATTACTGCCATCCATCTTACTTTGGAGCTTCTTTCTCATTTCTTCTTTTACTTAAAAGTTGTTGATCGGATTCTCATTGTTGGTTAGTGAGTTCAAAGACATATTCGATGTGGATCACTTCATAACTTCCTTAAGAGACGAGGTTCGTATACTCAAGGAGCTTCCTCCACGGCTTAAGAGAAGGGTCGAGCTCGGAGTGTACCACACAATGCCTCCTATCAGCTGGTCCAACATGTCCTACTACCAAGACCAGGTTAGCTAGATAAAGACTTTTTTGTTTTCATGAGACTTTTAGTCTTGGATTTGACTTGAATGGTTTGGTTTCTCCTAATCTTTGGAAACAGATTCTTCCGCTGGTGAAGAAGCATAAGGTCTTGCATCTGAACAAGACCGATACTCGACTTGCTAATAACGATCTGCCTGTTGAGATCCAGAAGCTGCGATGCCGTGCAAACTTCAACGGGCTTAGGTTCACTCCAAAGATTGAGGAGTTAGGTAGAAGAGTAGTCAAGATTCTGAGGGAGAAAGGTCCCTTTCTTGTTCTGCATCTCAGATACGAAATGGACATGTTGGCGTTTTCCGGTTGCTCACATGGTTGCAACCGCTACGAAGAGGAAGAGCTTACAAGAATGAGGTCAAGAAAAAACATTTCTTCTTTGTATTACAATTTTAAAAGTTGTGTTCGGTTCTTGGTGATATTGATTGGTGTTCCATTGTTTAGATATGCTTATCCATG